AGGGTTAAGGGGATTAGGGTTAGGGTTAGTGTTAGGGTTAGGGTTACAGGTTAGAGGTTAAGGTTAAGGGGGGGGGGGGTTAGGGTTAGGGTTATGGTTACAGGTTAGGGTTAAGGGGGTTAGGGTTAGGATTAGGGTTGGGGTTAGGGTTAGACGAAGGGGTTAGGGTTACTGGGTTAGGCGAAGGGGTTAGGTTGAGGGGAAGGGGTTAGAGTTAGGGTACGTGTCCTAACCCTAACATACTAGGGCACATACACACCTACCATGCTAGGGTTAGGGTTAGGCGAAGGGGTTAGGGTGAGAGTTAGGACACTCAAAGGAAATAAGACAAAACAAGTAAAAATATTACACCAAGCAATCAAACTTACATATAAATAGTCGATCGGAGACTTGGAATACTTCCAACCGCAGTATAATTGCAAAAATAACATATTTATAGGTAATAAGTAACAACGGTCGGAAACGAAACGGGTAGCCATGACAGTAGGCTTAGTCATGGAATATAAAATATATTGAATAAATGTAGCATCTTATTTCGACAAAGGTATATACAAATTGAATAGAGAATTTACAAGAGTGCTAGCAGCGAGCAAATAAGCGCCGTTAATTATATAAACTCAGCCCGCTGCTTTTAATGGTGGCCGTGAACATGTGGGTGATCGACGCGTGGTTGGCGGCTCGCGTGTACAATGAATTAATCCTGTAATTGATCCGGTCGCTTGCACTGTTGCTGCGGATCTTCAGCGTTTCAGCGGCCGTTCGATGGTCCATATTTTTCGTCTGAACTGCACTTAAGCTGACTATATTCAACAATCCAGTGAACACGAATCCGAGATTGATGAATCGATGCTCGATAATGGCGTCGTTGCGCGCGAGCCGGCGAGAAGACCACTGCTCACGCGTTCACCTAGATGGACGACTCCCGATCGATAAATCGATCGACCGTGAGCGCCATCATGGCTGCGCGTATTCTCAAACGTATGCTACAATAAAACAGTTAGTTAGAAAGATAACTTGGAATGTAGAAAGTAGGACATTGGAAATAATACTTTATTTAAATATAGGGAAGCAACTATACGCAAATTGGTGAAATTGCCGATATATACATAACAAACCTTGCTCTACAATCAAAAATAGGAAAATATACTTCCTATATCTATGCCCCAGACCCGAAATCGAAGCTACTTCACCAGTAGCAACGCCCCCTTTTAGTCGCCTCCTACGACAGGCAGGGGTTACCGTGGCTGTATTCTAAACCCCCAGCCACAGGGGATAAATTGACTTTTCCAAAGCCAAACTGTCCGCATACCGTACATTCCGAGACCGACCGTTCCGCGAAATACTCTTTCCCGAAGCAAAGTTTTCCTGTGTTGAAAAAACTCTATATATTCATCATTCTATGTCTGCACCCAATTTGCAGTGGAAGATCTTCGTATTCCTTACTCTATGTCTCAACTTAACTTGCGATGGAACATCTATGTTTTCCTTATTCTATGTCTCGACTCCGTTTGCACATCGGTCCTAATGGGTTATGTCTAACCCCAATTTGCAGTGTAGGTAATTTACCTGCTGTTCATGCTTTCTAATTTATTACATATTCATGCTTTGTGATGTACATACAGTATCGATTAGTGATGAGCATATTTCTTAATTGTATCGATTTTTGGTATAGATACGTATCGATATACATACATCAATTAGGAATGGTATCGATACGTACAATAAAATTAGAACTGAAGTTCAGTAAAAAATTCACTATATGTTTCAATGAATAAAAAAAGGATTTATAATAAACAATTACTGCTTTATTTTCCCACATCCCTTCTTTTAATATATATATATTGCAATATACATATATGCAATATTCAACTTTATTCATTTATATAATACCCTTTCGCTTATTAACTGAACCTTATATTCTAATAAACATTATTTTCTAATAAACAAAATCCCCTGGTTAAAGATACAGGTTACGATATGACTGAGGAGGAGGAGGAGGATATTTTAATAAATAAATTAAACCAATTTCAGACACGACTAGGGAAAACAGGGTTGCGGCATAAAAAACTCCTTATTAGATTTCCTTTGGCACAATGACTGAATGAAAAACACGAGCAATCAGTGCTTTGCGAGTATCAAATCAATCAAAGCCAACAACATTTTCCACGTTTCCTGATAATTCTTCTCCATCTTCGTTTAGGTCTTTGATCTCATCTTCTTCTAGAAAAATGTCAGTGAATATTAAAGCTAAATTCTGCAACACAGCACCTGCAACTACCCTTGTTAAAGCATGGAAAACACTGGGCTCACTTGGCGTGCCGCACAGGAGATGGCAATCTTTAACAGGCTCTCGTCGGTGAGTATGGCCTGTTCGCATCGTATCGTCGATAATCTTTCTACGAACACCTTTCTTACCAACAAAATATAGATACCCCTTAGATCCCGATTTTTACCGACAGCGTGACGAAACAAAAAATCATCTCGCAGGTGCCACATGGCCATACGATCCGTGATACGAGTTTTACGTTTACGTAAATCTTACACATTTATTTATTGGTTTCAACTTAATCTTCTAATCTTTGTTATTACGTTCCTATCACCTTGCTATTAGGTTTTAACGCGGGGCAAATTAAACAGCTCGGCGTTGTACGCGAACTCGCTGCGTATCTGGTGTACACTACAGGCATGGTTGCTCTGTACAGTCCTCTCGAGGTCGAAACGCTCCGATGATCGCTACTTTGGCGTTTATTTCGAACGAAGGGAATTGCTTACGATACGTACAGACGGCTTATGCCGTTGCGTTGCAACGAAACGGTAATTGCGGTTAACGCGTCATGAGTAACGTTCTCCTTAGCCGATCTTTTAATACGCGAATCGATGTAACTAGCAGCAGCTCTAGTAGTAGTAATAGTAATAGTTGTTGTCGTTGTTGGAGTTTTCATTCATTGTCGTTACATACGAATTGTTCTTTTGAATTTCATAAGGGAAATGATCGTTCTCAGTAGTATGTGTACTTATATTTTTTTATACTGATTCTATTAAATTGTAATTTGGCAGTTGACACTGTAAAAACTAACGAATGATAGACGCGTGTAAATAAATACGGGATGAAACTGTATTTACGGTGAAAGTACGTAAGGTGAAACACGATGGCGCGGCGCGTCGTGTCGTTTAGAAGTGCGCCCACGTTCGTCGGGCGAGATCGATAAACGGTAGTGATACGAGAAACAAGGAACCGCTTGCGCACAGCGCGCAGCGTGCTTTGCATTGAGAAAAAAGAAAGGAAGAGAAGAAAGTAAAAAGAAAGAAAATGAGAACGGTAATCTATCAACAACGATAAAGCGTTGAAACGAAAAACGGCGGCAGTGGCGTCAGTGTTATACCGTATATTAACGTAACCGTGACGTGTTGCTTCGGTGTCTGTGAAATAACGTTTCAAAGTATCGCTCTTATATACGTTTAACGCATGATACGCTGTGCATGAGAAAGTGGGAAAGCTTCTATATAGAAGAAGTTAACGTTTATGCTATCTGTTGGTGTTGCGTGCGGTTCAGCTAAAATACCGAATACATACAAGTGCACGTATATCGAATCGTCGTCGGTCTCTGGATTCGCACGCTTTCTTTTTTCTTCCATCCTCAGGGGCGTTTCATTCGGTGAAATTATATCTGTTACTGTTCCCTTTCTGATCGTTAACGTTAAACCGTGTCGATTGTCACTCACAAGTACCTACATTTTTTCGTCTGTGGTTATTTCGTCTATTTTGTCGAGATCGAAGAAACCGATAGCGTACTAACGATAAAAGAGAGAGACTGTTTTTCCGCGTAATGTTCCATCGAATGAATGTCAATTGAACAGACATTGGGAAACATGGTGTGCCTGCTCGACGATACGATCACTTAACAGGATCGTTCGATCGATCATAAAAGTGATCGATTTACGAAACTACATATTCCAGGATGGATGCACCCGAAACGGAATATGCGTTCCTCTTTTATTGAAGATGAAACTGTTTCGAGGAAGAAAAGACACGTCGGCGACAGTCAGGATGACAGAACGGTAACGGTGCGCGGTGAATTGCATACCTAACGTAACGAAACGACACGAAACGCAATAAAGAATTCGTACTTTAAGAAGGTAAAGAAGTAGGAGTAGAGGAGAAGACAAAAGGAATAAAGGACAGAAGGGTAGATACGGAGGAAGAAGAAAGAAGCCCCGATAATGAAGGAGCACGGAAGCAAACTTCCGGCGGAACAGCCTGCGAAGATCCTCAAGTCGTTGTTAAAAAAGCCTGGTCAATCAAAGAGCAGGTCGCATAAGAATAGAGTTGTAATAAATGAAAAATTGAACGAATTTTTTGCGGCCGATTATATAATATTAATAAAGGAAGAATGCTGTGCCGATGATTACGAGGAAGATTGTGATTGTTGTTGTCAAGAACACGAACTAATACGATTAGGAAACTGCAAGGAATGTCGAGCTGAATTTAACCTGCACTTTGGTGTCGCGAATAACGGTAGGTATCACGATGTAGAAAGGGACGATGAAATAATACGCGAGAACGCGGTACAAACCGAACAAATCTCCAACGATGAAGAATTTGGTTGCGTACAATTGCATCTTGAAGATGAAGAAGAGGAACAGGAAGGGTACGAGATAGAGACGGAAGGTGACGACGATGAGATCGAAGATGACGGACGAGTAGTCGCCGAGTACCTTCTCGACGAAGGGAGCGGAGAAAATGATCAAGTGACAGAGACGATCGAGGTGAGAAAGGGACATGCCGACCAACTGGAAGAGGGGAAAGTGGAGGAAGCGAACGGAAAAGAAAAATTTGGAAAAGACAGCGAAGCTTCGGAAGTAGCGGTGGAGGTAGAAAATCTAACGGAAACGAACGTACGTGGTAGAAAGAAGCGCGAAAGAATCGATAATGAAATCGCTGAATCAGATGTTTACGAGACAAATACACCTGTCGAAACGACCATAACCGCAATATCATCGTTACTACCACCTTCAACACCGCAATCGTCACCGCCGCCGTCGCCGTCGCCACCGCCGGCGCCGCCACCACCAGCACCACCACCACCACCACCACCACCACCACCACCACCACCAGCATCACCCTTGTTAGATAGGCCATCGTCACCGCTTGCGCGACAGGACCATCAACAAGAGACACTGAGTCCGCCGGAAGGTTACAAAGATATTTATTCGAATGAAAATCTGTCGAATGTAGTGGAATGTTGTTTACAATCGTCCCTGGATTACCTTCATTGTCAAAATACAACAGGTGAGTTTCGATCACCTTTTCTTCCTTTTATTACCACTTACGGAACATATATGTATGTACGTATCACGCGCACCGACTCTGCAAATTTGTACGCAACTTTGTAATTCGCGTGCGTTCCCACGGAATTCGGTTTGTAGGGAACGGACGCGCGCTTACGCGCGCACATTATCCAATTAACGGATATGCCTTGCTAGTACATAAATGTGCATAATTTTTCTCATAACCTGTATTCTGCTGTAGCTTTAATATTTACTCGCTGTATACAATTTTTCGATGATCTTGCTAAAAACTTGTTGCTAATTTTTTGAAATATTCATAATTTCTGACATTTCTGTATTTTTTCACAGACATTACCGCGTCGAACAAGACTAACACGTTTCTTATGTATGTAACGTAAAATATTATGTACATACATATATAAAATAGCTGTTCTTCTTTTTTCTAAAAATATGTTGACCCGCCTATATGTTACGCGTCCCATGATATTACTGCTATTTCCATTTAATCTGTCGATTTAAATAAACAACAATTGAAAAAATTTTAACCATCTAAAAGAATCTTTTTTTCAAACTCGTACGTACCGAACGCGTATCTACATACATACATACATACAGGTGCTCATCGACGATCCGTTGGCAAGTATTAGCTCGTCGACACTCGCCGGAAGTAGGTACACCGTACCGTGACTCCGGTCTTTCCATGATACGCTGGAAAGACGAGGGCTGCGTCTACGTATCTAACGCTATGCGATAACAATGATATATACATATACATACAATAGTCGTACCGTAAAATATACTTATTGCTTGTTATCTTCTTCCTCTACAAATATTAGTAGGTATAACAATTAATAATATTTGATTTTATAGATAGAAACGTTGATCAAGAATTGATCTCTGTTAACAACGAAACGAAGACAAACCATGAGGAGAAGAAAGTGCAAAGAACGAACGAGCAACAGTTGCAACGTTCGGCGACAACTATCGGTGCGTTTTTATTCTTTTCCTTTTCCTTTTCCTTTTCCTTTTTCCGTTAATGCGGAAATTATATAATTATATAATTTTCGTTTTGCTTTCGTCTCGTTAGATACGATATATTATGTTCGTTAGGCTATGACTCTATAGGGTATGTTGTTCTTTGCAGAATCGAGGCATCGTTATCTGGTGGAAACGATAACCATGACGACGGTAACCGAACGGCGTATCGTACGCGAGATCAGCGAAGAAGAGGGAAAGGAACGCATGGTTGTCCGTAGTCAGGATGTCGTCGAACCACAGGATGAGAGAAAGTACTCTGTCGCTGAAGCGACCACGATTGAACGCACGATGGACCAACAGAACACGATGGATGACAACGATTCGAGCGAATACATCGTACGTAAGGGAGAAATTCGACGACAAATAAATTCTCTCGTTGCCGATGATCGTTCTACGCGACAGATGGTATCAAGGAAAACCTCGGTGACTGGTGGTACCGAACAAGATACATCGTCGGATGCGAAACAACTATCCCTCGTATTTAAACTTGCTAATTCTTCTTTAGCCGGTAACAATAGTCTAAAACCAAATTCTGCCGTTAGACAATTATTTCCTAATCCAAAATTCGTTTCGCCACCACCGGCGCCACCTGCTAAATCAATCTCATCCACAAATTCTATCGACGATCCGGTAAATGCTTTGGGACTATTTTCTAACGCGGACAGTTTACGTTTCTTCGATGGTGCGAAACCAACGCTCATCTCCGACAATCAAAAGTATTCCTCCAGCGACGAATCGAATCCACTTAGAAGAACAATCGAAAGAAACACGCTTCGAAGAAGTCTTCTCGATAAATATCGTTCCAATTCTCGTAAGAAAAGTCTTACGTCGAAAAATTTATCTCTCGAAGAACGAATACGACAACTTACTTGTGTAGATCAAGAAAATGACGAAGATATTTCTCAACGATCATCCGATGCAGAAAATACAAACTCGACGATGAATATGAAAGTGAACGATGAGTTACTAACACGTGTTGCACCTTCGGGACAGGAAGATACAAGGACGGTGTCGACGAGACCGTTTCTAATTCGGAACACGACCATTGACGCTTCCACACCGACTTCGGTATTGTCAGCATCGGCCGTACATGTCGATACGAGATTTGATACGCTAACTGCCGTAACAACGACAACGACAACGACAACGACACCGACAACGACGCTTACATCAAATTCATCTATGTCTATGATGACAACGACGCCGACGACGGTAACGGCAGCAGCAATGTCAACGTCAACGTCAACGTCAACGTCGACGTCAACGTCAATGTCAACGTCAATGTCAATGTCAACGGCAACGATCACGACCACCGCGACAACGGCAGCTGTTACAAGCTCCAATTATTACAAGCAAATCTCATCGACCGGTACCAGTACCGTTGCAGATCATTTGCATAATCAATCGACTTATAAAAAGCTGACCGAATTGTTTGTGCACAAGAAGAATATACAGTCGAATATGCCGGATCTTGGTTTAGGAAACAGTGGGAAAAGTAACAGTATTGGCGGGAAAGATTACCAACAAACGAAAACCTCGATAAAAACAAACAATTCCGATGTACGTAAGCAATTTCTAGCCAGCTTGGCGCCATTATCTTGCGTAACCGTCAATAGTACAGATACCCAAGACGATTATTACCGACATAATTCGAGGATGGTGGTTACCGAAAATGGTGCTTCAACAGGTGATGCATACAATGCGGCTACCGCGGCAGCGGTATCGATTTACAATTTCGACAATATGCAGACGAATTTGCACCGAGACGATAGCAATTATAATATAGGTCCGCCAGATGTTACCAGGGGTACACCAATGATTATCGATAGACCGGATATAGGGGATGATAATACGACCGACGAATTACTCGCATTCGTGGAACAAGACAGATTTAGAACCGAAAGAATAAAGCGTCGGTACAATGATGATCAATACCAGCAGCAGCAGCAGCAGCTTTCGATCAATGGTAGAAACAGTTACGTTGCTGACAACAAAATCATCGAGAAGAAGAATATCGATGGTAAGAACGAAGTTATTGGACTTACGTATCGTGAAAATATTGGCCACGATCGCGATCTTGACAACAACGGTAAGAAAAATCGCGCCGAGTTACAACAACGTATTGGCATCGGTCGTTGTTATACCAATGATATTACAGCTACTAGTCTTGACAACAACGACGATCGCAATGACAACGACGACGAGCGTGTTCGCGACCATGAAGACAACGAGAAAAATAATGCCGATGACGACGACGACGACCACGACGACGACGATGACGACGACGACGACGACGACGACGACGACGATGACGATGACGATGAATTGAACGATTATGGATTTAATCGCAGGCCATCGGTAACAGGTATTAAACAACAACGACGAACAGCGAACGCTACCAACGAACCGTTTCATCGATCGTCTCTGAATAACGATGGTAGCACAAACGTTCCAAGAACGAACTTCCATCCTTCGGTACCAGCTTATTATGAAAACAATACTATCAAAATCGATAGTCGGATCGCATTGTACGACGAAACGATCGACGATCCTACTTCAAATTCGTTCGCTGGTACTTTGCTTGCCAACGAACGAGACGCCAATACGATTAGTCGAATAAATACGATGCAAAAACAGATTGATAACATTTATCAAACTATCGTGGAAAATACGAACGTGACTGCCCAAAACTCGCTTGAACGTAAGTCTTACACGGACGATGCGTTTACGCGACAACCTCATCTTCGGTTACCGGTCAACGAACCTGCGTTCCGTATTTATCAGGAACAAAAGAACAGTCAACAATATTTCCAAGAACAGTTAAATACTGCAAACGCTCGAACTTCTTTACGAGGCATCGCGGTCGGAGCCGAAGAGATCGATACTGTCGCTAGTGTCACCGATAACAGAGGAGAATACACGAATAGTTATCCCGAGAAAAGTCGACGAAGAGAACCTCAGACAACGACACCCCCTTTCAATTATCATTGTAACGTAGTGCCGACCGTGTATACCGGACTTCCAGCTAATACCAAATGTTATCGGACTATGTATTTTGTTCCATACAACGGCTTGTCTGATCCAACCTATCAAAATATCCAGCGCATTTTACCATCGCATCCGTCTCCTAGCTATACCAATCACATCGAACGATATCCATACCCTCGATCGAGCAAAAACGATCAATTACAAATGCAAACGCAAACTCAAACCCAATCACCGTCTACTCTACCATCTACACCTCCTATACCCCAACTAAGATATTATTACGTAGGAAATCGTTCCTTTTCTCCGACATCCAATTTCGCGCAAAACAATCATACTTCTTCGATACCTTCCGACTCGCTCGCTCATTCGATGCCCCTTGATTCCTTTTCATCTTTCGATTCTCGATCAACTCCCATCTCTTCCGCCAATCCTCCTGTTACCTTGCAGCCTGCGCAACAAACTTTCCATCTTCATTTACACCATCATCAACAACAACCAGAAGATTTTAGAATTTCCGGTGTTGCTTTTCATCACCATCAGCATCAACATCAACATCCGCATCAGCATCAGCATCAGCATCAGCATCAACATCAACATCAGCATCAACATCAGCATCAGCATCAGCATCAGCATCAGCATCAGCTTCAACATCAGCATCAGCATCAGCATCAGCATCAGCATCAGCATCAGCAACATCAGCAACAACAACAGCATCAGCAACAGTATGAATACGAGTATCAGCATCAAAATCAACACCATCGACATCATCATCAACCTATGTTTTATCGTTTACCTTCAACGATACCAGCACAACTACCTTCTTCGTCTTTATCTTCTCCATCATCCTCTTCTTACACTGTAATCGCACCGTCGAGATGCGCCACATTCACTGGTAACGGAACGACAACCAGCGAAAGTTCTTACCGTTTTTATCAGGTACATTTGGATCGTGCAGTTCTCACCCCTGCGACCGAATTACAATCGGCTCAGACGTTTTTATCATCTTCTACTTCTACCTCATTACCATCTACGGCATCGTGCTCTTCGTCTTTATCGTCATCCTTCTCTCCTTTACCAACAGTGACTGTAGCTGTAGCGCCTCAACAAACTTTGTCCACCTTCGTACTTCCAAATCATGTGTCCGAATCTTCTACGCATGCTGCCAATTTCGATACTGTTCCTCGTACTGGGATCGTTCAATCAACTTCTGGTAATGTCGCTACTTCTACCACCGCCATCATCGCCACCACCACCACCACCACCGTCTCTACCATCGCTAGTTCCGCTTGTTCCTCATCTTCCTCTTCCTCGTCGTCCTCTTCATCTTCGACTTCGTCCTCGTCATCGTCAGCTTCCTCCTCTTTATCTTACTCCTTCTCTTCTTCTTCTTCTGCCTCTTCTTGCTCATCCTCGTCGTCCTTGCAGATACCTTGTTCACCTTCAAAATTACAACAACAACAACAACAACAACAACAACAACTTATAGATCCTTATACGGAAATGGAGCGTGGTGTTCCAGAAGGAGCGGCTAGCGTATCCGGCCATGATGTACCACAATCTGGAATTTTACTCGCGTCTAATTCTTACATCGGACACAATTCTTTACCAACTCATGCGCAAAATTCAGTATACTATGCAATGAACGTTTAAATACAATATATATATATTTATATTGATATATGAGATATTAAGAAAGCATCGCGTTTATGCGGAACGTGAAGATAACGATAATGAATGTATCGGTATCGCGAGATTGTACGTCGTCGTCGTTGTCATCGTCTATTTCTCCTGAATAAACACGATTGTCAATAAACTTATGTAGTACGTCTATCTCTCGCGTGATATCAGAAATATTCGTGTAAGAAAATAGGAAAACAAGCATCGTTTGCGTGTCATTTTTATTAATAAAAATACGAACGCACGAAACGCCCATCGAGTACACATCAGGGTCTGTGTAATCTTGCAAAATATGTATGTATACATATTTCGGTTCGTTCTATACGCTGTACACCGCCACCGGCATACATACTTACGTATTTACGTACGTCTATGCCCCAGATAGTACACGACGTCTTAAAGACGTCCATATTATGTACGACCATTTTAGGTCTGAACGTTTTACGACCTTACCTGGAACGTCTTTACGATGTCTTGTCCCAGACGTATCTGAATATCTGGAACAGATATCTTTACAATGTTTTAACGATGTCTCTGTACTATCTGGGTGCATTATACTTATATATTATAATTGATTCTAGTCAGGATAATAAAATACTTAGGACTGGTACTTTTCATCAGAAATATAAACCAAAGAACGTACGAAACGTTCCTCTGTACATGTAAGAATATACCTGACAACAATTATTTTAAATAGATGAGATAATCCAATTTTTGCGGCGGAATTGATTAAATAATTAGGAAAATTGTATAGTGAAAAAGAAGGAATGCAGCCGATGTGCGAATAAAGGTACATACTTACACGCCACTTTGGTTACCGTACAAATTACCGTACTGCTCAAAATTACGTTTTATTATTATACATATATGTATAGAATACCGTTGAAAGAGCATACGACGAAAAGAAAAAACAACAGAATTCTATGCTAATTGTACTCGCTTGTCATTACGGAATATTTTTGATATCGATTTTTCTAATTTACATTCCTACATATCTATCATAATATTTCTTTCGATCTCTTTCCTTTATTCCTATTCCAATTTCCGAAACGGAAATTAACGATTAAGCACCTACAGCGTGCTGTTAACGCGGTACTACGAAAATTTCACCTTCACTTTCTATCTCGCGCCAAACAAGACGAGGAAATAAAAGAAGAAGAAGAAGAAGAAGAAGAAGAAGAAAAAAACTAGTGTTCAAACGCAAGACCAAATAGGGGCAATCATTTGAAAAACATTTGTAACCCGTATAATATAGTAATATATATTATTTTCTTCGGTCTATGTGAAATTCAGAAAACACATTTACGCGTATGAAGCGTAATCAAATCACCTCACATCATCATCATCATCGCCATTTTTATTTTCATGAAAATTTCAAGTTAAATTATCTCGTATAGAAAAACATATTAAAACGACTTATTGGTGATAGTCTTAGGTGTGCGCTCATTATTCGAGTGTATATACCAATTCTATAATGTAGCGATATCTAATAGTAACAAAACAGTATCAACGTGTTAGAAGATAATAGAAAATAAAGAAACATTCGATATCAGAAATTATATTCGAATGTAATCAGTTTTATTCAAACCGTTATATAGATACTACCAAACTTTTACGATAAATGGCCAAGTTTAGAAACAAGTTTTGCCTGTACTATAGCGTACTCGATTCTTCCGTAATATCGTAAAAAAATGTATATAAATAAAGTTTTAATCACACTTTAATGTTTATCATTTCAAAAGTATTCCCCGATAAAGCTGTCGTTTAATAATAATAATAATTAAACGACAAAACAGTTTTGAAAAATAAACACATAATTAATATTCATTGAATGGTGAATTGAAATTTTCACAATTCTATGCTAAAACGTTCGAGTTAGTCAACTGAAAAGGACAATGATGTATATTCACTTATATACATGTACAAAATATTATTTTGCATAAGAGCATAAATCATTAAAAAATGTACTAACGGGTTCGAAGTAAATCTTTGTTTCATTAGAAAAAGATCATTTTTTTTTTTTTCAATTGACTTTATTAATTTTTTTTTTTTAAACTGATTTATTAAAAAATTCACACTACTAATTTATTAATAAAAACGTCTTACATGTTAAGTAGAAGAATGTTTTACAGGTTTCTCATATCAAGTTCGTACATGGATGGTCACAATTATCTCCGTGAAGAGACGTTATTTCTCCCGTGCGGTCGTCAAAGTATCGAGGTTTTCTTTTCTTTCCTTTCCTTTTCTCTCTCATCTTTTCTCCTTTTTGCTCATAACAAGTTGATCGACAGTAAGATATACGTACATACATGTATACGCAGTTTCCTTGTAGATAAAATGCCTTGTTTCTTTTTATTTTGTAAACTTTTTCGTTCGTATCGCGAATAGCTACCGAACAAGTAAAAAACAAAAGGCAGATGGTTACCGATGTTTGGATATCAAAACTATCGGTACTCGAAAATATTCTTGCATGCACCGTACGATGGAACTCACAGTCCTCGACTGAACATCGCTAATAGATTGTAGAAAAAATGTTGGTTGGTTACGTTCTACAAAACGATACACCGTCTTCTTCTGACTGGCTCTGGAGGCTCCAAAGCTGCCAAGATTGCTTCGTCGAACACATTTTTTAAACCTTTCTGAAAATTGAAGAAACTGCTGCACTTTGATAATCAGAGAGTTAAAAGATTTATTTCATGGGTATAATGCGTACTGGACGTAATCATACCTGTGTAAGAGCACTGCACTCGACATATTTAACCGCTTTAAGCTCTTTGGCAAGTTTTTCACCTTGTTCAGCCGATATAGGCTTTTGTTTATTTTTTGCAAGCTTCTCAATTGTGGCGGCATCGTCTCGCAAATCAATTTGTGTACCGACTAATAAGAACGGTGTTTTTTGACAATGATGAGTTATTTCTGGAACCCACTAACAGAAAATTTCTAATTAATTTGACCGATTACTTTGCAGAGAAAAGTAACGATGTAATATCAATGAAATATCTTACGTACGTACCTTCTCCTTAACGTTTTCGAACGACGATGGCGAGACAACAGAAAAACAAACAAGAAACACGTCCGTTTGGGGATAACTTAAAGGACGTAATCGATCGTAATCCTCTTGACCTATGGGCAAACGATAATTGGAAGCGACCTAGCGTTATTGGTGCAAATGAATTTATCTAAATTACATCAAAGTCAAATTTATTCAAACCACAAAGAAATAATAAAATCAAAGGAAAGAGAATAAATAAACGTCGATGAATATATGCAAGATTAACTTGATTACCAGCTGTATCGAATAATCCCAAAGTATATGGTTCACCACCGATCATGACGGTAACAGCATAATTGTCAAATACCGTTGGAACATATTCCGATGGAAATTTGTTGGTGGTGTACGAAATCAGCAGGCAAGTTTTACCTACTGCTCCGTCTCCTACTACGACACACTTGATTGTTTGCATCTTCCCTGTGTTTCTAGGATGTTTCTGTGAAAATAGAAGCACAGTGTGTTACAGAAGGTAACTTATGATTCGATAGAATGCTGAAACCTTTCTTACTCTACATTACACCGTAACAAAATACATATATACATACATATATGTACAATCTGATTTAGTGTAAACTCATTTGATTTAATCTACCTTAACATGGTTCAATTTAATGCAATCTCAACGAAATTCTATCGCATCCCGTTTCTATCATCTGTTCCTTTGGAGAACGAAAAGGAAAAGGGAAAGAAAAAATAAAGCGTTAATCGTTTCAACGATAGTTTCAAACGCGTATGGGTTATTTAAATTTTTACGAAAGAAGATTTTCCGTACAAAGGACATAAGACATGTTGAAATAAGACTGTCAAAAGATCGGTACAATTACATACAGATTTGCTTCGAAATTATTGTTTTTCAGATCGCCATTTTTTATATTTTATCAAATATGTTGATTTCACGTTTGAAACAGTATCATTCGAATGTATAGAGAAACACATCCAGTAGCATTGTTTGTAATTTGACGCATTGGAAATTGCAATATAACGAAGAACAAAATTCACGAAATTTAACTGAAACACTCACAAGTAACTGGGCGTCGACAACACACACTTTACTGTCACAAATTTTTCAAATTTGCATAGAGGACCAAACAATCGGTTGATTTGAAGACATACTGCACACCTGCCATCTATACACATCAAATCTATAATCTCTATAATTTTGTATTTACCTTTCATTATAAAACAGTATGTATGTATAAGTCAATAAAACAATATAAAGTATATTTGTTATTATTATTATTATTATTATTATTATTATTATGTAGTGAAATGAACATATATATGTATGTATATATACCGCAGTTCACCAGAGTCCATAACTGCGAAAAGACCAGTTTTCGTTCTTCACGCATCTCTAGTACGCATCTTCGTCCTGATTGGCGATATTCCCAAACGAAGTAGAAAGCGATTAGCAGAGAGCTCGCTGCGTTCCCCCACCATCTTCCAACCTGCGCGTCACAGTTATGGACTCTGGTGAACTGCGGTATATATACATATTCAATGCTTAACCTATGCTTTTTAAGATAATTCTTTTCATACGTGCTTTGGAAAAAAGTATTTTCAAATAATAGTTGAGTAAATGGAAACTTGAGAATTACATGAGGAGAATGGTATATCCAATAATTAAATTAGCTGCATTTAGGTGTCCGTATACAGTAAATGTTCCATGTATAAAATTTTTTAAAAGAAATTATGTAGTAGATGTATGTGAAAAAGCAGAAAAAAAAATACACCCGTATAAACAAATACATCCTTGGAAATCGTTAGCAGAATTTTCGGAAGATCTTTTCAATAATATAATTTATAATAAAGGTAAGGGAATATAGTTTCCACATTATCAAAAGGTAACAGATTTTAACTACATAATTTCTGTGTTGTAGATGGATTGGTGGCATTAAACAAACCGTATGGAATAAAACGTTCAGGTTCAGAGGAGTTTCCATATAATATACCGAATGGTGTTAGGTATACATTGGAAGATGCTATACCATACATTTCTGATCGGTTGAAATATCCAAATTTATCTGTAATTAGAAGTCCAGAAATGTAAATATGAATATTTTACTAGAAATTTCTGAAAACAATTCTGTTTAATTTACATACGTTAGTTCATTTTTGGATCAGGTATATGAGTGGTGTTACACTTTTATCAGCAGATTCAAAAATACAACATGCTGTAGAAGTTTCACTTATTCGAGCAAATTATTTTTCAAATACTTATTGGGTAATAGCAGTTGGGGTACCTCAACAATTAGAAGGTGATCACCGGTTGGCAATGAAGCTGATGAGAAATCCTAACTTTAACGGCACGAAGGTAATTTTTATTTGGTTGTTTATTAAATAAAAATTTTCTATTAACTGTATGTAATTTACAGGCAGTTATTATTACATCATGGACGAAAAATGATGAGAAATTAAAGAGGATAAAACTGCTAAATACCAAATATAGAGTGTTATCGAATTCCATGTTGAATTTATGTTCGTTGATTGAAATAACATCGTCCACTAAAAGATGGCATGCAGTTAGATTGTTTGCATCAACATTTTTATATACTCCAATTCTTGGAGATAATTGTTGTGGATCACGAGTTCAGAAACTTGGCGATACCTATCTAAAGGTTGATCCATTTCTTGAATATGCTAACTTACCGCCAAAATTGGATAAGAAACTTCTACATTTGTTGGATGTAAATCCGGCACAACATAATATCATTCCTGCTCATCTACATTTAAGATCAGTAGTTTTACCGTACTATTTCGGAGAGACTGTAACAATTGAGGCTCCTTTAATGCCACCTTTTGATTGGACATATAAACGACTTGATTTTAAATATTTTACGATAAAATAAATTACAGTATTTCTCGCAAATAATATATGTAGAATTACAGTACAAACAATGAACAGCATAGATATTTTTAATTTGTACCATCGAATTTGATAGATACCTACATAATTTAGCATTTTAATTTGATAAATGAAAATGATGTATTTATTATAATAATAATAATAATAATAATAATAATAATAATAATAATATTTATTAACAAAATAATATACACCATTTAGTGACTGAGTACGTATTTGCCTTTCAATATTCTTCTCATAAGGATCCTTCTACCAGCAGGAGTCGACATTCTCGCATGCCAGCCATGACGCTTAATGCGACGACGTTCGTTAGGACGTGGAAAATGATATCTCATTATCGTTCTGCTTAACGTAAGACTCCATTGATTTGTTATCGATGATGAATTGGTGAACGATGCGAGACGACTGCAAGAAAGAAAGTAAGGTTCAGATTACAGGAACTTTATTGAAATAAATGTTGGAATAAATGAATAATTACGTACGGAAGTGCTCGATAAGCACTGCAGATTAACGAGCTTAACATGTTTTGGTATTGAAACGGTTAAGGTTAAGGCGATGCTAGCGTGGAGCCCAAACTTGGAATTCCGCGTCGGTAAAACAGTCAACGTTTCATCGAAAATTAGGCCTCACAGAAACTGATTTAAGCGCCATCTCAGTTGGAAAGGTATGTACATACATACAAGATATATGGATACGACATCAGCAATGTTGTATGTATTTGTAAAACGTTCTAAATAATATAACCTTAGTCTGAGAAATATATTCGAAGAAACAAGGAGTGAAAAATCTGTTAGAAATGGATCGAATGGCAGATGTGCGTGATATATTAGATATCGAGGTGCCCACGACTAGTGAGCTTACAAAGGAATCTATTATAGGCAGTGACAAGAAGAATCGAAAAAAATATGAATATAGCAGGTCAAAGAGACCGGAGGGTATGCATCGGGAGGTGTTTGCACTGTTATGCAAGGATAATAACGATGTGCCACCGCTATTTCCGACGGACACAGCAAAAGGATACAAACAAGTCAGAGCTAAGCTTGGTATGAAAAGAGTTAGACCATGGAAGTGGACACCGTTTACTAATCCTGCAAGGACCGATGGTGCAGTGTTTCATCATTGGAGACGAGTTGCAGATGCTGGAAAAGAATATCCTTTTGCTAAATTTAATAAAAAGGTTCCTATTCCAAGTTACACCAATGCAGAATACGTTCAGCATTTGGTGACAAATGGTTGGACAAGAGCAGAAACTGATCATCTCTTTGATTTGTGTAGAAGATTTGACTTGAGATTTATCATAATCAAAGACAGATGGGATTGTACAAAATTTCCAGCAAGATCGGTAGAAGATTTGAAAGAGAGGCAAGTAATTGTTTGAAGGTTTTATATTTATTTCTACTTTTATTAATTAATTAATTAATTAAACATGTATGTGAACCTATTTAGATATTACCAAGTTGGTGCTGCTTTAACAAAGGCAAAGTCCCACACTGATAAGGTTTATGTATTTGACGCAGAACATGAAAAACGTAGGAAAGAACAGCTAAAAAAATTATTTGAGAGAACACCGGAACAAGTAGAGGAGGAACAAATGTTGTTAGCTGAATCAAGGAAAATTGAACAAAGAAAGAGGGAAAGAGATAGAAAAACACAAGATTTGCAAAAATTAATAACAGCTGCTGATCATCAAGCAGATCCAAGAAAGAATGAAAGAAAACCTACAAAGAAGAGTGGTGCTGCTGCAAGAAATAGACCTAATAAGGCTGATGCTTCTCATGTAAATAATAGTTCCCTTTGTAAAGTAGTAACTTTACTAATACTGAATTTCTGATCCGTACGATAAATTTCAGACAGTGGAATCCGCTGGAATTAAGTTTCCCGATTTCAAGAATAGCGGTGTTTCGCTACGTTCTCAGAGAATAAAGTTGCCGAGTAGTTTAGGGCAGAAGAAAATGAAGGGTATCGAACAAATGCTGAACGAATTACGATTAGGTATCTTAAACTCCTTCGATTTAATCTTTACTTTATTTTTCAGATTGATGTTATTAATCCTATTTTATTTGCAGAATTAAATCCACCGCCTACAGAGCAAATATGTCAGCAATTTAATGAGCTAAGAAGCGACATCGTATTACATTATGAACTTCGAAGCGCATTATCAACTTGCGATTACGAATTACAATCATTAAGGCATCAGTACGAAGCTCTAGCTCCTGGAAAGGTAGAAAAATTGCTTCTACTTAAGTAACTTGTAACTTATTTCTTTCATAATACTTACGTTAAATGTTTCAGACGTTAACGATACCAGCGGCACTGTTACCGAAAACAGAACCTGAAGTGAAGGCGGATATAATAGACGTGGTTGGTTCACCGAGTATGCCAACAATTACCCACTAATATTTGAAATAAATAAATTAGATCGATAAGAATTGTAAATAATTTCTCATTTCATCTATGACTTTCTGTACAATTTTTTACTTTCTATTAGACATTCATTAAAAAATAATTTAACGTTAATTGTCGTTGTCATTATGAATCGCCCCGAAAAAATTTTTCTTCCTTATTATACGTATAAATCTTGTCAGCATGGTTTTGTCGAACGAAGAGTGAAATAACTGGAACAGATTTAATTACTTATATATCTGTGTATTTTATATTGTCGACAAAAAGTAACAATGTACGGTCAAACCGTATAATTTATCTACAACAATCTACAATAGATTACAATATGTTTTGTTTTTTTTTTTTTCCTTTTATTTTATTTTATTTTATTTTGTTTATTTATTTATTTATTTATTTATTTATTTATTTATTTATTTATTTATTTATTTATTTATTTTTTTGTGGATTCGATGGAGGCAGGAGCCATAGAATAACAGGAACAGGGTTCTCGGAAGGAACAGGACAATTGGGGATTCAAAGTGTGGAGGAAAGATGGTCGATGCAGGCCTTTCTTCGTTCGTGCTCCGTTAATCGCGATACAGTTGACTCGTTTTAATTCTAAATATATATGTTAAAGTACTCGATAGCTCTAGCCGTACTTGGTACGGAATAATGCATATATGTATATCTGCTTGTTAATGATCGATAACCCACCACCGCCCGAGTTTTCCATCTACACCGTGCCGAAAGGACTCTCTCGGTGAAAGTTAAGTGTAAAGAAAAACTGGGGGCAATATTGTTCGCGGATCGTGTACCCTCTCGTCTCTTTCCGTCTCTTCCTCACTCTACATGTGAAATTCAATGTATCTAACTAAACCCTTCAAAAAAGAAGAAGAGGTCTTAGAAGTGGAATAAAGAAAACTGATTTCAGAAGCTTGAAAGAAATTCTTTCGAGAATAGCACTCTCACTCAGGAGAATGATATATTCGCTTTTAAGAATTTTTCGAATGTTATTGTCGATAAAATAATAAACGAAGAAGAATAATTGAACAACCAGTTATCATCGGTTCGTAGGAACTTCCCGCGGAGACGAGAAAAGCACGATCGTTGGAACTGGCACAGTAAACTGGTCGAATGAAAAGAGAAAAAGGGTGAACCATTAATAAAGCAATACCGCAGCTGATAAATGTTATACGTACTAATAATTAACAATAGCAATAATAATCGTATTAATAATAACAATAATAATGAATACGAACAACTTGTACAACTCCGTAACACATCTTCATCTTTTTTTGATTCATATTTCTGTTGTCCTTTAACCCCCCGCATAACGAAGGTCGGCTCAATCGGGACCCGCAGAGCTAATCAATGAGAGACGCGATGATCAGGTTGAACGTAGTGGTCTAGTTTGCATTGGTCAAAAGTAGACGAGCAGATGTAGGTAACATGTATGTACCTACAGCAATAAACAAATGTGACAGAGCTATACATATAGAAAAAGAGGTAAAGAAGTGTTGAAGGTCAGGAATGACCCGGCCACCGTCTTGCACCGGATCCGGTAATCCGAGGGTTAAACAAACACGAATACAATATCGTGCAGGGCTTATCGATTCGACAACGTTCGAGCGATCCTGCAACTGACCAGAGAATAGAATTTGTCTCGTTTTTTTTTTAATTAGTTTTAAAGTTACTTTTACTGTTTCGTTTTTTTTTTGTTTGTTTTTTGTTTGTTTTTTTTTTTTTTTTTGTTTCTTTTGCTGTTGCTTCTTATAACATGTAACATGAGAAAATCGTATCTTATTCGTTAAAGACATTCCCTACACAACACGGCTACGGTAATGCGTCATGGATATGTGCGCAAGTGCGTGTGAAGAATGAACGGAGAGAGAAAGAGAGAGAGAAAGATCGGTGAACCGGGGGTTAACAGAGAGAGGGAAAAAGAGAAATTTTACAGAGACGGTACATAATACATATGTATGTATTACTAATAAAAGAAAAGAAAAGAAAAGAAAAGAAAAGAAAAGAAAAGAAAAAAAAAAGAAGAGGAGAGGACTCAGCGGAGAGAAAGAAGGGTGGCGGATGGGATGAAAGGTTGGATTTTTTCGGATCTGTCGAAGTGTCCGCACGTACGCGCGCGTACGCACGTGCGCACATAGGCACACGTTTCAAAAGTTTTGTTTTTTATATGTATAGAGTTCTGTATATAATGCGTTAATCGTTAATGCTTTTTTTCTTTTCTGTTGCTGGTTGGTTGCTGCTTCTTTTTTTTTTTCTTTTCTTTTTTAAGTGACTAGCTTTCCTCGAGTATGTATATATTATATACACATAGGTATATGTACAATACATATATATGTGAATATATATATATACTTTGCTATTACGTAATGATATATTAACATGTATGTATGTATGTATGTATGTACGTACGCTCGACGCAACTTGCTCCTTTCTCTCCCTCTCTTTCGTACACGTTTCCTTTCTCTCCTTCTCTCACTCGTTTTCACTCACACGCGTACTTACATCAGGCGTACATCACCGATCCATACATCAGGCGTTTACAACCCTTCTCTCTCTTTTTCTTTTCTTTTCTTTCATTCGCTTCAGCTTGCCTATAATTGGTAACTCTACCTCGTATTGTATATAACTACAACGCTATGGTAGACAACAACAAGTAATATTTATCCTAAACTTGTTTCATCTGCTTTCTCTACAATCGTATTCGTATTTCGTATATGCCGTAAAAATGTTGTATATAATGATATTAATATTGTTTATAATATTTTGTTTTTATTGCACGCTGTTATAGATCGCGATGGCACCGGTCATTCAAATGAGCGTCGAGCATTATCGATTATCGCGCGAAACTACGCTGAAAAAAAAGGATATATGTATTTACTTACATATGTAAATATGTGGTAATCGATGCTGGTCGCTCGTTCGATACCGACACCTTCGCGAACTACGTTTTCTTAACATCAGCCTGTTATAATTTCATTTCTTTCATATTTTTTCACTTTTTGCAAAATTTTCACTCTGCTTTTTATTTAATTATTTATTTTTGCTTTCTTGCGTGTAATACTCGTTAAGTTTCAACTTGCACGCGATCAGCGATTTTTCTAGATATATGTATATATATATATATATATATATATATATATATATAAGCCGAATATTATCCTTCTTGCGTGAAATGTAAATAACATGGTCGTTGGTGCAGCGTTTTCGTAATTTTTCTTCCATATTTTCTGTTTCTTCGCGTTATCGGTTGAAGAAAATACCGCTCGTATCAGCTCGCATCACGACTTGAGATGATGAACGAAAAAAGCATGGTCGTCTATCGTGAAGATCGATTTGTCGTTTACATATTTCGACAGGTATCACAAAAAAGTCGTCAAATCGAACGCTTGTCGAGACCTCGTTGTGTGTTTCTCGATCAAAATTGCACACGTGCACGCTGCAATTCGTAATAAAATTCATTAATATTTATTATTTATGTGTGTTTATAATATATGTATACGTATATGTACGTACTAGGCGGGGGTGGTTTTCTTTCGAATCGCAATGTATCGACCTGATTTCTACGTCCCGGAATTTAACCCTCTCGCTGTCACGATTTTCCTGCTCTCCGTGTGTATTTCCTATTTTTCATTAATTTTTTTTTCTTTTTCTCGTTTTTATTTTATTTTATTATTTTTTTTTTTTTTTACTTTTATTTTTCGTACAATATCTTTGCTGATTTTTAACAATAGTAAAAATATGAAAGCTCGCGTCGTATCGCGCGATTTTTTAAATCCTTTCTCCAACTCCCTCGCGCTCTGAACGTATCACTTGGGCAATTTGGAACGATGTTCCGTGAACTGTGTTTAAAGTTGAACGGTGTTTGTTTCGAAATATGTATGTAGGTAATTCTATATCAATCTGTTCCGACAAAGATATTCTACGTGTTAGAAGCGAAAACAACACCCTTTCTGTTGGAGCGCAAAGGGTTGGTAGAATGATGTTTAACGAGTGCTCGATTTAACCACTAAACGAGTTAGAAAAAGTCTCGGATAAGGAATGAATGAAATCTACGATCGTCGAGCGGGGTTTAAATCGAGAATCAACGAAAGGGCTGAAATAAGGACGACAATGATAATTATATATGTATATATGTATACATGTATATTATGGATGTAAGTACCTATATGTTTGTACGCACGAGCGAAAGAAAGCGTTACCGTAATAAAACTCATCCTATCCTCGGACTCTTTTTATCCCGAATACAACGTATACAACGTTAGAACCTTTACATATTTATATGCCTTTTTATGGATACAATAGTTGTATTATTTATAATATATTTCTTCGAAGAGGTTCTCTGCGATTAACTCGTTTCTTTCTCTGTAAAATCCGGATTTTTCTTTTTCAAATACGTCGTATCCGGTACATCTCTTTTTTTATTTCTTCTACTACTGCGGCGATGGACGGGGGTAAAACCCTATGTAATGCGACGAATTTAACAACGACAATCATAAAATATATAGTATGTATATGTATGAAAAAAGAACTAGAATAAACGAGATCACACATATATGTATGTATACAGGATACTTGATAATATGTGGGTCACGCTTTAATGGTAGACGGAGGATACGAAGATAATGAAAATTGTTTCCATAAATGTGTGTTGATTTATTTTTCCATTACTTTTGAATAATGGCATTTTCTATATTTCGCGATGATCACGTAATGTCGTTGATCTCATTGAGGGTTTAGAATTTCGATAGTCTGATAACACACACGTTTACAGAAACTTATCTTATTGTTTTCGGGTCTTCCATGTACCGTTCGAGTGGGTCCCACGTGTCACGAAACAGCCTGTATGTACATATACGTAGGTATATTCATTTGTATATAGGAACGCAGACACGCGCGCGCGCATCAATGAATTCTTTATGCATATTTATTTCTTCACACGCGATCTGCATGTGTGGGAATGTGTGTGCGCATGACGCACGTGCGCGCATCTGCGATTACGCTTTCAACAACGATCGAAATCGTTCGAAATCGTTCGAAATCGGCGATTTCTCCGAATAAACAGTATATAATATATAATAATACATACTTTAATATAATCTTATTAATCATATAGAAACTTTATAACGTTCTTTTATCGTCTCTGTCTAAGGTAACCTTACGATTTAAATCTCTAATAATACCACTAATTGTAAGTAGGTAATCAGTTACTTTATATATAATCGTCAACGTCTCTTTCTCTTTGATATGTGCGTTCGCGCCTTGTCATTGCCAAGAGAATACTTTTTAAAAATTTTTCTTTATTAAGCCTTTTAAATGGAATTTCCTCTTCTTTTCATCTCTTTTTTGTCTCTCCCTAATCATCCCTCTTTTTTCACGTATATTTGTACATTCAGGCTCACACTTGTGTTGGCATTCACACTTCTTTTTCCTATCTTCTTCTTCTTCCTTTTCTTCTTCGTGGTTATTTGCCTTCGTGTCTTTCTTTTTATTAACTGGAATAGTGTTGTTAGAACCGATGGGAATACAGCGTTTGCTAACACGATCGGACCGACACACGAGGAGAATTAATTTATTAAGAAAAAGGGAAAAAAAACACGAAAAAACTGAATTAATTGACAAAGTTATATGAGATTTGTTCACCCTATCAAGAATTTCGGAACTTGTACAGAGAAATAGTAGGTAATGGTTAATTTGGGCTTCGAGTGAAATAGAGAAGGGAGAAGAATGAGAAATCAAAGGAACCGTGATAATGCGAAAAAAGTTTCGCAAAGATTTTTCCATGCTTTCTTTTAATGGATTGAAAGAAATTTTTCCAACAGCCTACGTACCTAAGTACCTAAGTACCTAAGTACATTCTCGAATGTATTCTCGATGGAAGAAGGACTTTCCTAAGGTATTATAAAGTTCAAATTACAAGCGTGATAGCACCTCGAATTTCGAACTGACTTATAGATATATCACGCCTTATCACGCGATTTCCCGTTCATCTATTTTCGTTCTAACTTCATTTATGCTTGCCTTTTTTCTTTCTCAAACACCACCATCCCATAATATAACGACTTAATTCGATTGTGAATTCTTTGCAAAAAAAGTCCGCGTTTTTCTTCTTGTTACAATATAAGAAAAATTCTTTTTTTCATTTAATCGTGTGTGGTGCTGGCCAGATCGCTTCAGCAACAAATTCTCCAATTCTTCAACCAATTTTCTACTTCAGGTCAAAGTCTGAAGTTTGGATTTCGAACTGATCGGTTGTATGCGTTGGATAAGAAATGTTTGATTAAAAACCCTTAATCGAAGTTAACACTCGTAAACCTTCTCTTTTTCGTATACGCACATACACTTCGTGTAGACCGCAAAGAAAAGGGACTTTGTTTCTCTTCTCTTCTCTTCTCTTCTCTTCTCTTCTCTTCTCTTCTCTTCTCTTCTCTTAAACTTCGGGAAGATCGTATTGTGCATCTTTCGCTACTTGCATTTCGTTATCGTTAACAGAACTATCAAGAAACGCTACGTACTATCGACTATTATTTCTCGCTAAAGATCCTTTTTCCTTTTCTCACTTGTCACATTTACACACTCGTAATATATCGTCCTGTAACAAGTTGCTACAGTCGCTCCTGTATCCATTTACAACGTTACACCTCTTTAAGTGAGAGGATTTTTTCGTATTTTCAAAAGGAATTTCTTGCTACTTGATTCGTTTCTGAATTGTGGAACTTCACTTGGAGAAGATTTACCTCCTTCGTAATGGACTTGACTTAATTTCCTTTTTTCAATGGATTCTGTGGTAGAATTGTACGATTCGTGATGCCACGCGGTTACAGCCTCAGGCGTCGCGTTCATCTGATACCAGTAGTACAAGTAGACGATAATGTAGACAGACAACTACCTATCGAAATCCTATTCACCAATGTGCTTGCCATTTGAACAAGTCATTTTATTCTTGAAGAATAAAGCAGAAAAGGTAGAATAATATAATCTAATACGAACTGTTCAATCCTGAATCTCGTTAGTTTCGATTCGAGAGTGTACAAAAGTGAGATAATGTTTGAAATAACTGCGAATCGATTCTCATTCTGTTTAACAATTTGACGGCTGTATAAATTCATGTAATTTCTGACCTTCTCTCCTATTTAAGCGAAAATATCAAGTTCTGAGAGTTGAAAATTCTTTAAATGAGATTTTTATACAACAGATAAATTATCTCATTTCAATAAGAAACGTAATTTCATTTCACTCTCAATGGAATAATCCTTGACGTTTTCATTCAAACTTTGTGTAATAGATTTTCCTTATTATTTAAGTATAAATGTATACAAACCAACCGTCAGAATGTTAACTTTCCATTTCATTTATTAACGATTCATTAACGATTCATTAACGATTTCATTCTCGACAAATTGCCTTTTTGTGCCATGTAACTATTTTAACCTTTTATATACTCTTTCTTATTTATTTATCTTTTTTTTTTAACTGTTTTTCTTCTTTAATAAAAAGCTAGGCCGCTGTTAGGCGTTCAGGCGGTACCAGCCTCTTGTCGAACAACACTTACAACTCTACAACGTTTTCTTCTCATCCTCGTGTTCTTAAATTTAGTCGATATCACGTAACAGCTATCGTTATATCTACGCGCTTTGAACTTGAAACATTCTATACAACAAAGAATTGATCAACGTGAATTAAAAATTTTCCCTCTTTAACACACTTTTTGCCTCCATATATCTCTCTTTGCTCTCTCTCTCTCTCTCTCTCTCTATCTCTATCCCCCCATACTCTCTATTTCTTCTTACGATAATAATTATGTTCAACGTCGTCTAAAAGTAATCACCATAGCGTGTTTATAGGTGAAAACTCGTAAGAATCGTCAGTTAAAAACAAGTGGAAACGAGGATGGTTTAGGTTAACAAACTGGGTGAAATTAGGATCGGTCGAAAGATAAGAAGATAGTAGAAAATATTAATTCACCGATAACGTTTTAATAGGAAGGGATTCGAATCGTCGCTTCCGTTTCCAAGCACAAGCCACGGAGCAGCTCTGGTAATCGTGAAACTCGTTTTCGCGCAGGAAAACACGACCTCTTGACGATCGATGCGATGCGAGGCGAGGCGAGGCGAGGCGAGGCAAGCCGCGACCTTTATTTTCCAACAAAAATATATTCGCCATTAACGTTAGCCACCCTTCTGAACGTGGTTCATTGAAACCTAATAGATTTGTTATTTCAGATCTATCAAAAAATGAGATTTACTACTCAAAGTGTTAAAGAGACATCGTTCAAAGTGTCCGAAACCTTTCGAAAGGAATAGCCCTTTTCGGGATAGCCCGAGAAACGAATAGTCGAATAACAGAGCTTGTCCAGAGGATAATTTCGCGATCACGATAGAGTAAAGTGGCTAAGATTCGAGAGAGAGAAATCAGCGAGCGGTCAGGCCGGCGTCCATCGTCGTAAACGAGAATAATCGTCTGTCGGTCGGTTTCGATGGAATCGTGCCAAGGTATCGTCGATCATGATTGCCATGAAGAAGAACAAGACCATTTTCCTTACATTTCACGTAGCAAGTAGTAAAAAGTATCTGTTGGCAGTTCGAGCGCGATGCCGCGAAGAAAAAAACGGGGAAAAAAATATTCGACGACGAATTCGTTGCCCTTGTACATATTTTTTTCGATCGCATATCGATTCTGACGAAGATCGTAAAGACCGGAAATAGTATCATCGGCGTCTACTATTTGTCTACCAATCTCTTAAGATAAATATCGTAGAAGAAGAAGAAGAAGAAGAAGAAGAAGAAGAAGAAGAAGAAGAGGTAAAAGGGAGAAGAAAGTCGAATTGGTAGCAGCAAGAAAGATTTTACGTTATATAAAGTGGATGTAATTCCGATCGTTGGCACGATTGGCCGACACACTCGCTGCGTCTAAATATTTTCACCGACACCCGTTTTCTTCATTCTGTTAATTCTTAAACGAGATGAGTATTTTGTTTCAGGTATTTCAAGGTTTTCTATAATATATTGTATTTACATACGTATCTAGAACGAAAAAACGCCGTGGTAAACGCTGACCTCATTGTCAGCTATGCATCAGTTTTCTTTTTCTTTTTCTTTTTCTTTTTCTTTTCTTGTATAACCATGAAATATAGAATCGGCGACGGATAAAAGGGTTAACGAGGGTTTCTTATAGGGGACGACGAGGTAGGGGGATGGGTGCATCAACAGTTTTCGATAGTTAATCTCGGGAAGGCTGTTGTTGTCGTTTCTTCCTCTTCGATATGCGGCGCTCGAGGAAGATTATTTCATTTCTTTCTCTTCGTCGCGTCGGCTGAAATAAACTTTGCCGACGACGATGATAATGACACGATGACGAGACCCGTAAAATGCGCGTATATACCCTTTCTTCTTTGGACCTCTTCTTGTTCATTCGACATCTCGTCGTTGTTGTTGTTGTTGTTGCTGTTGCTGGCGGTGGTTCCTAGACCGGACAGACGAGGATCTCGTACTCGAACATCAACGAGACGGCGACAAAGACAAAGTAGAGAAGGAACATCGTGAAACCGAGGCCCTTGTTCATCCGCCATTTGAAACAGGCTATGCTCAGGATCACGAATAGCAGCATACAAAAGAGGATCGCTATGCTGCACACCATACCCACCGAGTTCACCTCGACGGGTCTTCCGTAGATCAGGCCGTACAATAGCCATGGTACCGGAAGCCTGTTAACAAAAATAGTACGGAATTTTCACGATTGCGATCAAAATGTATTACAGATATAATCCAAAAAAGTCTCGAATAACGAGGCTAAGATATCACGAGGAGAGAATTTTTCTCGATGAGAACTCGTGACCTCCTTAACTTTTTACCTTTATAATTGTAAGATATCACGATTTCTACAATTCGATTGGAAGAAATTTCGAAATATGTACACGTTTACACGTTTTATTGCTTTTCTTTTTTTCTTATCCCATCCTCTGTCAATTTCCTTCCACTTCCATAAAAGACAGATATTAAAGGAAAAGTAGGACAAGAGTGAGGCTGGCGCATCCGGTAGAGCCAGAAACTACTCGTATATATGTATAATATATACATACATATGTATGATACTTTACGGTGAACCTTTGGACATTATTTTCTTCTCCGACTTGTTCTAATCGTAATCTTTGAGGTGCGCAATCGATATCGGCAGCTCAGAGAAATTTCGAGAGGGATGCGAACGTTTCGCTGCTGTCTATTTTCGGGCAATTTGCCAGCTGGCAACCGGACAACGGATGCGTGCAACCGAATCGATTCAACTTGGTTACGCGTTAAATCACACGTTATTCTTTTTTTCCTCAAATTGTATTATTTTATTTATAATTCCAAGTATGTATGTACCTACTTCTGTCGGTCACGAGTTAGCATCGTGCCTCTTTCAGCTGATATTTCTTCGAGAGAAGAGGGAAAAAAAGAAAGAAAGAAAGCTGCAAGTAGCGGGAACACGGTAGATGCTGCGAACCAAGTCGTTGGAAGCAATTAGGCTAATTGAGTTAATTAATTTAACCGGCTTGGCGGTCGAGGCGTCGATAAATTGTGCTGAATAAGAGGTTCGTTCAAAAGTGGAACGATTACCAGCATCATCTACATACATATACATGTATAAATGATATTCGATGCTTAAGATCATTAAATAACTGGTTAAACGAGACAATAAAATTAACAGAGAAATGAACGAGGATTTTTTTTTTTATAGTATTAACAATAAAGTCGAGATTCTGAGAGAATGAGAAAAGTTTTGTGTAAAACTTGAATTGGTTAAACGTTGAAGAATGGAAATCGAATTTTTCAAAGCATTTCAGACACTTGGATAGTTGATCCAGTTGTGTAAGAAAATCTGAATCAACCACCAGCTTAGTATCTCTATCATCCAATTAAATGGATTGTCCTCGTGTACACGTTTCCGATATTTCCAATAACGATCGGCTGCTACCTACCAATCTGTCAGAAGAAACGTTTCTTTATAACTTCTTTCAACAAGTAATGAAACAACTTCCTTTCATCTCTTTCTTTCTATATCGCTAACTATATCGCTAACTATATCGCTAACTATATCGGTTTATTCGACATACGAACAAGCGTCAAGTGCAAGTGGTCATGTGCTTACCCAACGGTCACGTCAAAAATATTACTACCGACGGAGCTCGACACGGCCATGTCGCCGAATCCTTTTCGCGCGACGATCACGCTGCTGATCAGGTCTGGAATACTGGTGCCGGCGGCAAGCAGTGTCAGCCCCATCACTTCCGGTGGTATGCGAATAGTGTCGCCGGCCACGTTCGCCCACCAGACCATCAGGTACGAGTATGCCGCGATCCAGAGGATCGACCCGAGGAACGTCACCGCGAACAACTTCTTCCCTGAAATAAATAAAGAGATAACAAACTCATTAGTGAAATTTAATAGACGTTGGGACGAGATGTCTTTATGGTCGCGATAATGAAACTGAATTTTCGGTTCACTATCATCGATGGCATGTATTGAAACGGAGAGAGAGGTCGTGGAGCAATTTTCTGTAACAATGAAAAGCGAACAACAGTTGCTCGGAACGGGGCTGTGTGAATGGCTGCACAACCCGACAATCAGTCGTCGATTCGAAATTACCGTGTCAATATCATCTTTCGTCGTGGCCATTGTGTCCCGGTGAAATACCATCACCGTTAATAGCTGAAATACCAACGCGTCGTTCTAGATCGATGATGAAGAACGAGGAAATTTTTTAATATCTCGTACCGGAGATTAGAAGGTAGAAATAATTGAATAATTAATTGGTGAAAAATCAGAGTTTCAATATTATTGAACCATGGTTATAGGTACCATCGAACGAACGGTGCTATTAAACCACGGACAGAAATATCCGGTTCCGACACTACGAAATAAAATCTAATCCTTGTGAAATAGTTAAAAATTAGCAAAATGAAAGGACCGACGTTTGATTAACTAATTCTAATTTCGGTAAATTATCAAAAAGGGTAAAATATCAAAGTGACTTTGTTTTAACCATGCAAAAAAAAAAAGAAATATGTCAGTTACCTCTGGGTGTCCTCGTGTCCGGCAACGTGAGCCACAAAGGGAACAAAATTGGCGCTAATACAATGTACGATAATCTCTTTCTGGGACTGCTGGGCCAGCCCATGTCCAACGCTTCTGGAGCATCATCTTCCTCTCCCTGAAACACAAACACATTTTATTTCACTTAACAAGAATTCATTCACATTTTCTATTGCATACATCCCGCCGTTTCTAATTCCAATTAACGGTTTCTATCTTTCATCCGTTCGTATGCTCTATGTATTCGCTCTTTTTGGAATTAAAAAACCGATCCGAAATTTCATCATCCACGATACAATTGATCCGGGTTAGATATTGTTACGAAATACAATAAACCTTAGACCAGAGACATCGTGTCTCTGAGAAACCTTTATTCATCTTTGGCTGCAATCGTTCCATCAGGGGTACATAATTGTAATTCCCGACGCAAATTCCCATTACCGTTAACGAATTACCGATACAGAATTCTGTAACCGCGAGTCTCGAGTTGTTCTACAAACAGAGTCGGCCTTGAAATTCAGATTTAGATGTGCCAAAATATACGGAACTTGGAACAATCGCAGCCGGCGACTTTTACTTTGGTTATTCGTAGGGTAAAAAAAGAGGGATCGAAATAGGCAATGTGGAACGTGTAGCGACGCCGGGTTGTAGCCAGAATTGACCCAGATTCGTGGTGCATTCAAAATGAAAAGAGGGCTTCTCACTCATTTAGGACAAAGAGGTTCGAGAATCAGCCTCCCTTGCGGATCCGCGCGCGTGCACGTTTCAGCCGACAGCTAATATCGATGAAAAAGCTCGCGCCACCAATTTTTCAGTCGTGTCAGAGAAAAGAAGAAATCCGATTTCGCGTTTCCAGATTTAACATTTAAAGTGGTATTTCTTTTTTCTTTTTTCTTTTTTCTTTTTTCAAACTAGAAACCGATAGATTTATAAATTTTACGAACCGTTACTTCCGGAGTGAGTTTCAACGATGGACAAAGAGGAGCAAGGAAGATATTAAGCTGAAAGCACCGAGAACCAGCACGCGAAGGCTGATTGTTCTAGATTCTAGAGAAAGCTACTTTTAGCCAATTCCCTTATTTTCGGCTCCGTGTCCTTCCCTCTACGATTCCATTGTCATACATATTACCTATAATATAATACATTTGATAGTGAAATAAATGACTAAGGAAGCATTTGCAAACCTCCGTTGTTACCAATCGTTCACGATGAGATAATTCCAGACCGGTTAGGCTGGAAAATAAGCATTTTTCTTATCGCCACCCTGCCCCGCGATCTATCTCTGTCCGCGAACTAACAGACTTGAATTTCAGATAGGATGATATCGTTGGTTAGATCATCGACCTTATCTGAACCACTGAGTCTGATAGATAGTCTTACTAATGTTTGGTGAATTGGTGAAAAATTCATTTTATACTAATTTCAGTTGAATATCGTTACGCTCATTAGCGGAAATTAGAATTTAGAAGGTAGGTGTAAAAAGCATTTTCATTACTTTTAGCGTGGCAAGTCGAATCAGTTGGACGTTGAAATTCGGACCAGTTGTTTGGGGCCGATCGATAGACGATAATTGACCTGCTCGTCGAATCTGGACAGCACCGAATGCAGTTATTTTATCGTTCGCTTGTGGAAAAACCGGATCAGGAAGGACGAAAAATAGGCTGAGAAACTACATAAAGGAATTGAAAGGTTCCAGATTCGAAAAGGGTTCGAGTTTAAACCGAAATTGTTTGCGTGGAAATGAAATTCGAAATGAAATATTTTCTAGTCTGCAATCGATTAGGAATGTGGCTAGTATCGGCTAGGAGGTACCGCGTCGACATTTAAGCGAAACGTTTAACATTTTCGAAAAATGTATGGAAATGTATGGCCTTTGATCAGAAATTTCTAGATAAACTCGAATTTCCCAATTACCGATTCGAGGCCCGCGTCGAGGCCAGCGGCTATACCACCGTTCGGAAGTTCCTGGATGCCAACGGTGGTGCCGGCAGTGGTGGTGGTCGTTGTGGTGGTGGTGGTGGTGCCCTGGGAACCTTGCTGCAGCTGCAGCGTCGTCTCTTTCGAACAAGTCCCGGAATAATGAGCGGCGGTCGACGTCGCGGCGCCATTGTGCGGCCTGGTCGCATCCAATAGCACCTTCAGCGACGCTATCGCGTGCAGTTGCGTCGCTTTCTCGTCCACTTTGCCTGAACAACACCAGAGATGCAGATTAATCAGGAAAAGACTCTCTTTTATTATAGTTTAATCAACTTCCTACCCTTACCAGTCACAGGCGTCGATTTTTACATCTAAACTTCATTTACTACTTCAGAAGGTAAATCAACACGTTCTTCAACGTAAATCGAGGAAAGAGGAAAGAAATGAAAACTCGACGCTAGTGATAGTTGTCTCTATATCCAGCACAAGTGCAACTGGCAAGCAGAAAGAATAAAAAAATAAAAAAATAAAAAAATAAAACTTTCAATCGCTTCAATAAATAAATTTACCTGGCTACAAGTAAAGCTCGTACTACGAAATAATTATGAGCAAGCGTTTATTCGCTGCGCTACGTTCTACTTGGTAATAGTTACCATTTTTTCTCTCCATTTTCACCAACCTACAAATACCTTTACCCTTTCTCTATTTCCCCATCTTTCTATCTGGAGATTTATTGACTGAAAAAAGATTGAGAAAAGTAATCGCGAGCGTAATGGGTTTAACACGACACGCGTGATCGTCGCGTCGTCGGCCAATTGGATTATCAGAGTCGAATGGTATTCTAGACGAGTAAATCGCTCGGCACAAATCGTGTTTAAGAAAATTGCACTGAATAGATTCTGAAGCTTGAACGATATCCGTTTACCGTGGTTGACAGGCTTTTGCGTTTACAGCCAGCAACATATGGATTGTAAAAGATCCACTTTCGACACTCTCAATACTTTGAAATAAACGCGAATCGATTATTTCAAGCGCAAGAAGAAAACGAATCCAGCTTTTACCTTTCCAAGTATTTCCTGTTCTTGTCGTATATAATAATCGTAGGTACTTATTATATTATATTATATTATATTATATTATAGTATAACTGTGTTAACATATGTATGAGAATGAGTTCTTGAAGAGTAATATATTTATCATGCCCGGTAAGTCTACTTTGGAGCCACGAAACAGCTGTAAGAAAGACACTCGAAATTCGTTCGTTACCGCAACTCGTTGCAACTTGCACCGATCCTGCGCTTCTTCGTGCGATACTAGGTCAAAGAGGAAACTCGAGATGGCTCGGGAAAGAATGGTGCAAGAAGAACACTGAAAGTCCGGACACGATATGAAAGTATCTGTCTAGCCGGAGGCTACCTCATTTGCTATTTATCTCGTTTCTCTCCTTCCTTTTTCTTTTCCTTTTCCTTTTCCTTTTCCTTTTCCTTTTCCTTTTTTATATGTATGTATACGCGTCGAATAGGAATACCAGCACTCTGAGTTTCTTTTTTTAACGTACATCATTAGCCGTGTTTATCGATTGACCCGCCGCGCCGCCCACGGCACGCTCCTAAAAAAGCTCTTTATTTAACGCGTAGGTACTTGTAAATATTTCAACATATCACGGTACTCGTTGCCCCGAGTATATGTATATTTGCCTTAACTTGCGGTAACAAGTTCAGATCATTTTGGAAAAGGAATGTTTATTTATTTCTCTCTGTCGAGAAAGACTTATGCGTATAGGAGTTAAAACAAAGGAAGAAAAGATAATTTGACGATTAGCTTGGACCGATAACACTAGGTCAAATAGAAAGAGCCACTGGTGAGTGGCCTTCGTAAGAAAGAAAGAAAGAAAAAAAGGCGAACAGCCGAGGGCAAAAAGTCGGACCGCGATGAAAGTATCGACCTTTTAAGCTGCTTCGAGCTAGATGGAAAGTCGTAAGGGAGAAACGTGCGAAATGGAAGAGGCTCGACGAGAGAAATAGAAGGAGAGATGTAGAGGGACTATCGTGTTTTAAGCTGTTAAGCTTCACTAATTCTTATTCTTTGCATTTTACCACCCTTTTCCGTTGCCAAGTTTCTCGTCTATTGGGGAAAAATAGGTGAAAGGATATAACGAGAAAAGAAGAGCATGACCTCGATTAACACATTGTTGTAGATTGCAATTTAATGATGGGCAAAATTCTGTTGCAACTTTAACCTACGAACATTACCTTGAATATACCCACTCGCCCTCTAAATTGAAAACCATTTCTTCCTCAACATCTTTGTACAGTAGAAAAAATCGAAGAGGGGCAGAGGATGCGATTCGAGCGGATCAAGTAGAATGAGTCCATGTTGCTCAGCCCAAGTGGCTGTCACCTATTAACCTACAAAACGCCATCAACTTAGCTTTGCTCAGCGGACAATTTTCACGAACTTTCACGAACAATTAAATCCTACTACCTTATGGCTCTACCAATGGAATAGAAATCGAATCGATGACGATCGGCCGAGAAAGAAAATCAGTGAAACAGCTTTTGTAGAATATAATACTATAAACGGTAAAGCGTTAAGAAGCAAGATATAGATCATATAGATCAAGATATAGAGCAATAAAAACTCTCTCGTTAACCCTTTAGCTATGAATAAACGTTTGTACAGGATTCAAAATTATTTCAAACTTTTAAACCTTTAAACCTTTAAACCTTTTTTTTAGATATTGTAAACACGAAATTACTAGACAAGTTTGATTAAACGAACTCAACTGTTTGACGAATAAAACGTATTAAATGAATGGAGGGTTCGGCTCGAAAAATCGCGTAACAACGGATGTTAAACCAGAGGGTCGAAGATGAGAAGAGGGGAAGGTGTGAGATCGATATCGTTTACTCGAACCCATTTCGACGCTATCGGATTCCAACGACGCGAGGGTCTTGCGTGTAAACGATTAGACGCGAGTGCTAGGTAATTCTGATGCAAAACCCGACGTGATTGATGATTCGCACTTGCCACCGAACTGCTCGTCGACCGAAGGTCATCTAGTTCACCGTGTTTCTTGATGATTTTTCCGATTCAATTTTTAGTTACGCCTAATTGCTTCGACACCGTTTATTAAACGCTCTCATATTATTTTTCTTTTCTTTTACCTTTTCTTTTACACAATTTCAATTCGTCATCCAAATTATTTGCTCGTGATTGCTTCATTCCTTTGGGGATGATATCAACAAATTGAGCCGCCTTCTTTTAATGCTCCTCTAGTCTTTGAACGCGAAGAAAAGTGTCTCCGGTGGTTAACGTGCTCGTTCGTATCGTTATTCAATTCTCGTCGCCTAGTTTGCACCTTTCTTCGTTCTATTTACAGAAGAACGCTGAAAGTTTGCCCTAAATGTCAGCCTTCATTCTCAACTTTCCATCCCCTTCTTGTTCTTCGCGTTCTCTCTCATTAAAAAGGAAAATTCGAAAGGAGACAACCGCCTGGCGAACTTTCACTACCTCCTTCATTAATTGATTCGATGACCTGTCATTTAACCTTTAGATCACAAATATGTTCGAGAGCGGACACATCAGATCAGGACAATTGGATTTTAGTATCCAATAACTTTCTTGACACTCTTCTCAGGGTGTTTCCTGAGGAAATACTTACAAGTTTTTATAGTATCCTCGAAAAACAGCTTAAACACTTTGGTGAACGAAGAAAGACATAGACCAGAGTGAGGACTATTAACCCCGAAAGTCTAATGGCGTAAAAAATAGCCATATCGTCGCAAGGTGATGTCTCGATGACGTTAAAGGCACGGAGTTAAAGAGTTCGGGAAAAGTAAGAGAAAAGGAAGGAAGGAAGGAAGGAAGGAAGGAAGGAAGGAAGGAAGGAAGGAAGGAAGGCGAGCCCCGACGAGCGTGGTGGATTCGCTTGGTTACGATCGATAGCCGACATTTTCTAGGTCAGGGTCTCGATACACGTTTGCCACTCACCATCGTTCCTCGTGGATGTGTGCTTGAAAACGCGTTCCGGCAAGACTCTTCTCCGATCGAGCCAACATAACAGTCCAACGTTTTTTGTTTTTAACTTCGTCGAGCGACTGGGAAAAATGCGAACAAGAGAAATAGACGGTTGTTAGAAAAAAAAAAAAAAAAGTTTCTCGTTTCTGGATGAAACGATCGAGTTGTGGCACACAAACAAGACCGGTACACGCTTAAAAACACAGTCGTGTTGGGAGGATATCGAACGGAAATCACGTATTGAACCGATTCCCACGCAATCCGAGATTAATGATGTTCTCTCGTTGACCGAGAGAGCGAACGAGAAAGAAGAAAAGGAGAAGATATACGTATAGCCCCACCGATCGATTGGAGGATTTCAAACGAGAATCTGGATCAAATTGTCGCGTCGCGGTGACTTATTGCTTAAATTATGTATATTCGATAGTAGAACGTAACGATTCTAATAACGATTCTTTCCTCCCTTATTAATAAATTTATCCGTGACGAAGGTTAAGGCTAGAATGGAAAAAAAAGTTGTCCAACTGATAATAACCGGCCTTTTCTTTTCATTCTCGCGTGTGACCTGACCCATTTATATAACCGACTAGACTCCGGTACGCGTACGTGCACAGGTCGAAAATCAATTTCAACGTCGAGATTATCCGGTTACCTTTTGGATTAAGATTCCTATCGATCACGCCAGCCGCGATCCGCTCGTGTTTCCTTCGTAAGTTTAACAAACGCTTTCTTTCTCTCTTCGACTGACACTGGTAGAAATTTTCTCGGCCGTGAAACGATCGAAAACTCACGCGATTCTCCTTTACGAAGGACTAATCCTTTACCCTACGGACTACGGACCTACGACCTACGGCCTATGGGCACATTTCACGATTCGAATCCAAACTAACACTCGTCCTGCTTCATTTCGGACAAACTCATCTACGAATCAAACTTGCAACTCTTAATATCGTTGTTAACATTTGTAACGATAAAAGAAGAGTAATTACCATCATAATCCATTTTTGTTGGTATCAAGAAAAAAAAAAAAAAGAAGAAATGGTGCAATTATTGGAACAATAGGAGGAAGGTTATCGTTTATCGAGCTGATCTTTCGTTATTACACGTCCGGTGACAAACATCAACTTTGCAGAGGTCGCTTAGCCATGTATAAAAAATAATATCCCGGATTGGATTCTTTCATTGCGATCAGCATAGTACATGGACGTGGACATATAAATACATAAAGAACCAGAGGCGTCAGTGAAACGAGCGCCGCAATATGTACCTATTCACAATTTATTCACCAGTCAGTGTCGAATCGTATCGTTGGCTGTTTAATCTGTTGACCCCATCGCTGCTAGTCGATACACTAAGCGCGTTTCTGTACTACAAGTCTCGTTTTGCTATCTCAAGGACGCGTGGTTTCTTCGGTCGCTAATGAGGTTACAGATAGATAGCCAAGAATCTTCTTTACTTGGTTCTCTCCAAGTAAACGTTTCTTACGTTTTCCAGGCTGAAACTCGAGATTATGACATGAATCTTTTCTTCTTTAGAACGAATATCGTTCTACTGATTTTCACTATTTTTTCACTATAGGCCTCCTCAATTCAGGTACTTGATTACTTGGTAGGTAGAAAGCGAAAGATATACAGTTATCGATCATGCAACTAACCAATACAGTTGGACGAAAAATGCAAGTGCCACCATCTTTTTTAGAAGCTCGTTTACATAAATCAATCTATTCGATGGAAAATTCTTATAAGATTAAACAACTTTTTATCACTTTAGAAACAGATCTTTACCTATTTTCGACTAACTTTAGTTAGTTAATCCAAGTTTGTTTGAAAAATTTGTCTACTCTGGAATTGTCTACTTGTAAAATGGTAAGTACGTTACTGAAACGTTACTCTCGCTTCTTGGGGAAGGGAACATTTTCCGATACGTTTCATCGTATTGGGTTAAGAGTTTCTGGCTTGACCTGCCTGTCGATAGAGCCCCTGAAACTCTTGATAAATATTCGCACGACTCTACATTTAAAAGCATTTTTGTCTGACAAAGTTTGCTGGTTCGTCATAGAAAGGGTTAATGCCAACTGAACTATGCAGGTACTTGTAGTGAAAATATCAAACGTTAAGCTACTGAATCGACGCGATGGCACGTCGAATTCGTTTTCAAATATTTATATAGTGGATCATTCCATAAGTAGAAATGTAATTTCTATCGTCCAGATTGATCCAGTTGCACGTATTTCACAAGTATTATATCGAAAAAAAAAGGAAAAGGAAAAGGAAAAGGAAAAGGAAAAGGAAAAGGAAGTTAACGTTTAAGATTAAACTACCAGCTAAGAGCGTGCTGATCAGCGCTAAAGGCAAAGCAGCAAGCGAGAGTGATAGAGTGTGGAGTTGGTATACCGGCGCGGGACTGACCGTCGTGGAGCGGATCGATTGTGTGGATCATAAGCTGTAACAGGCCGTGCCTGAACTTGGCGTGGCTCTCCCTGGAATGAGACGAGGGACCACCACCGTGGCCTCCCTGGTCGCAGCCCTGTCCGGCCGTGCCACCGGCAGCACCACTGCTGCTGCCACCCCTGCTGCTGCACCCGGCTTCTCCGCTCACCGGTATGCCGCTGTTTCCGCATGCACCCGACACGCCACCCACGCTCGTCTCGCTACTGTTCGTCGCGTTCGGATGCTGCTGGAACACACACGTCATTTCGTCTCTCAATATTAAACTTCTCCATTCTCATTTTCATTTATCGTTACACATCTATCTACAATTTTCTTTCACTTTCACTTTCACTTTCACTTCCTTTTTCTACATTTTTCATCTACGATTAATATTCTACCTATATCATGGTAAGATAATGTAAGGTAAGGTTCAAACCCGCAGAGGTAAACATCTACTACATAGCTACTACATATTACGATGTACAAGTCTTAAACAGAGTCAAGTATGGTAGGCAATCAATCGATGGTCAAATACAGTAACAGTAACGGTAACGGTAACAGATTGTGTGTAAAGTACTTAAGTTCCTTGGCTGACAAAGACGATGATAATAATAATAATAATAATGAAACCAAGATTTGTTTAGATGACAGTGTAGTAGGTAACGATTTTGGTCTGCTGGCTAGATATTGTACATACTGTACAGAGTACTTATCTATAACTTTATTATTCCTTCCTTTGGGACTCAAGAAGAAAGAAGCTCGCTCCGTGAATGAGCTGTTTTACCACCATTGTTTCGGTACAAGAGAATATCAATTTTAATAAAAAATACCTTGAAATAGAGGAGAATCAAATTGAAAGAGTGGAAAATCTTTTTACCTAATGATTCAGAGCGGAAACTTTCTAAAGAACGAGAAAAATACGGATGATACACGAGGCGAAAATGACGTAAGAACAGAGTCAGATTGGATTTCTTTGTCGTGTGGTACGAGTACCTACCTATGTATACCTAGGTATACATATATAATAGAATATTTTGTTGGGTTGCTCGATGCTAAATAAAGTAGGAGTGACAACGAGTAGTGCGACGCGTTGACGCGGTAAAAAGTAATTTCGGCTGGAAGAAAAATACCCGGTAGACTACATAATAGGCGGTCGTTGAAAAGCTTCGCTCGTATGAATGCGAAATTCGGCGAGGAAATAGCAATGGTACCTACATATGTATACCGTTTCTTACGAGTTACGAATTTCCCTCAAGGTCTTCTTCCCCATTGTTCGCCGCCAACTGAATTTCATACATTCAATTATAGATGGAAAGTAATCATTTTTTCAACTCTCTACCCATTGGTTTCTTATAGAAAATCAATTCAACTCAAACAAGTTCTTTACGATTGCACAAGAGATGAATATGAAACAACCAGACCTAATACAACTGAAAGAACGGTACTGAATCAACATCTTACAAAGTTAGACACAACAAAGTTAGGCATAATCATTTTATTAGTGAGGAAAACTAATAATAAAAAAGAGAATTCTATCTAATATTTGTCAGAGTAGTGAAAGCGCTGTACCTTTAGCGCTGTGGCCTTCTTTCATCTCCTCTGTTTTAAATTCTGTTCGATCAGAGACGTCTTTCGATTTCCGCTGACTGTTCCTGTGACAGTCGGTATTTACTCCGGCTGTTGAAAATTCTACGAGTTCGAGCAGGAACAGGTTAAAGGATCTCGAGTGGAACAGTGGGTCGAGTGGTGGATTCGCTCTATCCGAACGGCACGAACTTTCAGGGATCGTTGCCAAAAATTGGCAAAAGTTTCCACAACCCACTGACAATGAGACGTGCATATTTCCACGTCTGCGGAATTCTAGTAAAGCTAAACCAGCAGAAAACTCAGAAAACCACCCTACCGGTCCAGATAGAGATCTCTCTGTTTAGCTAACAATAAGAGGATTTAAGATATTTAACGTATCAACCGTCTGACATTCCAATGATAAACGAAGAAAAAGCAGAAATTTCTTAATAGATTCGTTTTCAAAGCTTTCAAATAAATAACAAATCATTATTATACATATAGTAATACAATGGACTTTCACAGCAAAACGGTTAAAAAGAGTTAAGCCATATCTGTATTTTTCACGAGATTTTGATTTTCACCGGGAAAAAACAGTCACCGACCTTTGTCCTTATCATTTTATTTTATCGAATTTGTTACATCGCATCGGTCGGAGAATCCCACGGGAAGAGATTTCAGCCTGGAAATTCTGCTTTACTCTGGTAAATTCCGATTGATATTACATTTTCTCGTGAAAATATTGTTATATCATTATCTATTGTACATATACAATAGTATAACATAGCTAGAGTAGAATGAAAAAATATGCGTGTGAAGAAGAGCGAAAAAATTGTCAAGAAACAGAGAATCGAAGCTTAATAAATAGAGGGGAATAATATTCGACAGGCGTATCGTGACGGGTTGCACCCTTTAAAACGGATACTATATTACATAACGAAAATGGGCGTGGCCATTTATTTCGTCGATCCCTTTTTCAGCACGAAATTGACAATAACGTTAAGCAAAGTGCACGAAAAGTAACCTCCTCCTTCTCTACTACCCCCCACCGTGCGTGTTTCGCCTTTTCAATTTGAAATTTCTCAACGAACACAAGGCTTTCTCGTAGCTGGTATCTTTTCAAAAATGTTAATATATTATCAAGTTTATGAAAAGAAAAATCGAATTCTAATAAGACGCGATTAAACTTGGACATTTCCCAAGCTAGCATCGAACTGAATCGAAAGCTAGTCTCCACGAACAATTGTAAACTTTATACATAAATCGGATCGCGTCGTTGTTGGTCAACTTATTAATACATGCATGCAGTAATAAAATAACGATCGTAAACCAGATCGACGATGTTGAGAGGTTCAATTTCCTTTCCTGTTTAAATCTGTTTTATGGATTTCAACGACGTTATTTTAGTCGTTAAGCGAAATGCAACTCACGAGGGCATTCTGAAAGCTTACGAGATAAGCAAGTGTAGCTGTTCCGGATGTCCCTCTGGAGGAGAGTGCAGGAAATATGGCCACACAATGTCTTCGAAAGTTTAACCCACATATTCCGGGTGTAAACGTCATTCGCTCAGTTTTACGACATTTCCAAGCGTGTTCGTGCTACCGGCATATATCCGCGCTCACGTGTCCTGCAAACGTCAGGTAACAGAAGCCCTGACCTTACCCTAGATTCGCGCGGGTGAAAAAGAGAAAGAAAAAGAAAGAAAACTGTAAGCTCGTGCGCGGCGGAAGAAAAGAATAACGAAGAAGGGTGGTCGACAAATGAGTCGGGACCAGCTTCAGCGAGGTCTCTGCACAATTAACACCGTACGTGTGTGCTAGAGACTCGACGCGACGAGATAAGAGGGACACGCGTTCAAGAGCGAATAATGATTTTATTTCATTTCATTTCATTTTTATGTCTACATATACGTATACGAAAAGATGAAAAAAGAATCGATCAACAGATTTCGCTCTGAAATGGTTCTCGGATATTTGTCATATTTGACGAAGCACATTTAACAAGAAACAAGACATCGGTGTACCTGTTATCGGTAAGAGCATTACAATTAATTATATTCAACCATTGGTAGGGACAAGGAGGTGTCAAGTGATAGAAATATCTTCTGGTTTCTAGACTTTTTTCCGGGGACAGAGATGGAAATACAGTTTTTGGTGTGTAAACTACTAAGTTGTTGTTGAGCAGTATCTCATGGCAAATACCTGTTCTTCTATTACATACAAAATGGTGTTGCACTGTCGATAACCACGTGACAATCAAGAATGACAATTAAAAGAATGTCACCAGCTCCAGCAAACAAAGTATGTAGTTATTCTCGTTCTTCAACAGAGGCACACGTATGTACTGTACATATATCTTTTTTTTTCTTCTCTTTTCACGTGCAACCTGGTAACAGCAGAGCAGCATTGAACGAAAGCGTAGGCGTTTATCGTTGCTGGCAATATTTCAAGAGTGCAGAGCTAGGGAAACGCAGCGAGTAGGCCAAGTGAGCTCGAACTCGCTTCTTCGTCTCGCATTTGAACAATGATGCTCAGGCGCGGCGGTACTCGATTGTCGCCGACATCTTTTGCTGCAACTCACCAAGGACGCGACGTCGCTTTGGTTCGAATAAAACAAACTTTTTCAGCCGCGTGCCTTGTCCAACACTGGATAAAATTGACAATTGGTCTTCTTCAACGTTTCAAAAATTGTAACTTGTGTTATTTATGCAGTCGATTTAATCGAGCCAATCAGTTCTTCAGACCTTTCATTGTCAGTTGGATGTCGATAAAGAAGGGTCGATCAAGCTCGCAATACGACCAGTTCGAAAAGCAGCGGGTAAACTTGAAAAATAAACGAGTTTCACTGCGTGCTACTGACAGATAGTCACCTATCTCCACGATGCTTTCTTTCCAACTTTAGATTGACGTAATTGCAGGAATGTTTCAAATATTTCAGCGTCGATGGTAAATGAGCCGAAGTAAACTTTAACAGGAAATCGATTGTAACGTAGCAAAACTCTTTTACTATTTGATTCAACCACGCGTTGGTTCTCAATGAAATTGTTCAGAGGAGAAAACCGGATGTGTTGTCTACAGGACGTCAGTGAATCAGAAGCTTGTTTACGGCATGAATGGAACAAGCAGCTAATATTAAAACGTCAAATACACAGTGTGTGTGTGTGTGTTAACGTGGTCTAGCATGCACTCGGCTAGAGAACTTGTAAATAATTAATCGAATCGTATACTACTCACTTCGATTCACTGCTTTTCTATGCTACTTTCATCGTCAGTTTTCAACTTTCCTTCCTTCTATTTTTACCTAGCGAATATTTCACAGCGGATAAATTATAAATAATTGCTTTATGTAATTTCTAATAATAACTCCTGTAAGTAAAGATAGCATTGTTGGATATTGGATGTTGAAATGAAAAATTCAATCGATGCTGTTTTCGCTCGAATGTATACTGTATCGAATAAACTTGTCCACGAAATGGAGTAAAAAGTGGAACAACACCGAATGGATAATTCAGACTTTTATCATACACGTTCGACGATATTGTTGCTCGTAATGCAACGTTTTCTCTACACATACGTACAATATAACCGAGAACGCGATGCTATCTCGTTTAAAAATAAGTGGAAATTATAGAGAATGAATTTTCTTCGTTTCAACTTAGCGATTGGAATAGTGAGCTCTGTAACGAGGAAAAATCGTGGCGGAAACATTTCGAAAGGTGGAAGGGAAGGTGGACTTTGATTACGAGGATTTCCGTCTCGGCGAACTAAGATAATCAACTGCAAAGTGTTATTTAGATTCGACAGAAACGCTTGAGAGGAACTTCTGAATCTAAGAATCGGCTATCGGAACCGATAACACTGCAATTACACGAGTTTTACTCACTTTTGCCAGTTTCATCGCGATTCGATCTCATTTGGATCTTGTATGACTTACAATTAGACAATTTGTACAAATTTTCTTCTCCGTCCGAGTTCGAATGGAACTGTTATCGAATGAAATGGAATTGCACGACCAAGCACTTTCAAGCAGTCATCATGGTGTATGTATACATATTTATCAACACCTATCTATTATATGCGGAAACGGGGTTGAGGACACGAATAAACGATTCTTTTTTCCGTTGCAGCTGCCATTTCTCATGCGCGAAACGACTTGGTTGCATCCTGATCAACGATGGCTGTTTGATGAGAGAGTAGAAGAGAGGAGAATAGACGAGACCTGAACTATGTAGAATGTAGGGGACTCGATGGGGCTGTATATGTATACATATACATATATAATATATACATATGTATTACGATTAGAACTGTTGAGCGAAAGGCTTTCAGGGAAATGTAACGAGGGTTGTGCGACTTTTCAAACCTTCCCCTTCATTTCTGCTGCGATGAAGAAACATATTGATCAAAGGCACACGAGGTGACAATATATCAGACACAGAGTCATGCAAGTTGATTTCTTGATTGCTAAAATCATGAATAATAAGTTAGTGACGGTAGGTATTGTTGTTTCATTAAACATAAGTTTAGCAGCCAATAGAAAAAGAAGAATGGTACAAGTACAAGTGATAAGAATTAATTTATGAAACATAATTCTTTTCATTATTTGCTTCTTTATTTTCTACCATTCTCCTTTGTAAACGATGATGAGACGCGACAGAAAGAAGAAAGAAGAAAGAAGAAAGAAGAAAGTAGAAAGAAGAAAGAGATAGAGACATGCGACTCACCAATGCCTGGGCGGCGCTCTGGTGCTGCAAGCAAGAAACACCCAGTTACAATCACAGTAACGACAATCAATTAATTGTTTAGCATTGATGATTTGTGATTTCGCTAATCGGCATACAATCACAATCGGCAGACAATACACAGTGCTCGCGGAAGCGTTTACATCGAGTTGTGCAGAAAAATCAGACGCTAGGAAAAGCTGGATATTATAGCATCGTAACAAGCTCGATGGTTGCGACTCCGTTAACCTTTAACCCTTTAACCCATTAACCCATTAACCCATTAACCCATTAACCCATTAACCCATTAACCCATTAACCCATTAACCCATTAACACATTAACCCATTAACCCTTAACGACAAGTTATTCATACCAGCTTCACAATGAAAAAAAAAAAAAAAAAAAAAAAGGATTCGCAACCTTCGATTGATACGATGGAATTGCAATTTGCTTTTTATTTCTTTTATTTTTTGCGACAGCTTGCAAAGCAAGGAGGCTGTTGTACAGGTAACAACAACACGAATGATTTTTATAACTGAATGATTGATCGTGGTGGTTTTCAGCTGTTTTGATGATCGTGATGATGATTATGAATAATAATTTTCCATTTGAAAGCCTATCTCGCACGGCTAAATTTCATTTTATACTATCTAGACTCTAAATAAGTATTATTTCACAGTACTTTTATGTCATATTTGATATGCAACGACCTAATATGTATACATATACTTAGCAATTTTCAAGAGCGGGAATCTATCTTCTTGGTTGTTTCTTTTTAAACGCAAGACGAGTTAGTTCCAAGTATCGCGTGATAATAGATGGATCGATCCGTTCCCGAACACGCACTCCCGAACAAAGGGGAGCGCCGAAAATGCATTCGGTTTTTCTGAAAAGCGTAGAAATGTCATTGGTCAAGGTAACGAGAGACAAATTTCCAAGCGCGAATCGATAACTCGACAAAAGAATCTCGACCGAGCGTTATCGTTAACAGATGAAAATACTTTTCAAACACTGCAATGCCCCGCAATTGAAACAATTTTCGTTTCGAGCACCCTCCGCTTTGCTAGTACAATCAAGTCTCAAATAAACAGACTCGAAAATAGTGTGCTTTTTCTGTTTCTCTTTCTATTTCTTTAAAACGATGCTGGAACAATAATTGTTGAAAAAGATCGTTTTAAAAATTAACGGTACGAGTTAATTGTACGAAAACGCAGAGCTACGAGTATCCTTAATTGGAGGATAAATAAATGAAACTAATTGTAATTTCGTACGATATAGACGGCGGGAAAAGCAGGATTAAAAGTAAAACATTTTTATCGCTGTTAGTCTAATGTTTCTGAAACGTTTCCTTTGGTTAAACGTTTTCTATTTTAGTTAATTATATCATCAACATCAGATCCTCTCCCCCCTTGTTTACAAAGGACTGTCGAAACTTGGGTTCTCGTTCGGTCAATCGGGTTTTGTAGGTAAATTGCTGGTAACTCGAGCGTGCATTTGATCAGTGTACGTACGTTTTATATAACGCAAAGAGTAAAGAGAGACAGAGGGAGCGTGTGTGTGTGTGTGTTAGAGATAGAGAGAGTAGGAGAGGGTGCACGATCCCCGGACGTCGGTGGTTGTATATCGTCGTGGCGAGGTTAAGCGTTGGAAGGGCCTCTGTCGAATCGATTCGACGATGGGTGGAGGGCCTTTGCACACTGCAATGCCGTAACTTGCCCCGAGGAGAAAGATTTCACCAACTGGAAGCAGCAAAAGATGGAAAAGATGATGATGATGATGATGATGATGATGATGATGACGACGAGAGGAGGCACGAGAGTACAACCACCGACGAACATTTCGTTTTTCTTTTCTACTCCCATTCCCTTTCTATCTTCGCGACTTATTGAATCCTCTGTTATCTGTGAAAATCTTTGCAGAAATAAAAAAAGAAAACGTGAATTTCAAACTACTCGCGAAAATACCTTTCCGCTCGACGACACGCATTATTACAATAATTAAACCTTTAATCTTCCGATTGCTTCATCGTGACCTGCTTCTTTAATCATACAAATCTATAATTGGAAATATTTTTAAATTGAAACAAATTCTTATGATTTAACAAAATAACATTTTTTTAATATCATGGTACGTGAGGATAAACTATCTGCATACGATTATGCAGTCATTAGCCTGCAAGCCCTTCCATTTTCAGCAATCGCAAATCAGTGTCAATAAGAGAATTATCTGTACCTGATTGACATCGATATTAACCCACGATATTAACACGTTCCACGGTATTGGTAGAGAAATTTCTTTCTATTTACACCGAACAGTGACAAGAGAAATCATGGAAATAACAATGACAATGAACTGACGATAGCATTGTACAGAGATGGGTAATTCAATGACCAGAGAACAGCTATTTTCTCGCTCGGAGCAATCGGTTGCCAAGGGCAATTGAATTACGCCTCTCAGGGCAATAGCCACATAGTGAAGGAACGTTCCAATCAGAGGACAACACTGACCACGTGCTGCATTTAGCAACCAATACAACGATCAAAGAGTGGCAATGAAATTGAAGAATGCTGTTTGCTTTCGGAACTGATTGTGAGTATTTCTTATGCGGTCGTGACTAGTTAAGAAAAAAAAATATTAAAAAAAGGTTTACTGCCTTACTGTCTCACGACAGCAAGTTCTTGATAACGCAATTAACTCTGAATTCATCTTCTTAAAAGCGTGAAGAGAAATGTATTACTATGAAAACGTAATCGTACCGAACCGAAGGAATAAAAGAAACAACGATGAAATTTTATTGTAAACGAAATTATTTGTAAGAATCGTCTGACTTTCCATTCATTTAAAGAGAATTTAAAGAGAGAATTTTTGCACGAAACAATTCAGAGAGCTAAAAGAAAGGAAGAAATCGTCCTATTTCGTATCGCATAGTAAGCCTAGTCAAGTGTTCCAGACTCGCTCTTTCTCTCTCTATGGCTTTCTTCCGCGTCCATAGACAATCGGGTCGCAAAAAAGTGGCACAAAGATTCCAACACGGTCAGATTAACGCCTTTGTCCCAATTCTCAAACATTGAGGTACGCACTCGATAAGATCTTTCCACGTCGCCAGCAGATATTTATCCTCCTCATCGCAATCCTTCTATCGTCCTTTCGTTCAACTCCAAGACACTCGAATCGATCGATCGATCGAGTTTTAAGAAGAAGAAGAAGAAGAAGAAGAAGAAGAAGAAACGAGATTGCCTCTCTAACTCGTCAGATTTCTCCGACTTTATTTCTAGAATCTACAATAGATGATCATCGTTTGCTCAGCATTTTACCTTTATCACTGCACAATTTCTGAAGAATTTAAAGAGCAGAAATGACATGTCATTTAGAGAGGTCATTCTAACACTCTTCCCTTCTTTACTAGATCTATGTACTCGATTTTGGAAACGAAAAACCGTTTGATAAATGAAACTCGACTGATCGATCGTGGATTACACCGATCGAGTCATCAATTTTTATCCATCTTTCTCATTTTTGCTGGTGTTGTGTTCAAATCAATCGAGTAAAATTAGAAAAAGAATCGTTCTGAAAATAACTACATACAATATTATAATTATCGTGAATCCATAACTATCGAGTTCACTGCTCATATTTTTTGCAATAATGCAAAAGTTTCACTGAAAGCAACTAATTAACCAGGTTATTGTATTTATTAAATTCAGCAATGCTTTGTTACTGGAAAGCAAGCAGTCGAATGTACGAAAAAATGTTAGATTTTAGATTTTAGCCAAAACGAAAACTCGTTAAAATGCCAGATTTCATTATTTCTTTGCAACAGAATTCGAACGATATTAATTCAATTGGCAAGCTAATAGCGTTAAATCGTTCATTGTTCGATTCGTGAAAAGCGAAAAAGCGAAAAAGCGAAAAAGTGAAATTAAATTCCCCTCTAGATTTCGATTTGTCCGGTTTTGAATGAAATACCTGATAAGTGTAGGTACTAATTAAGTTGGTTAGTTTGCACGACGATTTTTCGCTTGGATTCGTTCATCAAGATGAACGTTGCGCAAATTTTCAGATTCTTTCGAAAATTTTACGAAAAGGTAGAAGAAGCACGTAATAGACTCGTATACGTGTATGTAGATCGTTGCATATCGTTTATTTGAACAAATCTATCTATTTAGTATAATACCAAAGTAGGTATTTCTTGATAGAAAGAAATAGCTGATTGGCTAAAGGGTTAAGATGCAAGGAGACTGATGATTGGTAGAGTAAGGTGGTGAATGTCGTGACCTCGATTGAAGCTCGAAGCTCGAAGCTCGATAAAATGTATAAGAAAAAAAGTATGCGGGATAAGCGGGATCGATGCGAGAAAGCGAACGTGGCAATGTCCGTAAACGAGACGAAACATTGGATCGCAGAGTCACGCGACGCTTCTAAGGACAAGGATTAAGTATAAGGGGAATCATCGAAGGGGACAGGTAAATCGATCGAGTTAGCAAGGAGATAGGAAAGATAATGTTACGTACCGAGGGCATCAGCTGATCGGTGGACCTAACTCGGGTCACCTTATTCCTGTAGAATATTCTTTTGACCAGCTTCTCCATCGGTTGGTTCCATTTCATAAAGCTGACGTATGCCAGGTAGAATCCGAAGAGCACCAACGCTTCGTACCAGTATATATAATTGTCACGGAAGAAAAAGATGAGTGTAAGCAGGCTGGCGCTGTAAAAGGTGCAGTCGCGAAAGAGGGGCCACCATGTGAGGGATAGCACGGTACGAGAGAATATTGCACACATGCCGATCACGAAGAGAATATTGAATACGGCCGAGCCGACAATGGTGCCGATACCGACGTCGTCGAACGACACAAACACGCCGATTATCGATGTGAACAATTCTGGCGCGGAACCGCCAGCCGCCATAAAGGTAGCACCCGCCACGTCGTCCGCGATTTCTAGTTTCTCGATGATCACGTCCAACGATGGCACGAAAAACTCGTCGCATACGATCGCCAAAGCGACGAACATGTACACAACACCGATTACGTGAAGTATCACGGCACCGTCGCGTCTCTGACGGATGGTAAACAGATCTTCGGGGAAGAGTGGCGCCTTTTCCTCCGTCATGTTACCACCGACCATCTGATGATGGTGATGATGAAGGGTGCTATTGTAACCGTCGTCCACACCCTCATTATTGATGTTGTTGTTGTAGTAGTTGTTGTTGTTGTTGCCATTGATTAGGACGGTACTATTCAGGTGCACGTACAAGGGCGTTGTTGTCGTACTGCTGCTAGTCTGAAGAATGATGGGATTGTTGGGTGCTGGCCTGTGTCCGTGAATGGGCGAAGGACCGATGACTAGGGCCAGTAGGGCCGACACCATTATCCCAACCACCAATCGGCGCCTCCTCCTCCAACACGTACGTCGTTCGCCGCCTGTCACGATCATCGTCGTCGGTGGTGTTGCTGGTGCTGGTATCTCGCACCCTCGAGGACGTTCGCCGTCGTTAGCGAGTCCTCCGTCCTCCTCCACCTCCTCCTCCTCCTCCTCCTTCTTTTCCTTCGTCTTCTTCTTCTCCGTCCAGTTCCTCCTCCTCCACCACCTCTCTTCGAGTCTCCACCGTCGTCTCCACCTCCCCCACCGCCACCGCCACCACCACCACCACCACCACCACCACCACCACCACCACCACCACCACCAACACCACCACCACCACCACCACCACCGCCTCCTTCTGCGTGTCGTATCGTGTCGCGGCGCGGAGGGTGTACGCCAGCAGAGGTACCCTACTAAGGCTGGGTCATGTTGCAACACTGAGGAGCTGCTCTTGCATGCTCCTCCACCTTCGATGGCTCCCTCCGACCAGAGTGGACCTACCTTTCACTTCTTATTTCTTTCCTTTCCTCTATCTATTATTTCCACACCCTCTTTGCTAACCCTCGTTAACCGTCTTTGATTCTTTTTTCTTTCTCACTATTTATCTTCCTCACTAGGTCCTCTTCTTTTACTTCGGCGCAGTCTCCGTTTCCATTTTCTCTATTATCTTTCTACTGTAAGAACAATGTCACTCGTATCGTTTACGATCACTCGATCGAGAATCACGTATCTCTATTCGCTACCGATAACTAACTAACTTTGACAGTGAACGCAAACTGTCGCTTTTAGTCTTGGACGCGAGCAATGTCGCCAGATATCATCATCCTCCTCCTCCTGCTTCCCGGCGGCGTCGTCGTCGTCGTTCTTGTCGTCGTCGTTCTTGTCGTCCTCGTCCTCGTCGTCCTCGTCGTCGTCGTCGTCGTCGCCGTCGTGGTCGCTAGGATGCGATGGATGGTGCATATAACCCTGGATGGATATACAGGAGCAGCAGAACGGCGCCCCCGCCGCGATGCCCGCCCGCTGCACACTGGAACCAACCCTATTCTGCTCCTCTCTCTACGTTACCACCACCCTCTGATACGTCTCTCCCACCATCTCTTTTTCTCTTGTTTCTTCCTTGCAATTCTCTCGACATTGGACATCTCCTCTTCGTCCCTCCTTCTTCACAGTGTCACCCTTTCTCCTCTTTCTTCTCATACTCCACCCGATTCGTATCCCTTTTCTACTAGTTCTATTTCTCTTTCGTCGTCGCGATCGTTCCTTCTTCACCCAACAGTCCAGAGGATACCACCCTCCAACCCTCTTTCGTTTCGCTCTTTCACAGCGTGCTCCCTTAGCCTTTACCTTGTTTCTCTCGAAATTCTTCCCCGTCCACGCCACCTGGCGAAGGTGGTAGAGATCGACAAGGTGGGAGAAGCTGCGCGAGTCTTCGTATTCCTGTGTTAAACGTACGTGTACGTTTACGTTCCGAGGGATGATTAGGTGTTAGTGGAGGCGCGCGCGCACAACCCTCGCTGGGCCTTCCGCTCGATATCGGAGAGTCGACTCTACGACTGTACGATACGAGTCCGTACCTATATACCGGGTGTCGCCTCCATTATTATCCTTTCGTCCATAACATTTTATTTCTTCTTTAATATATTATACTACAATATATTTTTTCACCTTCGCAACAGGACAGATTCGACTGAGGCGGAATCGATCCATCTTTCACCTTTTAAGGATAAGGATTATACGTAAGAAAAGATTACACGGTTTTCAGACATTGTTATGCGAATCGAAGAGAAAGACGCGTCGATTAATGGAAAGAGATTGTGAATAATATTCACGAGTGGACGAGAGAGGGCTGTTATTCGATCCTTTTCAGGCCTTTGATTTGTTATTTGTATTCGTCTGTTGACCAATACCTCATCTTTTATGGAGGATATATCAAAGTCGTAAGGGAGTGTATAATTGATACGACAATAATTGATTTTATCATTACTGCAACAGCATAGAAACATTGTCTGAATTCGAAAATTAACTTTACTCATTTTTCACTCTGACTGTAGGTAAGTATATTACATTTTAGGTAGGTATATTAAATTTCATTCACAGTTTAATGGAAATTTATTAGGTACTATTGTTATTATTAACCGCGTAAAAGAAAAGTTGAAGAAAACTCTGAAGAAACTGTTGAAAGGTTCGGATAGTAAAAGTGCAATTTAATAATTAATTATCGTTTTAATGTCTATTCTTACTCCACGTGTTAACGACGCGATTGCGATTCGAAGAAAGTTGAGAAAGAATGGTGGGGTTAATATACTTGGTAAATAAAAGTTACGAGTTATCGAACGACATCATGGAAGAAGGATAGACGAGGAAATCGGCGTCTAATGTCGAAACTTGTAATTAGTTAAAGCAATCGCGATAGAGGGTAAAGAAAATGATCTAACAACAACGATGCACAGACTTTCAGCCTCGTAAGCGTTCATTTGACCGTAAGCAACATTTCAATGAAAATGCTCAATGTTTAGCATTGTCTGTCGAGAGGATTACCATGCTGGGGTAGCTGTAGCTATCGCGAGTATTCACTGACTTACACATATCCGATTCGCAACGTTTCCCTAGCGACGACAATAGCGAGCTTAACGCAAACTTTGTAATCAAAGGAACACACTCGAACGAAACGCGACCGCTCTGCACAATGTGTTGGCCACATTCTCTCGTTAACCGTACCAAGTAAGTAGATTCTCTCCACTAGAGATACTTAACAAAACAGAAAAGAAATCTATTCGCTTGAAAGAAAAATCTACAATTTGTAGGTACCAGGCGCAACTACATAGAAACTAAAATCGTTATAAAGCGTGTTCGTTATGTTGAAGAAGTCTAATAGTTACAGAGCTATTAGCGAGTGACGAGGAGACTTTCGAGCTTTCGCCTCGTTTCACCTTTCCGTGGGTTCCGTTTTAGCTGTCAGCCGACACGTGAGTAAAAATTCTTGCGAAAAAAAGGAAGCCACGGCCCAATTTTAAAGGAGATCTCAATTCGTTTCTCTACCTCACTGTCAACGTTTATTCTCCTTCATTTATCATTTATCATTTTTCTCTCTGCACATTCATTCTCTTGTCGTCTGGAGATCCGTGCTAAACGTTCAAATCTTTTAGTCACGATCAAATTTAACCACGCAATCTTTTTACTTACACTCTATATTCTATATACATGATACATAGTATCAACGTTTATACCTTAAAAGAGAAACATAGGATACTCTCTTAAAATACTACGTGAAGTAGTTGCAAGGAAAGCAATCTCCTTATCAGGAAATAACGAGCAGATAATCACGACGACGTCGCGTCGAGTTTGTATAATTATTCACACCACCTTTAAGATTCATTAGGGAGACGCAATGATAATAATAATAATGACATTCGTTCGAGGTCGATACTATATCGATACATAATGTATAATTAGATACGTAGAAACCGGGTACATGCATGTTACTTTCATCAGAGTTAATCAAATATAAAGAAAACTTTCCTTCATTTACATATGATAGAGTAGGATAGTGGAAATGCATAATGACAGATTTGAAAAGAAAAAGACATATTTGAGAAACTCGATTCCGTCGAAAACTTGTCTAGTCGCAGTTATTATTTGATTGTACTACTTAAAATAAGGTATGATACGGTAAGTAATGATTTGATGACATAAAAGTACTGTGAAATAGCATTTGTGGTATATCAATTTGAAGGTGAAACTTTTAAAAAGATGACTATATATGGTAAACGGTTTTAAGTGGACGCAAAGTTCCAATGCAGACCAGTTAATTCAAGATTGGGCGAGCAATCGGAGCTCAGGTCAGAAATAAAAAGGTAAGTAAAGCCGGCAATGTTAATCCAATTAACGGACGCATCAGAAACACGAGAGACGAAGCTATTCTAGTACCCCACGTGTACACAGAAGGCGTACAAGATACCCACTACCAAAAGAGCCTGCTAGTATTCACAGATTAGATATACCATATGTACATACATACATATATGTATACCAAAGCTACGCCACCCTCGAAAGTTTCGACGTCTCTCCGCTAGAAAGGTGGAACCAACCCCCATTATCGAACGTCCTGCTACCAACAGCAGTGCCGCGTCGATTCACCCCCGTGCCCCCAACGACACACCGTCGAAGAGCATCAACCAGAAAATTCGTCTTGTACCCCGACGATACAAGTCTCGCTCTCGTTACGCTCTCGATCGATTATTTTTCCTCATTTTTCCTCATTTTTCGATTACATAACGCTCCATGTCCTGGAAAAACCATGAAAGTTCGACCGATAACGAGTGCTGACCCAAATACGTTGCTGCCAGAAACCATCGTAAATCGTGCAGCCACGATTTAAGCTAGGAACCAGCCAACTTTCATCTAACCATTCTTGTTCTTCTTAACATTTTCCATCGATTCGTTCCTACCTTTCGCTCCGTCTCTCTCTCCTCTCCTCTCCTCCACCCGTTTCTATCGAACACTCCATCTCACACCCTTTCCATCCACAGTGGAAACTAGGAACGAAACGATCCTTTTGTTCCCTAGGGAGAAAAAGAAGAAAAAGAAGAAAAAGAAGAAAAAGAAGAGAAAGACAGAGATATCGTATTGGCCTTGCGCGGCTGTACGCGCGATTAGTCGAGTTTTCCACTTCCAGATACGACGTTTTAGGCGCTGTTGGCTACGTTCCAAATTCTCCTACTTTCTGTGCACTCGCGCACTCCGTTAAGATAAAAAAAAGAAAACGGTTCATCCTGGATACGCATTGAGCCGCGTATACGCGAAAACAAACCCTTTCTTTCTGTTCACGTGGTTAGTTCTAGAGTTCTAGAGTTCTAAACCCGATAACAAGAATTGTGTAAGAGGAGATGTCCGATGAATTACTACGTTAATGATCGGTATTATGAGATCGTTTCAAAGTTTGTGCGCACTCGTACATAGAAGAAGAGTGTGCGCTGGTAATGCGTAAACGACTTGGAGCAAACGAGCGCACGCGCCACGAAATGGTCAAATCCTCTGTTTCGTGGTCGCATACGTTTCGTTCGCCACCGTTCCTTCCTTTTCCAGGCCAACTTGAAGAGGTGCCAGCTGAATCGGACACCAAATGCAACACGTATCCACGAACAACGATATGTACACACCAGATGCTATGAAGATAACAATGCTTTCGAATGCCATTTGATCAAGTAGGTATAGACAGCGCCAAACTGAAGTATTAAAATCAGCGAAAGATTGAGGAGATGGAGGATTATAACACTATCATCCTTTCTCTTTGCATCTCTATTCCAATCCTTCCTACTATGAATCCTCACTGTTTCGTTTCACGATTAGCCTCGGATAAAAAGAGAATTATCGACACCGAGTGTGGATCGAGCTAGTGTGTGTTACGAGCGTGGGTGTAAAATTGGCCCAGGCCCAGTCACACGCATGCGTCCAAGCTTGCTCCACAAAAGCTTCTTCGAGCTGTTTCTCCGTCGTCGTCGTCGTTTCATTTAGAATTTCTTAAGAAAATAATGCCAACGAACCGATTAAATCCCAATCATACTCCAAGGACACAAACGTAAACGGAAATTTCGTTTGCTAAACACACTATGATCAGGCAAATGATCGTGGATTACGTGGGCTGGTAAATTGTACAGGGTAAAGCCAAACATATGCGGTAAGGACCCATATCCGTGTACTCGTCGTTGTCCACCGATCGTTATCTTTCTCTAAACGGACTTTTATTTCTGACAAAGACGTTGGCCAGGTATAATTCGCAACTATCATAATTACTACTATTGATTGCACAAAACACAGGAGCATTCAAGTTTCCTCCAAATGGTAAGTTCGTTTGAGACAAGACGATTTACCATCAGTTGTAAAAATGAAAGTTAACAACGATAGTTAACGATAAATGATAAAAAAGAAAGAAAAGATCTATTCTAATGAGAAATTAAATTATCCATGAATTTCATTTAATCATTCAACGATTGACGATCAACGATCACCGTTTTAGAAATTCAATAATTATTAATTTTACTTGTTTGCTGTTCACGTGTTGATCGGTGGTGCCATCTTTCGACGTCCAACCACCCTGATAAAAACAACCCCTGCCAACTTGTAGCCTCGTGATAACGATTGATTTCCCTGATTTCTGGCAAGGAATCCATGTAAATCTAGTGGAAACACGAGTTATCGTAGGTCAGAAAGCAGTTCCTCGAATACCACGTAGCCTCGTAGCAATCATTTCTTTGGGAGAAGCAAGATAATACAGAGTCAAGAGAACTCTTTCCTCCTGGCTTTATCAAATTTCAATAGTCTGAAATAAATTTTTTTCTACAACGAGTGGATTGTTTTCAATTTTTTCCACCAATTTTTCTTGATCCTACAATTTCCACGTTTTTTTTGTACGCAACAGCTTTCTCGCTAAATAACACGGGGTTGAAGAGGATCTGAGAGACTATGATAAAGACTTATACCGCGTTTTACGAGAATTAAGGGAGAGCGAAAGGGATGAGAAGAGAAAAGAGAGAAGCACGACGAACGAAAGGAAAACCGAAATAAAGTTTTGAACGCGCGAAGCCGCGAGGAAACGGAGCGAAAGGTGGAGGCGTTTAAAAAGAGAGTAGAAAATCTGTATTCTCGGAATGATTCATAAATAGTTTATTTTGGTAGCAGCCTCTAGCAGGGAATCGTTAGTTACGAGCCGAGGTTACCGTTTCCATGTGGCGCCGCTCGTCTTCTCGTCTTCTCTCTACAAAACCACGTGCGTGCAACAACACTGCGGAGAGACAAAGATGAAAAGTAACCACGGATCAATCCTATATCCGATATTGTGCATTACACTTTTTCTACTTTTTTTCCAGATGTGTAAGGTGTAAGTATAGAAGGAAAATAAAAAGCAAGAAACAGTGTTCGTTCACCGTTCCAATATCCTGTAATAAAATTTTCAAACCAACTTAAGTAGGTACATACTGCGACCGTTAAAAATGCTGCTCTGATAAACGTTGATCGATAAATTTCAGGAATTCGTATATGTAGAGATTTTTCAAGCAACATTGTTCGGTCACAGGGATAGGAAGAACAATATCCGGATGATAAAAAATGAATAACCATGTATTCGAACGCATTTCCAGCTTATGTTTCTGTTGTTCGTATAGCCAATCGGCTCTCCTCTGCTGATATTTCTACAACGAAGCATAAATAGAGTGGAAAATGAAGCCGAAATTCAGATTAACGTTTGAAAACAGTGTATATTAAACGCGTAACCGGTTACATATTCATAATGGTATCGAGTATTGGGAATACCTAATGAATGATCGCGTTAACCAAATTTTCAAATGAGTCGCGTACAGTTTCGCGTCAGTGTAATCGAACGAACGAACGAACGAACGAACGAAATCAGAAGCGAGAAAAGTTAGGACAGCGCCAGCGTGGAAGAGGTTCGCGACGAAAGAAACTGGAACGAATTTAATTTGCATATCTTCCGAATGCACAAACAACTCGGTCAGCTGACACGTAACGAAATTTTATATTTCAGTCGAAATTCTTTCGCGACAAAATAAAAATGGCAGAGCCACGCTAAGTTTTCTAATTATACCCGAAGAAGGTTTGCTTTTCATCGTAACACTACCCGACGACGCGACGGATTTACTCTTTTCAACGGAAACTTTTGTCCTATTTTTTTCGCGTGCTCGCCGCTTTTAGTATCCTCGGGCCCACAATTATGTACAATTTATTACGGTCAACAACGAAATAATTTCAAAAAACGTTTCTCAACGTCTTGACGCTCTTGACGACTGTTTTACACTTTCAGAGAAAAGCAAAATTAAAGAAACATGATGGCTGCTGGTCTGGATTGAAAGATCAGTCTATGCAAATTTTTCTACAATTACAATTCCGCTGAGCGTATACAGAAGACTGATCGTGAGAATAATGATCGTCAGGCGATTCAAGTAAATTCTTCAGACATTATTTTGAAAAGATAAAAAAGAAAAAGAAAAAAGTTGCAGCAGAGGATCGGGTAGCAAAATGGAAATGGTGAAAATATTAATAAACTGCTCGTTTCTCCTATGCCAAACTGGTCGCAAGTGTCTCGCAACCAAGTGTTTGCACTTTGGTTTTTTCGAACAATAAGAAAACGAGAACGAGAACGAGAACGAGAAGAAGAAGTGACTCGCGTGTCTTTAATGGGGGAAAAAATCAAGTATTTTTCGGCTACGGGTTGACGAACTTGAAATTCTTGTCCAATGGAATAAACAGCAAGTGCTCTTTCCTTTTAAAAATAAAGGAAAATCAAGTGAAAATGATAAGTATTTCGAGCCGAAAGGTTAAAGTTTCTTCTTTCTCATCGTCAGATGGGCTTTCGAGCGTACCTAATTCGGTAAGGACGCGAATACGACGACGTTGCTTCAGAGACAACTGGGAATATTCGGTCGAAACGATTCAAACTGACGTAAATAATCGTTTGAAATGGCGCGGCGAATAAAAACCGTTTCCGTTCGAGCAAACTCGTTGCATCAGTTTGCCTTACCTTGTTCGCTTTTGCTCGCGATGCATCCCCCGAGGCGAGTCAATTTCAGAAGGAGAGAAATGAAAATATCTATTCGTCGAAACGACAAGAAAACTACGCCAAGCAGCCTGGTATATAAATCAACCCGTTATGTGTACCTACTCGTTCCTCGACGACGCGACGCGACGCGACGTAAGGAGATCTGTTTGCATGACGAAAGTATCCGCGAAACCAGTCGATATTCTTGAAAATCGGTACAAGACCAGACCAACTACAACAGAAGCAATGTTCGAATAAAGAAGACGGAACGGGTGGAAGTTATCGATTCTTGCGATTCTTCGATTCATGGTATCGAGTCGTAATATATTTCTTCTACTAAAAGGCTTTAAACCTTTCGAAACTTGTTATAACACATCTCTCTATTATTATATCTATTTTTCACTTGAAATTAATAAATATTTGCGAATCACTTTGTTTCGAATACGACGTGTTAATTACGTGCCGGTACAAATGCGGCTCGTTAATTTCACGAAAAACAGGCCGTCGCGTCGCGTCGCGTCGCGTCGAAAGATGAATATTCGAAATGCCATGGACGATTTACTCTAATACAAAGGACAAATTAATTTGGAAATATCTACTTTGTTGCAGGCTTGTCTAGTGGTGAAAAGAAACGTTAGAAAAGTTGAATTTTCCAACACCGCCATAGCTTTTTGCATAATAAAACGATTACGTGGTACGAATTCGCTTTGATCTTGACGTAATATCGCGAATTTAAGCGGATAAACCAGTTTCCCGCGTTAATAGGCTCGTTTGAATCCACAGATGGGGTTCGCTGCAAACAATTTGGCTGAAATTGCCGTACGTGCGCGATTCGTGGAGATAAGCACTGGAGAGAACGGAAACGGCCCTCTTGAGGACGCGACCGAGCGTCATCTCGTCGCTGCCCTCGCGCTACCTCTTCCTTCTTCGTGTCTTACAAAAAATTTACCTCCACGTTACTTTGCACACTTGTCGACTTCTACCAAAGACCGAGAAAGAAAGAAAGAAAGAAAGAAAGAAAGAAAGTTGCTCGTCTACTTTGCTTAGAAATTCTCCAATTATCATTTCTTAACCCCTTCAACGGTAACTGAAAACTAACAATTTTAACAGAAAGAATGGAATACGAGCACACCGATTGAAAAGCAATCTTTACCTTTTTCTATCGTACTCTATTGAAGAAAAGAAAAAAAGATGATTGGACAACTTTCAACAAGTCTCTCCCACACCCTTATCGGTTTACCAGCTGCTTTTCACCGAAACAAGTTGCCATCGAAGTTGCTTCCGTTGCTTCCGTTGCGGCTGTTACGATTAACCTTGGAAACGATTACGAGCAACGGTGAAACGGGCTTTGTTTCGAGCCAGAGGGTAAGATAAACATAATTGAAAAACCGTGCACGCAGTCCCCCTTTTTTTTTCCTTCCCTCCCAGTATGTGTGTGTTCGGCGATTAATCTTCGAGCAAACGGGTAGAGTGAGAACGGTTCAGGAAAACGGCATAAATTTTGGAATAGTAGAAATTCATGGACGACTTTTTCATATATAAAAAAAAGAGTCAAGTACCGTCGGTATTCGGTGTAACGCGGCTAAAAATTCCAGCTGCCTTTGAGCTCGAGATAAACGCGTCTTTCTACAAAGAGAAATCCTAAAAGTTAGCAGCATCTCTGTCTGCCGCCTAGTTTGGCTCCACCACCTACACCTACACCTACACCTACACCTACACCTCCACCTCCACTGACGTTATTCGTTGGGAAACTGGTGGAAGGAGAAAGAGAGAGATGAAGGTAGAAATTGAGAGAAAACAGAGGAACGAAGGAAAGTAACGACTGACGATCAGAATCAACGATATAAGAAAAAAAAAGAGAGGAAAACAATACAGGTAAATGAGACACGGAGGAATACTGAAAGAAAAACAGAAGAGTAATGAAGAAAATGAGAGACGAGACTTGGAATATGTAATGAAGGATTCGAGCTTCGAACATTAAACGAAAGTAAACTCTGGTATTTTTGAAATTTTAAACAGTCCAAATTGAGTTGGTGATCTCGAGTTGGTGAAATTTCATCAAACTATACTCGACGTCTCCCTCGATACATTCGAAATTCACGACACAGAAAACAAAGTAGAATAGAAAAAAGTAAAAGGAGAAGAAGTAGGGAGGTCTGAAATATGAAAAATTCATCCCTCCGACAATGAGTCGTAGGAGTAATCGATGACCTTTATCACTTAAATTCCACTACTTTTATTTCCAATATCAAAGTAAAGAAATACCCAAGTTTAAAAATGAATCGTTAATATCCAATTGGCGTCTATTGAAGTCACTGAATGACCTAAAGAGACAAAGACCCTAAAATCATGAAAATTCCATTAACAATATGAAATAAGAAATAGAAGAAATTGCAAAAATTGTAAAAATAGGAGAGAGTGAAAGAGAGAAGGTGGGTAGAGGAGAGGGAGAAAATGAGGAGATTCGGGGTGGCGGAACGAGCGGGGTCGACCCTGCGCACAGCTTCCCAAGTCCACCCCGAAGATTCAGTCGTCGTGCGGCAGAGGAGGACCGAGGAACGCCCGGTCGAAGCACGTTGTTCCTCTTTTTGCTCGTTCTCCCCCCTCATTCTGTCTTCCTCATTTTCCAATCTTCCTGTTCATGTCTCTCCTTTTGCCAGACGCACGCTCGTTGGCTCCCTTCGGGTCCGTGCGTGCCACGGCGACGAGTGAAAACGCGAGCTGCGGAGAGGACGCGGTCGTTCCGTGTCCCAAAATCAACTGCTATTCCCAAATAGCCGAATAATTTTCTCGTAGCTTCAAGCTGCGAAATCAAGGGAAAAAACGGGTAAAGAACACCCTTTTAAAAAGGACACCCAGTGCACGAACAGAGAAAGCTACGGCCATAGAAACGTCGACGCCGGTCTGGTCTGGGTTTGCCACAGTCTCTCCCTCTGTCTCTCTTTCGACGCGACGCTTTTACGTATTTATACGTGTTTCGCGACGCGAACCTAAGGGTAGCTAGTGCCCAGTGTCCGCTGGTGTGTCGTGACAATAGTGTCGATGTTGGTGTTGGTGTTGGTGGTAGTGATAGTGGTGATGGTGACAGTGTGGCTTTAAATTTCAACCGCGTGCTCGTACGTGAGCCATTATACGGGGCTACGGGCATTCTCGCTAAACGACAGGGTATGTGACCACGCTCACTGATACATCGATACGAATTTTTAACCCCCCGTCAAAAAAGGGATTATGTATTTGCTCGTTCGTTCAACTGGTCGATATAATACTATATCGCGTGCGTCTACGTATGCGTGTACTGTGTCTCCACGAGAGGATTCTCGAGTGCGTGTCACACTCATTGTTAGAAACGATAGTGAACGAAGCTTCGATCGAACCGGCACAAAAACGAACGAGATATGTATGTATGTATGTAGTCGTCGTCGTCGTCGTCGTCGTCTCGAGTCCGCGTCTCTCATCGCATCGGCTCGGTGCACCTCGAACCGCGTTTCGATACGACGCGACGCGACGCGACGCGACGGCTCGAATGAATGGGTCAAAGAATCGTCACGATTCACCACGACGACAGAGAGAAACGGTCAAGTCTCAACCATTTCTCCAGACGTTTGAAGAAAGTTTCAGCACGGTTCCGGTAGTAAAAAAGTCGGTTTGAAGGATGCTTCTACGTGACGGTAAAACGAAAGCAATATTTACGTCGCTCCGCGATTTATGCTTTCAACGACTTTTCTCTTTTTCTCTTTTTCTCTTTTTCTCTTTTTCTCTTTTTGTCTTTCGAGCACCGCAAAACTGCTCAGCCTGCTGCTAGATGAGAATCATAGCTCGTGGGCATTTCGTTGAACAAAACTTGGACGTTGATCTTCTCCGAAAATCGGTGTTCTCTTTCAGAGGATACGATTCAGAGTTTGCCTACGAGAATCGTCGTTCCTTATAATGGAACACCCAGAGGCGACAATTGCTTCGGAAAAAAAAAGAAAATGTGTTGCTGGTAGATTGTAAAAGTTCGATTAGACAAAACAACGCGATCGATTACACCTAGTGGCGACAGACCACTCACCCCTTCAGCTAATACAAGATAAACCTTTTTTCCTTTTTCCAACCAGTCAATGATGCGTTTTCCTATATCGTTTGAAAGCTTGTTACATTAGACGGAAATCTACTTCCCGTGCAATCGCTACCTAAACATTACCGATTCTTCTTCGATACGCCAACTCGGATTTAGAATGCAGCTCTTCAGACGTAGGGAAAGAGTGGATGGGTATACAGGGTGTATCCGAAATAAATAACCAAATCAACGATAAGAAATTGTCCGATGAATGTAAAGACGAAAACGTTTATCATCGGTCTAATTTTAGTTCCGTTTTAATCTATTAATTATTCTATTAAATGAAATTCGTGGCGGCGGTCATCGGTAAGCCTCGCATCAATATGGTAACGAGTTACAAATCTACACTACATATCACGTTACCATATGCGCTAGAACACGTTATAATAATTATTAATAACGCAATCGTTTAACTTTTCAATCTGTTAGCTAACATTATTATGTTAATACCTTGGTCAGCTATTTCTGAAACACTCTGTATAGAAGACGTATGCACATATGTACATATGTATATAGGAGGGGAGGGCAGCTTTGCATTATGGAAATCCACGAGACTTTACGACTTTTCGAAGATATCGCGTACATTTTCTTATCTCGGTTTAAGGCTCTCCAGGAAACGTTTATCTCCCTGGCGTGTAAAGAGGATGGAGAGACTCCGTAAAATCAGCAATGATCTCGCTTCATATCCCTACGCGTGAAATATTTATACCAAAGTGTAGACAAAATGTAGATAGATCCGAAGGAAAAAAAGTATTATCGGACGATAGAAGCACTAAACCACTTTGCAGTTAATATCGTTTCGAGGTTACATGCAAAACTGCTTGCATTCGATTGCGTTCGATTGCGTTCGATTGCGTTCGAGCGAATACATATATCGGTTCACCAAAGAGGAGCAGACAGCCACTATCAAATGAGTTTTACTCTTCTTTTTTTACTCGAGAATCGCCAACGTTCGCGTCGAATATCGGCCACTGCAAATGAGATTCGTGAAAACCGAAAGGTGCTCGCGTGGGGATCGGTCGGACCAACGATTTCTTTTTCTACTGCTACTTCTCGCGAAAAACCCTCTTCAGGTTCGAAGGTAAACGAAAAGGAAAAAAGAGAAAAGAGAAAAGAGAAAAGAGAGGGTGGCAAGTCGCAAGCTGACGGGGTTGTTTAAATGTTTAGATTGCCGGCTCGAGAAACCCTTTTCCCCCTTCTGTTCGAATTCCGATAGATCGACCTGCAACGTTCGAATTTCATGTTTGCCTTTCACAAATTTTTTTTACGGATTTTTCAACTACGCTCGATTTTTCGCGGTAAATAAACACTGAAAATTCTCGACGATCCTTACCTACCTATCTCTATCGGTATTTTCTAACTAAAAGGCACCGTCGCGTCGCGTCGCGTCGCGTCGCGTCGCGTTGCGTCGAACAACAGGAAAATTTCATTGGAGAAAATGAAATTTCGTTTTGCAATTCTCAGTACTTCAATTTTTATATACTTCTCAAACTTTGTCGACTCGTGAAACAATGGCTTTTTATTATTATATATAAAATCAACGCTTCAAATAAAAAAAACGGCACTCTTGAACGTCAACATTTTTAACTACTGATTGTGAGTAACTTTGATCAACTTTTCGAGAAAAAAAATAAAAAAATTTGCTACTCGACAAAAAGAACTGGAGTAAACGATACAAGTCGCGTAACCCGAAAAGCTGTTCCTTTGCTGATTAACACCTTTTGCCTTACAATATCGTATCGTGTCAGACTTTCTACGATATGCAACAAGCTATATAATGTTTTTACGAGAGAGAAATTGTAAGGCAAATGTAGAACTGACAGTAGCCGTACAGGTGTCTGCAACCTTTTTACATCGTTGCCTCTGGATGTCGTCCTTTCAGAAACGAGCGAGTTCACCGAAGCAGGAAACGAGAAGCGTACGTACACGATGCCAGGCAGCATCTCGGCAAAGGATAAAACTGAACCAGCAGCGAGTGGAACGTCGTCGTCGACGCCGCCGTCGTCGTCGTCGTCGTCGTCGTCGTCTTCGTTCTTGTCCTCGTGGTCATTGATATCTAACCGACGTCACTCCCGTTCGATTTTATACTTTTATACGAAACAAATTGCGCTCATCATTTCCGCATTGTTCCGGTCCGGATGTGTCCTCTGATTCGTGGCCGAAAATAGAAGCGGCCGAAAGTGGTGAACGTTGACTGTGCATTAGATTCCTCTTTTCGTATAACTAGCCAGAGAGTGGAAGCTGTGCGTGATCCACGACAAGGTGAAATGGATCGGAAAAGTACGTCTAACTCGGCTGTAAATAGAGCTTTGTAATTCCCGTCACGCTGCCTCGATATCCCCTTAACAGGTCCAGCCGTTTCTTAATTTATCCTCTCTCTCTCTCTACTACTGATCGAACTAAACTGGAACGTCGAGAAGAGGAGGCAGAAGGCTAAAATCGAAGAAGAAGAAGACTCGTAATGTTTCTCAACGACATGAAGCTGCTAATGTTCTTAGCGGTAACGGCCTGCCTGTTGGGTTACTGCCAAACGGATGAAAAAGGTAACGTATAGGACGACCTCTTTTGAACGATCACGAAAAAACTCTCTGTTCTCGTCTCGACTGGTGTCGCGTAAATCTGGAGAATACGCGATGCGAAAGACCAAACTTTTTATGGTCAGACGCAAATGTACTTATCGTTACAACGGCGACGCTGACCTCTTTCAATGCTCCCCTACCTGATCATTCACCAGAGATAAGATATGAGTTTTACAAATTTTTCACTCATCCAAACGATAGCTTGGCCAATTTTCAAAAGTTCTGAAGATCTTACTCTCTGAAGATCAACGATATGTAACTTGTATGTACATTTACTATGTAATTACATTTCATTTTATTTCAAATCAAGTAAAGTCACATATTTCTTTTTGCATTATGGTTAGAGATGTCTGACAATAAGAAACTTTTGTCGCCAAGCGAAAAGAAGAAGAAAAAAAAAAAAGAAAACCGGTAGACACGTTGCATACGCGAACGTAATAACAAATTTCAACGAAAGTAAATTAGTTTCTCCTCGCAGCGTCGTCGCCCTCGGGAAAATGTTCATTTTGCCGGTAATTTGGTAACTGTTGACTCAACGGGTATCAGCCAAGAGACGAACGAATAAAAGGGAAGCTTTCTCCTCGTTTTTAATTAGACTCATCAATCGGCGAGACTGAAAATCATTCGCCGACGATCGATTTCGATGGTAAAACAAACGTAACAGAGGATATGGGGTAAGGTTAATTAAAAAAATTAACTTGGATCGAATCGATAGAGAGGAACGAAACGAAACGAAACGAAACGAAACGAAACGGAAATAAATCGAAACCGAGAGAGAATTAACCGTGCTACAATACGAGATACTCTCGCTTCTGTTCTAGAACGTCGATTCAATACGAAAACATGACAATAAAGATACGCCTTCGATCACCTATAATTGCAACGATACGCTTCGCGATCCACCACCTTGTATCCTAGCTTTGATCGACCTGGATTTAATAACCCGTTACAAAACACCTAATCTACAAACTACTTGAAAAGTAATAATACTTCTCAACTGTGTTTCATCACTGATTACACTAACTCGATAGACTAAAATTCCATGTTTGATAGAAATCAGAAATCGAATGGACCAAAAACAGTTTACTATGTAAAGCTGATAACTCTCGCTCGGGTGTTGACGGTTATGAGTAAACCCAATACTCATCGTTCCCTCGGGATATTTTACGTCAGAAGGTTTTCAACTTCAGCATCGTTCGATAACCGACACGATATATGTATGTATATCTGATGTAGATTAATTGGCCCTTTATCGATCGACTAAACAGACAACAGCATTGGGATCATTTTTCACACCGACATTAACAATGACAATAAAAATAGCTTTGATTTGAAATTTAAGAAAAAAAACTTTCGACTTGAGAATTGTGTCAGATTGATCGGAAAACTCTTAATTATTATCCATAAATCCTTTTCAATTCATACCTTTGGTATTTCTGTAACGATTAAACATATTGAACACACATCAATCGAAATAAACCGAGACAGAAATGGGCCAGTCTAATCAATTTCACGTTTATCTCGCGTTAATTTCGTTCGCAAATTAATACCGATCCGGCACGAAACACGGTTCAAGAGTCGTCCTTTTTCCGAAATCGACAGCTTTTTCGATCGAAAGGCGGCTATCCACGGATTTTGTTAATTAAATGCGACTGCACCGGCTTAACGGTTCATCACCGTCCAAAAGCCAAATTCCTCTCTGTTCGATGAAATTTCGCGCCTCGATTATCTCCATAATCGGCAATACCGTCTTAATCTATCTGCATTCTACCATTTCAAATTGATTATTTCAAAATAGACAAAATGTTAAATAGCTGATATGTATAAATGATTGACGCGTTGATTGTTAGAAATATTGAAACTTTTTCAAAAAAAAAATCATCAAAGGTTCGAAAAGAATGGAAAACGTGGTAGGTATGTATGTATGTATGTATGTATGTACAACCTACCACTTGACTGTCTGTATGTAGTTGGCAAATTAGTCTGACGTCAGACTGTTAAGAATGCCGTTTATTATCGTCGTTTCTCACAGCTCTATTTTATCACGATAATTAGCAACCGATAGCAGAAAATCTACCTGTAATTGGATAAGGACCTCGACCTGGTTATTTCTAGGCTACGCCTTGTATAGTTAAACGGGAAAATAATGAAGAGCGAACGGAAAAAGTGGAATATACGCGAGCGATAGAATCGTTTGATTTTTTCTTTTCACAAGCCTAATCAAAACTTAGTTAGTTACATGTTGGTATATGGTGAGAAAGGAGTGATTACTTGTAGTTAATAATCCGTGCGGTTTTCTTAGCTCATTTATACGACGCTGGGAAGTAAAGCCACGTTCCCTGTTCCACTCTTGGTCAGATTTCTTGGTACACGGGGCTAGATTCGAGATCTTTGCTTGAACGGCCGTTTCAAGGAGTTGAAGTCGCCCATTCATCGGTCTTGCCAAGGCAATTTTCAATCGCCTTTCTCTGATTTTTTTCCCCTTCCCTTCCCCCTGTCTCGTTGGTTTCCTCTTTTCTCTGTATTCGATCGAACTAGATTCCACACTAATGAGAAATATTTTACCCTGAATATTTCTTTAATAAAGAAATAATCAACGAAACATCAATTAAATCCTACCTGTTTGTTTATCACCGCTACGCGTATGTATTTTCCTCCCTCTCGTTGTTTTTATTCGTTGCTTTTCATTAAATCCTCGGATATTTTGCGTGGCAACGATATAGCCAGGCGAAAGGGCAAAAGTTCATTTACACGCGAGCGTGGAAAGAAATATTTAATGCCGATCAAAATTCCGCGATTCTTTCATTCCCAACTCGAGCCGATAAATTATACATATAGGTATGTTGGTATGTATCTGCAAGCTTGCACTCGTTGCTCTCGTTAAAAACAATGAATTGTAGAGAAAATAATGTCTGATCGTGAAATGGCTCATGTTCAACCATGAATTTCAGTCTAACCCCTTGATTGATGGATGGATAGATAAACAACGATTACGAGATACCTGTCTATTCATCTTATATTGTAATATGTATAACTGAGAAAAATCATTGCGGTTACTTGCGAAACTCGCAAAAGGTACTAGAAAAAGGTATATAAAACATTGCACTCTTCTTTTTCAGATACAAACGAATGAGGGGGCAATTCTAATTTATTCGATCGTTAAAAAAAGTCGTAAAGCAAAGGATTAACCCTTTCGGGGTTGTCGCGTGTCTCCTCTCAGCCACCGCATCATTTGTTATTCCGAGTTAACACTCGACCAGCTAGCAGAGTGCAACGAATATTTGACAAGACTTTACCAAGGATACGAATTTCTTTATCGTTTTTTTTATAATTATTCTGGGGCGTATCCGTCAGTCCTGTGATATATCCGTATATCGTCTGTGTGATTCTAAAATTAACTTTACAGAATGAAATGAAATGAAATGAAATGAAATGAAATGGTAGGAATGAAATGGAGAAATAACCTTAAAATTGTTGGAATTTATTGCAGTGTCGTTTTACGGGGCGAGCTATATTCATCTTCCAGTTCAAGAGGCCAAGGGTGCGACTGACATCAGCTTCCGGTTCCGAACTCATCTCGCGGACGCGATGCTGCTATTGGCCGCTGGCAAGACGGATTACTGCTTGATCAAACTCGAAGCCGGCAGATTGAAGGTTCGTTTCGTCCTCGATGCTTACACGTCCTATTTATAGCCTTTCTGCCCTAACTAATCGCGCGTGCTCATCTACTTCTCTTCCGTTTGCCATATTTGCTAAGAAATTAGACTCGCTTTGATACGTCAAAGAAGAAGGAAAAAGAAAAAGAAAAAAGAAAAAAAGGAGAGGAGGAAAAAACGCCGGTTAAAGCGCGCGACCATTGGGCGCCGCGCCGTAAAAAAGGAAAAACAAAACAGGGAGACAATTTTACTCGCACGTGTAACAACGACACTCTACACTCTACACTGTAAACTGTAAACTGTAAACTGTAAAGGGTAGATTTTATAACTTCGATAAAAAGCGTGTCTTGATTTTAACAACGTCATGTCGTTGCACCGTTTTAGTATTCGTACCATTAAAACTTGACGGGTAAAATCATCTTATTTATTTATGTACCCCACCCAGTGGAGAGGGGGAAGAGCAATGTATTTTATTTAACAGGGAACAAAGAGTTATTTAACACAGCATTTTAAAAGTGTACGATCGTTTGAGTTTACTATTATAATATATACAATTTGTTGTCATCGGTGATTCCTAATTAAAATTGCCTGGTGATCGAGTAGAATTTTCAAGAAAACGATCAAGAAAAGCATCGAAAGAAAAACGATTATGGAAGCGTGTTAAACGGCTGCGTTGGATTTCGTTTAAAGTTTAAACCAATTTCACGGCATTAAGTCCCCTCGTAAATCAACGAGTCGAGCGACAAAACTTTCAGCCGTCGAAATAATGAGTTTCGTCGTAAAGGTTGATATAATGTATAATAAACGATCGTGATATTTATTGTTTTTGCTTTTTTCTACCGGAATAACTTTCTATCTTATTCTGTTTAATAGTCTGTCACGTAGATACAGAATCGTTTTATGATATTTCAAAGAAACGAATGACATTACGACCCCTGTCGATCGATATTTCAGGACAAGCCAATTTTCCTTGTCGCGCCGTGCCGCGCCGCGCCGCGCCGCGCCGGTCTGAAAAAATATATGCACGAATGACCGGTATGAGCAGTGGACGCATTTAATTCAATTAAACACGACTCGTTCAAATTTAACTTTCATACGCGTTCGCGTAAAATAAAATATCGTAACTTTCTATTTGCATGTAGTCGTGAAAACTGTACATTTGGGATTTTTAATGTCATTTGCAGGATAATAAATCTAGACATTTTTCACACAACTTATAAATTTTCAATTGACATAATTATTACATTAATTTCAATGTTCGACTGTTTGACTGTTTGACTGTTTGACTGTTTGACTGTTTGACTGTGACCAAACATCGAGTTGATTTGAAATTATACATAATAATGTGATCGAATTACATATTTGAAAATTAAACGTTCCCGTTCCTCAAACAGATCTCGATTAAACACGGGGCGGCGCGGTGAGGGCAAATTTCAGTCCGGAGCTTTACGCGCGTATTAAATGAGAACGCGTTATTAACGATCACCGTGACACAATACTCGTTGCACCGGAATTAAACGGGTGCACAGAGCACACCAGAACGGGGCATCGCGAAGAACAACGATGCACCGGGGACGACGTAGCCCGGAAGGGCCACTTTACCTTTAGGTAATAATCGTCCTCCAGCTTCGGTTACAAATTACTATTCCGTGAGAAGAATATCAGGCTGGAATACGACAGAACCCATTATTATGTATTATAATTGTGACGTGGATAGTTCCTACAACAGATTCAACGAAATATCGTTATTGGGAACATTGGAGAATTTTGATAAAAACCTTCTTGAAAGTCTCGAAAATTGTGAAGCAATCAATTCGTTTCACTGATTAGAGGGTGAAACGAGGTTGCGGAAATAAATTGACCTATTCAGCTAAAAATCGAGTGGAAACGTTAGCCTTCTAAAAATCTACTGAATCGTCTAGAAATGAAAGAAATTACGGGTCAGTTCGTTTACTTGATAACACCTTTTCATTCGAGTGTACGCGTGCACTCGAGATGAGAATTGACAACATTTGTTCGGAATTAAGATTTTCATAAAGATTCAATATTATTTTTCTCTTTCTTTTTCTTTTTCTTTTTCTTTTTCATCGTAATCCAGTATCAGGACTTAACGTTAAAATAGCAACTGAAAGTGTATTAGAGCTGGCGGAGAAATATCGTTTCTCGGTCGAGCGAGAGGATCGAGCGTGAAAACCGCGAGAATCTAATTTCTCGAAGGGCTACGGGGAGCTTCACAGGCGGCACCGTGAGAAGACTGGTAGTGGGTAGTGTCTGAGCTTAATTAAATTTGTTAAGAAGATCGTTAAGGAGGATGAGAAGGGGATATAAACGAGTGAGTAAAAAGTGCAATGGAATCGTTTCATTAAAACCTTACCTTTTCCATCTTTGCGATTCTTCCACCATTCGATGCTCGACCGACAAAAAATTAGACACTAAAATTTCCATATTATAGGTACATACAATAAGCAGCGCGAACTTTCCTATCACCGTTGCATCGATAGATAAGTCTTTTCTTCGAGCTTCGAAACGTATAAATTCGCGTTTACACTCTCGCGTTTAATACATATTAATGGGCTTCTCCATAGTCATCGAACATTGCGCTACTACTGGCTTTCACTTGGAACTCGCAAAAGCTCGCGCCTTTATTACAAAATCGATCGCAGAACGAAAAGAGAAAATTGTTTACTGCTTCCAAACAAACGAATGTACCTACACCTTAAATTGAACGCACACCGTAGAAAAGTTTTCTACCATTTTCAACTCACTTGTACGTACAGCTGCATACCACAGCCAAACTTAATCGCCTTTATGGTTCACAAAAACGCATCCTCTAACTCGAAACGAAACCTTATATGGACCGAAAACACCAGAAACAACAGTTTACAAGGAGCGAAAAGGGTCTAACCTTGGATTAATTAAGTACACTAGCTACTGTAAGTACGACAACCTTTATCTTTGTAAAGGTACCGAGCTTAACGTGGTCGTTTTCCTCTTTTTTTCTCGCCACCCAGACATTTTCTCCTAGATGCTTTAAATTACCTAGCCAAGCGACCGTCTTAAATAGATGCTAATTTTTCTTCTAATTTACTTAAAAGTCCGACTTGAGCACACCGACTAACTTTCGTAAATAGAAGAAGGATAATACGGTAAAATAGTTGTCCGATTCTTTATTAACTATTCTACGGAAATGTTTCTCTCACAGTTGTTCCGAATTGTTTGAAAACCTATCGAAGAATATTAAAAGAATTCCATTAGGTACCCTCGATCTATTCAGGGGAAAAGAAAAGAAAAGAAATGAAAAAACGCTCGTGTGATAAACGAGCAACCGATGGCAATCTGAAGGAAATCAATATTCAAAGCGTTACAGAGACGAAATTTTACAGGCCGCATATAAATACATATGTATATACATATAAACCGAAAAGAGGTATGATGGCAGAAAGAAAGGTATGAAAAATGAAACGTCGCGTCGGATGTCGCAGGTTTTTGCTGGATCGAGTTGCCGAAAAATTTTCAAATATATTGCTGGCAGGAGGTGACCGCGATATTTCAACCTTTTCCTCGTCAAAATGAAATTTTCAAGAAAAAGTATGATTGCGACAAAAAAATACTTTGACCAAATTCAATCACTCTATATGGTAGAATATAGTAAGTAGTCTGCCACTGATAATGAAAAAAGGAAATGCTTTTTAATTACAGGTGCACATTAATTTAGGCGCAGGTGAGAGCGAGATGGCCAGTGCACGTGGATTAACGTTAAACGACCTAAGTTGGCACGAAGTAAACATGACTAGAAGAGAGGCCAACATAACTTTACAAATCGATGTGATACACACGACCAGATCCCTTCTACCGGGACGTTTCTTCGAGCTCAACATACACTATGGTGTCTTCATCGGGGGACAAGGTGATTTCAACGAGCTATTTCTAGGTAAGACGCCAACAGCAGCAGCAGCAAGCTTCACTGACTCACCCGAATAAATCACAGTTGGTCGCGTCCATTTGTTACAAAGCCGGTAACAAAAACCACGTGTGAAACTTATTTTTCCGTGACTTTCTATGTTGAAATTTTCAATATCTTCGATGAAAATTTTTTCTAAAAAATTCTTCGGAGCTACAAAGTAGCTCGGCACCGCCGAATGAATCACTTGAGATTCATTGCACAAGTAGGTATTATACCTTATCTTTTCAAATAAAAATCCCACTTAAAGGGATAAAATATTGCTCGTTCATCTCATTCTTTACTTATTGTATGCTTGAACGATCTTGAATGGTTTTTATATCTTGTTAAATTTAGCTGGTTTAACAGTGGTTATTGCAACAGGGGTGGAAAGATAAAGCATCCCATTTAAGGATACAAATATATGTAGGTACTCTGTTAATCACATTTTCACTATACAATCATTCTCTAACAACCGTAAATCTCTTATACGAGACTTTATTCTTCTTATTCGTTCTTTCACAGATTATAAAATCGTTTCTTATGGACCATGATCTACATATAATAATATATAGATTGCGGAATCTTTAGTCTTTAAGAATGAAAATGATTCCAGCTAGACGAGGCGACGGCAAAGACCAACAAAGTAGTTGAAATAGGTGAGAGAGGTGACGCGTACAGAGTGAAATTGAATACGATCGGTAGAAACAGAGAACACCTAGTGGCACCCTCTCCTCCACCCTCGGCGACGTTATCACCCGAAGCATCTCGCGCAACGCTGGACTATCTACCGGCACGAAATTCAATTTACATATTCATGACAATTCATTTGTACCCCATGCTACGACATAGCCAACCCCCTTGAAAAGCTCTTATTAGTTCTCGTTCAATTCTTGCATCAAACAAGTAAGAACTGACGCGACGCGACGATGAGAAGAAGTCGAAATGTTAATAAGAAACAGGAAACTCTATTCTATTTTCACTTTTTATCAATTTTTATTTGCAATGATTGCAACTTTAATGCTCGTAATTTACTACGATTAATATAAGAATCGTCAAGTAGACGAGAAAAAGAGGATGACGTAGCTGCGGTAAGGTTTCAGTTTATTGCGATATATGTATGTATAATTCTAGACGAGCTACAATTCGAGGTGAAAAATGAAATTTTTCTGCAATCAAAGTTTATGAAATAATTAAATAATTTTCTTTTCCTTTATTTTCCTTATTTCTTAGGTCACACGGACTACTTAAGAGGCTGCATGGCCGACATAATGTACAACGGAGCTCGGGTAATAGAATACGCCAAGTCAAGAAAAGGTCAGTCCGAGGCTACCGCTGTAACGTGGGGTTGTTCACTGGAATTCGACGGTACAAGAAACACGGAAATCAGTTTCGTCGAGGACGGCGCGTTCACGGCGATTCCACGACCCATTCCACGCTCGGGTTCAAAGTATGTGTAACTAAAGCTCCCTTTCGTCTTGTTCATTGATATTCATTGATATTCATTGATATTCATTGATATTCATAAAAAAGGTTGCTCGTTTAATTTTCATTTTCATACTAAGACTAACGTGTAGATTGGTCAATTAGATAGGCAGAAATTCTGCCATTTAGAAAGACAATTGTGTATGAAATTAATATTCCATACACAATTTCGTAAACATTTATTCTAGCGAAATATTCGGTTTAACGATACACTTGACGAGCAAATATACCCAGCTAAATGAGATCTTCTGTTTAGGAAAATTTCAGGTTCAACAAATCTCCTCCTCCCTCCTGCTTCACGATTTTCCCCGAAACGGTTAAATAGTTTTAGGAACTGTCGATAGACGCGGGGGAAACTAACGACAATATTTGATACGTGTCCGGTTAAAGCCGTCGGTGAATGTGAAACTCAGTTTCCGAGTCAATTTTAACACCATGCTCGCAGAGTCGCGCAGAGTATTTCATGCGTTCATCAAAACTGTCCAACGCGCTCGAGTTACCGTATGCCGTTTACTAAAGCGTTAATAATCCGATAGACGATCCGTGCAAACATCAAAAATGGACAAGTGAAATCGAGATCATTTAATTTTCTTTCGATTCAATTCATTCGAAATCGAAATGCATACACAGCTTATCTAATTAGGTGAGGATAGGTGAGAGATGGAAATGCTTCATGTTGTTAAAGATAGATAGATCTCCTACTTTGATTCCATGCTTTAGAATTTAGAATTTAGAATAACAAAGAGGTTGGAAAACAAGAGTCGTTTGATCGACCAGGCGAGTTGCAAAGATAAACTCTTTCCTCTGGCCGATGAAAACAAAACCGTATATTATTCATAGTAACGTTATGTCGCGGTCGGAAATTGTTATCGCTGTGTTTCCATAAATACGGATACGAAACCAAGTCAACAAAACAACAAAGTGAATCAGATGTACTATGTATACCCAATATATGCTATATTGTATATTGTCGTTAGATGGATTAGTAGCTGCGTTTTAGTCAAAAGCTATATGTACATAGACGTATGTTTTACTGTTTGAACGACAAGCGGTAAACAAGTAAGGGAAGCTTAATTCAATTGAAGGCTATAGCTGTAAAGTGTTGTCTGACCCGAGTATTGAATAAATATTGAAAGACGTTCGAGGTTATTTCGAGGCTGTTGGAAAGCTTTCTTAATCGAAGGAAATTTTTTCGATAAACTCGTCTTATTTTTTCGTAAATTTCTATTTTTAATATCTATAGAAGCTATTTTGAAAACTGGCATATACAAAAAGAAGCCTCGACATCGCGTATCATCTTACAATTCGATAATCCTTAATAATAATCTTAAGGATCGTGACTCGTCAGTGAATAAACGTGCAAGTACTTACCTGTTGCGTATCGTAGAATCCTGCATCTCCTTCGCTTCACTTGATTTACACGTTGTTAAATGATTCGACGTGTCCGGCATTGATCAACTCTCGCGGCACACACACTGTCACATAGATATACATTATATGTATATAATCAACTTCCACGCACCGACCATTCATTTAATCGTAAAAATGAATAAACATATGAATACGTACCTGGACTTTTTTATGTCCATTCGTCCGCTCGTGTACAACAGCAATTCTGAAACATTAAAAACTGTATCAATTTTGAAGGAAGAATACCTAACAATGTTTCTCAACTACTGAAAGAGATCGAAAGAGTATTATTTAACGGTTTAGCCACTACAACGTTGTTACAGAGTACAACTAATGTCGGTACACACGTATGGTCTTAATCGTTATCAAACTTTCGAAGGTGTATCCTCCTTCGAAGACGTGTAACATTCTATTAGTAGTTGAAATAATAATGGAAATTCGGTAGTATTCACAAGTTTCGATCAACTTGTTCGTTACAACTTTATCCGAGCCTCGTACCATTTCGTACAGATGGGAATTCGAGTTGAAGAGCGGTGCAGAGAGTGGTCTACTGCTATATAACACCGGTCAATCGTCGTACGCCGATTACCTTGGGATCGAGTTGTTCGAGGGTAAAATACGACTTTTGATGAACAAAGGAAACGGACCAACCGAATTGATACACGGCACACCGGTGGCAGACGGGAAATGGCATCGGGTGGTCGTTGTTTTCAATCCAACCGTAATAGGGATCACCGTCGACCGAGAAGAAAAAAGCATCACCTTACCATCTGGTGGAAATCGTTATTTGGACCTAGCAGACACCTTGTACATCGGGGGCACAGAGCTGAATAAACGAGCCAGAGCATTTGGTAAAGGACTAAAGTCCGGGGATGTGAGTTACAAGGGTTGTTTGAGGAATATGCTGCTAGACAACAAGGAACTTGGTCTACCGGACGTGAAGATCAGTCAGGGTATCGTTGTCGGTTGCGTTTGGGGATTCCCTTGCATCAATGCTGATCCCTGCGTTTCTCACGCCATTTGTTCCCAACTGGGTGTCAGCTCGTTCAAATGCGACTGCGATCAAGCGTCGTGCACCAAGCCGAACTATGCTGAAGATTACAAGGCAAATGTTTCTTATTTCTTATTTCTTATTTCTTATTTCTTATTTCTTATTTCTTATTTCTTATTTCTTATTTCTTATTTCTTATACAATAAATATCGATTTTATAATCCACAGATTTCACCAAATACGAATTTACCCGTAAACCTAGAGATACTTTCGTTAAACCCTCTAATGGTCTCTGAAGGAGGACACGTGCTGGTGACGAGTGATAATATTGCCATGGTACTAGACATCGCTAAATACGGAGTGGAAGAGGATGGTGTTATCTTCACCTTGGTAACGCCGCCCACATATGGAACTTTGGCCCTGACTCTCTTAACGACCAGAACCGAGCATACCTTTACTCTTGAAGACGTTCATCGAGATAAGGTAATACTTAAATTATACTCCCAAAAGAAATACATGTTCAAAGAAATTAGCTATTCTGAAAAATATTATATATATTTTTTTTTTTTTAATAACACTCGTCGTTTAAGGAAAAGAATGGTAGAGAAACGTGAGTTGTTCCAATTCGTCATAGCTCGACGAGCTATAGATAGTTTCTGACTGAAGGACTAACTTTAGAACCGTGGGGGGGCCGTGTAACATGGTCTCGTTGTCAGAACTCTCGCTTGTCTGTTCCTTTTCCACTTACACTCAATTTATCCAGCGACAGTGCTCTATTTATAAACACAGCTTCAAAGCTTCAAAGCTTTTTCTAATCATCTCGATTTTCATCGAAAAATCTTGTCGTAAGACAAGTCCTAATCATTAACGATTTATTATCTCTCTCTCTCTCTCTCTCTCTCTCGAGTCGGTTTAATTCATTTTAGCAAAGAATATAAGGGGAATCTCTGAAGAAGTTTCATTTTAAAAACTCCAAAGCTTCGTCTGCCTCTAGATACGAGAGTTTCGAGATATTAAAAAGAATTTATTGGTTCGTTAAAGAAGCTGAGACGCGTGAAACTTTCCAAGTTAAACTTTCTTTCTGATATTATTGTAATAATTATTAGATAATCTCGTCTCGTTAGTACGATCAAATTCTTGACAGATACAATACATGCACGATGGCAGCGAAACCACAGAGGACAGTATGATCTTTGAAGTGACGTTGGTGGCAGGAGTAGTTGGTTATACATTACCAGGTTACCTCCAAGGACGACTCAGATTTCCGCTTCACGTAAACGTTACACCTGTTAACGATCCACCTTTGCTGGAAATATCAACAGCGAAAGTGTTGAGGTTGGCTCAGGTGAGTGAGAAAAATCATTAGATACTTGAAACCTACATATGTACATGTAGGTGAAGATAATTAGTTAATCAAATTGCACTTACAACTGCAATCTTCTTAAATGAAGATGAAGCTTTCTTTCCTCGTTTTTCATTAAAACAAGCCTTTTTATAATAATTACATTTCGATGTACAGGGTACGAGGAAAATTTTGACGAAAGAATTAATCTGGGCGATCGATGCCGACACACCGTCGGACATGTTGGTTTACACGGTGTTACGGACAGACGCGGACGCTGGCTACGTCGAGAGGGTGACTTATCCGTCACGGGCCATCGACACGTTTACCCAGGCCGAATTAATACAAGGATTAATTGCATACGTACACCGTGGAAACGGTATTATTTTCATCCTTCGTATATCCTTCGTGTATAATATAAACTACGTATTTTGAATTCCAGCAAAATCGAACGCAAAGCTGGACCTACGGGTCACCGATGGGATAGAGAATAGCCAAGCAGCCAGTCTAAGAGTGGCGGCTCATCCTTTGGAAATCAAACTGATGCACAACACAGGATTGGTCGTCGTTCATCGATCCTTCTCCTACTTGACCCCGGCGAATCTCTCCTTCACCACGAATTCCGACGACAACACAATCGACATACGTTACGATATCGTGTCTCAGCCTGAATTTGGCACGATTCAAAAGCTTAAGGACGACGTCTCGAGCAGTTGGCTGAACGTTGACCACTTCACTAGCCGGGACATCGAGACGCAGACGATTCGATACCTTCACAACGAGGGCAGTCCTAACCAGGATGAGTTCAAGTTTCAAGCTAGCGTTAGAGAAGCCAGAGCGGCGCATACCTACGATTTTCGTATCACTTTTATCGATCTTGAACTGAAAGAAACGAAAAGGGTGACGGTTAATTTTACCAACGTCGCCGAGGTTAGCGTGACCAGTGAAAATCTGAGGTACCAAACGAATCCATTGATAACCAGCCTGGACAAGATCATTTTTACCATCTCAACGGCACCAAGATACGGCCATCTCTTTCTGTTGAATCGAAAATTAGAGATCGCCGACACGTTCACTCAGGAAGACGTAGACTCTGGTAAATTGTTGAGATATCGATTGTTTAAAAGAGCCTATTCGACGATCCTCGATGAATTTGCTTTCAAAGTAAGCGCACCGCAGTGTATCGATCTTCATTCGAGCCTAAAGTTGAGACATTACCTTAGCAAGAACGTGAAACCGTTGGACAGCGTCGAGACGTTAAGGGTGGACGAAGGGTTCCGAGTACCCGTCCAAATCCTGCGTACCAATCCAAAAAATTACGGAGTCGGTTCGTTGATCTACAACCTGACTATACCAGCTCGTCACGGTTGGTTGTCGGTAATCGGTAACAACTCGAGATCCTATTCGAGAAACGACACCAACTACTTCACCTCCGAGGAACTATCCTCGCAGAGGGTCTACTACCTTCACGACGACTCGGAGACTCGGGAAGACTCGTTTCAATACGTAGCAATTGCCTCCGACTCGGTGGATTTCATGTACGTCGGTCTGATTCGAGTCGAGGTGACGATGAAGAACGATAACGCACCGGAACGGATAGTGAACAAGGTGTTCCACGTAGTGTCGAGAGGCGAAAGATTGCTCACCAGCAAGGATCTAGCCTACGCGGACAAAGACGTCGAGACGAAAGCTAGCGAGCTGATTTATACGAGAAGAGACACCCAGAAGCACAAGCTGTACAGGGTGTCGAACCCTACTCTGCAGATTCACGAGTTCAGCCAACAGGATATCGACGACGGTCAGATACTGTTCAAACATCACGGCGAGGATAATGGAAAGTTTGAATTTGGAGTGACCGATGGTTACTTTTACACAGCCGGTGTACTCGAAATTCAAGCAAGTCCCCCTTACGTGATGCTAAAGGAGAGCAACGGATCGTCCGTGGTACAATTCAATCGGTCCGTTGCCCTACCACTCGACCAGCTTGACATCGAAACGAACGTCTACACTTCCGACAAGGACATTCGGTACACGCTGCTGGAGAAACCAAAGTACGGAGTGTTGTTGCAACACGGCAAGGAAACAAACACTTTCAGCCAAGAAAATCTTCGTTACGGTATAGTGTTGTACAAACATATGGGTGGTTCGTTAGTTAAAGACCAGTTTAAGTTCAAAGTGTCGATGAAAGTAACGGGAGCGGGAACGGGAACGGGAACGGGAGCGGAAACGGAAACGGAAACGGAAGGTGTCTTTACCATCAAGGTATACCCGGAGAGCTACTGGCAGCCGTTGATCGTTCAAAACAACAAGACTGTGTTCGTCGAGGAGGCCACCAGTGTTCTGTTGAGCAGGAAAAGCCTCGAAATCATGCATCCTAAGATACCCGAGTCCGAGATCGTTTATTTATTAAAAGAATGGCCACAGAACGGTTACTTGGAGCTACAAATTCACGACGAGCACACCGAGGAACCTCGAGAGGATTATATTGGAAACGCGGTCAAGTCGTTTAATCAGGCTCACGTGAACGAAGGTCGCCTTTTTTACGTGCAATCTGTAATAAATCAAACGTACGATAAATTCATGGTCGACGTGACCAACGGGATAAGCTGGTTAAAGGAGCTCAGCGTGAATTTCGTAATAGTACCGGACAAACTGTACGTCGAAGCGAAGAGTCTCGCTGTGATCGAAGGAAAGAGCACGGTTATTGACGAATCAAACTTTTCTATCCTTACTCCTTATTATTCCGGAAAGGTGACCGACTATCGTGTCATTGAGAAGCCGAAACACGGAACTATTCTGGACTCGACCAAGAATTCTCAAGTGAAAAAGTTCTCGCAGAAACAGCTGAACGCCGGTATAATATTCTACAGGCATAACGATGACGAGTACTCGAAAGATTCTTTCAAAATGCTTCTCGTAGCCGGCGACAAGATTAGCGAACCGTTCGACGTCTGGGTGATCGTACAGCCTGTTAACGATGAAATACCGGTCCTGGTTAATAACAAAAGATTAAACGTCTGGCAAGGTGGTTCGATCACCCTAACGTCTGATAGTTTAGCAGCCGTTGACAATGACACGATCGCTGACGATATTACGTTCAACGTGACTGCAGTTAGAAATGGTTTTATCTCCTTTCAATCATCCCCGGAGGTGGACATTTATAATTTCACCCAGCAACAGATTGACCAATCGAAAGTGATGTTTACGCATACCAGTGAGTTCTTTCTTTCTTTCTTTTATTTCACTCCTATTATAGGTATACCTATAAAACATTACTGTCAAATTATTTCTGCATTTCAGATGGAACCGATGCTGAATTCAGTTTCGTCTTAAACGATCGAGTACACACGACTGACCCTTACGCGATTCTGATAACCACCAAGCCGGTTCGTTTATCCATCGAGCAAAACTCTCCACTGAACGTCTTTCCTTTGAGCAGCAAATTGATATCGAGCAAATCGTTGCTCACTAAATGTTCGGACCAGCTGCGAGAAATTAAATATACCGTACGAAATGGACCTCATCTTGGGAAAATCATCGTGGAGACGAGCGAAGGTGCGTGGTTGAACGTTGATAGATTCACGCAAAAGGATGTTAACAACAGCAAAGTATTTTATGAGCACACTAAACAATTCATGGACCTATCCGCCAACGATTCGTTCACGTTCGACGTTGAAGCACATTTTACGGAATCGTTAACCAATCAGGCATGTTTTTAATCTATTTTAATCTATTTTAATCTGGTAACTATTCAACAACATTATTATATTATCTTCTCTAGGTATTTCAAATAGACATATCCGTATCGAGCGGTGGACTGGACAGATACATCTCCGTGAAGAACGTAAGGATCGAAGAAGGTGGTTCGGCCAAGGTCGTGATGAACATCACTGGAATCGTGTCGTATCTTAAAAGCCACGCTGGAATTGAAAATCCAGCCGTACTTTCGCGACTGGTCAGTCAACCCAGCCACGGTCACGTAATGATTCTTCCAGACCTAAACGTCACTACTTTTTCTCAGCCTCAAATCGAGGGTGGAAAGATTATCTATTATCACGATCACTCGGATACCTTGGAAGATCGCATCGATTTTTCTCTCTATCTAACGCCAGGTCACATTCTGCTCTGTAACACTAGCGTACCGGTTATAATCGAGCCGGTAAACGACGAACCATTTACACTGATCACAAATGCATCCTCCATCACGGTCGTTCAGAATCAAAATCAAACGATAACCAGGGAGAACTTACTGACCGAGGATCCTGACACTCCGCCGGAAGAAATTATATACGAAGTGATATCTGGTCCTACTTACGGTCGTCTACTACTCTTGCCATTCAACGAAAACATTTCCGAAGTACGTCAAGTGAATATATTTACCCAACACGACGTCGACTCGAATCGACTGGTGTTCGAGCATAACGGACCGCTTCAAGGAGCATCCTTTTACTTTAGAGTATGGGACGGACGTTTCAATCCGTTGTACAACATCTTCAACGTGAACGTTCTACCTATAAAACTAAACGTGACGGTGCCAGGACCGGTGAACTTACAACAGGGCTCGAACGTGGCCGTCATTTCGGAGAGTAACGTGAAACTGGACACCAACGCCAGACAAGATTTGCTCGTTTACGAAGTAACCACCGGTCCAAAGTACGGTGTACTGTACGCGCGAGATGGGGCAGCAGCAGCCACATTTAAACAGACAGACCTACTGTCGAAGAGTGTTATGTACATGCAAATGGATATGACCGTGTCGAACGATAGCCTCGAATTGACCGCTAGACTGAGCGGATTCGAACAGAAACATATAAGGATCGAGATCAAGGTGGTACCGTTGATGATCATCAACTCTATGACAGCTCTGGCGGATGAAAAGACGCGGATAACCCTGCAACACATGGACGCTACACCGTTGGCCAAATTGACCAGCAGCAATCCCCTCTACACGATCATTAGGAAGCCGAAATTTGGTAAAATAAAAAGAATTATCAGAAGTTCCTCGTCCTCGGGTGAAAAACGTGCTACTAGAGAGAAAGAAGTGATCAAGTTCTCGCATCAAGAAGTAATGTCTGGCGTGATTTACATGGTCTGCAGAAAAATTCCAACAATCGAGTACAGAGGTGTTCCGGATAGTTTCACCTTCGTCTTGACAGCTTCCATCTTTCAACCAGCCGTCGGTGAGTTTCAATTTCGCGTGAAACTCGATATCGACGAATATAACAACATCACGTTGGCCGGACCGATGGATCCTGTCGGTCACGAGGGTGAAATGGCAATCGCACCCAACATGAGCAACGACTATTTGTTAATATTGGGCATGCTGCTCGGTGTATTTTTCCTCGGGGTAGTGGTCATAATCACCATTCGTTGTAGACACAACCGATACAAACATGCCGAACAAGAGAAATCGGAACCAACGCCAACACCGGTTGGTATAATGCCCCTACCAAGACCTCCGGATCATCTAATGCCAGCTACTCCGCATTTGAAACGCTTTGCCAACGATCACCACAATAGCGTGGCTGCTAGCACACCGTTACCGGTACTTCCTACAATGACATCTACCTTGCCTCAGTGCAAAGTGATACCCCTCAGTCCTTTGGAGAGCATCGCGGCGGGCTCCGAGGTGGACGTTTCGGCCAAGTATCCTTACGGTGTCGCCGATGCCGACGAATGGAGCAGCTTTGATACGTCCGATCTACCTTGTCAATCAGCCGCAACAACACAGAGGACCAATAACCCGTTACTCAGACGAAATCAATACTGGGTCTAGCAGAAGGAGGGCTGTTCGCGATCAATGCGAAACAGACCGTAACGTTACTTCTCATCTTTTTAAAAAAGACTGCTTTTCTTACATAAGTCGAGATTAATCGTCTATTACTATGGTCTTAATGTGCCTAAAAATAATAACTGACTGTGCGATGGACGCAAATACACCGGAAGCCTCGATTTTATACCGAAATATTGACGGAAACTCTCATTCCCGGCCTGTCTCTATCTATCTCTATACGCTCGTTAACGCTTTTTAACTATACTTTTTCTTTCATATTTCATCAGTATGTATACACTTACCGTCACCGATGTAATCCAGCCTTCCTTGCCTTCCTCCTTTGCTTCTCAAACTAGCGTTCATTCATTATCTAGTTAACATTATGAAATAATTTCTTGAATCGCTACGATGGTGGTGCGCTATTAGCTAAAGAATTTTACTTACCCAAATATCGCACGCAATCGCAAGTCGAGCATCAGAGTTTCCATCACGTTTTTTTCTTCTTTCTTTCTTGTTTCTTTCTTCTTTCGTTTTTTTTTTAATAGGAAGTGGGGATAATACATTTTGTACAGCCCCAGTACCAAATTTTTTATGGTGTATCAAATGAGCACTACGAATCTTCACGAATCTGAAAGAATTAGGCTTACTTAAATGTAAAACGATACAATATCATCGATTCTTATAGATCGAATGTGCCTAAGAGATTACCGAATCTTGTGTAAGAATATTTCCCACAAGGCCTGCGCACGATGACGAGTTTCTTCGTGTTTACTCGATGTCGAATCGCATCGAACAAATTTTCGTCGATCAAAATGTTCTTTCTAACGTAAGTACATACGTCGGTGTTCGTTATTCGGGTTGTACCTTTAAGAAACAACAAACAAACAAAATGGAGTCAAACGATGTGACAGCCATAACGTCACACGAATATTTAATGGGGAACACCAGGAACATCTAAAGACGTAACCATACCTGTACGTAAACTTTTGTAAAAAAAAAAACAGAAAAAAAAAGTAGTATAAAAACTGACTGACAATGAGTATTACAAATTTATACTGGTATATATATACACACATGTGAGAAACGTATAGAAATTATTCGCGACTTACTTAAGTGCGTATACATACAACTTAGGCTTATCTTGGTTAAAAAAAAAAGAGAGATAAGTATAAAGGAAGAAATGCCTTCTCACCATTCGCCTTCTTTGTTCGGATTCTTTTCTCAAAAGGTTCTATGTTGAGCTGTCCTTGGGTTATCCTTCGACTCTCCTTTTATTATCCCTTAGACGTATTTTAAGATTGAAAGCGAATGACGGCAGGCTTCCTTTAATCAAGGAAAGTCTAAGTACATCCTACCAAAATATACAACAGGAACACTCGAGTTTTCGCACATATCTTTTTACACGTTTCCCGCGTATTTTCTACTAGTCCCAACTGGTCCGAACTAGTCCGCATTGTACAACATCGAGCTATCGAATTCTCGTTACGTTCCTAATGAGGTCGCTCCTGTTCGTTTTTGACAAACTATCTTACCATTCGAGCTAATATTCTGCATCTAAAAACAAACAAAAAAATGTCATTATTTCTTTCATCGATCAAATATGTATGTACCTACCAATAATTATATTGGTAAAAGTCAATCATTGCGGATTTTCTGCGCAATCGCTCGTCGATCTATCGATCGATATGTAACGTTAATCTTTTTTAGGCCTGCGCAAACTCACAGTGACCTTAACCATGATTTCATTGAAACTTTAGATACGATATAATAATGAAAATGCTCTAAAATCGATGTTAATATAGGGATAATGATGATAATAATAAAACGATTATTATTATTATACGTATATAAGTATATAAAATATGTACAGCATCGAGCATGGTCAGCTTTTCCTGGTTCTAAACTTCCTGGTCCCCGCTACATACGTGTATATGTATACACTCTTAATTGATATTTCTGCTATTATTTCTTAATTATATACTAAATTTGCATTGCTTGTATTATACCTATCTGCATTATATTATTAATATCATCGAGATATCAAGGTTTTATTCCCATAGAAGCAGACTGTGCTCGATGCTTTACGTTACGCTATGCGACATAGAAAACACTGTTTCGCAAATTCATAGTATATTAATTAAGTATTACATATTAATGTAATAGTTGCGATCGTGTGATGAAACAAGATAAAAAAATGAATTATACTAGAAATGAACAGTTAGGCTTTTTTACATCCCTAAAGTGAACCGATCCGAGTGCCAAACTTCTATTATACATACATTACATACATACATATTGTGTAATATAATAGTTATATAGGATTGTATTTTCCTTGCCGACTGAATGCCATTACTCTTGTAATTCAAATAAATTAAATGTGCGATGTTATATAAACTTACCCTTTCATTTGAAATATGTAATAGACAAGAGACAAGGAGAAGCTTCAATTCTGTGCTGTGGTTCTGAAACTTTTGCTGTCGAGCGCAGAAAACGAATCAACTGCGCCCTACAGAAAAAATGAGAAACTAAATTTCTGATCTGTTTTACCTTTTTCACGTCTTTCGCGCGTAGTTCTCATCTTTCCAAAGTTCTGGAAATCGTAGTTCTCACTATATTTTCAGTTACTCCAATTTCAATATTTTATAACCTTTTTACGATTTGGGTAATATAAAGACCAAATCTGTTCAGCAGAGGCGGCGTAAGTAATTTTTGGGAACTCGTTTCTTGCATCACCTTAAACTATACATATACGTCGGTATTTCAGAATGTGAAACACCAATTCCCACGAGATGATAGATCTATACTCTATACCTCGTTTCTGCTTATAAGTAGTTTCGGAAAGTAACTTGCCGATGATAATTCTAACCGGACTTGATCCGTGCAATCGATTTTATTCATATTCCATTCGAATTAGTAAGAAGACGGCATAGCAAACGTTACTTTTCAACATGGCTTCATACGTGCGGTAAGTTAATTATTTTCGGCCTTTTAACCTTCAAGAATTGAAAATATCTGTTCTTTTGCAAACAACTCCGAGTCAGGATATACTTAATTTTTATTGATTTCTATCGATACAAAAATATAAGCGTTATAGTTCTTATAGTGTTTACTTTTATAATTCAATCATGATCACGCTGACGTGTCCATGATAACATCATATTTGATATAAATAATCTGTTTTCTTTTTTTTTTTTTTACCAACACAACATTACCAGTACTAGTCTACTTTAACAGCTTTGTTCATAAAATCGTTAAAATATGTATTTAGCGTAAATAAAGAAACAGATTTATCGTTAAAAAAGAAAAAAAATCGCATTACACGAGAAAAGCACGTATTTATGTATGTATACATATAAATAGGTAGTACGTAAGTACATAAATACAATAAGAAAATCCGATTAATTGAAAATAAAATGTAGCTGATATCGATAAGATCAACATGGTTTAGATTTTATAAGTTAATCATAAGTTATTCATATTGTTGTAGGGTAGGATTACTGTTACTATTGGTCTGTTCTTCCTTCCTTGTTGATGCAGTTAACAGGGATACATTTAAAACATGCGAGCAAAGCAGTTTTTGCAGGTAAATTTTCGCTCTTGAATTACTTGTAATCTAATTAAAATTAATTAATTTATTATGTTACATCGTTAGACGCTGTAGAAAAGTTGAACCTGGAAAAACACCTTATCAACTTTCGTTAGACACGTTGGTTAATAATAAGTCCAGTATAAGCGTAGATTTATTTAATAAGGATACATGGGTTCTTTATATATTGCAATTGACGGCGCTAAAGGACAATACATTCAGGCTTCGTATCGGTGAAAAGAATCCGTTACATCCGAGATACGAACCTGAACATGCTCTTCAAGATCAGCCTCAAACGTCTGAGTTAACTTTAGTTGAGAAAACTATAGATCACGTTACTGTAACGAGCGGTGAAAATAAAGTTATATTGTACGCTAGTCCATTTAGAATTGATTTATATTCTGAAAATGTACTGGTTGTGTCTGCTAATGCAAGAGGTCTCATGAGATACGAACATCATCGTACAAAGCCCAAGTATGTCGATACGATTACAAGCGTTATCATTTTATTTATATACAATCCGTTTAATTTCATTTTTTGTTCATCTGTGGCTTAGGAAAGGCGAAGAAGAAGAAGAAGAAGCAGAAAGAGAAGGAGAAGAAGAAGAAGAGGAAGAAGGAAATGTTGAAAATATTGAGGTAGCAAATAATACCCAACCTCCGGGTGATGGAGCGGAAAATGATCCGGGTGCATGGGAAGAGAATTTCAAAACTCATCACGACGCGAAACCCTTTGGCCCTGAGGCCGTTGCTTTAGATTTTACCTTTCCAGGATCAGAATATGCGTACGGTGTACCAGAGCATGCCGATTCTTTTGCATTAAAGTCAACTAAACAAGCTCATCCGTACAGATTGTACAATTTAGATGTGTTTGAATATGAAGTGAACGAGAGAATGTCGCTGTATGGAGCGATACCTGTTCTCTATGCTCATGGTAAAGAGAGAACAACTGGTATCTTTTGGCACAACACTGCAGAAACATGGATTGATATTTTATCAAGCGCGGACAATAATATGGTGGAAAGCATTGTAAATTTTGTATCAGGTTCCGTTAAAAAGTCTCAAGTGGATGCTCATTTCATGTCAGAATCTGGTGTAATCGACGTGTTCTTTATGTTAGGCCCAAAGCCTTTAGATGTATTTAAACAGTACAGTAGATTAACAGGCACGGCACCGTTGCCGCAAATGTTTTCTTTAGGATATCACCAATCTCGTTGGAATTACAATGATCAAGATGACGTAATACAAATAGCAGAAAACTTTGATGTACACGATCTACCTCTAGATGTTATGTGGTTAGATATCGAATATACCGATAGCAAAAAGTACTTTACTTGGGATGAAAGGAAATTTCCGAACCCTACCGAAATGATACACAACTTGACCGGTAAGGGTAGAAAATTGGTCGTTATTATCGATCCGCATATTAAACGTGATAACGGTTACTTCGTTCATAACGATGCAACTAAAATGGGTTATTACGTTAAAACGAGAGACGGAAAAGATTACGAAGGTTGGTGCTGGCCTGGAGCGACATCGTATTTGGATTTCTTTGATCCAGCTGTGCGAGAGTATTATATCGGTCAATATAGTTTAGACAAATTTCATGGTACTACAAATGATGTATATATTTGGAATGATATGAACGAACCAAGCGTATTTAACGGCCCTGAAGTAACAATGCCTAAGGATGTAATCCATTATGGTGGTTGGGAACATAGAAATGTCCACAATATAAATGGATTTTACATGAGTATGTCTACATATGAAGCTCTCTTCAGAAGATCCGGTGGCAGTTTACGACCATTTATATTAACAAGATCTTTCTTTGCTGGATCGCAACGTTACGCGGCCATGTGGACCGGAGATAATACCGGTGATTGGGATCATTTTCGCATTAGTTATCCAATGTGTCTTAGTATGGCTGTTTCTGGAATGTCATTCTGCGGCGCAGACGTTGGTGGTTTCTTTAAAAATCCAGACTCGGAGCTGTTTATAAGATGGAATCAAGCCGGTGCCTGGCTTCCATTTTATCGTCAACATTCCCACATTGAAACGAAACGACGCGAACCGTGGACGTTTAACGATGAAACTACACAGCTGGTCAGAGAGGCATTCAGAATGAGGTATTCGTATTTACCGTTATGGTATACGATTTTCCGAGAGCACGAAATAACTGGGGTTCCTGTAATTAGACCTTTATGGACCCATTATCCAACTGAAACAGAAACTTACGCTATCGATGATGAAATACTAGTTGGAGATTCTATACTCGTTCGTCCAGTTTTTCAGCCATCCGTTACAGATGTTAGCGTATACTTCCCTGGTGAGGGCAAAGTAACTTGGTACGATGTTGATACCATGCAGCCATATCGGCAGGCAGGCTTAGTTAGTATACCTGTTACTCTTCACAAAATTCCGGTATTCCAAAGAGGTGGTTCTATTATTCCACGAAAAATGAGAATACGCCGTAGCACGGTCGCAATGAAAAACGATCCGTACACTTTGGTAGTTATCACTGATTCAGCTGGCAAAGCTAATGGAACGTTGTACATTGATGATGAAACCAGTTTTGAATATCGTCATGGAAAGTATCTCTATTTAAAGATTAATTTTCAAGGGAATAAATTAACCAGCACGTTTATAGACAAATTAGCTTCGTATCAAACAGAGAGCTGGTTAGAAAGGGTAGATATTGCGAATCCACCTAAAGGAGTCAAATCAGCTGTATTAACTTCGTCTAGTAAGTATACCGAAATTTAACTTAATGAATTCAAAATTACGTTTACTATAAAAATTTTTATTATATACTATATTTCAGATTTGGGAAAAGTTACTTTGGAGACTAAATACAATCCGAATAACAATGTATTAACTGTGCGCAAACCAGGTGTAAATATGGGAGAAGAATGGACTATCGAATTAATCTATTAAAATCGCATTTTTATTCATCGTAAATTCAATAATCATACCAGTAATACCAATTTTCTATTCACGCAATTTTTCTCAGCTATCTGTGATCAAAATATCATTGTATACCGCAAAAGAACAAAAATACAGTGTAGTAGAGGAGTTAATGTAAATGATATATTTATTATTTTGACAAGCTATTTTAAAAGCTATTTCTGTTTTTATCGAATAGAGTAAGAACGTGAAACCATTATTCAATCTTTAAAACTTATATAATTATGCATGTAAAGAAAGAAAAGAAAATACATCGTACGTATTAGAAATATAAACGTTGACCACATACGTATATCTCGAAAGAATATTTAAATACTTAATTAACTTTATGAAGAAATTTATCAACATTTTGTAAAGGAACTGTGAACATGAAAATATAAAAGAAATATCTAGGATTTAATTAAAAACAAAGAAAATATGTTTTATTGAATCAAATACGTTCTGTCGGTGCTTGCTTATGAGCTAAATACAAAAACGCGATTGATGATAAAGCAGATACCAAGAAAATAACGTCGAACCATCTATGATAAAAATTAAATTGCAATTCTCCTAAAACTTGTGTTATTATAATTCGATATTCTGCAGGCATATTCATGCGCATCAGAAGAACAGAGGACACGAAATACATTCCCTGAAAATATATAAACCTATGTATTATATTAAGAAATCTTTAAGAAGAAAATTCTTACCATTATTTGAGCAAGTATAAGTACAATAATATTCGATGATTTGCTACTTGATATAGCATAAAAAAACTGAAAAAGAAAACAATAAAATAAAAATTTCGAATATTAATCAATGATAATTTAGAAGATAATGAAATAATAAATATGTATATATACATATATGTACCTTTGTAAGTGTTAATAATAAACCGCGAATCGATGTAAGAACGATACAGCCAACAAGATAAAACGAAATGTGTTGTGACCAGAATGTAACATCAATATTAAAACCCATCCAATGTACTGCAATTTCAATTGCTCGAGTTACAGGATCTTTTTTGCCGACACGATCAAAAACTATATTAATCGTTGACTGAAAAGTCAATATAAGACAAGATCAAACGATTGACCATTACATTTTTCAACACTATGTTTTTTGCAATCAAACTCCCATTAATACTTACAATAAATATTTTCCAAGTACAGTATACAGAAAAAAAGTACCCTAAAACATTGAAATATTTTCCTTGCCAAGTAGCAGCCCATTCTAAACGTTCCCTTGCAATCTGAATGTCGTGTGCTTCTAAAAATAATTGTCTGGACAATTCCTCCAGTGCTGTCACTTCTGTTTGTAATTGTTTAATGCCTGCAAATTTATGAGATTATTTATTCGATTATTCGATTATAATATATATCATATTTCATACATTATTGAACATTATTGAAGAATGTAATACAGACTTTCTTGATTACTTTTAGTACCGCTTAAAGGCCCGAGCATACCCCAAAGCCGAGAACGAGCTTCGGTCTGTCCTACCACTTCTCCTTTTTTACCTAATGCTATTCTTTTCTTTTTAGCAACAATCATGTCCATTGTTTGTAACAACCGTCTCTCTATAGCTTGTACATCAGCATACGTTACTGGCCTCATAAAATAGGCCATCGAGGTATACGGATAATTAACAGCACCAAATCCTGACAACAATGCCATAACGGTAACACCAATTACTCCTATTCTACTAACACCTTGTTCGATAGATAAAAGGCCTTTTTTTGGACTTAAAATTGGAAAAGGATCTCCCACTTTCCAAAACAAGTAAAGGTAAAAAAGATATACGATAACTGTTAACGGTCTTATCAATTTCAGTCTTACTGCAAAAAAAGGTATAATAAAGTCAATAAATGATAGTATAAGCGACGCCAAATATAGGAAAACATTTAAAATACATACCAAATCTAATATTACTGATAATAAAATATGCTATGTAAAATGGAATCAGGACAATTACCATAAAGAGAAGCATATAAAGACCAACGTTCCAATGAAAATATCTAGAACTAAAACAAATATTGTTATTAATATTCGATAAGGAAAAACTCTGTTTGCTTACCTAGAATCAAGAACTCCTACTATTTCAAAAATAATTAGCTCAAACATAGTACAAGACAATGAAAATGTTGTGGAAAAAATTAATTGTACTAATCTATGATGGACTTCATAATCCCGAAATAACTTTTTTACAAAAAATACCCATCCTCCTAAGAAGAAAATCACCTGGAATATGCAATATAAATAAATGGAATATGAACTGCAAGTAAAACTATTAAGCCTGACAATGCACGATCTAGCATCTTAAATTTAACTCGTTTACAAAATAAATCACACGATTTTAGACCACTAGATTTATTAGGGCAGTGTCAATATTCATACAGATAACATAAATTACATTTACATCTTTATTAATACAATAATATGTTATAAAATTTTCATTTCATTAAATCTTCAAATCATCTCAAATAAGTTCACACATTAATCATTTGAAACAATATCTATCAAAAGTCTACATATACTGAAAATGTTTTTAAACAAAATCTCAAATGAAACATTTCAATAAACGAAGAGAAATAATAATTCATAACCTAACTGTATAATATATACAAATCCTATTAAGATTAAATTTGTATTAAGTGGAAATAAATTTCCACCTGTGTAATAAGAATCACGAATGTATCCTCCAAGAAAGCCATGTTTTAATAATATCGTAAACAATTCGCATTGCGAAGCGTCAAATTTTGTTCTTGCTTGCAACTTGACAGAATGCCTCAACAAAAACAATCCAGATACAGAAAGACATGCCTTTGTTGTTATCGAGGGGTTACGATTTTCGGGGTCTCAAACACCCCCAGGTGAAAACTTTGATGCCGCTTTCAGCAACGTACTAACTGGAGAATGAATAACATTTATATGATTTAGCATATAGTTTAATACAATAAAAAGTGATAATTAATTTACTAAAAAAACAGATAAACACTGTTTTAAAAAAATTGTTCAGAGTATCATTGTTTACAATTCACCATGATACATTGAATTTTATTTTGTCGTAAGCTGTATAAAATACAACTAAAAATTACATATACATACATATTGGATTTCCAAATAATACATACATTATAATTATTTCTTTATTCAAATCATCAATTCCTCAGGTTGCATTCACAGTCTTGTTTATTTCCGTGTTATTATTCAATGCCACAATTGACTAGAAAAGATACATACATGTGTAGTACCATGTACATTTTTACATGAAATTTACCATATTTAATAAAACACTTACTTCATGTTCTCTATTATCATCAATTTCCTTAAGTGCTTCTCTATATCTATTAAGAATTCTTTCGGGAGGAGATGTTTTAATAAGTTTTTTAGGATATTGAAAGTTTTTCCTTACCGGAGTAAAACCTGATTTAATTGAAATACAATAAATACGTGTTCAATTGTTTAATGTAAAAGAAGAATAGGTAGAGACATACCTGTTGGAACATCACGGAATAGATCGTCCACGAAAAATTTGTCAACTTGATTGCGGATTGTTTGCATTTCTGCAATAATTTTACTATTCATGTTTGCTGCATTCGAATTTTCACTTTCGAGCTTCTGACTCACTTCCATACATACGTTTATGAAAGCTGTTTTACATACATTTAAGCATTTTGCATGTTTATCACTTGCACTGTAAACTGTCATATACACATCCTGCAAATTGTATAAATTAAAATACAACTATGACAGATGTATGATAAATAAGTAATAGAATAAATAATATTGATACTCACATTAATTGCTGATAAAACGAGGCTTGTATCTTCTTTCATTTTTTGTTGTATCTCTCTTATGTTACGTTCCACGCAATTTTTGTAATTTGTTATTGTATCACAATTTTTGCTTAAATCAGCTTGGAATCGATCTATTAACATTTTACTTTGTACGATAGTATTTTGCGTCAACGTCCGTGACTACGAAATACAATACAATTATAAAAATAAGAAAATAATCATTTTAGTAGTCTTCAAACAACAATTTGAAAAACTTTTACCTTTTCTGTTTCTACAGCAACCTCTTGTTTTATAATTTGTAAATTATTTTTTAGTTTATTTTGTAAATGATTTCCTTCTTCTATATTTATTTGGCAAGCATTTGAAGCTTTGTTATTTACAGTATTACATGTTTCATCAATGTTATTTAATGTAGCACACGTCCAAGAGTAATTTTCCTCGTCCTCTTTTTGTAATTCGTCGAAACAGTGTTGTAATTCTTTCATTATCTGTAAATATGAAATCTCAGAAATACAGCAATTTTATTAATTATATAAATTAACATACCTTTGCAAAATTTGCACGTTTTTTCATAAGAGTATTTTGATTGTGCCGAATATTTTCAATATTTTCTTTCACTTCCTGAGTAGTGTTACTTAAATGTTCACACTTGTCATTTGAATGATTAAAAATTGATGTTATTAATTTCTTTGTAGATTCTGTTAAACTGTCAACTTTATAAGAAATGTCAGTATTTAATATTTCAAAATTTTCAGCTATTTTATTTTCCATTAATTGATGAATTTTTTTTGTGGTACTAAACAGATAATTTGATATGCTACATTCTTTTTCTGTTATGGTTGTAACATTTTTTATTTCGCCTTCAAGCCATTGTTGATGCCTTAAATTCTGAACAAATAATACACACACACACACACACACGCGCGCGCGTGTATATATGTATATATATATTTTAATTATTATTACGAAATTTATTATATATTAAATTAAATAATATTAATTTTATCACTTACAGAATCATTTATGTTCTTTTTTAATTCGTCAGTTATATTTTGCTCACAATTAACAAGATTTGCGGATATCGTTTCAATTGATTTATCAACAGTTTCACTAAATAAAACAGATTGCGCGTCTAAAAAGTGAAATAATAAGTACTTGATGGCAAAATTTGGTATTTTTATTATGTATCTCTTTTTATTATTATTACCTATATTTTCCTTTACAGAGGTACAGAATTTCATTAAATCCTCAGCATGTTCTGAAATATCAGCTTGAATATTTATAATTCGTCCTTTAATATATTTCTTAAACTGTTGCCCAAGACACATATTTTGCTGTCCAACTTGCCTAAAAAGAACCATAATACTAACTCAAGTGTCCACGAATAATTTTAAATTATTTATCTTTTCCTATGAAATACTTTACATTTTGCGATAAATTTTGTCGTGAAGTTTATGTACATCTGAAGTAGCTGTGTCAGCTACATCTAAAACCGTTTGAACTTGCGACAAAAGAATATCTTCGGTAGATGCATGTTTTTCAACAAGATGCTTTTGCTCTTCCTTCTCCTGTTCTGATAATGCCAAATGCGATGATGTCATCATCAACGCATTTACTGTACTTTCTAATCGATTTGTTGTATTTTGTAGCTCATAAGCTTGTTCAGAGTTTTTTGATTTTAATTTATTAAATAATTGCTGAAAGAACAATTAACATTTTATTATTATGACAAACATTGATCTAATTAATGTAATTTTGATATAAATAATTACCTCCTTATAATGCATAGCTTCTTCAAGTGCTTTAATGTAATCTAATTTCTTTTCTACTTCTTTATTCTGAAATTCTATCAATGATTGCATTTGATTGTAACTATCTTCATTTAAATAAATTCCATTGCGTTCACGAGTTGCCGTTAAATCTTTTTTCAATTTTTCAATTTCTGCTATATATTCTTGAAGCAATGCTTTCGTGGAGAATTTCTGATTAACTTCAGGTCGATTCGTTATATTTTTCGCACGGTGTGCATAATCCAAAGTTGATAGAGATTCTTCAAGATTAATACTAGCAGGAGATACTGTTGCAATTATGGAAGTTTTGGTACGTCCACCCAAAGATTCTTGGAGCAACCGCGTTAATTTTGATTCTCTACACATAAGGAAAAAGATATTTAAAAGAATTTTAAAAGTTTTAAAAAATTGACATTTATATAAGTATTACCGATATGGTACATGCGGAGTTTTTTCTACAAGAGCTGTTATGACACGACTTAGAGTTAACAGAGACTGATTAATATTGCCTGCTTCTCTCGCTCTTCGATCAACAGCACCCGACTTTCCAATATTTTCACTACCGGCTAAATCGACTAAATTTAATTTCCCTGTCTTTACTAGCTCTTCACCTTCTAAAGTATATTCCCTTATGTGAATGGTAATGGAAAATATTGTATGAGAACGACTAAAATGAATAAATGTAATATTATATCAATATTAAATCCTCCAATAAGTAGAGTATTATCTAGAATATAAACCTGGAATGAGCATTCATTAATGTAGTTGCTGTTTGTCTCTTCTCTGATCCTCGTTGAAGAATTTTAAATACTTCAGTTTTATTATGTATGGACATTTCCTCTAAACCGTGTACAATCACTGAACCTTTTTTTGTTGGATCCTCGTATATCCTGTCAAAATTCATGTAAAGATACACAATTTGCATTATACAGATAAAACATATAGTTACCTTATTTTAGCAGCTTCGTCGCTAGGGGATAGTAAATCAAATATTTCTTCGTTATACAATTCCAAGAAGCTGACTCTTATAGAATATTCTTGTACCTCTAATACGCGTAGCTCATCAAATAAATGGCTTAAAGCACGTGGTATGATTCCAGCAGGAGTATCCTACATGTTACATATTTATTTTTTTTAATACCATTAAAACAAGATAAAGAATATAAAAGTAAATTTACTTGTTGCCAATGTAATGATGGATCATTGTCTATTCCTTCCATAGTAAAAGTTTTTCCAGTACCAGTTTGTCCGTAAGCAAATACTGTGCAATTGTATCCAGCCAAAACTTCCTCCACCAATGGATTAACAACCACATTGTACACTTCTAACTGAAAGTATATATATTATCAATAATCGAAAGATGGTAAAATACTCTTAATTAAATTTAAATACATACTTGTTTTGAATCAGGTCCAAATACTTTGTCAAAAGTGAATTTCTTTGTATATTTATCGTATGGTGGTCTGTCACGTACGATTATTTCTTTGTTAGATGGAACATCAACTACTGTTGTAGATTTTCCAAATCTTTCGGAATCATTTATTGGTCTATTATGAAACAGAAAAATATTAATACAGCATTAGATTTTAATATAAAATATGACACCTTCCTACTGATCTAATGTACTTATGTATATAATACAGTTACCTCACACGAATGTAAACTTGTATATGTTGCTTCTTCTCTTTCTTTGAATTACGTGTATCGTTCATTTTCTCATAAATGAAATATTCTCGACACTTTAACCGATTTTAATTTCTCTGTTCATACATTTGTTTTTCACATAAAAATGCAGTCCTTTTTATATTGTGTACATATGTACATACAAACACTTCCCCTTACAATGCTAACCGTTGAAGAATTTAAATGTTGTGGTTCACCTAAACCCTTATAGAGGTCTCTTACATCACATTATGAAAGCAGACACGATTATCATGCCGGCTAGGCTCTGCTCTTTGCATACAGACCTTAATTTCATATTGGGATGTCTGGGACCCCTTAAAGTCATGACCATTCGGAAACAAAGGTATTTCCAGTCTTTTTATATCCGTAGTCACTGCATTGCTTTTATAAATTTGAAATGTTTGAATTTAACGTATTGCTGCATTATCGTGTGCCACTGTCACTTTTCTTTTTATTAATTACACTTGATATCCTTTTAATATGAATGATATCGACGAGAAATTAGTTAGTCAAGAGAAAGGTAAGAACAACGATTGGTACAAATATTTAATTTTGATGTTATATCTTATAAGGTAGGTATTAAAGTAAATCATTTTGAATGTATGATATTCAGTGCTTTACAGTATTGCACATATTACCCTAAATTATAGCTTACAAACGTAAGTTTTCTAGGAATTGATGTCCGTAAATCAGCAGAAGAAATGGATGAGCAACGTCAAAAGACTCTTGCTTATGAGTACCTATGTCACTTAGAAGAAGCTAAAAAGTAATCTTCTTTTTGAGATTCCAGTAAATAAGTAGTGATCTGTGCATTTTTTTAAATAAATTCTTACAGTTCTTAACTGTTATTAGATGGATGGAAGCATGCCTTAGAGAAATACTTCCACCTACAACTGAATTAGAAGAGAACTTGAGGAATGGGGTGTATCTGGCAAAACTTGCTCATTTTATGGCACCTGAATCTTTGCCCCTTAATAAAATTTATGATTCTGAACAGAAACGTTATGCAGCAGTTGGTTTACAGTTTCGTCATACAGACAATATTAATCATTTTCTGAAATCATTAAAATCTATGCAGTTACCATTGGTATGTATTATGAAGTAATATATCTCATATGAAGTAGCTTATATTAGTTTAAAGAAATCTCTTTTATCAGACCTTTCAACCAGAGACTACAGATATTTATGATAAGAAGAATATGCCACGTGTTATATATTGTATTCATGCTCTTAGTACTCATTTATTTAAACTTGGTAAAGCTCCACAGATTCAAGATTTGTATGGAAAAGTGAACTTCACTGGTATCTATGCGATAATATATTATTAAGAAGAAACATACGTGTAGTTAATGGACTTGATGGACCTTGACGAACTTTATTTCTTTCAGATGAAGAAATCAATGCTGTTAGTAAAGAATTGAACAAGTATGGGATTCAGATGCCTTCATTTCAGAAAATTGGTGGACTATTGGCAAATAGTATGGAGATTGATGCAGCTACGCTTCATGCTGCGGTAATAGCGATTAACCAGGCCATTGCATATAAAGTATATTTATTATTTCTTTCTAAAATATTTTGAATGATTAACAACTTGAATGATTAACAAGTATTTTGTTTTAAGGATCATAATAAAATATTAACTGCGCTTCAGAACAAAGTAGTACAAATAAATAATATTAATCCTTACTACATTAAGGAATATAGCGATACATTGTCAGAGGCAAAGGATTCTAAACAACAAGCTGCTCTAAATAGAGTAAGGGAATATTTTTTCTATGATCATTTTTACAAGTTTTCATTTATTAATCGATACAATTTTCAGTCTCTTAACGATAGCTATGTGCCAGATGTATATGATGAATTATTAACTCAGGCTGAAATTCAGGGACATATTAATTACGTTAATCGTAAGTTATCGAGCAATAACAATTATTTTATAATTTTGCATTTTGTTTAATTGTGTATATTGTTTTTAGTTCACTGTGCAGTGGAAAACATAACTCATTCTATTCATGAGGACACTGATGAGTTTGTAGATGCATTGAAAACATCAATTTTGGATTTAAAAGTATATACATATTTTATATCGCTAGTTTTATTCGTATACTTTTTTATAGCATTATAATTAATGTGGATGATTTTGTTTATTAGAATGTTGCACGTGAAAATGCAGAATTATACAAAGAACAATTGATGCAGTTATTAGAAAGTTCTGAATGGAATAATACATATTCAGAAAGCAATCATCATTGGAAGCAATTACTTCAAAAAGGAATTGATAAAGCAAATGAAACAGCACTTAAATCTCGGAAACGTTAGTACCTTAAAGTAAACACCGTACAACTGAATATAATAATCAAATATTTTTATTACAGGCGAAGAAGGTGTTAAACTAGTAAATTCAATATTACAAAATAGTTTGAAAAAGGATTTCTGTGACGCATTAAAAAATCCGAAGCTTGGATTAATCAAAGAAATTGATGATTTTGCGATACCGCTATATTATGAAGAAATGAAAATCGATCGTATGGAATCTCAGGTAAAAATGGAAAATAGACGATTACGATCTTTCTACTAATTGCTATTAATATAAACCTGTTTATTTAACAGAACGACCTTTCGTATAGCGATATTGTAGTGAGTATACGTGTATTGTCAATGATCGCAGAGATCAGTAAAGCTGTAGACACGGGAAATCCAGATTTAGTTTATCAAGCATTACAAAATCCGGACTGTCATGTTTCTGTAAGTGCAGTTGTGTGCGGTATAAGTGTTTTATTCATAATAAAAAATCATTGTTATTTCAGGGATTGGATCCTGAGAATAAGGTAAAGTATTACAGAGCACTGGCAGTAGTTCGGTGTGAAAAGCAAGCAATATCCGAGGAATGTCCTTTATTAACATACATTGATATTCAAGAGTGTATTGATGTTGTAAATGAACAATGTCAAAATGATGATGTTGGTACGTCTATTATAATATTATATGCCATTCCGATATATGTTTTATCGTGTGATATTTTAAGATTGTTTAATTAATATTTCTTTTTTCCCCCCTTTTCTTATAGTAATACAAGTACTGCGTCAATTAAATTTAGCTGTTGTGGAGAACGATCGAAAAGGAATTATAACTGCTTTAAAAGATACCGCTTTAAAGTTGCAGAAACCTACTTCACCGGAAGATGCATCTCTTTATTTGAAATTGTTTAAAAAATGTCTCGCTGAAAAACACTTTGATGGTTCTGAATTATGGTTGGAGGATGTAGAAGCAATAACAAAAATCGTTGCTGCTGAAGCTGAAAATGTGCAGAATGGTACGGCACATATATGACTTGTTCATTTTGCATATAAACTGTTCTGTTAATATTCTGTATTTCATATGTTTGCAGTGTGTACATTTTTATCCCAAGTAAATTTAGGTTTACAACGAAATGACATGTTATTTACGATTGATTGCCTCCAAACGTTTGGTTTTAAAATATCAGATAAATATAAAACAGATTGTTTTCAAAGCCTCTATAACTTACAAAAGATGAAGGTACAATTTTCTGACACATTGTACATTAGTAAGAATATTTGATCTAATTCAATGACTTGTTTGGTTATTGTATTCTAGAGTGAAAAATACGAGTGTGCATTTGTTCGTTATATTACTCCTAAAGGCAATGAATCGTATTTAGATTTACAAAAGTATAATTATACCTGGGACTGTCCAAAAACCATATCGGAAACATATTATATCAACATGGAAGATATCAAGGTATTTTATAACTAAGCAAAGTAGAATAATTATGTTGGAAGAACCCTTAAGCATAATCGTATATCATTGGTTTTAGGGAATAGTAAAGAAAACTACTACTACTACTACTACTACTACTACTAGTGAACTGGAAGAACATACAATAAGTAAAAGGATAATTCGATTACAAGCTTGTATACGAGGATATTTATTACGAAAAAGAATTTCCGACAGATTCGCATATTTCTATGACAATGCAGATAAAATTATTCAAATACAAGCCTGGTGGCGTAGTATAGTACAGCGTAAACGATATGCTAAATTAATAGCAGAAAAAAAAAGAAATTGTAATAGTGAAAAATTTCAAAGTACATATTTAAAATTTCGAAACAAATATATCAACATATTAGATTACTATAGACAACATGTACGTAAAATTTAGTATTTATTTATGATCAATACATAATAATATCATGTTTCTCACATTTTTTTAGGAGGAAAAAATAATGAAAATACAAGCTTTGTGGCGTGGTCGTGCCGAAAGACGTGCGTTTCACTCATTGCTGTATACTGAAAAACCACCATTTCCTGTTGTACGACATTTTTCTGCACTTTTAAATTTTAATGCAGAAGATTATGATAAAGATTTACAGCTACAAGTATGAAAATTTTTAATTTTTCAATGAAATTACCATTGTCTAAATTTTACAAAAGTTGATTTGTTATCGCAGCAATTGAAACATGAAGTAGTACAAAGCATACGTCATAATCAAACTCTGTCACAGCAACTGGATAGTATGGACATAAAAATTGGTTTACTTATACAAAATAGGATCACGCTACAAGTATTGTTTATAAAAAATATATATATATATATATATATTAGGTTCTCAATTTGTTAAAAATATTATGCTGAAGAAAATTAAAATATTTGTAGGATGTTGTAGCGCATGGAAAGAGTTTGGACACACTTGCAAAACAGAAGAATTCAAACAGAGATCAAAAAAACGCTTTATCAGATAGTGCTATTTCACATAAAGGTTTAAAATCTTTAACGAAAGAAGGTCGGAAAACGTTAGAGGGATATCAACATTTATTTTATGCGTTGCAAACTAATCCGACGTATTTGTCGAAGCTTTTATTCCTTTTGCCACAAAGTAAAACGAATAAATTTCTTCAAAATGTGATTTTAACATTGTATAATTTTGGATCAAATATAAGAGAGGAATATTTATTATTGAAACTCTTTGGTAGCGCATTACAAGAAGAAATCAGGTATGGCTATAATTGTTTAAGAAAATAATAAAAAAGAAGATTGAACATAGAAAATCGTGATGATTGTACAGGTGTAAATTTCAAAAACCATCTGAAGTTGTAACTGGAAATCCACTTGTATTAAAAATGGTAGTGAATTATGCGCGGCAATTACATGGCCAGAGAGCTTTAAGACAAATTGTTGGGCCAACTATTGAAAAAATTTTAGCCGATCGAACATTAAGTATAGAAACAAATCCCGTTGATATTTATAAGTGCTGGAGAAATCAATTAGAAATGGAGACTGGAGAGACATCGTAAGTTTTTATTAAGTATTAACATTTCTGTTCGTATTGTAATTTTTTTTTTTTCTCTTCTTCTTCTTCTTCTTCTTCTTTTTCGTTTTTCCTTTATAGAACTCTTCCATATACGGTAACGCAACAACAAGCTTTAAATTATGAACAAGTACGAATTAGATTGAATAGAGGGATACAATTGTTGCAAAGTACTGTTTTAGAGTTCTTAAATAAAATAACAGAATCCCGAGATTTAATACCCTATGGAATGTTATATATGGCAAAAATTTTAAACGATTCTTTGACTGAAAAATTCCCAAATGCTCCAGAAAAAGATATTCTCAAAGTAATCGGAAATTTGATCTATTATCATTTTATCAATGCAGCTATAGTAGCTCCAGATGCTTTTGACATAATAACGTTACCGATCGATAGATCATTGTCAAACGATCAACGAAGAAATTTAGCTAGCATTGCAAAAATACTACAATTTGCTGCTTCCAAAAAGGGGGTGATTATTTTGATAACAGTTTTACTATAAACCAAGTCCGATTCATTTTTCTATGCGCATATAAACTGTTTTAGTTTGGAGAGGAAGCTACACATTTAGTCTGCTTAAATCCGTTTATAATTGAATGTCACGAAAAATTTAAGAAATTCTTTCGTTACTGTTGTCAAATTGAAGATTTAGAAGAACACTTTTGCATCCACGAATACACCGAAGCCACGCTTATTCACAAGCCTGAGATTTACATTTCGTTACAAGTAAGTGATTGATTAAAAATTATTTAAATAATCGAATGTTAATGAATGATTTTTAACAAACCACAGGAAATCTGTGATACTCATTGTCTCATGCTAGAATACCAAGATCAAATAGCGCCAGATCCAATGGATCCCCTGCATGATTTATTAGATGATTTAGGTCCTGCACCCACCGTTGCATCTCTACTAGGAATCTGTAAGTAATGATAAATTATATTAGCGCATTTAAACTTTTGCAATATTATATTATAATTATTCATTAGCTGACACGATGTGCGAAGCAAATTTAATACGGTTTGGAAAAACGGAAGTGTGTCTGGTACTTACTAACAAGTTTCAAGTACAAGAAGATGAAGATGCCAGTTTAAACAAACTTTTTATAAAGACTAAAGAGTTGTTGGTTTCTGTACTTCAATTTTTGAAAGGGCAAACATTAGTAGAGGCTTTGGAAACAAGTTGTTCTCCTGTGCAAGAAAAACTCTATACTGTGAAATGTTCTAGCATATCGCCTGCTTTAAATATCATTCACAAGAGGTATTGTATATTAAAGCAGCTCGTAAATAAAGAATAAAAGAAACATTTATTTTCAGTTCGTCTTTAAATGATTGTAAACTTCAACTTCGCGCTTATCTTAATAAACTTGAACTTGGCGGATGGGTGAGTCAATCAGATGGATATCAGAATATCATAACAGCAGTGGCTAAAGATCTTTGTAATAAAGGAAAGTATCGAATCATTCGAAATAAGGAATTACAAACTTTACGTGTAACTAAACAAAGACTAGAAGAAAAATGCAAATATTATCAAGAACAGGTAGAATATTATAATGAGTATATACAACGTTGCTTGGAGAACTTACATACAGGAAAGGGGTATGTATAAAGTTTACAATTTCGTATTTCATACTTTGAACAGATACATATTGTTTATAGATCATTGCGAGCATTTAAAGCCATTCAGAAAAACAATCACGGTAAGTTGCGGTCTAAAATGACACTGAAATATTCCGCGGCAAAGTTACAAGAAAAAGGGATATTGTTAGAAGTGGATGGACTTCCACAATCACAGTTTAAAAATGTAATTTTCGAAATCAGTCCAACAGAACACACCGGACTTTTTAATGTACGTTGTAAATTTATGGGGGTTGAAATGGAAAAAGTTGATATTGATATACAAAAGTTACTTGAACTACAGTTTGAAGGTGCACCGATTATGGACATGTTTGGTAAAGCAAAAGTTAACGTTAACTTGTTGTTGTATTTATTGAATCGAAAATTTTATGGTAAGACTTGAAAGAAAAGAATGAAATGTGTTGTTTATTAGTATGACAATTATGCACTTGTGCAATGTTTTATTATAATTATGAATTTTTAAACAAAAATACGTCGCGTTTTAAATTTTGTATAGCCTACGAATAATTTTTAGTAACATAAATTTTGTAAATAATTCCACTTATATAAACTGAAATTTTTAGTACAAGATTCGTTGGTATGTATATATGTATGTATTATAATAATTGATCAATATGAGGTAACAATTCAACGAAATATATAAATTTTACAGAAACCTCGTGAATGATAAGATCATATTATGTATAAAAGGTAAAACCAGCCTACACTGATTCAATTACCTTTATCGTTAATATCGTATGTCAGTTACATTTAATGATAATATATAAAAGATTTTATTAGAATACTTGCTTTTAAATTATAAATGTTTTAAGAGAAGTATTTTTTTTTATTTTTTTTTTTTTAATTTTTAATTTTTATAAAAATAAGTAAACTAACGGTAGTAAATACTACTGTCGAGGGAATACTCTTTTTCTTGGTTTATTTTTACAACTAAACTTAACTTCAGCTGTGTGCTATTTTTTATTTTTCAATAAGGGATAATTTGAATATAGTTGTTTGTATTATATTGTATACCGTTAAAATAAGGTAAGGCATATTCTCAGAAATTTTTAAACAAATACAATAGGCTATCCATTATTATTTATATGTTCCTATATACATATTTTATATTATTCTTTAAATATTGGATAACCCAGTATTTTTGTGCACTTCATAAAATCTAAAGTCGAATTATTTCAACACAAACCCGAAATTTCTATCATGTGTATATTTAATTCAATAAATTCTATTTTGTAAAATATACTACATAAGGGCCTGTTTAGTGGATATTGGCGAATCAGCCTGCACATTTAAAATAAAAAGATTGATTAAAAGAAATTACAATTCATTCGTTATTCATTAGCTTGCATAGTTTGTTAATAATTATAATCATGATTGAACTAACATATAATAGACGTCAACTTCCTTTTTTACTGAACATACAATTGAACTGTTTAAATACGATCAGTGCAAGTAAGAAATTCTTAATTTATAGAACAAAAACTTATTGTATTTTATTTTATATATACGATATAAACATTACATACATATTATTTTAGATAAAGTATGCAAGCTTATATGGATGTACATACGCAATAATATGTTGGTACATAAATTTTTCTGTTTGTAATTACAAAAAACATTGTAGATAAACAACTCGCATTGTATTATAAATATTAATTTTTTTTCTTTTTCTTTCTTATTTTTTTTTTTGTTTTTACATATTCGTTTTCTCTAAGTTTTATTTTTACTCAACTTTATTATACAAATCTGCCTTTACATAATTTACGTGACAGATGCTAACATCCAGGTACTGTGTCACGAGGTATCTTGAAAGACATTTTTATAACTTATGGGGCACAAAATGTCAGTAATAATACTAATAGTTTTCATATTTCATTCTTTTCTTTTTGTTGTTGTTTTTTCTTGTTTTCAGTGAATCAAGTATTTAGTATTTCTAATGTAATTGATTATGTGCAAGCATTACAGTTCATTAAAGCCTCCACGAAGCAGGCCGTGTAAAGTGCATTTCATGTATTATTAACCATGTAGTATATATATATATATATCACCATAATATTAATTTTTTATAATAAATAGCATAATAACATTAATTTTTTTTAATAAATGTTGGTTCTATACTAAATATGTGCACACGTGGGGACACAATATTTCGTACAGTATATTCAGCAAGTGTTATCGTTTGTTTAAAATATTAACAAAATTTCTAAATTTCTGTTGCGAATCCGTCATTTGCGCTAATGCTTCTTCCATCATGTTGCGCAATTTTGATAAATCTGGCATTTTATCGCAAGATTCAATATTTAATAATTCTGTAAAGTACTGCTCCCATGCAGCTCTCCTGGCATACCTACGTTTTTTCAATAATGTTCATATAAATGACGATAGTTAGTACCATAAACAGTTTTATTCGCATGTAAATACCTTGGTATTTTCGATGTGATGAACCAACGATCGCCCATATGCGAAACTCTCATATAATTACCAAACAACAAACAATGGCTTGTTGCAGCTAAACAATACAAATCAGTTTGATACGTCCATGGTTTTCCAGTTTGCATTTCGATACACGTAAAATCTTCGGTCTTAATAACCTGTGTAAATGTCGTCTTTTCTGGTAAAAGTCTCATGTCTATACTGCACCCAAAATCTATCAACTGTATTGTCGGCCTTACATCTTCAGTAGGCCTATAAATGATCAAATTTATACATATAGAAATACAATACGATCGAAATATTAATTTGACTTGGTAACAATGTACAAAAAATATTGAACACATACAAACGCATTAAAAGAAAATTGTCTGGTTTAATGTCTCCATGAATTATTTGGCATTTATGTAAATATTCCACAATTTGCAACATTTCAATCGTGAAGAATATAGCTAAATTCTCTATCAACGGTTTACCTGTAGCAATCTTTATTTGGTTTGTTACCGCTAATAATGTTCCGAACTTTGAATACTCTGAAACTAGTACACTACAATTATTAGCAACATATGCCACTGATACGTCCATAAATCCACGTAACTGAAAATAATGTGTTAATATATCAAAGATTATATAGAATAGCTAATACTTTATTGAATAATATAATAAATTTATGCTCTACCATATGTGGATTAATCAAACGATGCTTTATTTCTCTAGTTATATAAAATTCCCAAACCCAAGCAGGTCTTTGCGTTTTAAGAGCTACCGTTTGACCTGTTTGTAGATTCACCGCTTTGAATACTGTACCATACATTCCCTTTCCAAGGCACTTTTCCAAATCGTATGCATCAGTACCTAGACACGTAAGTAAAAGTAATAATATAGAAAATAATTAACATCTACAATATTTATCTTCATTGATACTACACTTACCAAGCGTAATCATAGAAGGCACAAACTTATTTAAATTAGTATTTAATCTCACATATCCCTCTGCATGATGCGGTTGGGGAAATTTAATTTTCTTTAAGAGACCAGCTATTAAATTTTTATCGAAAGGATTTATGTCCCCTGAAGGAAATTCAAAAATTTCTTCTTCTGCTTCTTCCATTGGTTCATGATGCTCTTCACAATCCATAGAATCAACTTTTTCTTGTTGTTCTATTTCGTTAAGTTTAAAATTAATTGATTTTCGTAGATCGCAATTCTTCTTAATTTCAGAAGTAATGTGATCCACGTTACGCTGCACCGTACGTGGACTTTGAGCATGAACAGCTTGAATTTGGGCTTGAAGTTTCTGCTCGTAAAGTTGATTTGCAGAAAGCGTAACATTTTTAGCTTCTTCTTCTTCTTCTTCTTCTTCTTCTTCTTCTTCATCTTCTTCTACTTCTTCTTCTTCTTCTTCTTCTTCTTCTTCACCTTATTAAACGAAAGATTTTTTTTACAAAGCGTTATCAAACAAATAAATTTTAATATATTTCATCAATTACCTATACTAATAGATTGTTCTTTTATAGGAACCAAATCTTCTTTCGTTAATGTAAAAGCTAATGCAGTGTTTCTTGTATGAGTGGTACTGCTACTAGAACTGCTAGAAATATATTCTCTGGTTGATTCCAATATAACGCTTAGTTTGTCTTCAGCTTCACCATTTGGAGCTTCTGAATTTCTATAAAATGAAATTTTACATGAATATAAAACATTCAGGCTAATAATTATTAATTATATTATTGAAAAACAACATACGACTGAGATGGAGTGCAATGATTTGGATATTGTGGAGTTCCCTCTGATACTTTGTAAGATTGTCTAAAATGATTAGTCATAGGTGTAGAACTAGTCAATTGTGTATTAAATGCTTCCGTGAAACAAGTATCATCGTTCCCGACTAACGGAGTTATACCAAGACTTTCATCAGTGTACAAATTGTTTTCGTCGGCTGGCTTTGACGACATATTTTCTTCCATTGGTCCATTATAGTCAACGACAATAGCATTTTCTTTGTTCTCAGCGCTTTCAAGATACTTTATGTCTCTGCGATTCATTCCTGGCGATTTTATGTATGGTAACTCGAGAGGCATTCTATAAGGTTTGCCGGTTTCGATATCCGGTTCGTTATATGGAGGATAATGAAGCTGTTTTTGAGGTTCAACATTCTGTTGTAACAGTGTAGATTCCAGTTGCGAACTGTACTGTTGATAAGTAATGTCATTTGGCATCATATTGCCATAAACGGGATGTTGCAAATGCTGCATGTGTTGATGCGGTTGATGATGAAGATGCTGGTTGTGTGACGACTGATGATGAATCTGGCTATGCAAATGTGAAGCGTGAGAAATAGCATGATGTTGTTGTTGTTGTTGTTGTTGTTGTTGTTGTTGTTGCTGTTGTTGTTGTTGTTGTTGTTGATGATGATGATGATGATGATGATGCTGCGGAACCATATGAGCCTGTTGATGCGTTTGCATTAATTGCGCATGATGCTGTGAATGATGCGGTCGGGAATGAGGTTGCATTTGTTGTTCATGATGTTGCTGCAATCAGTTATTTAATCAGAATTAGTAGAATAATTTCTTATGTTAAAATTATGCAGTTCTTTTATATTATACCTGTATTTGATATTGGTAGGTGTTATGTAGTCCAGGATTGCCATAGGAAGTCTGGTGTTCTTGATTAGAGTAACTTTGGTGAGCAGAATAATTCTCATGATTTTCTTGATCGTTATAAGGTTGAATACTATATCCCGAATGATGTTTACTGCTCGACATTGCGTGTTGAGTCATTGAACTGTCCATATGTATATCAAACGATAATTTAGTTTTCGAATCTGGGATTCTAGGTGTCATAGGAGTACGAAAATTAGGAGTAGTATGTACAGCATCGGGAGAGCGCCACATGTTTTGTATCACTGATATTGCCTCTTTCGTATTAGCTGTAATACTTTGTCCAAGCAAATGTTCTTCAGGGTCAGTAGTTAGGGATGATGTATGATGTTGATGCATAAAATTTGAGACTTGTAGCTTCCTCTGTGAATTTAATTCTGCTTCCATTCTTTGTGCTTCGAGCCTTTCCGCTTCGATCCTTTCAGCCTCGATTCTTTCAGCTTCTAGTCTCTCTAATTCTCTTTGTTCCGCCTCGCGTCTCTGAGACTCTAAAGCTTGATTTTCGGCTTCAAACTGTTGCCTTCGAAGTTCTTGTTGTTTAGCTTCAAGTCTTTGTCTATCGATGTCAATTGGTTCGACCTCTCTTCTTTGCTGTTCTATTTCTCTTTGCCCATTTGTTAATTCCTGTTGTTCAGATCTCTGTCTTTGAAATTCTTGTAAAAATATATCATGCCTCTGATGTTCAGTTTCAAAACTTTTATGCTGAACTTGTTCAATTTCTCTTATATCTTGTACATCATGCTTCTTTTTTAAAGTTTGTGCTCTAAAGTTTAAAACGTTACCCCGTTGTTATTATTTAGAACAATTTATAATATTCAGATGATCGAGCACGATAAGCTTCCCTAGGCAAAATGGCGTTGCAGAGGAAGCAGAAATTCTCAAAACCTTAATTTTGACTATATTAAATATTAATATTGAAAGTAATTTAGAAAGAAAGGAAAAAAGATGTTACATTGTCATTTTCTCTCTAGGGAAGCCTGCCATGCTCGGTACACTGTACATTACCTTTGTAAGTACAGTTGGGCTCTTATTTCCTCCATACTTTGATCTACATTATTAGTATAAACTAATTCTTTGGGATAATGTGGTCTTAATATAATATTTGGATTTGGAGGATCTGGTACAAACACAGGTACAGTTAAGTGCTCTGGATATTTGCTACCATCGAAAAAGAATGTGTGATTTGAAAATAATCTTAACTTATCTGTGTCAAAGTCATCCACTTGATCTTCATGAACTATGATGCAAACAATGTGTAAGAACTTTTACTACGTATATAAAAATAATAATTTGTTATAAATAAATGAATACCCTTAAAAGCTGACTTTGTAGCAGATGAAATTAACGGACATCGCTTGCTCCCACTATTCCATGGTCCAGGTTTAATGGTATTCTCTTTATGTACTATATCTTCTACTGGAACGTGATCTAATATACTGGAACCCTTCATTGCGCTAGGTACATCATCCTATTAAAATAGTTGAATGTATTTATACAATATCATAATTAATAATGCGCTGTTTACAATCTTATACCTCGTATATCTGGATTTTGACATTCGGTCTAGTATTATGCGTCGTCGCAGAAATTTGTGGAACGGTACCGGGAAAGTGTTCGCGTACTCGATGTCCAGTACGTACGTTACTAACTTTTTTCCCAGCTTTTATTGCTCTTAAAGAGCTGAAAGCTTGACGTTGTTCGAGTAAGGATACTTCGTTACGATCGTCTGTTCGTCCTAACATTTTACGAGCAACTGCGAGTTGAAAGTTGCTAGAAACAAAATAGATGAATAAATAAAACACATATCATTATAATCATTCGTTTATATAATCATATATTATGATTTATACTTATGAGCACAATCCAATTCATCTTGTGGTTCTGCCAAAGCAGACAAACCCATTAAATAAACTTCATCTGCACGTTTGTAATCTTCTCTTTGTTCTAATTCAAAAGCCCATGCTCTATACATATCTGCGACCATAGTCCCAATTCCATTGTTGTGTAAAAGTTGATACAACTCTAATGGATTTTTTTGCATATTTATCTGTAAAAATATATGTGCATGTGTACTACATGTGATAAAAGATTTCTAATATACAAATTTGTTTAACATTCTTTACATAATTAATCCAAAGGCGTATATATCTACGATCTTGATGATACTTGGTCTCTTTTTCAAATGTTGCTAAACATTGTTGTAAAAGCTTAGCAATATGTGGCTCGTGTCCACTTTTTGGATAACTCTGTTCCACCCATAGTATATAATCATACCAGCTTTCTAAAGGATCGTCTCCTTCATAATTTTTTATCGCGTCTTCATACATCCTGAAATGAAATACAAAGTTTATTTATGAATATTTATTACAACTCCCATTATAATATCTTCAACCTACTGTTTCTCTTGTAAAAGTAATTGCTGAGCATCTGCATCTTCTTGTGCTCTTAATGCAGTTCCTAATTGTACAGCATTTCGTCCATAACGCAATGGTTGAATATTTTCTTTACAAAGAGCTATGACTGTTGCAGGATCCATTCTTAACTCTATATTTTCTTAATTAAACTATTTTATATTCTAGAAAAACGAATTTCAAACAATGAGTACTTAGTTAATGGAACCATTTTATACTGTGTAATATGTGACTTTAAGAAGAATCTATCTAACAGAAGAAAAGACTGGAAAGAAAGCAAATGTTACAATTTAAATGACTTGTCATTTAGTATGCTATACTGTATTACATTAACAACCGTAAGTTATTCCAATGTTCAGGAAAACATAAAGATCGAACCGATGTCAAATTCGCAAGTACTCCAAGATGTATTCGGTTAATATGTACAAACAAATGTTGAAGCTGTTAAATAACAGAGTGAAAAGTAAGCGATGTTTTTTTTTCAAGAAACACTTAACCTTTCACGCGTACCAAAATTTTGCATAATATTCTTTGAACAGCGGCGGACCTTTAAATTTGAATAAATCTAGTCTTGATAACTCCAATAATGACGCTATCAGTCTGGGTTAGGTTAGTTTTTCACTTAACGGCTATGGGGTTCAACGGTTTTTCACACTGTCTTTTATATTTCAAATGATGCAAGAGTAACGTTTCACTGACCACGAATTTTAATTCAATCAGCCTATACGAAAGAATCGAAAAGCGATGTGAAGAAAGATTCACTGTGCTTAACGTAGTTTTCACACAAATCCCTATTGAAAATTACCAATAGGACATCTGTTACAGAGGAATGAACATTGCATGATCTTTTTCGAGCAGGAACCTCAATTTCACCACTGTTTCTATAGTAACTTGACAGATTAGTCCCAAATTTTGCTATTTCCAATTGTTTTCTTTGCTTATAAGTACTATATGTATATATAATATGTATAGTTTCGTAAAACATTCAGAAATATTATTATTAAAACATTTTTATTGTCGATACTTATTTATTAAGGTATAAAGTTTTATATATATATATATATAGTAAAGTTTACGATTTGATGAATGTTACTATTCCATCCGTGCAATTATCTCTAGTTTTGGAGCACATGGAACAACATATGTACATAAGTAAATACATACATCAAATTAAACAATTTGAAAGAAAGATAAATTCAACATGAATTCTTTATATTTTTATATGAATTTTTTCCGAGCATTGACAGTAATGTTAATGAAACATAACTTCAACTATACGCTTTTTTATATATTTGCATATTACGTCGTTTTTAAATTGAAAATATTAACTGACACAACATTTAATTGGAACATTTTACCGAATAATGTTTTTAAGAACCTTTTGAAACAGTTTTATAATCAAGACAATAATTATGTAGATTGTAATTCTTGTTTATTAGCAAATATAAAGTACTTTAAAGTGTCTCTACCAACTTGGTTTTATGTATGTTCCAAAGTAACTGTAAAAAAATATAAAACGTTAATTATTCCCTCAAATGATACTTACGCAAACAAAATATTTGCATCTGAAATCATGAAACGTAACATAGAGAATACGTTACATTGTAACATTGAAAAATGCTTTTTACGTAAGTACGATCAAATTGAACTGTTTAATAAAATAAGCTGTACGTTGATAATGGCATGTCTAATATTTTTTCAGTACCAATAAAAGAGAACACAATTAACTTTGCTAAAGAAGCAAAAGTTTCTATGATTTCAAATCCATACGAGATTACAGATAACTTGACAAGTATTCTATTAGAAAATTATTTTTCTGAACCTCGATTTTTAAGAGAGAACGATATATTTGGTATTGATGTAAAGGAACATATATCGGATCAGATGTATTTACACATTAATTATTTAATGTCTATTATATATTTCAAAGTTAATACTATTGTAACAAAGGATAAAACTTGTACAAAAGGTTGTTATATTTTACACGGAGAAACAACGCTTATTCAAGAACCTAATGTGCATAGTTATCTACCTGAAAAAAGTTCCTACTACGATGAAAGTAAAGAAAAGTTAATTGAATTATATCCATCGGGTGTTGCTGCACCTTTGGAACACTTGGAACGTTGCATCTTGCCTTTTATTAAATATGGTAATAATTAATACTTAAATATTGCAATTAGGTTCCTAAGTTTCAGCTCTTTTTACTTTTTACAGAAATTCAGTTACCCATAAAACCAGTATTTCTTGTTAAGGGCTCGCAGGGTTCAAACAAACGCAAATTAATACAAATATTAACTGAAAAGATCGGTTTGAATTGTCTAAATGCCGACTTTGCAGAAGTTCAAGCTTTAACATCAGCCCAAACAGAAGCCAAGCTACGTATCGTATTGCATAATGCAGAACAATCAGTACCGTGTATACTTTGTTTAAATAACATAGAGGTATTTTGAAACTATTTCTACCGCTTTGCTTACAATTTTGAAAATTCTAAGACACTGTTCATAGGTCTTTGGGAAAAATGCTGAAGGTCAAAAAGATGAAAGAATAATATCAACATTTTTGACTGAACTAAATTCATTGTACGATAAACGCTTAAAATATCCAGTTATTATAGTCGCTACTACAAATGAATCTGAAATATCATCAGAATTGCAGAGAATCTTTATCGAAACTATTCATATGGATCAGCTGGATCAAAAGCGAAGAACAGATTTAATTTCATGGTTACTTGGTAAACGAGATATCAAGTATCAAATAAATTTGTCGAAAGTAGCCGGTATATGTTCGGACTTTAGATTTTTCGATTTGTCAGCGCTAATACTACACGCTGTAAAATTTTATTGTAAGAATAACAGTGCGGATGTAAAATCACTCGTACTTTCACAAGAACATTTTGATAAAGCTTATGGTAATGTAATCGTTAATTTATAAAAAAAGGAATGATGATTTTAATTCTTTTCTAATCTTTTTACTTTTATTTTTCTAGAGTATGTTCAATCGATATATACCGACAGTAAAGGTGCGCCACGTGTACCAAAAGTTTATTGGGAAGACATCGGTGGCTTAGCGACCTTAAAACATGAAATAATGCGCAGGATTCAGTTACCTTTAATGAACGCTCTAGGTTTTGGTCAGTCTGGGTTACTTTTATATGGACCACCTGGTACCGGGAAAACGCTACTTGCCAAGGCTGTAGCTACGGAATATCAGCTTCACTTTTTATCTATCAAAGGTCCTGAGGTGTTGAACATGTATGTTGGTCAAAGTGAGAAAAATGTTAGGCAAGGTAAACGCATAAACTTACACGTTAAATACTGAATAAGAAAAGATATTAAAATTGAAGAAACATGTATGTACATAATTATATTTATGTAGTGTTTGAAAGAGCAAGAGCTGCAGCTCCATGCATAATATTTTTTGACGAACTCGACTCTTTGGCTCCCAATCGTGGACGCAGTGGTGATAGCGGAGGTGTAATGGACCGTGTCGTATCTCAGTTGCTCGCTGAAATGGATGGACTCGACTTTTCCAACAATATATTCATCATAGGAGCTACAAATAGGCCGGATCTCATAGACCCTGCACTTCTCAGACCTGGTCGTTTCGATAAATTATTATATGTAGGGATTCATTCTGATCGTGAATCACAGCTTAATGTATTGAAAGCGCTAACTCGTAAATTCAAATTTCGCGAGAACGGAGAAGAATTGACAAAACTAATAGATCAGTTACCTGATCGGACAACTGGTGCCGATTTGTATTCCGTTTGCTCGAATGCATGGTTAAATGCTGCACGTAAAGTCCTCCATGAACATGATAATCAAAATACATTAACAGACCAGTCTGCTTCTAACGAGGCCGTGTTAAATGAATGTATTGCCGTAGAATTTGAAGATTTGTTAAAGGCTGCACGCGAGTTGGTTCCTTCGGTTAGCAAAGAGGAAGCAGATAGATACAAGAGAATGCACATGGAATTATCATCGTCGTGATAATACTTCTCGATGCTTTGATCGTAAAGCATTAGGTTCAAACAATGTTCAGTCTTATAAACGAAGATGTTATTTTATTCAGGGAAGTATGTAAAACAATTTTCACAGCGAATAATTATATCATAAATGATATCTCTAAGCTCTATCCTAGATATTGCACCAAATGGGGTTACTCTTAATGCTAGCTGTGCGACGAAGAACGTAACGGTACCGAAATTTCTCCTCGATGACGGTGGATTCTTTAAAACGTTCCTATTCAAAACGTTTAATTACAATATAATACATTGATCAAAGTATGGCAATGTAGATAAAAAACGAGATAGCTTTACTTTACTGACTTCTTAATTGATATCGCGAGATAGGATCAATTCGGATATAATTCATGGCAACGAACTTATATGTATACATATGTATAAGAAAGAAATAGAATCTTTTTGTTCGCGTTCGCACCTATTCATATTCTTACCGTCATACGTGGATATGAAAATTGTTACAATAAAAAGCCATTGAATTAAGGGCTTTTTGGGACTGTCGTTGAAAATACTTAACAATCGTAAAAAGAAATAGCAAGAATTCATCATCTATGTGCGTTGTAGAGTGACTAAAGTTGGCGACAATTAGCCTGTCAATAAATTTAGCTATTGTAAACTCTCGTTGTAAAGCTAATACGAGTTCTTGAAAAAGATTTCAAAGATCAACTATATATGCTTTATCGTTATTGTTCGTAATTGTATATGTATGGAAAAATCAAAGAACTACGTATACTGTGAAAAGCGTGGTACATGAGAAAGAAATTTTATATACTCGGTGACTGCGAACTATCTAGTCAAGTTTAATACTTTACTTACATTCAACGTATCTTGTCGCAGTTTTTTTCTTTGTTTAGCAGTCTTGTGTGTTAATGTGTGTGTGTGTGTGTGTTATCATACGTGTACACCCAGGTGCAACATAGGCTTTCCATTATTTGTTTTCAGTCTTGGGAGAATCCAAGGAAAGCTTAATCTAACAGCTTTCTATCCTCGTACATAAAGAATATAGATAGAGAAATAAGGCGAGTGGTGGAACATTTCTTCTCCAACACTTGTTTTGAACTAAGTAAAGCCTATACTGCACACGGCGAGTGTACATCTAAAAGGAAAGAAATACAGTAGTAGTTCGAGAACGTGCGCAAAACCGATCTAGGATTAACGAACGTAGCGAAGGGTGGTATTGCCGATTAATTGAACAGGACGACATCGGCTTATAGGCTCTCGGAGTGTATATTGTTCGAATCGCGAGAAGACCCGACCTCCCGATAAAGACTGTTTCTACACGTTTCTACGCGTGGTCGTTGATCAAAAGATGCGGTAAACAGAGCCAGTTATGAGCCCTCGGTATTCGAGCCTGCAACAAAAAAAAGGAAACAACCATTTGACTAATATCCGTAGGTCTGTTTAACACGTTCCATGGTAGTCATCAGTTTTAGAATTGTTTTACGGAACCTCTGATGAATACGTTTCTAACAAAGGCCTACTGTGTATAGTAGAGATATAAAGAGACTTGGGGCTTCTACCAAAGGGATTTTACAATGGGATTTTACTCGATAATCGTTAGGTTTGCATCTTACGCATACCTGGTCAAGACGATTTCGTGGCAAATTCGTGCAGTATGTCACAAGCCATTTCAAGATCGTTCCTAGTAATACCGAGCGCTCTAATCACGGCGTCTTGCGCGAATCCGAGAGCCGTCAGCTTGGAAATGTGTTCGACGTTCACATTCTCGTATGCCGCGGTTTCTGGCTTCGCGGAACCACCGGTGGGATCGTCCTTACCTCTCATCAGGGCGGACAATCGAGCTGTATTCGCTTCCAGATTAATGTTCCTCACGACGTGCTGTCTCGTACCAGGTATCACGATTGTATTCTCGTAATGATGATCCTGTCTGTTGTGCTCTTTGCTGCTTGTCTTTGGCGGTCGTGGCACTGACAAAGGAGGAGGTACAGGAGGTACGTTATTGCTAATTGCTGTTTGAATCGTGAACGATGCACCACTGGCACGATTTGGTTTTTCAGGTAACGTTGGCGGTGGCTGTGGCTGTGGCTGTGGCTGTGCTTGAGATGGGACGACATAATTCCCTTGGGATCGACGAATCCCGGCATGAGCTCTGCTTACTGGAAAAGGAGCTGGAGGTATTGGTGGCACTGGTGAAGGCGACGAAGCACGATGCAACATGTCGTATCCTGCTTCGGAGTTCACTGATTGAATAAAACAGACAGTGAGTTACACGATCTGCTAATCTCTCTACAGTTATTATACATTTTAAAACCTACTATTATTGTTTTGTTGATTGTCAATAGTAGAATTGAATGATGCGTTAACTGCTGACGGTGGCGGTGGAGGAGCATTTTCTTTAGGCACAGTCAAATGTCGACCATTTCTAGTATGACCGTTTGGCGTTGGCGATGGCGAGGGTCGTCGAGGTGGTAACGGTGGGCTTGGTACGATTCTTCGCGTCAAGGTAGGTGAATTAGTTGGATTGGAATCTTCTTCTTCTTCTTCTTCTTCTTCTTCTTCTACTTCTACTTCTTCTACTACTACTACTTCTTCTTCTTCTTCATCTTCTTCATCTTCTTCTTCTTCTTCTTCTTCTTCATCCGAATCGTCGCAGATTAAGCCGGAATGGCCATTGCATAGGTCCATTATTTCCTAAAACAATTCATAGGAAAAACGTGCATTAATAAGATTTTGGTATTAGCTAGATTTCACTAATCTCTTTTAATACTAATCAAGTAAGTAACTTGAGAAATTGTTGTTGATGAACTCGTGTTTGTAAATGAATAGAGAAAAAAACATAACAATTAAACAACGAGCGTAATTACAAAGCGTAAAAGCAGAGATAGATAGATAGAAAAAAAGAGAGGCATAATGCATGTGTGTTCACTTACCTTTATACAGTAGTGAAAAAAAAAGAAAAAAAAACATTTCCTTCGGTTATGTACATTACCGATTAGTTTTCGATCATGCAGCGGGCAGAGCAATGGACCCAGTAGGTAACGTTATGAAATAATAGATAAACGGATCATGCGAGCGATAATAAACGATAACACCTTGGCTCGTTTATCAATGTGTGCACTGTTGCTGAAACACTGATCCAACAGGCATAGAAAACAAAACTAAAGAATCCAGCAAAATGAATGTGCATACACATGTGCTCTGACAGTATAATTGAATGTTATATTTTCTAAAGAAAAAATGAAGAATGTACTTCTCAAATCCCTGATATGTTCTCTTTTACAATGAGTAGGAAGAAATGTACGCTACAGTTTATAAAGTTTATGAATTATTTATTTTAGACCTCTGTCACTGCTGGATATTTGCACAGTATGAACGGATCTAAACGATTCTTTTCAATTAGCAGCACTATTCATTTTACAAATTATACGCTAATGGCTACAAGTGAACGCAGTAAAAAAGATCTATCCTTTCGTTACGAGTGGTTCAATGGAAATCGTAGATAAATACATAATATGCTACAAACTTTCTGGAGTAAATTTGCCAATTAACGTGCTAAAGAAACTGATTCTCTTATGGCGAGAATTAGTGCATGCATCGATGCGAAATAGATCTGCACGGTGTAAGAGTGTATTTAAAAAAAAAAAAAAGAAAGAAAAAAATGTACATGTACGTATATACCATTGCATATGAAATTCGATTCTATGTGCTATCATTACAATCACTGGTATAAATTTATAAAATTCATTTAATGCGTAAACTGAATAAATAATAAATATTCTAAGGTAAAGAAAATAATAATAATAATAATAACATCTTTCTTCCCCTGGCAAAACTATCGCATGTCGTTACATCGTTCCTATCGCCAACAGGTACATAATTAAATTCTAATAGAATAATACAAAAACGATGAACGATTGTTACCTATAATATGTCTATAGAGACTACGTAGCACTTATGATGCTGATTGTAAGCCACGCCATTCCCATAGGCAGATACGATTTCTTTAAGCCCATGTGGTTTTTTTTTTATTTTTATTTATTTTTTTAACTTGATCTAATTATCAAATTCATTAAGTAAAATTAAGCAAAAATCAAATAATTATTATTTGCTTGTTCAAATAAATTTCCTATAAAGAAGAAGCAACTGTTCATATAACACTGATTTCTTACTGTTAACAAGAAATTTATCATTATAAAAAATATCAGTTTGATATTACAGATTTTCTATTTGGCAAGTAATGTATAATTGCATATAATAAAGATGAAGCGTTCTAACTTCAAATTTTATAATGCATACACCGCAAAAAAGACGCTCTGCCAGATAACATTACTGGCACATGCATTTAATGTATGATTTCTTTCATGTTTTTAATTAATCGCAAGCAAATGTAATCTTGTACAAAAAGCAAATAATCAATACGTAATCGTTGGCATAAATCTGTTGCAGAGATCACGTACAGTGTTATTTTTCTAAACATTATACGCCTTTCGTCAGTAAAATGTTTAGTATTTTAAATAAATCATCGTACACCGAATACAACCTAGTAAAAAACTGTATGTTAAATGATACGAAGTGTCACTTCATGAGAATATAGAGTTATAAGTGCAAACACTTTGTAATAATGGAATGAATGATGAATCCGTACAATAAGCTTTCGGATTTCTGTAATGCAAAAAAAGCAACCTACCTTAAGGTCTCCATAAATCCGAAATTTTTTTCGAAAATCGAGATACGTACGAACGGATAATAAAAAAGAAAGAAAAAAAAAAGAAAAGAAAAGAAAAGAAAAGAAAAACGTATGTTAGTTAGAATGAATACACAAACTGCAAAAAAAAACATTTGTATTAATCTTTCATAACTGAAACTTTCTGAAACTTAATTCTGTCAATCGTTTTTACGTACATATAGAGATATTGCAAAAGAAAAGTAAAAGAAAATATGATTCGAATAAAGTTTTATACAGAGACGAAAAAGTTGGTCCCCCTTTTAACATTCTTTTAATTATCAAATATCAAGTTGAATGAGTTCGTCATTGTATCTACACTTACGTACCTTGTCTAAGATAACGGTTGATTGATCAATCTATATAAATTATATGACATGACAATTGTACAAACTCGAGAGATCTCGTGTGAAATGCGTGAAACATTTCTTTCTTTTCTTCTTCTTTTTTTAAATGAGGCGTGTTGCCATCAAGTTGTTATACATAGAGCACATTTAATAATAATGAGGGTAGTAATGCTACTCCTACTCGGATACCTCGGTGTCCGGGTCAAGATCCCGCGTGGGAGTCGATGCATTGCTAGCGGATGTTGATTGTGTTCCTGGTCGATGTGTTCTTCGAGGATCGAATGGATCGATTACTATCTGTTCCGTTCCTTTAATCTCAGCTCGACAAAACGGACAACCTTGTCCTTCGGAATCCTATAAATTTTAACACGTCCTTCTTATATTCGCGAAATGATTGATTTACATTCTTATAGAACAGTGTTGTCAGAAAGTAGCAAGTATAAATGTAAATTAAATACTAATACCTGCCAAGCTGTTAGACACGGAGTACAAAGGAGGTGCCCGCATGGTTCTATCCTCACATCCTTGTCATTTTCTGCACAAATTTTACATAACTGGAATGTGCTACCCATTTCACAGTATAATTCATATTGTTCTGCTGTAACTTTTATATGTTCTTCAGGAGTAGGTTGAACTGCCTGTGTTAAATCAGGATTTAAATTACGGCCATCAGGATATAAATAACTAAAAAGGAATAACAGATGTTAGAAATATTTTCAACTTTTATTAATATTTTCACTGCATAATAAAGTTGTATACTTACAATCCTTCTCGATATCCATCGAGTAGCGCTTGACACAAACTTTTATTGTGAGGTATAGTTTGCAGAATATCCCCGTCCGATGTGACATAACCGATAGCCCATTGCCCTAATCTTGTACAACTTAATCTGAATACATAACTACCAGGTCTAGTACTACAATACTTTTGTAAACGTGCTTTTACTTCATCGTAGGTAAGGAAAGCTACGTATCCAGGATGGGTCACAGCCAGAATTTTCCAGTTACGTAAAAGTGTGGACCATGGTTGAAATAACCTGCAGACAAATAAAAGTTCTTTTGTTTTAACAATCTTACGAAATAAATATTTCTTTACATCTTTACAGACTTACCTGGTAAATACATCAAACTCAAAGTTGGAAATATAGTCGTTACACGTGAGATCTATCGTAGATTTTAATGCCATAGCTTGCAGTCCAGAGCTAATCGGATGAACTTCGTTCAATTTTTCCTTAAATACTTTCCATGGTACTAATGTACTAAAAATAAAAATCGAAATTTATCATTTAATGTTTGTATTATTACGCACAGTTGTGTAAAGCATGAATCGAAAATTAATTAAAAATTGTCAATGTCATCGTTTATAACGGTATGTTCGATATGTGTCATAGAAACACGCATCGCAGGAGGCGCTGCCGCCGCCGGCACGACGGTAACCAATAACAGATAGGGCCAATGCGTCAGTGGCGTCAGTGCAGAAGTTGAGCTGGAAGCGTATGGTTGCGCGTTTTCTCTTCACGACATTTCCTAATTTATCATCGGTAAGATTCATCGTAATTCGTTTCACGAATATATTGTCAATCATCGACATCATAGTTGGGGGCTTTTGTTATACGTGTAAATGACAAGTTAGAATTCAGAATGATTCAGCGTAAAATAATAATGCAACTCTTGCAACCTAATAGTAGAGAGAAATTGTTGAAAGTGCGCTCAGTGAACGACAGATGGCAATCGATTTTACGTAGTGCCACCTATATACTTACATATTTTTTACAAGATGTTCAATAAGATAATTATTTGATTTTTTCGCTTTACAATACAAGAAAATGTCTGTACAATTGATAGGAGAAAAATGACATAGAATTTTATACGATGATCAAGTAGTAATGTTAGATAACTTAGATATAACTTGTTGCATATTTTATGCTGTCAATTAAATTGTCCTTGATTCTTACAAACTGTTAAATATGTACATTGTTACTTTGAAGTTGTTATATCGTAAAGTGTACAGTGTCTGCACTGACAATTTCAGAAACAAGATCTTTGTCCTGCACATAAATCTACACATCAAGGAATGCAGTTGTTAAAACTGCTGCTACCGGCGGACATTAAATATGTTCGAAATTTCGCAGGCATGTAATTGAATAAGTGTGACACCTATTTTCCTATCTGCTATAAGAACAAAAGAGTAGCGTTTTTTAGTTTAATAGAAGAAAAGAAATGAAATGTTATTAACGATTGCATGGAATAATATTTGAAATAATAATGTCAATGATAATATTGGTATGTACTACATGTGTATCTACTTGGAGCACATTGAATCAATAAGAAATATAACCTATAACTTATTACCGACACGACTATAGTACTTGTACTTGGATTAATATTAAATGAGATAGCAAGTAATCGTTATATCTTAGGCCAACCTTTGTACTTACTTACGTTAATCGATCGATCGAACCGAAACGCGCGATAATAGAAAAATTTGTTCTATTTTAATAATAGAGATTCTGCATACACATTTATTTCGAGCTTATTTTTTATTTAACAACATCAGTTTTGCCAATCTTTTCTACATATTACGTTTGTAGTGTTTGAAACATGTGTACATATGTATACATACATATAACAGAGAACGCGTTTATGATATTTTTTGAAATACATATCATCGGTTTCGGTTTCAGTTGTAGCAGCAGCAGCAGCAGCCATGAGCGGAAACGAGAATTACAAGGAAGCGAAATCGATTTACGATTTCACCGCCAAATCGATCAAAGGCGAAGAAGTTCCTCTGTCCAAGTTAGTAATATCTATTAAATTTAATATGTATTTAATTGATCAATGATAGTTATGTTGTTATTATTTTCTAGATATAAAGGTCACGTGTGTTTGATCGTGAACGTGGCATCAAAATGCGGCCTCACGGCAACGAATTACAAGGAACTGAACGAACTCTATGATGATTACGCAGAGTCCAAAGGTACGACTTAAACAACTCTTTTTTCTTTTTTCAATTTTTAACAATTTTTAACAATTTTTAACAATTATTCATTACATGCTGCAGGTTTAAGAATTTTAGCTTTCCCTTGTAATCAGTTTAACGGACAAGAACCCGGAGGTAGCGACGATATATGCAGCTTTGCCGATCGACAAAAGGTATAATTTTGAATATTCTTACAAGTTGTAAATTCATTCTGGAATTGTATACAATCGGTGCAGGTAAAGTTCGATTTGTTCGAGAAAATCGACGTCAACGGGGAGGATGCCCATCCGCTTTGGAAATATTTGAAAAAAGAGCAAGGAGGAACTCTGGGAAATTTCATCAAATGGAATTTCACGAAATTCATCGTCGACAAAGAAGGCAAAGTCGTGGAACGCCACGGACCCAACGTGGATCCCAATAAACTCAGAAGCAATTTTGAAAAATATTTTTAAACATTTTATAGATGGTTATCTTCCATGTCTGCAAATATTCACATCACTTGCATTTTTCCTGTGTATTTAAGAATAATGCAACGATTGCGCAAAGCATTTCTATTAAGAACATAATTACATTTTAAAAAAAAAAAAAAAAAAGAAAACGCATAAGAAATATATGTTTCACGATAGACTTTAGAGACAAATATGAAATTTGAAAATATCACAAACTATGGGTTCTTTATTTGCATACGAGGAAATATTTACTTTTTATATGGTAATAGTATGGCGTTACTATCAGCAGTTTTCGGAAATGAATTCGACGTTTCCTTGCATAATGACATAATTACGGGCCATCGTATCTCCCGAGCAGGTCAAGGATGAAACGTTTAAAATTCGTGTCTCGAAAGTAGGCATCCGCTGGATTCGAGTAACGGGATGCAAAAGAGGAAAAGGATGGAAGGGAGAGAGAGGGTAGTGATTCGCGTGTCCTTCCTGAATTTACGTCACCATCGAACTGGGTCACGTCCTCTATTTGCAGGAGTAGTACCATCTCGGAATTGAACGTTCCACGATATATCTGTAGATACGTATACGCGTATACAGGCTGTTTCATAACACGTGGAAGTGATTTTATACACGTAACACAAGAAACAGAGGCCTGCGTTCTCTCTCCCTCTGTTACATACATATACATATGTATGCATCGACGCGACCATGCGTGGTTAACGTTCAAAACGAAGCTGAAAGATACTAACGCTATAATTAGTCGTCCTTGCTTGCCGACTGATCCGAGACTCGTTTCCATTCATAGATCGCTGTTTTTCGTGTCACGTTTTCAACTTATCCAAGGACTAACAGCAGGAAATCCATTCATCGAAAATACAATGTTTGAAAGAAATTTTACTAAATAATCGACTGACAATCAATCAGTGAAGTTAAATTTCACTTCGATTACACTAGAAACAGTTGTAAAAATAAATAACGGAATAGAAATTTGAAGAAAATTAAAAGAATTTGTACAGTTGTAGGTAAACGTGTTACCTTGTTTGGAAATTGAAAAGCGGAAAAACGGAAGATGACGAATACCTGTGTACTTAAGATAAGAATAGACCTCGAGACAACGAGGAGACTATTTCGAGCGAAGAAAACAAATCTACCCAACAAAGAAGATATCGTTTAAAAATGATGTGTCTGAAACTTAAATAACAATTATTTTTAGCATGTTTCATCGCAATCAACAGTTTTTTTCCTTTTTATAATTTATAGCAGACAGGCTGCAAAAATCTCTCGGATTCAATCCGGGACCATTTTAATTAAAGCATTCTAACCATCGTTAAGGTTTCTAACCATCGATTAGATACAATTACGTAATATATGTACATGTACAATATACGGCAAAAATACACCAATGGAAAATGTCAGTAGAACGAGCGAAGTTGGTGTTTTCAAAGCTTCTACCACACTCGTGTGAATCTGTTAGACGATAATAACGAGTTATTAACCATATTATCGAACCTCATCGCGTTCAAGATGCTTTTAAAAAGGCAGGCACAACTACTGCACCGTACAACGATATGAACTTTCCAGACACTTTCCATGACTAGACGATGATTTGAAAAAGTTTCGATATAACGTTGTGTAAAGCCCGTTTTCAAATTTTAGTTCAACGACTGTCACTTTGAAATTATTCTTTCTCTCTGTCTGAAGGTACTCCTATCTCCAGATATAATTGAGTAAGCTCGTTTAATTCACTTTAATCGCGACGTCACGTCCCCTTCCTTCCGCTTCGTCTCACGTCCGGATGCGAGCTTAACTTGCCAGCTGCGAAAGGGGAAGTCTCTTAATTCTTTAGACACGAAATAGCTGATACGTTCAACCCCTGCCGACCACGGAATTAATATCTACAATGCATCTATCAATGCACCGTCATTCATCGAACGAGGCTGATAACTACAGGAATGATAGAGGACAACTTGTGTAAGGATGCGATGAATGACTGCATGAATTCCTGTTAATTGCAAGTCACCAGAAGTTTTGCTTTCTCTTGTTTTAAATAGATGAAATATTTGATAAACTAGAAATAATGTAGTTTCGGTAGTCGAAAAGATCACACCCTACACTCTACGAACTCAGCTGTCGTTGTGAAATACCCCAAACACCAACACGTCCGAATATTTTTCTTTCGTTCGATCGAGATATAGCAGATGCCTTTCAAGGTCTGTATATTGTATCGTAATAGAGTGATCGAATATTTCAAATATAATCCTTTAATCAATGTTCTCGTTTTACAAACCGGACGAAATAAATCAATGATTAATAATTTGATAAAACGTTTTGACAGGAATATGAGGAATACAAAGAAAGAGAAATTGTTCACGAAATGAGAGAGAGAGACGTTAATGAAATAATCGTAGGAGACAAGAAACCAGAATGTTCAACCTCGTTGAATTCCATTCTGCCTCGCCACATCCGGATATCGTTATATCGTGAAGAAGAGCAGAGAGAAGATTCTGCCCCCCAGCTAGCGCTATGGCACAAAGTACGATTCTTCATAAACCTATACCAGTATACATATGTACATATCGCTACACAATGTTCCGCTCTATGTATCTCGAATAGATGACTTTGGTCTTCTTTTCGATAAAAGCTCACCCCTTGCCACCGCTTCCGGTACACTCATCACTGAAAACATCCATTAGCGGGCAAGAGAGAATGCGTTCCATGCGAAACAAGGTACGAAATCGAAAGTTTTCTTATCGAAGGTGTAATGATAATGATAAGTATTTCCTTTTGATTTTCTTATCATCGAATCGAACCAAGTTACACTTGATTAAAGAGTCAAAGAGGTTAGAATTGTTTGCGTATACGAGGGCCGGATGTCCGCGGATCATTTGACCGGAAACTGAAAGTTGGCGCATCGGCGTAATCGACTCGGCTGGCCGCATGTTAATCACGCCTGCAGAATCTACTTCTGTTTAGGCTTCGAGAAAACCAGCCTTAATTTCGTTGTTTCTAATAATTCCTTTAAACTCTGCTGCTGTAAATAGAAAATAATAGATACGACCTTCTCGCGGATAACTAGAGAATAGTTCGGTAGAGAAAGATAGAGAAAAAAAATAAGCAAGATAATCGCGTAGACGTAATATCGTTGCGTATGCAAAATCCGTTCACGAGTCTCCCTTGTTTCGACAAATCGTCGAGGATCTTTCGTAGCAGCAGTCCCCGTCATTCATGAATTGGCTCGAACCGTTGCGCTGCTCGTTTATTTTTATACCGGCTGATAAATCGCTACGCGGCACGTAGCCCACAACGTATACACCGCGCACAGCGCATCGCGCATCGCGCATCGCGTCTACCGATACTCGTTATGACGTTTTCCAGTGTAAAAGTAGCTGTATCGTTTTGTAAAACGATACTAAGAGAAACCAAGCCACCCACCCCGCCCCCTAAGAATAGTAACTCTCTTCTTTTGTCACAATATTTCTGGATTCCGCATCTCATCCAACAATTTCATTTCATTTCTTTTCTTCCGTTGCAGCCATATATACTTACGATTAGATCACGGTCTAATCATTTTCATCTAATGTCAAGTTATTACCTATATCTATGTACATGTACATACATACAAGTTAAAAGAATAACGCGAAAGAAATTTTTGCTTTTTATATTTCGAGCTCGTGTGCAAAGAATACAACTTGCAGCCAATAAACCGGGACATGTCAATATCAATCAGATATGAGATGCACAACCGTTTTTAGGTTAGGTGTGCGCACGTGCGAGTCACAGCGCGCGTTATTATTCCTTTTTACGTACGTCAGTTAGCGAAAAGACACGCGGTAGGTGAGCAGGTGTGTATCTATTGTTTAAAAGATAGAGAATCATTAACGATACGCACCTAATTCCGAAACTTTCTTTCCAGAACTCGGCCGCATCCGCCTTGGTGATACGAAATTTGTGTCCAGCAAACATTCCGTTAGGAAATATAGCTTTCAATTCGGATAACATGTGGCTAAATACCAGGCTTAGTTTCGTTAGATTTCTACGATAGTGAGAAGTCTCGTCAAACATTTTTTCCTTGCCTTCTTTAAACAACTTGATAGCTTGCTTGCACTTTCTCATAAGGTTATTGATGAATACACAAAAGTGTTCGTTACTGTGCAACACCTCCATCCTGTCTTCGTACTTGCTATATATCAGTCTAAGTCGTTGATATGTATCTGGCAGGATGTCGAGTATGAAAGGTGGTGAATTTTTCAGATTCATCCGTTGATGTTGACATAATTTCACCACCTTGTCCATAAGCTTCCAGGTCTTATCCAACATTCGCTTGTCGGTCGAAAGTTTCGGCAGTGTCATAGGGTCAGCAAAACGATCATGAATCTTCTGGAATATAGAACCTATGTGTACGGCTCGAGTACGGCTGCTATGTCCTCCCGACGACATCTTGACGTGTGCGTGCATATCCCTTGCCACTGGGACTTGTTGGTGCTCGCTTTCGATCCGAGTCCCGCGCACTTTTATACACTTTATCTTCGCAAAACCCACCAACACACCTCGACTTAGGTTAGCCTAGCCTGCACTCGCGTAACACCGCATTTATCGCATTTCATTTAACGAGACGCGTTCACTACCTGAACGATCTTCTCACCTAATCGCGACCACGAGATATACCATAATGTTACACGATACCGCATCCTAGTCTTTTTACCTCGTAAAAAGTCGTGACAACAACGGAGCGGATAGCGGATGCCTGCAACGAATCGACACTGACACGATCAAAACCAAGCGTGCCCGTGGCTCATTAATTATATTTTCATTCGCCTCCGTATGACGCACGGTGGCGCTCTTATAGCACACTTTCTTCGAATTTCGAATCGTTTCAATGGGATCTCTTTATCTTCTTTAATCGTAAGTAAATGTTTCAATGTTTCAATGTTTCAATGTTAATCATTCAGAGGAACAAATACATTGATAAAACAAAAAAAATCATTTTAATATTATACATTTAGGATTTTGCTACGGTAATAAATACATAAATACAAATCAAATGGATTAAATTATTATTATTATTATCATCATCTGAATATTTTGAAAATCTGAAAGGAAAATCATATAAAATTCAATTGGTTCGCGATCTTGTATCAACGATCGATATAAGGTAGCGAATAAATGGATACTTTAAGTCACTGTGTGCACTGTTTTTTAATACTTTCTTTTTTTTAGACGTTTCCTCTTATGTTTATGTGATTATTATTTTTAATATCGCAAGTTTTAAAATATATATATATGTGATTCTACTGACGATCAGTCAAAGCGGTTTCTTGTATGTTTTGTTCTGTTCTGTTCTGTTCTGTTCTGTTCTGTTCTGTTCTGTAATTCGTTACTGATATTTATATTTTCATCTACTCTTGGTAATTTTAAGCTTCATAAAGCTTCTGCTTTATGAGAACTTGTACAGTACAATACAGGCTATCTTCTATCTAATCAACTTTCCATTGCAATAAATAATATCAAGGTGTTGTCACCGATTTTCGAGATAGTAACTTAATCGTAACAAAAGAAAGCTTGTCATTAAGAACCAACTTGCGGGGATGGATGCCAGAACATAATATCTTTCATCTGAAAATAAATGAGAAATGTAACTTTGAGCATGTCTGCGAATTTTTGTCCAACAATTTATAATTTACCTGTCATTTGATCAGATTTCTTTACAGCTGCCCACCCCAGACTTCTTTCAACTGCCATCTTCCATTTTTTATACCTAGCATCTCTCTCTGTAAAAGATTTTACGAGCTACAAATCTCTGTATTAAGTTACGAAATTTCCAAATTTTCTACCTTCTGATGTTGTCGTTGGCAAAAACGTATCTGTTGGTACAGTTTCCACTTCTTCACCTTCAAGTTCCCAAACGTCAATACCTTCTGCATAACCTGCAGCCATTGCTGCTCCTAATGCTGTAATATCTGGCATGGTTGATCTAACTGTTAACATATATAAATATTAAAATGTATAACCATAAACTTGTAGAAAAAATGTTTAATGTTTAATACTTACATACAGGTGTACCACAAAGATCTGCTTGTAATTGCATAAGAAGGTTATTGGTTGACATTTTTCCATCGGTATTTAACTTGGTCAATGGAAAACCACAATCTTTAAACATAGCTTCTAAAATATCTCTTGTTTGGAAACAAACAGCTTCTAATGATGCTCTTATTATATGCTGTTTTGTAGTAAATGCAGTAAGACCGCAAATAATTCTATAAAAAATATGTTTGAGTAAAAAATATGCTCATCACTAGTATCATCACTAGTATTTATAGAAATATATGTATATATATATATAAAAAAAAACTATTTACCCTCTCGCGTCTTTTCGCCAGTATGGAGCGTACAATCCTGTAAAAGCAGGTACAAAGTATACGTCACCAGTACTGAAAACACTTTCAGCCAGATGTTCACACTCGTGAACATCTTTTATAAGTTTCAAGTTATCTCGTAACCATTTAATGGCAGTCCCTGCCACTGCAACAGAGCCTTCTAGTGCATAAACCGCTGGACTGTTTGGGCCTAATTGATATGCCACCGTTGTAATTAATCCGTGAGAAGAATCGACTCGCTAAAAAAATTATTTATACGTGAACAAATACATGAATGAATTGTTAATTTTCTTTTTTCTTTCTTTTTCTCAATACGTACTGTTGTTCCTGTATTACAGAGCAAAAAACATCCGCCTCTGTACGTGTTTTTCGCTTGTCCTTGTTTCAAGCAATTCTGTCCGACTAACGCAGATTGTTGGTTCCCTAGAATCTAAAAATAAAAATAAAAATAAAAATAAAAATAAAAATAAAAATAAAAATAAAAGAAAAATATCGTAAGGCTATCTTAAATAGGTAAATAGAAATAGCTTTTTATCAAATATTTAAGGTAATATAAAACTTACACCGGATATAGGGATTCCTGTTAATGGGCCAATTTTGATATGCCCATAAATTTCTGAACTGCTCCTGATTTCTGGTAATATTTGCATAGGAATGTCGAAATATCTGCACAAGGTAGGATCCCAAGAAAGAGTTTCTATGTTCATTAACATGGTCCTCGAGGCATTTGTTACGTCAGTAATATATAATCCACCCTCTTTGCCTCCCGTTAAGTTCTGTAACCATTTTTCAATGAATTCTCTGGATCTCGAATTTTCATCATCTATTATTCCTCTTGCTGTAAGTCATAACAATCGTTTGCATATCCTAGATAAATTCTACACTGAAATAGACCGTACTCACGTACCCAAACGATCCACGTGTCCATAGTACCCACTTTGCAATGCTTATCGCGTATCGCTTTTCTGACAGCGAGCACGTTATCTCTCATCCAGCGAATCTTCAATGCCGAAAAATATGGACTGACTGGTAAACCGCATAACGGCTTAATATGATTCTTGCTTTGATCCGGAAATTTCGCAATTATCTGATCGGCGACTGTGCTAGTTCTAATGTCTGACCACACTAAATAAAAAGAAAACGATTCCTTGTATAATTAATTGAAAAATAAGAGAATATCAATGTTGCTTGACATTTTCTTTTTTTTTTTACATTAAATTCGTCGTGACTTATTACTCTTAAGACACACCTATTGCATTGTACAATGGTTCACCAGTTGTCGCATCCCATGCTATAGTCGTTTCCCTTTGATTTGTGATACCAATCGTTACTATCTCTTCAACCTTTAAGCCAAGCGTACCCAATTTCCGTGTAACATCTTTGATGCATGCCTTTACCGCAAAAAGAATCTCTTTCGGATCTTGTTCCATCCATCCATCGTACGCAGTGATTAGTTCTATATCGATTTGATGGGAAGCCACCTCGGTTACGCGTTTTGCATTGAACACCTGCAAAATAAATTTCCTTTTAAAAATTGTCATCCTTACTTCAGAGATTAATATACTAAATATGACTAAAATAGTATCTTACCACAAAGCGAACTGTCCCTGTACCAACATCGATTACACCGATAAGAGGTCCTCCTTTCTTCGATGTACCCGGCATTGTTTCTGAAATATAATCGTCTTTTCTTAATTCGTTAAGAACTAATAAATACATATAATAATAAAAAGGAAAAGAAAAGAAAAAGAAAAGAAAAAAAAGATAAAACAACGTCCAACCGAATTCAGACCAGCTTTGAGATTCTACTCTACATAACACTTGTGTGAAAGTGAAAGAGGACCGCTAAGCTAATATAGAGCGAGATATTTTTCGTTATCATATTTTATTATACGCTTCGATGACCCGTGTGTAGATTAAACAATAATGGTAAGATTAGGCATATTTCACAAGGATATAGTTCAGTACAATTTTCGTATTTCGAGTTAACCAGCTTATTATTTTTTTAAACGTCAGACTTACATCATCAAAAATACTTAAATTGAACTTTAGATTCGCGTTATCAAACGAAATTACGATTTACTCTCCTTCGCATTGTCCGGGTTTTTTCATTTTTTATTTCAAAGAAACTGAAATTTCAGTCTCTTCTTTTTAAACGCGAAATGAACTAGGCATTTTTTATTTTTTACCTTATTTAAGGATTAGTCTTCCCTTCCATCTATCAATCTTCGTATTCGAGATAAAGTTTTCTTCCTTCGCAATACACTACAGAGATTTTATCCGAAAAAAACAATCTTACAATTCAGTACTTTTCGAAAAGAAGAAAGTTTACCCCAATTTTGCGTCATTTTCTCGCACGAGATTCTGCGTTGCGTGAGAGGAACGCAAATGACTCTGTCGCTGTATTGTAGCAGCTTTTTTACTCGTGACATAATATATAACGTATATATGTATAATACATATACGTTGTAAATGGAAAAAACGATTCGTTGTCGTTGAAAGCTCATTATCACTGTCTCCTCCCCTTTGGCTGGTTAATATAATAACTGGTTACAAAAACGCAGTGCCGCTTCAAAAGCAAAATCTGATATGTAAATTGCCTCTCATTAGATGTTACGGTATCTTCCATTCACGCGGCAAAAAATAAACGCAAGAGGGATTTAGTTGTTCGTCGTTACTTCCGCGCTTACAGGAGTTTTACAAACTTCTCCTCGGACAATTCCTTATTATACGATCTATACCTTTCGAAGCTTTTATTACCAATCAAAACTGAGAAAACAGAGAACAAATTAATAAGCGCGCGCGCGTGTAATTGTGATATATTGATATTAGGTTAAACTTATGAAAACCGAATTAAAATGTAGCTTAATTCAAGTGAAACTAAACTGAAAATTGAAATTGAAATTGAAATTGAAATTGAAATGTAATAATTAACACCTACTTTAATAATTTATTGTCGCAGCGACTATAAATCTTAAGGAAAAGATACAGTATATTTCTGGAATTCACTTCGATTTGAAAAACTAAAGCAAACTAATTGTATCAAACAATCCTGTTGAAAGCTCTCGAATTCCTTGCAATTAGTTCTAATTTATGTCACACTGCGGCCCGCCGCCATCGAAACAGTTGCACGTGCAACATGACGTATTAAAAACACGCATGCGTTTGCGCCTGAACGCACGCTATCTTTAAATACGAATAGACGAGCGTGCACGGAATTGATCAGTCAGAAGGGGCTCTAATCTTCGTTAGAGCGAAACCTTTTTATTTTTAGCGAGATTACTAATTCATCAAGTGACCATGACTCTCGCAGTTCAGTATATACAGAATACAAGTTCTCACCTATTTGACAATTGTTCGAAAAAGGAGGAGGTTACTCAATTCGATCGGTACATATAGATATATCTTTTTTAATGTATTTAATAATGATTGGTCCCGTAAAAAAAGTATTTTGCATTTTTTCATTCCTAATTTCCTGATTAAATCGCGATGGAACCTTTCACATTTAATAGGAGATATTTTCACGATGATCTAACTTGCAAAAATTAAACAATAAGAACGGTGAACTACGTTACGGCATCCTACAAATACTGCTCGTTCCACTAAAAGGTGTGAAATAAAATAATTTTTAACAATAAATACAATCGACTTCAACAATTGTAACAATTGTAACAATTATTAATAAAACCTTTTGCTGCATTAACAAAATGCGCTAAAAAGTATAAAATAATTTCTATTCGGAGACGGCGTAAAATTAAAAATACCCGAATAAACGATGCTGCCAATAACAATTTGATTGCGGTATGGCGAACTTGGTAATTTATAAGTCGCAATAAAAAATACGGAACGTTATATGTAGATACGACGGAAAATATTTGTAATTGTAACGATTGTATCAGAAATTGGCAGCACTTCTGATGTATACATATGTAGTTAATCAGCAATGGGTATGTTTATTCCCGTTGAATATCGTTTACTTGAAATTATCAAATGGGTCATGGATTGTCATGGATTGTCAACGCCTGAACTATGATCGTCCTGGTAGAAGATAAGTTTCTAATTTTGCGCCGCCTCCGAAGCTTAAAATGTATTAAATATACTATTTAACGATTAAATAGGTTTCTATTAACAGCCGTGGAGTATTGGTATAAATGAAATTGAAATTATTTTATACTTTTTAGCGCATTTTGTTAATGCAGCAAAAGGTTTTATTAATAATTCTTACATAGTTGTATGAACGAAATATTAATTATTTTACATTTTTTAGCACATTTTGAAGTCGGTTGTATTTTTTGTTATTTTCTTATCGACTATCGATAATAATCGAAGATTATTCATCATTCCGATAAGTGATATCAAATTAATACGTAGCGTAAAAAAAATTAGCTCACCTTTCTCTTTGAACGAGTAATATTTAAAAATGCTCGTTTTACGTCCAGTTTGACTACGTTCCAGTTCCGAAAAGGTGGTCTCATCGAACGTTTCATCCAGTTCACGCTCCGCTTCCTTGTCCTCCTGATTCTTCTTCTTCACACCCCCTTCCACGTGTTCGTTCTCCATGACCGGTAATTAATATTCCTTTGCGAATGTCACAAATAGCCACAACAGTTCTTTTCGTTGAGATTCGATCACGAACGATGTTTCTACTGCAAAACAAAAATTACAAGAGTAAGAAAGCTAGTACCGTATATCGTGATCGTTTATCAGCACACCTTTGCAGTGTTCCGAACACATTCGAGCGAGGGAATGCGCAAAGATCGTCGTCGATGCTTTTGTCTTTTGCTCTTCTCTCGCCTCTCTCTTCGCCTCACCGCGGAACCGATTACATATCGTTTCACATTTGGTCTCGTCTGATCTTGTCTTGAGTCGTGTGTCGTTCCTCGTGGTTACAACCAACGGCAACACTAAAATTAACCGTGTTCATCGTGTTCAATTTCGCGCGCATTTCCTTGCAATCATAGAGAAGTAAGTATTGTACATGCGCCCACCTCCGCGCCGTGTCGTGTCGTGTCGTATCGTATCGTGCCGTGCCGTGCCGTGCCGTGCCGTGCCAATTCCACTCCACCACCGTGCTATTTTCGTACGGTCATTGCGAAAAAGTCGTTGCACTTTTCAAGGGCAACGCGTCACAATGACCAACCTTTGCGGGGGAAAAAGCAAAGAAACGAGGTAAAACAATGAAATATATCCCATTCGACTTCGACAAATTGACAATAACATCTATGACAAATAGATTCAGAGAAAATGAATTGGAAAAAAATTTGTGGCAAAAAAGATAGTCATCGTCACTTCCACAGTTGAAAGTTCAAACAACTTCCACAACGCAAGATCATCACTGCTTTGTAATTTATACACGCTTCGATTAAAGCGCGAAATTATTAAATTAGTTTTTTTTAGATACGACGTGAAAGTACTAGACATGATGTGGTCTTCTCTGTGAATAGGCCGCATATGCGGTAGTTCTTCCAGGGAAGCATCGGACTATCCGTAAGACATTTCTCTGGTTCTTCCTTATATACGAATTGCCCCTTTTACCGAGCACTTGGGAGAAACAATAAAAAGGCGATAGCCACCTATCGGCAAAATGATAAGCTCGAACCTTTCATTCTGTAGATGTCGCATCGTTTAGCGCCAAAATATGAAAACTTCTATTTTGACATTAATAATATTTCATAAATTTGTATAACGTTACAAATAAACTAAAGAGAATATTGTTACTGTTTTCCTATTTAAACTATTTATGGAGTATAAAGTTTAATTAATGATATAGAAAAATTAATAGAATAGGTATAGTCGTAATTACTTTATGCTATATTCGCACTCAACGTTGATACCCACGTGTTATAGAAATATGTATACGATTGTTATATCACCTTACGATTTACAACAATACACGAATTTTATATTAGGTATCTTTATTACACAGTTTATTTCGGCTAATCGTGATATTTGCGTAAAAAAAAATTCGTTTAAGTCATCGCAGAGAAAAAAACATGATAAATACTTACGAAAATTCTGCGATTGACGCCCGGCGATGAATACACAACGCCTTAGTGCAAACGTAGTTGACAGATGCACGATCATCGACACTTTATCCAAATTAAGGTACGTCTGTCTCATGAACACTATACGACTAAAACCAAAATATGTAATGTTAATGATATACGCAATGAGGTATAGTGTTTGTCATGTTTTTCCACTTCTCTACGCCATAGCTTGTTGTCTGCTGCGGAACTTGGGTGAACTTGGGTCATCAGCAGCCATATGTCGAAGCCAGCGCCTTATATGTATGTTCCCATATTAATCTTTTCAAATGAATTTTATAATTGTTCCAACAATCGACTATAATATTCAAATGCTGACGTCATTGTCTGAAATTAAAACTTAAAAGTTCTTAAAAACAACAATAATAGCTAATAAACATAATTTAGTACTTATACTTACGCTTCACATTTACGATAAATCACGTAATTCATCTATTTCTTTTTGAAAAGTATTTTATTAAGTACTACATTTTTACGAAGGAATAAACTTATTTTTTCATTCAAAGTTTGTTATTTCATAAATTTAAGAATCTTTAAGTTTATTTAAAAAATGTACTTATATACATATATATATATATATATATATGTATATACTCATACATACTCATGCATGCGCGCGTGTATGTATGTACATACATGCATTCATGCAAGTGTAAAACTAATGACTTGAAGTTAGATATGTTCTACATGTTTTTTTTTGCACCAAGTGGAAAGCATTAACCTATTGTTGTTTAATAAGTTACCAAATGTGTTTATTAAATGCTTTAAACGATATATACATATACATATTCATATAACGTAATTTTAATATGACTATTCGTTCAGTTACACTAGAACAAGACGTTGAAGACCCAGTTGAAAGAATGTTAGACAGAACCGGCTGTAAAGAACTTCATTATCAAGTTCAAGTATAAATTTTACACTTGCAAATATAACAATGAATATTATGACATGATTTATCAATTTTTAGGAATGTATAGCAGAAACTCAAGACTGGAGAAAATGTCAGGAACAAGTAAAAAAATTTAAAGTATGTATGGATGAATATCAAAGAAAACGAGAAAAATCATATATATCTCAATAAATATGTCGGTGATAATTAATTATATAAAACGCATGTTGATTTATCCTTTAAATTATTCTACAAATGAACAATTTAAAATGGTACTTGTTGTAAGATCAGATATAAGTATGGGAAAAGGGAAAACTGCAGCTCAGTGTGCACATGCTGCAATAGAGTGTTATCGTCAAGCATTAAATAGTAGAAACCATCAACAGATATTTCGGTCTTGGTTATCGCAAGGTCAACCTAAAATTGTTTTAAGGATATCTAATGAACAAGAATTAATGTTGCTAGCTCGTAGCGCACGTAAAACTGGTCTTATTATTTCTATAATAAAAGATGCAGGTAAAACGCAATTAATACCTGGCACAATTTCTACACTTGGAATTGGGCCAGGTCCAAAACAAGCTATAGATGACCTTACCTCAAATTTAAAATTGTTGTAAGTTTTGATACCACAGTTTTTTTATCTAATAGCGAAATATATTTTATATTTTAAATGTTCAAGAAATTAATTAATCTATGGTATCTGAATAAATGAATAATTTATTAGAAATATCACTTTGTTTTCATCGATGCTTTATTGTTTTATTAAATTTTTCTTTATTTTTACTAGTACCATACATGTAATACCAACAAAATATTATCTTTTTAATTTCATGTGTTAACGAAAATATACATGTATAGGTATATTACTTTAGATTAAAAAACGTTATGATATTTTTTCTTTTGCAATAGATTGTTTTTTTAAAAACAAAACATTCATAAATTCAACCATTCTTTTACAATAATCATTTTTATTTTTATTTTTATTTTTATTATTTTCGGTACGATTTCTTATGAGTAAATTTTAAAAATACATCTTTACTACTTTTTATTATAATCAGACATACTTTCTATACACATTAATATCAGAGAAACGCTGTATCAAAATTGCAATATATGTTCGTACAGCTTATAACGTCTACAAAGTACCAAACAAGTGTTTTGTTACTGTAATATTTAATTTATCATAAATGTTGAGCAAAGATTTTTTAGAAAATGTTTATAAACACATAAATTTGACACAAAGTATCGCTATCCGACATAAATCAAATATTAATATATTAGTATACGAGTTAATTTATTAGAAGAAAAAAGAAAAAAAAGGTAAAAGACAATTTTTAGACTAAATCGATTTCAATTCAATAATTTCTGTTATGAAAATACATATAAAATTTATATTTATATCTGACCCTTTGTTATTATAATACTGAAAAAATCATGAAAGTCGAACAAATATTTGTTATAACAGTTTTGTGTATAGTATATTAAAACATGATTTGATTTACATATTACAATTATGCATGCTTCTATACAAACATATTTTATTAAAATCAGCACAAAATGGTTACCGAATTTATTTTCATTTTCATGCTTTGTCAAATTTGCATTGGAACAGTTCCCTTTTAGAGGAAATGTTATGTAATTACAAACTACAGAATGAGGGATATCATAAAAATGCATACAATACAGTACAAGATTAAAAGATTCTTAAATACAATTTTACGATTAAGTTACTCGCTTTTTCGCACGTAATCAACAGTGAAGGAAATGGTGTTAAGGGTTAAATCAATTGTTGATGCTGTGTGCATATGATTTAAGAGTATGACATGAGTAAACTAAAATCAAAAACTTACATTACAGTAATAATACTGTAAATATATATGTTGTAGAAAATCCCTTACACGCCGAGTACCTAACAGCTGATTATCATTATTATGTACAATAGGATAAAAGTTATATATTCATTAACAGTATCTCTTTAAATCTAAACAATTTGTACAACAAAATCATATATTTATTTTCTCTCTAAATTAAAAAACAATTATTCAATGATACTCATATCATACTCACCCATTTTATTTCTTTCTCAGTTAATTATTGACTTCCTATCACATATGTAAATTTGATTATTAATATTTCTAATTACAGAGTGCGCAGAATATATCAGTCTCAAGTAGTATATAATAGAGTATTATTAACCCTAAAATTTTATAGTTTTGCAAACATAGCACAAGTCAAATATCAATTTCACTCTTCGTATGTATAATCTTTTGCCTTTCGTATTTTAACATAGTATTAAGTGATTATTTTTGTAAGTTCCGGAGGTTCTACGTAATTATTTAATACATGTGGTGCTTCGTTAAATTCATCAAGTTCATCTCCGTTATCTGCTCCTTGTGCAAGTAAAAAGTATTGTTCACTTCGTGTTGGCCAAAGTAAATGTGCCATCACACAGTATGCAAAACAATCAGCAGAGTATGTAATGCCTATAAAGATAATACACATACGAGAATGATAAATTATATCTCATATATACCTAATTTAAATTTTATAATATATATACTTACCCAACAGAAGTTTAAACCTCCATAATGCGCTTACTTGAAGAGCAATAAGCGCTATAATAGGTAAATAAATAAACCAAACTAATGAAGATGCACCAAAATGAAGAAGAAAATTCAATTTTTGAGTATTATGTTCATATGTCATAGTGTTTCTAAGCTCGCATAAAAACCAAATCATAATTGCACTGCGAAATAAAAGTATAAACCAGCCTGGCCATGTCTGGTACTCGTCAATATCTTCAATGATATCAACTTCTGTCTGAAATCATTATTTATTTATTTATTTATTTATTTATTTATTTATTTATTTATTTATTTATTTATTTATTTAGTTAGTTAGTTAAAATTTGAGAATTCTTATACAAGGTTATACAAATAAAATTATACCATGTTCCAAACATATAGTAGAATGTGGACCACTCCGTAACAAAGCCATATAGCAAAAACCAATGGCTTCCATGTCAGTTCCATTCTTGTTACAGCCCATCCTTTGGCAAGTAAGAGAAGCAATAACATGAATGATGTCTGAAAGATTAATTTAATCTTGTAGAAAAGTATTTAATAAAGAAATCAATTTATTTGCTATAACTTACTCTGGATAAAATATCAAAAATATCTCCAGCAACTTCCAATTGTTCATAGCCAACTCCGTCAAAGGCAAATTTTACTACATGTGTTAAGATTAAACATACTGCTATAAATTCTAATAGTAAACTAGCAGTGAATAATCTAGTTACAGGATGTTTTTGCAATCTTACTGCATATAACTGTAGTGGCACAAGTATAATATAACACACAAAAAATAACAAGTATAATTCTATGGTATTCTGTCTATCGTATGAAAACTGATACGTCAGGCTATTTAGGCCGCTAGTATTTGGATTGCCATTTACTAGCCAAATATCATATTCTAATTCATCCTGTTTATCATAATATTCCCACTGACAAGTAGTTGTGTTTCTATAACATGCCACTAAACTCATGTACCAAAACCTTGGCTGCCAAAAATCTTGTATGACGTACGTAAATTGATATCCTTTTACAATATTCCATATGGAATCTTCATCTGGACATAACTTACCCTTTGGACAAGGTACTCTCCTTTTTAAGGAAAGAAATAAATTAATTCTGTCATGCATATTACAAGGCATGATTATAAATAAAAAAAATAAATAAATGACATACCTTAAAAAGTCTTGACCTTCTTCATTACAATGCACATCATAAGATGTTTGATTTAGGGTATTAAACATGAAAGTACACGCAGTACTTTTGTTGTTTAGTGTACGATTACCATAGTATTCTAAAAAATGACCTCGATCTAAAACTGCCAAAGTAATTGGCGCAGAAAAATTGCTTTTCGATGTTACGTTGCCAAAAATATATCCGTACGAATCTTTCTGTCGATGACGATCAGTCTTTTGAAAGCCAAATTTAATGAGGAAACGAAAAAACTCCTTTGTATTAAAAGTACCCGAAATATGAGTGGTTTCAACATAATTCATTCGTAGGAAAATACAGAAAGTGAAAGAAATTAGCAAAACTTTTCGAAATATCGTCATTATTAAGGATAGCTTAATGTATCGTTTTTCAAGTTAAATGTCAAGAAGCATCAATTACACAATTTCTTAACATCTTCCTTTTACTGAACACAGCTGTTTAAGATAACCGTGCCGCACTCAAAGTTCCGTAACATTTTTCTATGTGTCAAGAGGCACCGCATTTCGAATGGGTCATGATAACGATTTCATATGCGTCGATACATTATTCACATACGCAGTAAAGTATTGAAAAACATCACCATGCATTTCATCAACTAAACACTAATGATCCATACTTGTAATTTAAACTCAGTTTTCCTATTGATTTTCCCCACCCAAAGAGACCGGTCACAGCAAAATCTTTTATGACTACAATTGTACTACTGTTCTCATAAACTTTTGCGCTCTCGTCGAAAGAATACTTATAACTTATATTACCTTCGATTGAACGCACTATTAACCTTTGTTTATTTGAATCTAACTTCCAATTAAAAGATGCAAAAAATAGAGAAATGTTTGTTGGTATGTGTATTTTTATTTTATAATAAATTCATCATCAGATGGTTCGGCGAGTGAAATAAAAGTCATAAATATCGGTACACCACTTACAATATTATGAATTATAATTATTAAATTATGTTAAAAAGGTAAATGTAAGAAATTGTTTAAAACTAGGCTTAATGAAATTGCAATAGACATAACCTTAAAGTGGACATTTAAAAAGAAATATTATTGATATTCTATAAGTTTATTGAACAAACAGTAGTTGAACAACGTAGCATTGGTTCTTTCGAACAGTGTTTCGTTATACATTATTTAATTTATTGGGCAAAATAATATTTGTATAATAAAATAATACTGCGATAATTAATATAAAATAACAAATATTATTACTTTTTTAAACTGCTTAAGCACCCTTACGTTCATTCGAGTTCGAACAAGTTCGACTCGTACTTTTATTATTCGTTCAACGAGTGAATTCGTACCAATAGTTGGTTATTTAGATACTTACAATATTTTATTAAACATTTGATAATAATTTATATTATGAATCATTGTAACATTGGCATTATAATCAATCAATGTTAATTTTTTAATTACAATACATATGTATGTATACCGCATCATCTTCATGCTGTTCCCCCATTTATTTCGTTTCGATAACTTTTCGTATTTCAGAGTAAGAATTAAAATGTACAATATGTATGAATTTCATTAGGATAATTATAAAATTCACACAGATTATAATGTATATATTGGTAAAATGTGATATTTTGATAAAATAAAAGACGCACCCAAGTTTTACGTGCAAAGCCAAATGTTTAGTTGCCATCTTATAATACAATCTTCATATCTATACCATATGTTTTATACTATTATATTATGTTAGTAGTAGTTCTTTTATTAACAGATGATAAATTGCTTGCAAGGTCATTAAAATTGAAAACTTATCGAAATAGAAATCAATTCATAGCGAATTCGTGCTACAATCATATTATCATATTAACAATCATATTAAAATACATTTCATTTCAACGAAATGCAACGTAAACTGGGTCCAATATTACATAGAAATTGATATTAAATATTTCGTTTTATTATTACATGATGAGGTTATGACTTTCAACGTTCTACGTTCGAAATAAACGCATTAAATTAATTATATTTGATGTTATTTTCTAAGTATTTTAGCCATTCTATTCGTATTTTATGTTCTTATTTTATAATTAAACAATTTAAAAGATCATGTCAATGTTATCTTATGTATCGTTGAGTTATAAAATATCAAGACTGGTTAAGTCGTGCATTCGCTACACATCTATGTATGTACAGTATTCCGGCAGTGCCTGTTCTAAATTTCAATTTTCAAAACTATAAGTTGAATTTCCGTAGAATATGTTTCACAATTTGCAACAACACTTCTACTAGCACCATTTACAAGTAAAATTTGAAGCTGACTTTATAATAAATCAACAATTTTTGCTATTTTTTTGCAAGCTATACCGCTTCTGCGAAGAGACACTAGTTAGAAAATCGTGCCGTGTACGAAAATCATTGATATTTATCGCGATATAAATGCTACTAAATAAAATTAGATACACAAGGCTATTTATTTATGTACTTGTAGCTTTTCGGTGTTCATTTTCCTTTTGAGAAATCACGTCTGAAATCAACCGATCGTATGCTGCTTTACCGTTTTTAGAGAACCCATCGTTCAACATATTCAGTAGGTCTCTCTTCGCGGTCCGTCCTTGCAGCATATAATAAAGACGTATTGGCGCGTCGGTACCGAGTACCAACATTACATTCCTAGTGGTTTCAACGATTTTTCATTTTGGATAAAGATGTCTTCAAGAGTCGCAATGGAGGAAAAAAGTACTGGGAATACTTCTATAGAGAATACAGATAGCAATACTAGTCCAGCGAAGAAGACGTCAAAAACAAAGTCTCTGAAATCACAACGATCAAAAGTTTGGCATCCACCAACTTCAGAAATGGTAAAGGCCGCCATTAGGGAGTTGAAGGATCGTAAGGGATCGTCTCTTCAAGCTATCAAAAAGTATATCGCATCAACGTACAAAGTTGACGGAGAAAAGTTTGCACCTTACATCAAGAAATATTTGAAGACTGCTGTTACTTCTGGCGCTGTTATTCAGACGAAAGGTAAAGGTGCTTCTGGATCGTTCAAGTTGTCTGTAAGCAAGGGCTCAGAATCTAAGACGACAGTTGAAAAACATGTGAAAGCAGCCGAACAGAAAAAGAAAGTAAAGAAATCTGTAGAGAAGAAGACAACGCCGATACGAAAACAACCCGTCGCGGTCGTAGCGTCAAAGAAAGCGAACCCCGTAAAGAAGACTGAAACCGCCAAGAAATCGGCAGCAACTGCCAAGAAGGCTGTTGTTAAAGCTGAAAAGGTTGAGAAAACCGAAAAAGTGAAACCTGTAGCTGAGAGTAAGACCAAGTCTAAGAGTAAGAAGACGACTAAGGCACCCGCAGCAAAGACGAAAACGCCAAGGCCAAAGAAAGCTGTTACTTCCAAAGCAGTTAAATCTGCAGCCAAGAAATAATTAAAACATTTTCGTAAATACACTTATTAAACCAAATGGCCCTTTTCAGGGCCACAGATTTTTTTATGCGAGGAACAATTTTGATAATTCTGACAATATCAATTCTTATTTTTGTAAGATACCAGCAGTAATCAAACATAACCTAAATTATACATATTTATACAAATGTATGTATATGTATATTAAACTGTAAGTATTTAAGAAAAATTTAATTCTATCCAATAATTTGAAGCGATAACATACACATATACACGTACACAGGGAAAACTGTTTATATTATTTAACCGTGAAATGTATGTACATATGCATGTATTCGTGGGCTCAACACGTGGATCCCGGGGAACTTGAATCATAAGTACTGTATTAGCAGGATATTTGAAAATGACCGAATGTAAAGATATAAAAACGAGGTACTTTCACGTGTTAGACATTTGTAGCCCTGAAAAGGGCCGGTCAATAGAATGATATAGCAGTCAATAGAATAGCGTTCGTTCACTTTGAGCTGGTGTATTTCGTAACAGCTTTGGTTCCTTCACTCACAGCGTGTTTCGCCAACTCGCCAGGAAGTAGCAAACGTACAGCAGTTTGAATTTCTCGAGATGTAATCGTCGATCGTTTGTTATAATGAGCCAGACGAGATGCTTCAGCCGCAATACGTTCAAATACATCATTCACAAAACTATTCATAATGCTCATGGCTTTACCGGAGATACCAGTATCTGGATGAACTTGTTTCAGAACTTTGTAAATGTAAATACCGTAGCTCTCCTTCCTTCTACGATTCTTCTTTTTCTCAACTTTACTAATATTCTTCTGAGCCTTACCGGCTTTTTTCACAGCTTTCCCACTAATTTTTGGCGGCATAACGACAATATAGCACAAGACAATTTAGCACAAAACTAAACGTTGATGGCGAATGCAGTGTACTTCTTTTTCACTGCCTTTATTAGAAAACGGAATAGCACGAAGCGCACCAATCAAAATCGGCACAACGCAGAGGGGGGGAAGAAACACTGTGATTGGTGCAGGTGTGCTGCCGTTTAACCGTATCTATATATTTATATAAATAAATAAATAAATAAATAAATAAATGTAGATATATATTTAAAGCAGGGCCTTCGAACCTTAATCGTAAACGAAACTTTGGTAGAAAATTTTGTCGTGCTTGGAACATCCAAGTCAGTTCATAACATGTTATAATTTCCTGTTGGTCGAATTCGTCTTTCGTTAAACGGAAATTACTCTGAACGTGTCGATGATACTGATTGGTGTTCCTCCAGTTTATCTGGCAGCTGTGATGGGGTACTTGATAAAGTTAAATACTACTTTACAATAGAATACATTTTAGCGTTTAGAAAGAACTTGGTGATAAAAGGATTAAACGAAAGTGTCCTTTGTTGAAATAAATTGTGGCCCTGAAAAGGGCCGTTTTGTTTTTAGCGATCGTCGATAATCGCACGTCGAAGTAGAGATTTTTCCTTCTTAACCTCCAAAACCGTAAAGCGTGCGGCCTTGTCTCTTCAAAGCGTAAACGACATCCATAGCTGTGACAGTCTTCCGTTTAGCGTGTTCAGTGTATGTAACTGCATCGCGAATGACGTTTTCCAGGAAAACTTTCAATACACCCCGAGTCTCCTCGTAAATCAGTCCAGATATACGCTTAACACCGCCACGACGAGCCAAACGACGAATAGCAGGTTTCGTGATACCTTGGATATTATCACGAAGTACCTTCCTGTGACGCTTCGCACCTCCTTTTCCCAATCCCTTGCCTCCTTTACCGCGACCAGTCATTTTCTAATCGAATGAATATATTATATGTATCAGTGCAAACGATAAACGATGCGGTGTTTGGTGTCTGAATTCTAAAATTCTTGCTTTTATAGATGGAGGAGACGCAGCTGCATCCCCACCATACCGCCACCGACCAATGAGAAGTCTCAGCCGAGGTTACATATAGAAGCACATTCCCACATCTGTGTTATTAAGAAAGAGAAGGTTCGTTTGTCGAGTTACGCATAAGTCACGCATAAATCAATACAATAAAATGAAAGAAACAAAGAAACATAAGAGTGAAGACAAAGCTATCCGAGAAATAGGTCGTTACCAAAAAAAGACAAAATTACTTATACCTAAAAAACCATTTGAAAAACTTGTCCGAGAAATTGCTGAAAATTTGCAGCAGAGAAAATAAGTTTAACCAGTAGAAGAAGAAAGGTGATACAAAACGGCTCTTCTAGGAGCCACAAGGTTTTCAAGGTATAGCTCAGGTTTACATAAGAAATATTATTATTTATTTGATATAAAAACGTGTCAGGGGGTAATAAAGGGGGATTATGTAAAGAAATAAAAATGTCGAATCGATATGTCCGATATATACCAGAGCTGTCGCAACTCAATAACGGATTCCAGTGACGCGTTCAATCCATGGTATAAACGTTGACACTCTCGTGAAAACAGCTGGTCTTTCGCTAGGACAAATACCGTCGCCAAAGCTTACGATGCCAACTTGAAGCGGTCTGTTGTTTTTCTTCATTATAATAAGAGGACCGCCGCTGTCACCCTATCCGCCGCGTAATATGTATGTAAAGATTAAGTAGTTGGAATGAAAATAGAGAAAAGATTTGTATGCCTACCTGGCAAGCATTTTGTCCAAAGTCATTTGCTGTACATATATTCCTGTCATCTATATGCCAATACCGACTGCATTCATCGTTGCTGAGTACAGGCAATATAGCGTATTTTAAAGCTTTTGTACCTGCGCTATTCTGCTGATCTTTTCCCCATCCTATCACGTAGGCATTCAAGTCTGCGAACGATTGTCCTTCCTCGTTGTAACCGGCTAGTCGTATCGGTTGAATTTTTTCTACGAGCATGACAGTCGGCTAAGTACTTACTTATCGTTAAGTAAGATTAAAATTATTTCAAAATTTTTTTTTTTTTATACGGTTCTCATACCAGTATAAGGTATATTTTGTGGCATGTATAACAATCCAACGTCGTTCATATTATGATAATATCGTGGATGCGTGACGGCGTGCCTTGTTATCATCGAGACGCCAGGACCGTAATTAAAATTGTATCCTATGCCTGATTTATTGATAACGCCAAAAACGACGAGAAATCGATGCGGTAAATTGGCTACGCAATGCCCTGCCGTTAAGACCCATCGTCTTGAAATCACAGTACCTCCGCACTGAGAGACTGCTCCACGAGGTAACAATCGATGAACAACCGCCATAAAAGGAAACTGTTCGTCTTCGGCGTAATAACCCCCTGCTATTTTGTCTGTATCGTCTACTCCGTCGAAACGGGAGAAACGGGAGAAAAAAAGAATCGATTTCGATTTGTTTTTATTGCAAGCAGATAAAATAGTACATACAATATAGTATTTACTTACGGGGTTCCGTCGACAATTGTTGTTCGAGATTCTGAATATTCGGTTCAGAATCTTGATTGATGAAAGAGATGTTAAATACATTATTTTCTTCTATAGAATCGCAAACACTGTGACGAAACAACAGAAAGACGACGGACACTAGTAGACGATTCATCGCGGACTGTTCAAAGTGTCAACGTTTCCCGAGTATTTATCGTATTTCCCATATTTTTGAAAATTACCCGAAGGTATATGTTTATCGGATTCCAAACTTTCTAATTTACCTTCTACGAAACGGTTAAAAACTTGATAACAGCATTATTAAGTTTATCAAGAACGCATCGTTGTGTCTCGTCGCGTCTTTTGGTTTTTGGTGATAGAAAGACATAAGTAAACATTGAATTTTTTGAAGAGATCAAATAATCGGCTTTGTTATATTTCGTTATATTGTATTATATTATATTACATAGTTATCATCGTAATATGTATCAAAAAAATTCGTTTAAAAATGACGTCCTGTTGCAGATGAAATCCAATCGATGTAACCGGTGCACCTGGAAAAAACGCCAGGTTTGTTGCTAGGACAATTTACGTCTCCGTAGCTGACGATTCCAACTTGAAGAGGAACGCCATTTTCAAATACGATCAGAGGACCTCCGCTATCGCCCTAAAAAATTTCTTACATTTATGTAACTAAATAAATATCTATCTATCTATCTATCTATCTACTAAACACGCTTAATGTTTCTCTAATGTTTTACCTGGCAAGCATCTTGTCCATAATTTGCTGCCGTGCACACGTGTTTGTACGTTATACCCCAAAATGAACTACACTCAGAGTTCGAAATGATCGGTAAGCTGGCGTACTTTAATCTTTTTGTTCCTGTTCCAGTAGATCTATCTTTTCCCCATCCGATAACAATAGCCATCCTATTGGCAAAAGTTTCTCTGATGTCGTTATGACCAGCTAGTTGAATAGGTTGAATGTTTTCTGTAAAAACGACATCGTTTATTGTTAGCATACATACATATATACATACATACGAGTACATACCTGAGAATGGTATATTACGTGGCATGTACAATAAACCAATGTCGTTTACGGATGGTTTGTAACCAGGGTGAACAACTACTTTCTTCGTCATCATTGATAAACCAGGTCCATGATAGTAATTATATCCCATACCACTCTTATCGATTACCCCGAAAACGACAAGGAATTGTGAAGGAGGCTTGGATGCTACGCAATGACCCGCTGTCAATACCCATCTCGGAGAAATAATGGTTCCACCGCACTGGGAAACCATACCTCTGCCCATCATTCGATGCACCGCAGCCATAAACGGAAACTGATTTTTCCTCGCGTACTTTCCACCAACGATTCTCTCTGTGTCCAGTTCATCTGTATCGCAACATAAGTACTTATTATCTATCTTATGTAATATTATGGAAAATGTGCTCAACAATTTTTATTCAATCAATCAATTATAGTCTCTATATTATATGTATACCTTCCGTTGTAGAAAAATTGTCAATATTAAAGTAAGTAAGGTCACGAGTGAGCAAACGATTGCTTTTCTCCATCTTTTCCAACGAATTTAACCAACTACTCGAATTACTACAAATAACATTGCAGCTCAACGTTAGAATAACGATGAGAAAGGAAGCCGACGACGTAACGCTTGACGAAATCATTGCTAAACTGTACAAAATCTATCTACCGCTCTTCCTTATATACATATATACATATAGTACATACATATGTAAATACATTCACTTTGTTTATTTACCCTTACTTTTAAAAGAATAACAGCCCTCTTCCCGGAAAGGTTATTTCGGAAAGTTTGAAAATCTACAAAATCGTTCGACCTAGCTGCCTATACATATGTAGATATTTAATTCGTTGAAAAGATAAACCCACCCCTGACTCTTTCTCTTTTCTCTTTTCAATGCCTTTTCAATATTACGACGTTTCTTTTATTAACTAAGTACAGTAATGCTTCGAAATAAGCAAGTGGTCTCTGCTTCGAAATAAGCAAGTCGCTATCCCCTCTTCTTTGTTTGAAGTCGCCCGCAAAGTGAGAGGTACGAGAAACGAGTGAGAGGTCCATCAAAGCGCGAAGCCGATGTCTAGGGTAATAAATTTCACGCTCGACTGAGCAGTGACATCGGTTAGTAGAAGAAGGATGGAATATATATAATGCTTTCTCAGTCTGGTATATTTGCTTCGAAATAAAGCATAGTGCGAGAATGAGAGGGCATGTTATATTCTATCCTTGTCCAAAAAATAACATCGCTGCTCGACCGATCACTTTATGATTTGCCGCTACCTCGGATCTCTCACTCGTTTCTCGCGTTTTCTATCGTCCCGTTTCAAGAACAAAGTCAAGCCGAATAGGTACCTGCTTCGAAATAAGCAACTGTTCGGTCCCGAGCCACTTGCTTATTTCGAAGCATTACTGTACTTTGTTTTGAAATTTCAAATGTTTGCTTCTTAAACTGTCAATTCAAAGTTTAAAGGAATTTTAATCATTCATTTAGAATTCCTTTAAATATAGAATTCTATTCGTTCATCATCGAACGACATCACTTTTTTTTTAAACCGTTACATATATGATACAATTAGATAGCACGCCCCTACCCTTCCACGTTTCTAGTGCACCAATCTGAAGCAAAAATGCTTCTCCCCACTACTGATACAGGCACCAATCAGATGTCTAAAGTTAGCATCTTTCAGGGCATATAAGGAGCGCGATAGGGAGCCCAAGCGTATTTGCTGAACTTTGAGTCAGTGTTGTTGGACGACTTTTCATTTGAGAAGAAACAAATCTATATATATGTATATCTAATGGCTCGCACAAAACAAACTGCTCGAAAATCCACTGGCGGTAAAGCTCCGCGAAAACAACTTGCAACAAAAGCTGCACGTAAAAGTGCACCTGCTACTGGAGGAGTGAAAAAACCACATCGTTACCGACCTGGAACCGTTGCGCTTCGTGAAATTCGTAGATACCAGAAGAGCACCGAACTGCTAATCCGTAAATTGCCATTCCAACGGCTTGTTCGTGAAATTGCGCAAGATTTCAAAACTGATCTGCGTTTCCAAAGTTCAGCAGTTATGGCACTTCAAGAAGCCAGCGAAGCATATCTTGTTGGTCTATTCGAAGATACCAATCTTTGTGCTATCCATGCAAAAAGAGTTACTATTATGCCAAAAGATATTCAACTGGCACGTAGAATTAGAGGAGAGAGAGCTTAAGCTTATGTTCAAGTTCTTATAAATCGGCCCTTGTCAGGGCCAACAAATGTCTACTTCGAAAAATCAATTCTGTTCTCTGTTTACGATAAAAAATGTTTTTTCTTAATGTTATATTACATGTTAAAATATAAGTCTTTGATTTTATGGATGTAAATGTTACATAGATCAACTTGTAAGTTTTCGCTATCTAATCAAGTTCTTTTTGAATTGATTTCTAACAATTCTCCATCTCGTGGTACAAGTAAAATATCCAAGATTTAAATTTCAAAGTACATTTTAATAGTAGCCACTTTCCAATTTACATATTTATAACAACTATAATTTACTCGAGTAATCTTTAACCTTGGTCATCTATGTATACATATACCTATGTATATGTATATGTATTTCATTAGAGTACGTTAGAGAAAACGAAACGTGTCAAACTTGGTCAAACTTTGCTGACGTCGACGACTTTCAGGCTGGGATAGGTTGTGAAATTGACCTGCATACAATATTACAATTTAGTCGTTGTTATTACTAAAATGTTTGACAAAAGTAACATTATATATTAACACACAATTATTTTTATTACTATTATTGATTCAATAATATATTTAGTTTACGTAAGATGGAACAAATTTCACAACCAACTTTAAAAGAGGTTATATTCAAACTAAACATTTATTTTCTTACTATAAGAAACTCATCATATTATTATCATTAAAACATTTTGTTGCAAGTATTTTATTTTATTTTATTTTATTTTTCTTCAATTTCTTTAATAATTTTAAAAGCAATGTAATTTTGCAGGTCTTAAGTGAAAAGATGACATCGAAAAACAGTAACTGCATTGTATGGATAGACTTGGAAGTATGTGTAATACATTTTTAATTTTCTTAAATATCTGTAAAAGTATTATATATTAAACATGTAAGTTTTAGTTATCTGGTTTGGACATAGAAAAAGATACAATTATAGAAATTGCTTGTATCATAACGGATAAGGATTTGAACATAGCGACTAAAGAGTTTAACGTGGTCATTCATCAACCGGATACTGTTTTAGAAACAATGGATCAATGGTGTACCAAACACCATACTCAAGTAAATAAATTATTTTCTAATAAAGTAGTTACTTAACAATAATTCATATTTTAACTAATAAACTATACGTATATGTTTACAGACAGGTTTAATAAAAGAATCCAAATCTAGTCAAGTTAGTTTAAAAGAAGCAGAGCAAATGTTATTTAATTTTTTAAGTAATCATGTTCCGAAAGGAGTTTGCCCATTAGCTGGGAACACTGTTTACATAGATCGTATTTTTTTGCGTAAATTAATGCCATTGGTTAATAATTATTTACATTATCGAATTATTGACGTTAGTTCAGTTAAAGAACTTGCCAGGTATTTGCATTTTTAATAGTTATATAGTTTAATAAGTAATATATTAATAATCATATTTAGAAATCTGAAATGCATTTTAGACGATGGAATCCAGTAACTTATATGAATTCGCCTAGAAAAAAGTTATGTCACAGAGCAAAAATGGATATCAAGGAAAGTATACAAGAACTACAATATTACAAAGACAAATTATTTATAGCTGAACTATCTTGATCAAATATATTTCATTATTAAAATATATGAAAATTAAAGTTCTTATTAGCATTTTTCTTTTTTCTTTAATAACCTTTTCTTAAAGTAGAAAAATTTACAGTACTTGACTTTATCGTCTTTTTACTAAGAAATATGATGAATCTTAATTTTATTCTAAATCTCATGTTTTACAAAATATAATCATGTAACTACGAGTACGTATGTTATGTATGTTTTTAAGTGCACACTTAAAAATCAGCAAAAAACCGAAAAATTGTTAGAATAATTATTTGACAAACTTATAATTCGAGAAGACAGCCTAGATTAAGTATTTTTTCGAGTTCGACTACTGCGCCATCCATGCAAAAGCGGCGGAAACTAGTCAATAAATTACCGACTTATCGACTGAACATCCAACAGTCGGTAAACGACCCTTTGACACTCTGTAAGTTAACGAATAGCTTGCGCCGCTTTTGTATAGATGGCGCAATGGCCAATGGATTGGGATGTTAGGGACCCCGAAGTATCGATGGAGATTTCTAAAATGTATCAATTTGATTTGTTTGAAAATAAACCGTAAAAGATAGACATACGCAGTACATTTTTTACAAAGACAGTTAATTAAGAAAGAGCAAATGTAGCACTCTTAACGATGGCGTAATTAGTTTTTTTGGATACCGACATCATAGCATCCGGGGTATTAGGGACCCCAGTGAATCTTTCTTCACATCGACAAAATACCATTACGGGGTTTCCAGGACCGCGCGACTCTTTTTACGTACAGACCTGATATCATTTTGGGGTTTCAAGGACCCCGCTGATTCATTTTGCGTACAGGCTTAATGTCATTTTGGGGTTTCAAGGACCCCGGCGACTCGTTTTGCGTACCGGCCGAATATCATTTTGGGGTTTCAAGGACCCCGGCGACTAATTTTGCGTACAGACCTAATATCATTAAGGGGTTTCAAGGACCCCGCTGATTCATTTTGCATACAGGTTTAATGTCATTTTGCGGTTTCAAGGACCCCGGCGACTCGTTTTGCGTACCGGCCGAATATCATTTTGGGGTTTCAAGGACCCCGGCGACTAATTTTGCGTACAGACCTAATATCGTTAAGGGGTTTCAAGGACCCCGCTGATTCATTTTGCGTACAGGCTTAATGTCATTTTGGGGTTTCAAGGACCCCGGCGACTAATTTTGCGTACAGACCTAATATCATTAAGGGGTTTCAAGGACCCCGCTGATTCATTTTGCATACAGGTTTAATGTCATTTTGCGGTTTCAAGGACCCCGGCGACTCGTTTTGCGTACCGGCCGAATATCATTTTGGGGTTTCAAGGACCCCGGCGACTAATTTTGCGTACAGACCTAATATCGTTAAGGGGTTTCAAGGACCCCGCTGATTCATTTTGCGTACAGGCTTAATGTCATTTTGGGGTTTCAAGGACCCCGGCGACTAATTTTGCGTACAGACCTAATATCATTAAGGGGTTTCAAGGACCCCGCTGATTCATTTTGCGAACAGGCTTAATGTCATTTTGGGGTTTCAAGGACCCCGGCGACTAATTTTGCGTACAGACCTAATATCATTAAGGGGTTTCAAGGACCCCGCTGATTCATTTTGCGTACAGGCTTAATGTCATTTTGGGGTTTCAAGGACCCCGGCGACTCGTTTTGCGTACCGGCCGAATATCATGTGGGGTATCAGAGACCCCGATAGTGTCTCGTGAAAACCTTGACCGGCTGCGCAGTAGTTAACGGAGAGAGTTAGGGCTGCGCAGTAGATTTTGGGCAAAGAGGCTTTACCCAGAAAGGCCACAATTGACCCCTCTTAATGAATATCTAATTGTTTTTTAAATTGGAGCACTTTTAAGAATGCCCAAAAATCGTGTTGGTCCTGGAACTTGGCTCTCCCGCGGGAGCCTTGACCGGCTGCGCAGTAGTTAACGGAGAGAGTTAGGGCTGCGCAGTAGATTTTGGGCAAAGAGGCTTTACCCAGAAAGGCCACAATTGACCCCTCTTAATGAATATCTAATTGTTTTTTAAATTGGAGCACTTTTAAGAATGCCCAAAAATCGTGTTGGTCCTGGAACTTGGCTCTCCCGCGGGAGCCTTGACCGGCTGCGCAGTAGTTAACGGAGAGAGTTAGGGCTGCGCAGTAGATTTTGGGCAAAGAGGCTTTACCCAGAAAGGCCACAATTGACCCCTCTTAATGAATATCTAATTGTTTTTTAAATTGGAGCACTTTTAAGAATGCCCAAAAATCGTGTTGGTCCTGGAACTTGGCTCTCCCGCGGGAGCCTTGACCGGCTGCGCAGTAGTTAACGGAGAGAGTTAGGGCTGCGCAGTAGATTTTGGGCAAAGAGGCTTTACCCAGAAAGGCCACAATTGACCCCTCTTAATGAATATCTAATTGTTTTTTAAATTGGAGCACTTTTAAGAATGCCCAAAAATCGTGTTGGTCCTGGAATTTGGCTCTCCCGCGGGAGCCTTGACCGGCTGCGCAGTAGTTAACGGAGAGAGTTAGGGCTGCGCAGTAGATTTTGGGCAAAGAGGCTTTACCCAGAAAGGCCACAATTGACCCCTCTTAATGAATATCTAATTGTTTTTTAAATTGGAGCACTTTTAAGAATGCCCAAAAATCGTGTTGGTCCTGGAACTTGGCTCTCCCGCGGGAGCCTTGACCGGCTGCGCAGTAGTTAACGGAGAGAGTTAGGGCTGCGCAGTAGATTTTGGGCAAAGAGGCTTTACCCAGAAAGGCCACAATTGACCCCTCTTAATGAATATCTAATTGTTTTTTAAATTGGAGCACTTTTAAGAATGCCCAAAAATCGTGTTGGTCCTGGAATTTGGCTCTCCCGCGGGAGCCTTGACCGGCTGCGCAGTAGTTAACGGAGAGAGTTAGGGCTGCGCAGTAGATTTTGGGCAAAGAGGCTTTACCCAGAAAGGCCACAATTGACCCCTCTTAATGAATATCTAATTGTTTTTTAAATTGGAGCACTTTTAAGAATGCCCAAAAATCGTGTTGGTCCTGGAATTTGGCTCTCCCGCGGGAGCCTTGACCGGCTGCGCAGTAGTTAACGGAGAGAGTTAGGGCTGCGCAGTAGATTTTGGGCAAAGAGGCTTTACCCAGAAAGGCCACAATTGACCCCTCTTAATGAATATCTAATTGTTTTTTAAATTGGAGCACTTTTAAGAATGCCCAAAAATCGTGTTGGTCCTGGAATTTGGCTCTCCCGCGGGAGCCTTGACCGGCTGCGCAGTAGTTAACGGAGAGAGTTAGGGCTGCGCAGTAGATTTTGAACAAAGAGGCTTTACCCAGAAAGGCCACAATTGACCCCTCTTAATGAATATCTAATTGTTTTTTAAATTGGAGCACTTTTAAGAATGCCCAAAAATCGTGTTGGTCCTGGAATTTGGCTCTCCCGCGGGAGCCTTGACCGGCTGCGCAGTAGTTAACGGAGAGAGTTAGGGCTGCGCAGTAGATTTTGGGCAAAGAGGCTTTACCCAGAAAGGCCACAATTGACCCCTCTTAATGAATATCTAATTGTTTTTTAAATTGGAGCACTTTTAAGAATGCCCAAAAATCGTGTTGGTCCTGGAATTTGGCTCTCCCGCGGGAGCCTTGACCGGCTGCGCAGTAGTTAACGGAGAGAGTTAGGGCTGCGCAGTAGATTTCGAACAAAGAGGCTTTACCCAGAAAGGCCACAATTGACCCCTCTTAATGAATATCTAATTAATTTTTAAATTGGGGCACTTTTAGGAATGCTCGAAAATTTCGAAAAAAAACAGCGCCCCCTACCGGAAAAAATGTGAAGTAAAATTTCGATGTCGAATCAGCGCCATCTGGTTTTGGAAAAAGGAACTAAATCAAACTCAATTTTTGGCCCTCTAGCGGGAAAAATGTGAACTAAAATTTCGATGTCGAATCAGCGCCCTCTGGTTTTGGAAAAAGGAACTAAATCAAACTCAATTTTTGGCCCTCTAGCGGGAAAAATGTGAACTAAAATTTCGATGTCGAATCAGCGCCCTCTGGTTTTGGAAAAAGGAACTAAATCATGCTGAATTTTTGGCCCTCTGGCGGCAAAAGTGCGAACTAAAATTTCGATGTCGAATCAGCGCCCCCTGGTGGCGAAAAAAGGAACTATATCTTGCTGAATTTTTGGCGAAAAACTAACTTACCTTTACTTACCTTTACTTACCTTTACTTACCTTTACTTATCTTTACTCGAAGCAGTCTTTGTAATATATTTATTATAAGGGATGCAGAGATGTAAGGAATGTAGGGATGTAAGGGAAGAAGCGATGTAAGGAATGTAGGGATGAAAAGAGTGTAGGGATGACAAGAATATAGGAATGATAGCAATGTAGGGATGAAAAGAATACAGAGATGTAAGGGATGAAGCGATGTAAGGAATGATGTAGGGATGAAAAGAGTGTAGGGATGACAAGAATATAGGGATGATAGCAATGTAGGGATGAAAGGAATGTAGGGATGAAAAGAATGCAGGGATGTGAGGGATACTGGGATAGCCTTGGCCTATAGTGAGGGATGAAATTATATAAATAACTGGAAAAAGTAATATAAATGGGGTCCTCGGTCGACACCCAGAAGGGGGATATAATCATAAATGTTATTCCCCTCCGATGAGCTTATTTAATAAGCAAAAGAAAATAAATTAAATAAATTAAATAAACTCTGGAGAAAAATTGTACTGGTTGTGCCCTCTTCATACGGTCCTGGTATTATCTAGGGGTGTTAGGGATCCCGCTGGGCCATTCACAATCTCTACATATCGCCCTGATATCATATTGGGGTCTTAAGGAACCCGAAACGCCATCGATTATCTCTGCATACCAACATTATAGCATCCGGGGTGCTAAGGACCCCGAAGCACCAGTCACCATCTCTATATACCGCCCTGATATCATATTGGGGTCTTAAGGAACCCGAAACGCCATTGATTATCTCTGCATACCAACATTATAGCATCCGGGGTGCTAAGGACCCCGCAGCACCAGTCACCATCTCTATATACCGCCCTGATATCATATTGGGGTCTTAAGGAACCCGAAACGCCATCGATTATCTCTGCATACCAACATTATAGCATCCGGGGTGCTAAGGACCCCGCAGCACCAGTCACCATCTCTATATACCGCCCTGATATAATAGTGGGGTCTTAAGGAACCCGAAACACCAGTGAGTACTTCTGCATAGATATATTATACCATCCGGGGTGCTAAGGACCCCGCAGCACCAGTCACCATCTCTATATACCGCCCTGATATAATAGTGGGGTCTTAAGGAACCCGAAACACCAGTGAGTACTTCTGCATAGATATATTATACCATCCGGGGTGCTAAGGACCCCGAAGCACCAGTCACCATCTCTATATACCGCCCTGATATCATAGTGGGGTCTTAAGGAACCCGAAACACCGGTGAGTACTTCTGCATAGATATATTATACCATCCGGGGTGCTGAGGACCCCGAAGCACCAGTCACCATCTCTATATACCGCCCTGATATCATAGTGGGGTCTTAAGGAACCCGAAACACCGGTGAGTACTTCTGCATAGATATATTATACCATCCGGGGTGCTAAGGACCCCGAAGCACCAGTCACCATCTCTATATACCGCCCTGATATCATATTGGGGTCTTAAGGAACCCGAAACGCCGTCGATTATCTCTGCATACCAACATTATAGCATTCGGGGTTCCAGGGACCCCGAAGCACCAATTACATTCTTTGCTAGCGAAATATAAGAACGGAAAACGAACAAATCTTGAAACTCACTTGCTCGGACTAGTGATGGGTTTGAGCGAATCTAGCGAAATATAAGAACGGAAAACGAACAAATCTTGAAACTCACTTGTTCGGACTAGTGATGGGTTTGAGCGAATCTAGCGAAATATAAGAACGGAAAACGAACAAACCGTGAAACTCACTTGTTCGGACTAGTGATGGGTTTGAGCGAATCTAGCGAAATATAAGAACGGAAAACGAACAAATCTTGAAACTCACTTGTTCGGACTAGTGATGGGTTTGAGCGAATCTAGCGAAATATAAGAACGGAAAACGAACAAATCTTGAAACTCACTTGTTCGGACTAGTGATGGGTTTGAGCGAATCTAGCGAAATATAAGAACGGAAAACGAACAAATCTTGAAACTCACTTGTTCGGACTAGTGATGGGTTTGAGCGAATCTAGCGAAATATAAGAACGGAAAACGAACAAACCGTGAAACTCACTTGTTCGGAATAGTGATAGGTTTGAGCGAATCTAGCGAAATATAAGAACGGAAAACGAACAAATCGTGAAACTCACTTGTTCGGAATAGTGAAGCACCAGTGACTATCTCTGCATACCGACATGATATCATCTTGGGCTGTCGGAGACCCCAAATCACAGTTGACGCTCTTTGTATACTGACATATGGCACCCGGGGTATCAGGGACCCCGACCCATCTTATTGGGGTGTCGAAGACCCCAAATCGCAGATGATGCTCCATGTATTCCGACATTATGGCATCCGGGGTATCAGGGACCCCGAATCGCTGGCGACGCTCTCTGGACACCGACCCCTATCATCTTGGGGTGTCGGAGACCCCAAACCACCGGTGACGCTCTTTGCATATCGACATTGTGGCGTCGCTTACAGACCTGTTGCCGTGTTATTAAAAGGAAGGATTTGCTGTATCTATCTTCTTAGCTTATTAAATAAACTCATTAGTAGAATAAACTCATTATTTGCTAATATAGTATAGTCTATATAGTATAGAGTATAAACAGTATAATAAATATTGTATAAGGTTATTCATAAGTATTGTATAAATCATGTATCCCATATGCTTTAAGCTTATAACTAATAGAACCCAAGTATATGCTACAAGAAATTTTTCAAATAACGTTCTTTCAAAACATTTTCTTGCTCAATATAAAAAACCTGAGAAACAATCGCTTTATATGAAACTTAAAACATCAAATTTACATACTACACCAAAAATGCAATCCCCTGGACTTTTAGCCCTAAGTATTGCATCAATGGTATCTGGAAGTTATGCTAGAAGTTGGTGGTTGAGGAAAACTCCGATGCAACAAGAAGAAATTTTAAAATGGTATAAGAATAGACGGCATATAATTCATGGTAGATTATTTATGATCCGTCAGTCTTTTTAAAACAATATGAGAATTACTTTATATTTGATTTCTAGGTTCTTTGGTTGTACTATCTTTAATTATTGTTGCTTACTGTTCAACATTTGTTAAGAGAGATCCAATAGTAAACAGTCCACGTTTTGTAATATATAACGGAGCACAACAAGCTCAACAGGCTAATATGCTCTTTAAGGTATGCATTCCTATCAAATATATGTATATGTTGACATAATTCATTTAATTGTGATTTTTTGTAGTTGATAGTACGTTCCAAGGATAATGTAGTACCTTTAAGTAATCCTATGTATCCGAGAATTAAAAAAGTAATGGAGAATCTGGCAAGGTCTAACAGAGATATATTTAAACATACTAATTGGAATATTACTATAGCTAATCGTATGTTTGATCTAATATCAGTTCCTACTATTATGGTTTTATCAGTATGTAAACTGATGTTTTACCTTTATGATCAAATTGAAATCATACTGTGACAAGGATAATATGTTATTTTAAATGTTTAAGGATGGAAACATTATTGTTTTTTCTGATATCTTCAAATTCATTAAAAATGATGATCAGTTAACATTTAATTTAGCTCATGAAATGGCGCATCAAATGCTTCTACATCCAGTAAGTTATCGTCATATTAGGTGCTATGTAATTATTAGCTGTAATCACTGTTTAATTTTTTAATTACTTTCCAGTTAGAAGCATTGTCCTATGAATTGGTAAGAAATCTCACAGTTGATGCAATTTGGTTCATACTTTTTGCACTTTATCCATTGTGGAATGCAGTAACATTCTCTATGCTTGTCTATATATTTTCTATGAGTATCTTTTGTTGGTACAAACGACGCTGCGAAATTGAAGCTGACAAAATAGGAGTTGAATTATCTGCGAAAGTATGTAATACATATATATCTTAAATTTTTATATTCTAATAATGAAAATGTTTCTTCTGTTTTCAGAGTTGTATTGATTTGAGAGAAATTTTGGTATTTTGGGAACTTATGAAAAAATATAGAGATGTGATCAGTCATGGCCAATTATTTGAAATACCATTTTTCAACATACACCCTTCTATAGAAGAGAGGATAAAGAGAATAAGCGATGAGCTACCCAGAGCTTTGCAATTACGATTTCAAGCAGAGGTAAATAATTTTCAATTATTGTGTTTATAAGCCTTGTACATTACACGAAAAATCAATCAATTATGATATATTTTAGTGTTCAGAATTACCAGACGAGGATCCGAGAGATAAACTTCCTCAGCTTCTAAGAGATCTCGAAGATGAGTTGAAGACCGATCTCGGTTCTCTCAAAATACATTTGTAAACTCATGTTTTTTTGTACGCATAAATCAAGAATAATAAAACTATACAACAATGAATCGAATGAAATGAATAATTCATTAGTCAGGATCTGCTAATATTATGGTGACACATCACTCAGGAATTATCTTATCGTCTGTCTTCCTGCCGATATGGAAGAATGGACAATATTATAGTTTTTCTTCGTGAGGCGTGTCGAGTTCCAACTGGTAGCGAAATATCACAGGATGAACGTTAAAGTAATTTTTCTTTTATTGATTAAAATAGTGCACGGATATAATATAGATGTAGATTTTCCTATTGTTTATTCTCGCGGAAATACAATTAAAAACAGCGACAGTTACTTTGGCTACGCCGTGTACTTGTTCCATGAGTCGTCGTCCAATAGTACATCCTGGTAATGTACATCACCTCCTATGTTTGATAAAGTTTAACAAAACTGTTTTCTCAGATAATATTTAATCTTATGTAATGCAATTGTGGAAGGTTGTTCATTGGAGCACCAAGAGGAAACTATTCTAGACTATCAAAACACATGTTATCCTACATGATCGAGCCAGGCGTTGTATATCGTTGTGGAATTGAAAATGAAAAATGTCAGGAAATAAAACCGCAGACAATTGAAAATGAAGAAGAACGCATAGCACAACTTGGTATGAATATGTTGATAAAGAAGCAACATGGATGGTTTGGAAGCGCGATGTCTATAGACAAATTGAATAGAATATTAACAGTAAGTAGAATATGAACAATTGCCTCTATGCTTTCAGTTAATGGTGAATACATTATATGTATGTTGGATTATATTTTAGGTATGCGCGCCGCGAACCGTAGTGACAATTTTCAATCCTGCTGGTGTTAATATGGACACTATGCAAGGAATGTGTTACAGTGGAATGCTTTCTTCGAATTCACTGTCACTTGAATACAAAGATATTCAATTTCATGGTATACAATTAGCAAAATTAATACGTGCAATTTATTGTTAGAGTAATTTGTCATAACGAATGATTCTGATTTTATTTTAATTCATAAGATTTTCAGTCAAAGTTTTGGTACAATCCATTGCACGGTTTTACCGTTCATTACGGCTCGTCGATAAAGGTATGTATTTTAGAACAATATATGCTTTGATATCGGTCAAATGATTTCAAATATTGTATAATGCGTAGCACAACGAAGACGGCGAAGAAAAAAAATTAACTCGAATCGTGGGAGAGCCAAAGCACGAGAACTATGGTACCATACATCTATTACATGCAAACAGGAGGATGACCATAGAATTGCCTTTGAGCGATGAATTATCTCAGTTCGGTACGTTCATTATACATAACATTTTTATGAAACAATCGTCTAATAATTTGTTGCAGGTTACAGCGTTGAGTCTGGATATTTTTTCAAAAGAGATCAGGTAATGTATGTCAGTGGTGCTCCAGGTTGGCATTATATAGGCCAGGTAATTAATCATACTCGTCAAACTAGTTTGAATTAAAAAGATATCTTTTAGTATAGCTTTTTCTAGGTAGGGATAATTGATCCTATAAATGGATTTATTGTGGCGAAATTGCATGGTACCGATATTGGCGAATTTTTTGGAGCTAGTCTGGCAGTAGGAGATTTAAATAATGATGGTTTAGACGATCTCTTAATTGGAGCACCATATTGGGGAGAAGATAGCGGAAGAGTGTATACATACTTTGGTACATCCAGGGTAAGAAATAATATGTTTAAACACGTTTGTACTTACTAAATATAATAAATTAATACTAGATATCGATACTTCATTAGGAAGGTCAGTTTGAAATGGCTGCAACCTTAGAAGGGAATATAGAAGGGGGACATTTTGGGTATGCAATAGCCAGTGGTGATTTGGATGCTGATGGATTTGATGGTAATCCCAATCTAATCGTTATAAATGTTTTTTATTATAATATATGTATTTATATACATATTTTTTTCATTACGATAGATATCATTGTGGGAGCACCTTGGGAAGAATATGGAGTAATTTATATATACAATGGTGGTTACAATCTGAAAGACAGAAGTTTGCAGGCATCGCAACGAATCGATGTTGCAAAGTTTTCTCAATTTAATCGGCCACAGAAAATACAGAGATTTGGGTTTTCGATGTCAAAACCTGTCGATATCGATGAAAATGGGTTGGTATAGTTTTCGTTCATAGCGATACTACATATGTATGTATACGTATATATCAACTACATATATATGTATAAGGATGACATTTCAGTTAATTAACTTATAGTGTTTTTTATCGTTCTTAGATATTTAGATATTGCAGTAGGAGCATACAAATCAGGACACGCTGTAATACTTCGTGGTAGACCAGTAGTAAAAACAGAACTTGAAATTCAAACGACGCCTAATATTTTGCAAAGAGATGCTAAAGAATTCTTGATTAATGTATGTCCGCGATATATTGGTTACAAAGTGCCAAGTTCACAAGGTAAATTACACGTGTGTGTCTGTCCGCGCGCTTGGGGATGGGATAAAGTTAATATTGCAATGAATTTCTTTTTCCAGAATTTAAGATCACGCTTACCATAGACGAACGATACCAGCGGACCAAGAAAACAACCTTAGAATTAAAATCATTTTATTTAAAAGTAGATATGTGTTTGTCCGCCCAAATTAATATTTCGGTAATATAATTTATCTTCATACATATAAATGTTACATTAATTTTAATTCGGTTTAATCTAACATATTTTATAGAAGAACGTACAAGATTTTATCGAACCAATCAGTATTTTCGCGAAACACGATTTTCTGTATAACAATGTGATAGAATTTTGCAAATTGTGTCCTGTGGAAAGAAGAAACAACAGGCAACAAGTCGCGCAAACTTTACTTCCTTTCAACATTGGTTGCGGAGAAGACAGAGTCTGTAACTCTAATATCTCGGCTAATGGAAAATTTTATGATGTGCAGTAAATATTTGGAAGTTATATTAAATTCATTTACTACTTTCTGCAATTAGATTATACTCGCATAATTCTTTCAGCGATAACAATACGTGGATCATTGGTTCGAACGACATAAGTTTAGAAATCAGTTTAAAAAATCATGGAGAGCCTGCTTATCTCACCACGATCGAATTTCTGTTACCTAAAGGAGTAATATTACGTAGTATTTTAACTTCTTGCCAAGAAGACACTTTTAAAGAACATTTACTGGTAATTTGTGAGGCAGGCAATCCCATTTGGGAACGAGAAGAGGTACTGCAGCACAATTTTTTTTTCAAACTATCAATGTAATAAATATTTATATATCTTGTTCTATTACAGAAAAATGTTAAATTAGATTTAGATATGAGACACTTAATCAATGATTCGATACACAACTATAAATTAAATTTTCATGCAAGGATAAACACTCGTAGTATAAATTTCGGAACGAAAAATATAAATAAAACATTGAATTTAGTGAATGAAGTATCTTTGTCTCTCCATGGGTTCGTACTACTTACATATATCTTGTTTATGAAACAGTGGCATCTATTTGTCTTTTAAAATTTTGCCCTTTGTAGAAAAGCAAACGAAGAAGCTTACTATTTAACTACCTCGAACGATATTGCTCCAAACATTAGTTTTCAACATACTTATCAGGTGTATAAACTTGGTGCATCACCTATAGAGGATGCACAACTTACTATTAAAGTGCCAACAGCTGTACGAGATTCAAAAATTTTAGTTTACATATATAAACCTCAGGTAAGAAATATCTAACATATTTTTATAAATACATATAAGCTTCAGAAAAAAAACTGTGTTTTCAGTTATATGTATCAGGAGAACGTTTTGAGTGTTCAACAGAAAATATTTTATTAGACACCGAAATGATTGAGATGCAAGGAGAACCATCCTCGGATCAATTTGATATACCTTTGTTCTCTAATAAAATACAAGAAAATAAAGTTCGTGAATTATACAGAAGAGATGCGAATGAATTGATGAGAGAATTCTATGATGTAGAAAACACTAAAGCCTTGCAAGTTTTAAACGAAAGTTTGACAATTAATACCGTTTATATGAATTGTTCGTCTATCGAAGTAAACTGTACGACTATTGTATGTGATTTAAACGCACTGAAAACTTTGCAGGATATTGGAAAGATAGTGATTAAACTTTTCTTGAATACCGAAGGACTTAAAGGTAATTGTCTTATTTGTTTCTGGAATTGATAATAAAGATTCATTAATAAAAATTTTGTAACATATTAAGATGACTTTAAAGACGGTAGAGTTGTTTTAAAATTCAGCAGCCAAGCTAGTGTAAAAGTAATCAAACCTACTGTAAGGCTAGATGTCAACGGAACTCGGTAAATATATACATATACAATATATACTTTTCTTTTTTACTTGTACAAATTATTTATATATTAAAACTATATTTTCAAAACTATATTGCAGCTCTGCATTGGAAGTTGTAACAATGTTTTACAATGCTCCGAAAGTAGAAGAGTTAAAGTTATGGATTGTTCTGGTCTCTGTTTCAATAGGATTGTTATTGTTACTTATTATCATTATAATTTTAAGCACGGTAATTACTTTTTTGGTTGTATAAATATTAATGTAAAAAAAAATTTTTTTTTCTTTATTACTAATGATATTTTCTATATAGTTGGGTTTCTTTAAACGCAAAGGAAAACAAGATCTAACAGATTTAAAAAATAATGAGGTAAGTACTTATTGAATAATATTACATATTATTTAGAACAGAGCTTAATTAATGTATCGTTTATAGATAACAGAAAAAGAAACTACACCAGTGACTGAATCCGATAACTAAAACGGTGTTAGACGCACATAGTATACTTATTGTAGAAAAACGAATTATATTTAATAAACTACCTAATTCCTATTTACATTAGGTTCAACGCTTTAGATGAAACATTCTTCACTTATGTATACAAATGTTCATTTTTATTAATTACATGTGTATTTACAAGCCGCATGTGAACACTTTAACTTGACGGAACGTATAATGCAAAAGACTTGCATCTTAACATGTACATCAACTAACGTGGCTATTTACATTTCATTTAATGAAAACTTTACAGTATACAGTCGAAGAATGAACAACAGTGCCTGATGAATCGATTCACCATTGCAAGTAAAGATAGAAAAAAAATTTAAAAGAAAAAAAAAAAAAATTCTTTTTTTTTAGAAGTATTTTTCTTGTATGTTCTGTTCGTGTGATTTTGTACAATGTATCGTATAGTGATCGCATTAGGACATTTACTTGGCCTAAGTAAACATGATTTAACAACGTTTTTGAAAGGAAACTTAACAGTACCGTCAACATCAGATACCTTTGTCTTTAGTAGTATAACAAAATCGTACAGAATGTGAACATAAACTATTCTCTTGGCTTACATTTGAAATATACTTATATGTTTTATACAATCAAAACGAAAAAATAATCTTTTAAATCATAGATTTGTTGTAAACAAATTTGTTGTATTACGTCATATAAAATAAATATTATTTCATTTCCTAGTTGTTTTTTACATATGTATTTCAATTATTTCTTTCCATCTATCGTTATTGTTTAATGTGTCTTGCTATGAGAGCACAGAAGACTGAGGTGGTGCGGTTGTAACTTTTGTCTTATCGACATGAGAAAACCGCAACAAATTCGTATGAGCTCATCAATTCGCAGAAGCAACTGGTACGCTCAATTTAAATTTGTTCTTTTCGATGCTAAGGTTTAAATGGTGTAGCGGGTACCTTGCAAATGTGTAGTTTGTCGTAGCACAATTGTCGCACGTCGACAGGCTACGGACAAGGGACAGAATCAAACTTTACAAGTTTGTCTCCACAGTGTGTATATCCGTTTGCTGGGGTCCCAAATTTATTCAAGAGGACTGTCGTCTTCCATTAATCTCATTGTATTCTTCTCCTCATAAGGTGACTATAGCAAGTTGACCGTCTCCAAAAGTAAACACATCCAAATGGCTTCCGTGTAGTGGTAAATGATTTTCTTTTTTTCACGTTACATGTGAATCACATCTGAGGTTATTCTTTTATTGTACGCGTGTTACTTGAGAATATACCAATAAATAATTTATGTTCACATACTCTATCTAATCTTTGGATTTACAAACGGTATGAAAATGATCACGAGTAACAGTACATTTACGTATACAGATGATGATAATAACTCTTCGATGTAGAAAGTCAACATATTCAATTATCATAATATATAAAACAAGCTGGTTGATGTTTTGTAAAATTTTGTTACTTTCCTCTTTTTTTTTTCTTTCTTTTTCTTTTTGGGGTTTTTTTTTTCTTTCATTTTTGTTGAAAATTAATCGTCTCTTACCAATTGTGATACTTTAAACCTTAAAGAATTTACTTTATAATAGACTTTTTATATATTTATGTAACGTTAAAAAATTATGTGGTATGCCTTCAATATTTTACGATCAACCAGCTAATTAAAGAGAAGACGAGTATGAACTTTTTAAGAACATGAATGTTCTTTCGCTTTTTTTGATTTTTACAAAGTTTAGTATAAACCAAGTTGTACGAACTACATAATGATGCTTATTTTACTACAGGTAATAAAATTATAATTTACACTGATATAGGACACAATCGTTCAATGATGTAGAATTATCTATTAAGAAGACATCATTGTTGCATAAATTTTACAGCAAAATCAATGTATTGTGTATGAAGTGTATTTAGATCATATAAAATAAACACCATTATGATGTATATATGAAAGAGAATTTAACCGGTAGCGTATGGAATCTAAATATTAATCGTGTTTCGATCGAACGCATTTGATTTTCACACTTTTGATACTATCGAAGAAAAGTACTTAAACGAATAGTTAGAAATAATAATAGAAAATTCGAATACGTATGTTCCAGGATACGAGATCTTATATCGAGAATAAGGCATCTAGCACGATAGTTTCATATATGTATATGCATAAGAAATAGAAGTAAAAATTAATCAAATCGCGCTAGTATTATTTACTCTTGAAATTTGTTAAACCTAGAAGTTAACCCTAAATCCCAATCTCATTTGTTATACGCATCATAATCTGAATAAAAGCTTGTAAAAAGAATGGTTAAAAATTAATCATTCATAACTATTTTATTATATTTAATTTATATGTATAATATGTATAATCGATACAAAAAGAAGCTTGCTGTTAAAGGAATTTTACTCTGTGAAACTTCTTTTTGTACGATCTACACAGGATGTACCGGTTTTGGGTAATTATGAAAGAACAAAGAGAAGAATAAACAGAATATATGTATAAGGTATTAATTAGTGACTTCGAAAGTTGAGAAAAAGAAAACTGAGCATTAGAAAATCATACCCAATACCTGTTCTTATTCAGATTATGATGTAAAAATATACTATGTATTACAATGATACATGCAACAAGAAAAGAAAGTGATATAAATTAAAATTGTTTTAAATCTTACTTTATCTCCCGGTACAATGTAACATTTATTTGTTAAATGCTTCAGGTGGTATCTGTCCTCGTTTGAAGAACTCTTGAAACGCGGAGAGTGCATTGTCATAATTCCATAGTACTTCCTCCAAGCATTTCAAACTCCACTCCAAATTCATGTTCGTTTGCTGGCTAAGCGTCATTGTCATTTGTTGTTTCACGTCTTCGGGTAATTGTGATGGCAATGGTTTCACCACACCGCTGCTAGAGGGAGCGGTGTGCGGTACCACCGGTCCTGGTATTTGTACTTCCCGTTGATTGTTGAGATTTTTTAATTGTGCATCTGTCGGAGGACTGATATGTAATTGTTCATTTCGAATACAGTAACCAGTCCCCTCTGGTACTATTATAAATGTGCGATTGAAGTAACGAACTGGTTGCTCTTTCTTATCGAGCTCTTTGAATAATCCTGTGACTGTGATCAACATCATCCCATCCTATAATAATATAGTAACATAATTATACAAAGCATAAGCATATAATTGATTAGAAGTATTATTAAGAAAAATGTAAGAATTTACCGTGATAAGACTAATATCCATTGTGAATGTATTTAAATAGTGACTTGTTTGAGGCATTTCGGAAATAAATGAAACCACGGGTAATCGTCCTTGTTTCAACAACTTCTGCCTCTTATTTGTCTCGTTTATTCTATATAAATTTCTGTTTTCCGAAAGATATCCATTAAATCTGTAATAATCCATTTGTTGCAAGATTAAACGTTATCAAAAATTTTTGATTTGTCAATAATTCTAAATTAATATACATATTAATTAAAATACATATGTATATGTAAACATACTTATTATTTTGATGACTGTAAGATACAGTCATACTGAAGCATGCGTGTTCGTCATACGCATCTAACAGTGGCTGACGATTCTCACTATCGAATATGAGAAAGTATTGTTGTAAAAATTGACTAGCAATTTCTTGTGCTTTTGCATTTGCAACGAACATTCTTTGCGATGGTGGTATTTTGTTTCCCTCGTCCGCTACATCGAACAAGATTGGCTTTGGAAGTTCCATTCCATCCTTTTTAAAATGTTTAAAATTGTTATACATACGCGCGCGCCTTCGTAAACAACCATTATCCATACTAAATCCATACTAAATAGTTACTTACCAGCCGTAGAAGTTTAGGGAATCGTTTCCGCACGTCGCTATGGTCGGGAAAGAAAAGCCAGAAGCCCGGAAGCTCCAGGTTAGTCGTAATAACAGAAACATTTGCCTTATTATTAAAGAGTAAAATAAAAGATGATATACACAAGTTATTCAGAACTTTCAAATTCAACCATTCTTGTGATAAATATTAAAATGTCTATCCATATTTTGATCAGATGGAAACCTATATCTTATCTAAATGCAATAAATGTTAGTTGCTTAAACAATGATCATTGGAAATTTCATCGACTTTGAAAATCCTTTCACCAAGAACCAGAAGATTTATTGAAATAATACATTACCTAATGTAGTCACTTTGTCGAGACTTATACTTGTTGCAAACCGGATTTCCTGCTAATTTCAGCTCCTCTAATTTTAAATCTTTGATGATATCTAGTTGACTCATTTCTTTTATCTATAAAATATTAATTGCATTGTAATGACTTTGTCCAACTATTTGTTATGTTTTATTTTCAAGTAATTACCTTGTTATCCCCGATGTACAGTATCTTTAATTTCGCGAACTTCTTGTTTAAAATACTTAATTTTTCAATTATCTGTAATTGATTTCCATCCAGATTCAGTGCTTCCAAATCTGGTATATGTTCTGAAACAATATCCAGTACTGCTTTTAACATCACGGGTTGAAACAGTGCACAGAAGTAATCAGTGATGAGATCTATAACAAAAGTTTTATATTAAATATCATTGAAAAAAACGAGTTGCGATCCACATCTATAATTTTACTAACCAGGGTCTCTATGAAATCTTGATAGATCTAATGCATTTGTTTCGTGTACATATCTTTTAGCCATTGCTTGTTTTAGTCTCTCTTTCAGTTTATCATCTATTTCACAGTCAGGAAATAATGATTTCAAAACCTTCACTTGCAGTTTGTATCCATTAGTAGTTGTAATCTTACGATCAGAATCGAGTAGGGCAATTGCTATTTTGCTATCATCTACATAGAAACTGGCTTCGTTTCCAGTTATTTTATACTATAAATAAATTTCAACATAAGTTTTACTTATAACATTTCTCTAATTATATTATGCGGCTAATATATTTCGTACTTACCATTATTGGAACAAATGTTTCTGGTGCAATATAACTGAGGAGATTATTTATTATATAACTTTTTTCATATTTCTGTCCATACGGTATCTGCAATTAAATCCTTTGTAATCTATGTTAAATCAAGGCAGTTAATCAAATGTATGACCTTATGCGCTTACAGCAATTTTATACCAGTTGGGATCACCAACAGGATATCGTCTGATTCCAGCAGCAATTCCACCTCTAAACCTTCTATGAGGCAAAGGACTATTTCTTCCACGTTGCATACCTCTATCTCTTCCTCTGATAATAACTTGCCTATTGTTATTGTTAGAACTTGTTGCCATTTGTACATCTTCATCTAAGCACGCTAATGCCAAACTTCTAGGTATATCCCTTGTTGGTCTTGCTTGAGTCTTAAACGACACTCTAGGTCTGTTTCCAAGATAAGAGCCTCCATCATTTCTTGGTACACGGTCATCGTGACCTGAAGGAATAAAAAATCTGAATACAAAATATAGCGTAATGTAATGCACTTTGTATATAAATCATTATAAGTAACAAAACTGCACCGAATGAAGAAACATAACATAAATATTAAAAACGTTTTATTGTAGAAAGAAAGAAAGAAAGAAAGAAAAAAATAGATAAGTAGAACATAACAAACACACGATTAACTGTAAAAAATATACCAAAGTAATGTTTATCATTTGAATTTCCAGATCTTCCGCCTCGGCCACCCCACGAGGACTTATTCGTTTTTCTCAACATTTTCTTCAAGTGGTACAATAATCAATCATAAATAAAACGCAACGAACATTGCAAATTTGTACAGGTTAGAAAGTGAACTTTTTACGCACGTAATCAAATTACGTTTGTCATTCATATACCAAAAACAATAATGGCATACAAATAATCGTAATTATCTGACGCGTCTTTTATCTATGAATAATTAGTACTTTAGCGAGGCGTAACAATTACGTTTCATCAGATAGAAAAACTTTCCTCCTTCGCATACACCGAGAAAAAGATGGCGACATAACCAGACACAACCACTAAAGAAAATGCTCCTATTTTACGTTCGACAGTGACTACAGATACAAGAAGAGGGGACCTGATTGAAGGGATCCCAGACACCCCTACATACAGTTCGGTTTGCAGGCTTTGAAGCTAGATGCCGAGTTATCGGCCACTCACAGACAGTCGGTTTGTTATCGATTTCTCGATTTATCCATCGACAGTCGGTAAGTTGCCGAGTAGTTTTCACTACGTTTCCATAGATGGTGGTGTAAAAGAACTTGATGGCTGACCGGGCACCGTTGACAACCACAGCGTACGGATTTACTTGTTAAACACACTATAAACCTTTATTTTGTTTTGTGCGTTTATTTAATTTGCTGTATTCATTGATATCGAAAGCAACTAAGCATAATTAATTATTTTGACAACTGACTTTCGAATTGATCTCATTATTCGTTTTACTGGTAAATTAACGAACCGTTAATTACTTATTATTTTATTCCTGTTAATTATATTATTTCCAGTCTGTAGGTCGTGTAGGCGATAGTCGATAAATTAAATCGATCGATAAGTCGTTGAGTAGTTTGAGCCGTTTGTGTATAGATGGCGCTGTACAGAAAAGTAAGAGTACAACCTCCTACCCGGTTCGGCGTCCAAAGACAGACTGACGCGGTTCAGCACGAAGCGGTTAATTTATAGAGTCGAATTCCCGCTTCACCACCGCGCCATCATGGCCGGCTACCCTTACTAGCTCGAATCAGTGACTAGAGATATTTTAGAAATAATCTTTTCGTCTCTATTTAAAATATAGTTAAGTGATATACCGGTTTGGAACATTGGCGTTACTAAAAGCCCAGGGCCGATCACATTTCTTTGACCGATGCGTTCTTCTTCGTTTTTGATTTAATTAAATTTTGTGTAGAAATGAAAAATTCGTGATTATCGTGAAAAGAGGGTGAATTTTGACGGACCGTGTGGGTAGAATAAATCGTGAAAAGGAAAACAGTAAAAATCGAAAGGTCCATTTGAAAGGGGCGGCTGTTGGGTGGAAAGTCGGAAGACGGGAGGGAGGCGTGGCCTCGAATAATTATATCTGAGAGTAGTCCAGTGTCCTTGCGCATATCCAGGAGATATACGTACTTACACATGTACTATCGCTCACGTGTGTATTCTATATACGAAGAAGAGAGAAGTTACGAGCGTTTATCAATCACTTTTGTCGCTGGACCGAAAGGAGCATTCGTCTGGACGGCCGTCGACAGGTAGAACGACCTAATTTCGGTAGCTGGAGAATTAACGGTGATGCCCGCCAACAAGGGAAACCTGTCGACACCTCACAAAGAAAAGGCTGGAAACGGTTTAACCACTGGAGCATCGAAAAAGAAGAAACGCTGCACCGTTAAGCATAAAAAACATTGCAAGCAATATCTGGTGAGTGAGCGAAAATGAAATTCGTTAATTCCTTGCGAATGTATGTAATACATACATACAGTACGTACCGCCATGTTGCAGCGTATCAGAAGCGCGTCTTCAATTGCGAAAAGTTTCTGCGATTAAAAGTTCTCTTACGAATGCGAAATAGATTACCGTGAAAGAATATTATTTTCAACAATTGAATTCGAGTTTGTTCCCATTGATCTTTTTTATCTTTAAGATGGTGCGAATAAATAAGAATTACGGTAGTGCAATAGGTTATGTGGCGCGGATGTCTCGCATTGAAACACGTAGGGTTTGTTCACCCTTACTGATGCATGGTCCATGTGTTATGGTACAGGGTTGCAACGATCGATCGGTGCAAGCATGCTGCGGTGCCGGTCGCGATGCAATTTTCATTTCAACTTCCTCCTGTCGCTTAATGAAAACGAACGCCGCGTCGCCGAAACGATCGAGTAATTTGCATAATTCTATAGCGACGTTCCTTTTTTTTTTCCGATAAATTAGTACCTATTTATCCCCCGGCAATATTTGGCAAACGCTTATCCCCTACACCCATTCATCTATCTTTTTCGATCCTTTTTAAGAGGCTCACATTATTTCAATAGAATTCTATATACATAAATCTTTGATTTCCATGTTTATGATAATATTTATTACTGTCGTTCGTAAAGCCTGAATCGGTGCATAATACAAATTTCGAGAAAACTGCGACGATTATGTTGATCCGTGTTTCCGGTACACAATCTTCTACGATCACGAGGAACTTGATGTAAAGTGTATTGGACACGTTCAGGATTAACCATAAACAAAACCGTATTTGTACATTGTGACAATATATAAAACAATGTTTCTTAAAATACATTATTTAAATGTTTTATTTTTTTCACGGGTCCTGCATTCGTATACCCTATTCCTTGAACACTTCAGTAGGTATGTACCTCTTTTAGCACCTCTGCATAACAAATTGTTCCTCCGTTCGTAACAAATTAGACACGTTCGAGGTTTGCGTGCCACCATTTCTAACTACGAGGGCCATGACACACGGACACACACGAACACGAAGCTTCATTTTACTGTTACACAAGAAGACATTATTAGGTTGTTGTACAAGTTTTGTTCCAATAAAATGTAATAAAGGTAAAATTTTATGTTCGATCCTAATAAGAAAGCAATGTTTGCTATAGCTCAATTATTTTCCTTCTCTTTTCTTTTTTCTTTTTTTCTTTTAGTTGCTTATTACCACAATATGTATAGGGCATACTCCATCGATTTACAAACTTTTGTAATTTAATAGAGGTGGATTCAAGAGGTATAGAGACGTAAGAAAATTTATTTTCTTCAGGGTCCTTGAGGGACTGACGTTACTCAACGCGTTAAAGAAATGTACAAAGAAATATTTTAGTAAGGAATAAAATCTTTGTTTGACAAGATAGAAGTTTTACAGCAACCTAATATACCGTCTGACGGGATTGAAAAGTATGTATGTATACCGACAAGTCCAATTTGTGTTCATTACGAGATCGCCAATTTCTACGTGGGGGACGTGTATAAAACACATATACACACCTGGTAGAGTTGTGTATTAGCAACTTAGGAAGCACGTATTGATTTCTAAGAATGCCAAGAAAAAGAGGTTGGTGCTGATTCGGCGAGAACAAAAGACGACACCAATTCCACTTCTGCAGTCCACTTGAACCACTTGCTATTATGTCTGGTAGGTGCAGAAGTTGGCAAAGCCGTATTGGCTTACCTATGTAAAAAGAATCCGATGGACACCTTTTTATTTTTTCTCTATCTAATAACCAATAAATCATCATTTTAGTCTAAACTAACAAAACGAACAGAAATAGAAGCGCACAATATATTGTACGTCCATGGCATATGAGTCTTTTTTTTTTTCTGGCGTGCACTCGATGCTACTAGTAATTCATGCAATTCGAGCAGGTGCCGTACGCGCGGCTGAACATGGCTGCAGCAAACGGAAGCGGAAGTCGAGCGTAACTTATCATCGGCAAGCGTTGGATAGAGACGTGCGTGCGTGCCTGCATGCCTGCGGACACGTTCAACGACACGTTTCCCGAACTTTGCACCTCATTCCATGTGTTTTCTCGAATTGGTCAACTCATTAGAGAGGAAATTAACCTATCTAAGAGATGCGTCCTGTATTCGAGTAGTTGGGACGCAAAGCGACGCGAGATTTTCATAAGTTTCAAATAGCTGTTGCCCGAGCGATTATACTAATTTCTGTCGATCGACGATAAATCTGTAAAATAGGCGTAGAAGTCGCGACACTTGGTTTCAAGATTTTAATTAACCCACTTGCGCCTGCCTCTGGGCTTGGTTCATTTTTAACGAGGTGTGTGGGTGGATTCCGTGGAAGGGAATTAAATCGTGAGACGTCGACGTCTGCTCTTTGTTGGATATCATAATGCTCTATAATTTCATTATATTCAAGTTGAAGTAGCTGGCTGAAATTCCATCTCTCGGTCGTAACCGATGATGGAAAAGCGTGGCTTCCTGTACTAAGAAAATTGGGACGGTTACTCGCTTATGATGTAAACAACAATGAGAGACTGCGCTACTCGCGAATGCTTGGGTAGACGTTTCTTTTTTTCCACGAAACAATTTTCTGCCTTATTGTTAGTTATGCCTCTCTTGCAGACAGAACTTTTTACGGTGTAATTGAAATAATTGACATGAAAATAAAATTTTCATCTTAATTTTACGTGTGTATCTTGGAATCGATGCCTGAACCGACGACGAGACGTGAATTTGCGAATATTTTAAAGCGACCAACTAACCCGACGAGAGCGGAAATAGCATATGTTTTGGAGCGAGACGAGACGGAATCCTAGAGCAAGCTTGTATCTCTATGATGTGTTGACTCAGAGCTTAATCGAAACTTTAATTATCTCAGGAATGCGCTAATTGCTGAAAATTTATTTAAAAACTAATAGATTACTGTCTTAGCCTTTAGACACGGTCTTAGAGGCACGTTTTAAAAAGGCAGAAATTCGTTTCTGCATACACGATAGAAGATCTAGAAGATCGTCCTTATCCTAGTATGTAGTTCGTTCCTGGTATGTATATATTTATGTGTATGTGTATGTGTATGTATAAAATTCAACGCTTTATCCTTCAGCTTGCACGCTACGCGATACGTCCACGTGGAATCATACATATTTATTCTTCAGGTAAGTATAAATTCCGCATGTCGACCACACACACACACACACACACACTGGGAATTCGCCACGCCATGACGATCGAAGAAATCATCTGATAATTGCTTATTAAACAAGAATTAAGAAGTTATAGAAAGTCGGTTTTCTTTTAAATATTCTGGTGGATTCGCCGGGTTCAATGTCCACGGTTTCATCAGATATGGTCGGCAGAATATCGCGCGAATATTTGGCTAGGATGAATAGAATATAGAGAATTCGGGATTATTTGGGTCACGGATATGTTATTTAACGCACGCTGAGAAATATATCTACTCTGTATGCCCGACGAATATTGCTGGAAAAGCGGCTTCGGGTCGATGGAAAGGTGGTGCGAGGGAATGGTTGGCAGGCGTGTCCCTATCGCCAACGAAAATAAGTAGGTACTCCAGGGATAAACAGGAAATATCAGCAGAAATTTCATGATCATTCGTAATGACACGATTTGATGACGTAATAGTATCGTAAAATGGCACTTGCAATATTAATTTGAAGGTACAGGTTTCCTTTAATTGAAGGCTATTAAAAAATTAGCTAAATTGATAAGAAACAAAGAAGAAATAATTGTTAAAAATTTGATAAATAACTCAGCCGCGTACCTCAAAGTTAAAAGTTAAAACGTATTAACAGGAGAAATTTCACGAGCAAAGACGGGGTGTTTTCCGCGTGGAAACGCTGGAAACAGTGGCTATACCGCGGTTCTATCCACCGCAGGAAGGTTACCAGCGTCGCGACGTTGGCTCGACACAGCGGCGCCGACTACGCGAATGAAACGACTCCAATTCGAACATCCGACAAAGACGAAAGATACGCTAACTTGGTAAAGGGGTGGGTAAGAAAAAGAGAGAGAAGGAAAGCATCGCGGAAAAACGAGGAAATCGCGCGACGGGATAAGACGATGGAAATTTCATCGACCATCTTCGCGATAATGCATAAATAATGCGTTTATTTACTTATTTTTTTCAAAATAAAATTACAAAAGTATTATATAAAGGCATACCTAGGGGAAATGTTGGGAAGAAAGGGGAAACGGGAACCGGAAGCAAACGAAGAAACTCATAAGGACGTATTTGATGAAAAGGGAGGCCGAATGAAAAACAGAAAGAGTTGGAGCAACATAACTGGCGTTACACACGAGTCGCCACCAACACCATCAGCACCATCGTAGACGCAAAGAAGAGAGAAGCAACGAAACAAACGGGTGAAGGGTGGAGATTGACGTGGTGGAAAAGGAAAGAATTCAGAAAGGTAGACTCTGTTCGCGAAGGATGAAAGGCAGAGACTGATCAAAAGGGAGTGTTCCTTTCTTCAACAAAGATGCGAGGATAGTTGAATTCGAAGAATAGAGAGGGACGTTGCAGAAGGGACAACAAAATAGAAAGTAAAAATGATAAAAATTGTGGAAGGACAGACTATGCAAATCGAGAAAGAAGGATAGTACAATGCGAGATGGGAAACCACCGAAAAGAATGATGCGATTAGAAAGAGAGAAGACAACCACCGTAGAAAATAAGAATTGCAAAAGTCAGGAGAAAGAGAGAATATAAGAAAGCAAGGCGGAAATCGAGTAAGAAAACAAAAAGAGAAGAAAGATCAGAGTTGATTAGGTGAATTGTAGAAGAGACCGCTGAAGCAACCCTCAAAGGAATCAGAAAGAATTGCAAAAATCATGAAGATGGAACAAGATATAAGAAGGTGATGATGGAAGAAAATAAAGCAAGAAAGAAATGGATGAATTTATCAAGAAAGAGGATGTAAAGTAGATAGAGATATAGGAAAGAAAGAGAAAGAGGAAAATAGGGAGTAACGTTGCGGACTATCGACCCGACCCGGTCAGGCGCTTGCGCTTTTGCAACCCCTTCTACCGTCCACCCGTCTTGCCGGCGACGCGGCGCTCTACGCAACGCAACGTCGGCCACCAGTGCCTCTCACGATTCCGTTCTCGCTCTGCCCTCCGTCTCGTCATTCCGTTCGTACAACGCGTCCCAGTGTTACGCTTCGTTTATCCTCCATATACATATTATACTCGTATAGATATATCTCTCCCTCGTTCTCTTTTTCTCTCTCTCTAGCTCTCTCTAGCTCTCTCTAGCTCTCTCTAGCTCTCTCTACGTGTGGTGTCCGGCTTTTCAAGCGATTCACACGTCCACTTGGAGGACACGAGAGCCTCATAGGGACAAGAGGGAGAGGGGAGGGAGGGGGAGAGAGAGAGAGAGAGAGAGAGAGAAAGAAAAAAAAAAAGAGTTGAAACATACATATACATATAATATACATTATATTAATTAGGTGCATTTTGACGCGTCGCGTGTGTCAAAAAGTAAAAAGACCTTCGACGTGCTGATCTACGTTATCGGACACGCGAGACAATTAGCTTCCGGATGCGGTGAATCTGAACCGGCGCGGCGCGGCGAACGGATACCGGAGGGGAACGGTAGCAGCTTTCCGGTTTTCAAACGTACGGTTTCTTCGTTTTTTTTTCTCGTGAAATTGAGAGAAAAAGAGAGACGCGGGGAGAGTGGTGAAAGTTGTCGGAAGAAGAGGATACAGAGGCTTGTGCGACCGTGAGCTAATCGACGGGGAAAGAAGCAGAAAATTCTAACGACGGAGAGGATGGAGTGGTAGGCCTCGAAGACGGCCCGCCCCTTTCCTTGCTTCCCGGCTATTTTCTCTGACTCTTCTCCTTTTCTTTTTATTATCTACATCGTTTACAAGAAACTTGATTTACTTACATCATCCAATTTCTTTACAATTCTGATGAAATTTTGCAAGGAATGTCACCTTATCGAGTTCAAATAATCTTTTTTTACGTGCTTGAAGGCATGCCCTGATCCGTAAGTACCTATATGGGGTTCAGGGTAACACTATCCTCTATTGAATTATGCGAAAGACGACATTCCTATGCAAGCATACATCATTCTATTGTTCTTATACCTTCTTCGAAATGAAATGTCATTTGCCCCCAAGGGTTAGCCGAATGAACCCTTTGTGCTAGTGCTCGGTCACCTGGAAAACAATTTGCTCTTGGAAGTGTCACCTATCTCCTATATCCTAGTGTGATCTCGAGCAGACGGCACTAGTGCAAAGGGTTAAAGTCCTTGTAAAATTGCACCCTTCGGTGCATACACCTGTACATACACGACCTGACTCGCGTTATGTCTCTCTCTTTCTCTCTTCTTTTTTTCTCACCGGCTGTACGTGCGCGCGTCCGTTTGTCTCATCTTCGTACCACGCACGCACACACATACACAAACGTAGAAACGCGTACACGCAGAAGGAGCATAAGCCGACCACCGTTTCACTGCTAAAGAGGGAGAAAGAAGGAGAAGCAAAAGGAGAAGAAGGTGAAGGTTGTGGTGGAGGAGGAGAAAGAGGAAGTGAAGAAAGTGTAAGCCGGATCGTGGTCGCCGAGGAGCTACGTCCTCGGGAGGGAATCAAACCTGGCCTGACGAGCGTGCCCGTGCCCGTCGTCTAAACGGCCCCGTCGCTACCGCAGCGGCTGTGTGTCACTACTGTTCCACTGCCTCACACACTGCGGCCTCATGATTGGTTCATTCTGGAACCTCTGTCGTGCGTGCCCTTCAATGCCGATTGACAAGGTGAGAGAGAAGATGACTGCCGGCTTATGTTGCTCAATTTCTGCTCCTATCCGATAGGAGCATTTGCTAAATAGAGGGTCCAAGTTTCGTCTAGACCTCATGATTTATTCATTCTGCAACGACCATCATCCATGGTCGCTCGCCTTTGTCGCTCGCTTTCATAGCTTCGTAGAACAATTTCAACGAAATAGATTAGTCGTAAAGATCCCCCTTGGAAGTATTTCTGATACCATCTGTGAATAGTATTTACTAGTGTTCCACATAGTAGCACTTGGCTACGCTTTGCTGAATCCTTGAGAGTGGTATCGTATCGACGATGCTACTTCTGATAGTATTACAGGATTGTATTACTTGATCTTCTGGATCGATTTCTATCGTAGGAGTCGATGGAAGATAGGGGTCAGGGGCTTTGCACAGCCATCTCTACCTCCATCATCCCCCTTATTGGGTATAGCAAGCCTAATCCCATACTATACATATTGTTAGTGCAGTTTCCCACGTGTAATGCAGAAATCCGCGAAAAATAGAGGTTCAAATATTGGAAATATAGGAACCCTAGTTCCTATAGTAGTCTTCTACATAAGTCCATACTTCCTCTCTAGGGGATGCGCGAGGCTCTTGACCCCACACTATACTTTATTAGTATTGGAATCCGTAAATTATCTGACAAATTTATAAGAAGAGTCATCCTTTGGTATCATGGTAGAAGTAGTATTTCTCTCGAGTATTTGGGAAAAACAGTTTCGATCGCGGAGCTTTTTCCACGATTTCAGAAGCCACTACACTACAACTACAGCTACACCGATCGAGACTGGAAAGAAATGGTGTCTTTGTCACCGAAGCTAGAAAGCAAGTGCTTCCTGAGCTTCTTCCTCGTCGATTTCACGAGTTTGCTATTCAGATTTTCATCGAGCCTGCCTGCCTGTATATATATGTATATATACTTTATCTCGGCAACTGATATTATCTGTGTATCGGCATCTCTATGTACGACAGAGATTTAGCCGAGGGGGATTTGTGGTTTTATTGGATGAGAGGGGAAAGTTTGGCTAGCACTCCAGCTTGACAATCTATTGTCTTTCTAATCGAGACTCGGGCCAAACTTTGGCAGCTTACTTTTCTAAGCTTTTAACGTTGAGAATATTTGAACAACTTAATTGCAAAAAAATTAAAAAAATAATAATAAAAAAAAGAAATAACGTCCAATGAAACCATAAAATCATAAAACCATAATTACACAAGCGTAATATTTTCTTTATCGTTTGAAATATTAATCCAATTGGTATTGTTTTGAAATATCTGAAAAGTCCTTTGATATTATTCTTTAAAGAGACGATCCATTAAGGCTATATTCTATACGTAACTTTTGTTCGACTCACGTTCCTGGAAAGCTTTATAGCTTCATCGATCGTTACCTCGAAAACTGAGTTCCCTTTATGTCTTTGTGCTTTAGAAAACACGTGTTTTCGCCGCACGGATCTATTATTATCGCCAATTGTTTCTGTATTATTGCCTGATCGTCGAAGATTTCAGAATAATTACAGAATCACTCGAAAGTATACATACCTATATCTAATTTGTTTTACCGCGTTAAATGTTACAATAAATATTGTCTTCCCTTTGAATTTGTTATCCTTTTCGTAAAATTACGAATATCTGGAAGTTGCTGGTCACAGAATAGCAACTGGACGCTTGAAAATCGGGAATAGATGTCCGATAAGTAATACAGTATCAGGGATTATCGGTTCTTGCCGTCGAAGGAACCAATCATTCGGATTGCACATTGTTACGAGAGTACAATGCGAACTTGCGCATTGATCGACAGGGACATCTCTGCACGGAAATTATTTCGCCAATCTATTTTACTCGTGAAACGGCGAATTCGTAGAATTGACTAGAAACGCGTTTTCTACTTTTATTTTTTCGTTTCAAAGCCCCTCAGCCCAAAATTGAATATTTTCAAAAAATTTCAATTGACACTTGCTATTAACACGTTCGCACAGTGTTAACAGTAGAAATACTCAGTCTTGTTCAGACACATGTTAGTACGGTTCGTTTAATTTTCGGTATTTTCGTTTCTCTTAGCGGATTTCTTTGATCGTTCCCCAGACGAATGAAATTACGATGCTCGACCTTCACAGCACTTGAATTAATTCAGTCGAGAGGGTAAAATGGGAATTGGTTGTTCGCAGTGCGGTTTACTTTAAGCTACGGTTCATAAATCCTCGCCCTAGAGAATTGGCATGTTTCTAGTGACAGGTTCGTGTCAGTATTCTTTCGTCCTCCTTCCTGTATCTGCGAAACTTTTCCTACTGCTTCTTCTTTTATTGCATCGTAAAACTTGTAATATTTATATCCCGCTGTCTTTCGGGTATAAGAAGTGCAGTATAATAAAACCAGTTGCCATTTTTCACAAAGTTTAACCTTTAAATTCTGCAAGTGCTACAAGTACTTATTTTTTATTTCGTGGTATCTTTTAATCAGGTTAAATGTGACGGGTGTCGAAAGATTTTTGATCGACGATCTAGGTAAAATACAATTCAGCTAACACAATTCGTGTGGCCGGACGTCACGAAAAGTGGAAGGAGAAACACCGGCACTGCGCCACTAGGTTCGTTCGTCCATGTTCACTATCACATGCAACATTCTTCGCCCCTACGTACGTTGACTTTTACTACTTGCTCGCTGCAATGCGCAACAACGACATACGCAGACAACCGTTCACTGAACCACCCTTACGACTTACTTTGAAAAGGGTAATAAGCCTCGTTCGTATCGGGCCAACTCGGAACAATATTAGGGAAGAACCCTACCGTTTAGAGTTTTTAAAACAAATGTTGACTTTAAAACAATGATTAGTACAATACTAATCTAATCTGATATACAATTATATAATTAAGACTGTAATAGTAGTTCTGGACTAGGGTAATATTTCAATATGCATCAGCTGATAGAGATCAGACTTCAGCTTCGAAAATCGCATGTAATCGCGGAACTAGGTCTCGCGTGAACGTGTTTCATTATTTTTTCTGGGGTAAAATTAACCCGAAAATAATTTCAGCCTACCGTCTTTTATACCCCGACTAAAAACCATTGTCCTTTCATGGTTCAGAGGAACATTTTTAAAGTTCAGTTAACACGAACAAGCATGGCGAATTTGGTGTAAATTTTTGGAAATTCTCATTTAGCGAATATCATTAAAACTCGAAATAATAAATAATAAATAATAAATAATAATTAATAAATTGAAGCATTAAATACTTGTCACTTTTAGTAAAGCTAAGGGATCTAAGGGATCTAAGGGAAGTTTGGTTACGCTCAATGGGTGTTCTCAGGATTAGGTCATTGGAGGAGGAGGAGGAGGAGGTCGTAGATCGTTTCTAGGAAGTAGTCCCGGGGATTCGACTTTGACACGCAGTATTTCGTCGTCTGCATGCAGCTGGCACGAAAGAGAGGACGAGGTAGTAGGAGGGAGAACCGGCACTGCGCCACCCGTTTCTCCTTCGTCGATATTCGACTGGTTGTAGCGCGGTACGTTGACTCCTACTACTCGGCCATATGCCTCTGAGCGTCGTTTACAACGCGCAATCGTGTTGATAACCTGCGATATAGAATACAGAGGCGAGCCAGACTGCTCAAGTGAATAGCTTCAACCCGTTACGTCACTATCTCTGCAGCAATTTTCTTTTTTCCCTCTGATTGGCAAACCCACCTGAAACACACGACACTTTGTGTTTCGTCTTTGTATTTCTTTCTTTCCTTCTTTTTATGGGTTTTCCTTAGTGGGAGATGCAGAATGTTGCATAACGCTAGTACCTTGTCAGTTCTCTTTAGTTTCTTCTTTTTCTTATTTCTTATTTCTTATTTCTTTGCAAGGAACACAGGACCGTCTCGTGGAATCTTTTCGATCGTTTTAATCTTGTATACCTGCACGGAGCTACATATGATTTCGTGTTGATTCGATTCGAGGAGCTGCTACATCATGTATGACGCTTGGAGCAGTCGGATACTGAACTGAGTGTGGCTCGTAAATTCTCGAGTTCACTTCAATGACAGCAATGACGACGATGATGTTAATAATCGTAATAACGAAAGCAACGATCCAGCGTGTTCTACTCTCGTGTTAGCCCAATTACAGCCGTATTTTCCTCGTGTCAAAACGAAGCCTTTTCAAATTATTATATTATTTGTTGTTCACTTTTACAAAGTACAACATTCATTTTTGAAAATTTCAGTCTGTTGCGATTCTGAAATAGTTAAAAATTTCCGAAATATCACGTGAACCAACACAGGCTTCGATCACTTATGGCAGAAGAAATTTTATCAATTTTCATCGATGCAATGCCAATGTAAAAAGAACTGCAACCACAGCGTGAAATATTTCCAACGTCGTCTAGCGACGTTCATTGTACCAATTAAAACAATGCTGCAAGGTTTCGATAGATAGACGGACAGGTCGATGCTTGGGGCTTCCATAATCCATTTGCAAAAGCTTTAGGCTCATATGTCTTTCGCGCTGCGAATAATTATTTTAATTTGGGCCAACGATACCAGTCGCACAACTAGCAATTTTTGTTCTTCTCAAAAGGAGTTCCATTATTTAAGATAACGAAAAAATAAAAAAAAAAAAAAAAAAGAAAAAAAGAAAAAAAAATTCACTTTCGAGAATAGATGTTTCGTTCGTTGGTGCGATCCTTCTTTTTCTTTTCATTTATTAGATATACGGAAAAACCGCGATCAAAAATGAATCGATTCGTTTAAAAATACAGCAGAACTTGTGCCACGAACTCCCGTCTGATCGTTTTACCTTCTATCGATTCTTTGTACGTTCATTTATTAACAGCGATGTAGGGCAACGTTAACCTTTTCATACGTCGCGTCGTCGCGCCCCTACGACGGGAACCTTTGGTATTTTCGTTGAAACGACGCCCTTCGCGAGTCTCTCATTCCATAATTATATTTTTTCATTTCTTTTGCTGTTACGAGTTACCAAAATCTCGTATACACTTATTTTGAACGACCGACCTTCTACGTCTGATTGATCATAGGTACAGCCGTACAATATCATGGCTCATAGATAATCTTCGCACAGGTTATAGTAATGTATTAATTAGATAAGAACCTTGTGTAAAAAGAAGGAGAGAGAAAAAGAAAGCAAAAAAAAAAAAAGGTTGAAGCAATTGTTTCGATGGAACACGCAAAGTTTTACGGAATAATGTCGTTAATGGTTCCACTTAACGAGGCAGAGAGTTAATTGATAATTACCATACGGTAGCGTAGAAAACTGTGTCGTCGACGGATATCGCGTGTGCAATTAATCGAGAGTCGAGCATAAACGAGTCCTGTAATTGAACACGAAGCCCGAACTATTCTTGTACGCGAATTCTTGCTGGTGCACGCAGATGGTTACACTGAAATCACTGGCAAACCTTTCATCGATGATTGCTTTGCCAATCATTCAAACCCTGTTAAACTACCAACTAACGAACACTCTTTGTTAAGGAAATTAAACAGCAGTATATGTACATATTTGCACGGAGAAGAACCCAGAGTTTTAACCCATCCTTCATGGGATGAATGGATCCGAATGGATACGAAACGAAAATGTCCGTTCGAAAATAAACAAAAGTGCTCCCTCTAAAGAACATACAGATCGATGGATAAGCAATATCGACAAAAGGATTGATAATAATTCGAGCACGTGCCGTTGAAGAAACGAGTTTTTGTCATGGGTTTCAATAATTCGATGAAAAGGTTCGTCGATTACACGCTAACCGAGCCTCTCTTCTGAACGTCAGGTGAATTCGTCGTTTCGAATTCACTGAATTGACTTGCTCAAACTCCGCTGGAATTGTTTAAATGACGAACGGCGAGTATCGATTGAACGTGGAAAGCGGAGATAGAAAGCAGGCACGAATATAGATTCGCAAACTTTCCACGAACGGGCTACGTGCCGGCATTGTGGATTCATTAACGGAACCAACTGTGAATGAAACTTTGTTCCTGACGAATCGGTCGTGAGCTGATCGAGCACGAATCATTTTCCTGCCAACCGTGAAAGGTGTCTGAACAAGTCATAAGATGCGGCTCGGCGAGTAATTGATTCATTTTTTACACAGTTAAATGGAAAAGTAGATAATGCAAAAAAAACCTTTGGAGGATTCCGAATCGAAGTAAACGAACGAGAATTCCTTCTGGAATTCATTTCAACCTGCTACGTCAAACAGATTTCCTACAGACTGTCTCAGAAAGTTTGTGCAAATATTTTAAGTAATTTTTTTTTCTTTCTTTTTTAAATAAACTCTCCTTCGATCTGAATCTCAGCCTTTCCAATGTTTCCCTCACAGTCGTAATCTCTTACGTTTAGATCAAGCAACTTCCGCGATCTTCCAATTTAAACTTTTAACTACTTGCCGGTTTTTTAATATCAGCGTCTTTTGGTTGTGTCACTGGAAGGCAGAAGAGAGAGAGAGAGAGAGAGGCAGAGTTAAGTAGGCAGAAATTTATGAGAAAGATTGAAAGCGATCCGAATGGTGAAAAGGGGCACGGTTCATGGAATCACACGGTATTTCCGATCTGCTATACCTATCTTCGTACGTTAGACGTTTCCGCGCTACTTTTTCTCTTCCTCTCTTATTCGTCTCTCATTCGTCTCGGCTAGGCGCGATGTAATTTTCGTACGATCGAAGCTTCTTCGCCTCGATTCAGGCTGAAGAGGAATCCGTTTTTCCGGCCGGCTGCGTGCCGATGAGACGTCGAGATGAGATCGTCGAGAACGATCCCATCTACTCTCTACCAGCATCTTCTCTCCCTTCTTGTTACAGTTTCAGGACAATTACCAAGCCACAAAGTAAATCGTCCTCCTCCATATTGCGGTAAACCTTCCACCTGCTCGGAAGGAGCTAAATTCTAATATAATAGATTATCGAAGTAATCTGACGTACACGCGAATACGTACAAGTGAAAAACAATAAAAGTAAATAAAATTTGCGACCTTCATCTTTTTCGATGATTAAGAAAAATACAGGGGTGCAATGAAATGAGAGAGATTGTTTTAACTGGACTGTGAACTGGCGATGCTTCCTCTGTTCCCGGACGCCGGACACAGAACCGATAGTATCTGGGTTAAGTAACTAAATCAATCAACTTTGAGAAAACAGGACAACGCAATTAGCGGTGCCGCTGCAAATCTATCAAGTTTATAAAATCTCACGGAAAGAAGCGCATTGGCTTTCCGATCGAGTGATAATGCAATAAAAAGCCTACCCCCCCCCCCCCCTCCCCCTGGTTTCTCTTCGTTTCTTTTTAATATAAAAAATAATTACTCTCGAAATGGTAAAACGTGGAATTTAGCTCTGGTCGTTTAAGGAGGTAAAACACTGTAATAGGGGTGCCATTTAGTGCTTTTACCGAGCGATAAAGTTTCTGTTTTGTCCCGGCAACGTTTATTCATCGAAGGCATCGATTGATGTCCATTGAAACTTTTGAAAAAGAATAAAAAGAAAAAAGGAAGAAAAATCGCGACGTAAAAGGAATCGTGTCCAGTTGACTGAATAGAATGACGTACATCATCATTGTACTCGATTGTAAGCAAGACTGGCTGACAATCTGACCCGTGTATTATGCAACGCTTTCGAACGAAGCTTTCTTATAATCGACAGATCTGGAAAATAAGAATGAAGAAGAAATAGTTGTTAGAAAAGCTTGGAAAAAATCTGTAAACTTTGATCAACAGATCCTTTGATACGTTGTTGATTCAATTATGATGATCTCGAAGATTGAGTTGCAATTGCAAGTTATTTAATGGTGTACGATTCTGAAACAAGTAGAGTTGATAGATACGATCTCATTAGCGATTTTTCTATTCTACATCTATTAACTCGTTACGTTGATTGTGTATTGCAGCAGCTCCATTCAGAGTATAGGAGCACGTACACATGGCACGAATACACTGGACCACACCAGGAGCACACGGTCGTCCGTCGAGCACCTCAACCACCGCCGACGTCGAGTAAGTTTATCTTACTTATGTATTATTGATAACTCTTCGTACATATATATATATATATATATATATATATAGGTATATTTCTTCATGATATAGCGAAATCAGTCTGTTGATCAGTACGATAGTTTTTTTTCTAGTTATATCATCGCATAGTTGACTAGGTTTGGTGTTTGAGCAAGTTAGTTGGTCCTCGTATATATTAATTAAAAAACTTCCAAATTACAGAATGGCAAAATGTTCGCTCACAAGAACAACCTTCTCTCGGTTAAACAAATTTGCTCATGCATCCATACCATGCTGTTTAAAGGTTAATTGTTTCCATAAATTTGTTGGAATCATATTAGTAGCAGCGAGCGTGAAGATACAGTATGCATTACAATTATCTCGTTAACCCTTTCGCTACGAAGGGCCACGCGTGGGGCCCTTTGCAATTCTATTAATCCTGAAGATCCACTAATTAATACGCGTGTTAAATACGATTTTCAATCGTTAAAAGCGTTGTAGCGAAAGGGCTGGAAAAAATTGCAATTTACGTGTTTGAAATAACAGGGGGACGTTAATCGACGCATCGCGTGACGACACGCGTGATTCTAGATTTAAAAGCATCGATTCGATATTTAAATTGAAATTGGAATTGTTAAAATTTAGAAATCAGGCAGTTCGTTAGATCGAGGATATGAAAAATTCACGCTCGTACGGCTCAAATGATTTCTTACATATCGGTTCTTATTACTCCTCAGAATTTTCTCCCTCCTTAGTATTTTTAAAAGGTGTTTAGTGATTTTTCCTTTGATCGTGCTACCACTCATGTGTATCTCGTCTCGTTATATCGCACATGCTCTATCGTCACGTTTCACCTCCACCCTACCTGTTTAACACCAGGCCATCTTTCACCCTCGTGACTCGTATATATCTATCATAAGTATGTATAACGTTCTGTTTTCACAATTTCTAGTCTGTCGAAGTAAGTCTCCGTACACTTATCTTTTAGAAACCTTACAAATGTAGCAAAATATTGTAATAAGTAATCATCTATTCATCGTTCAGATTACAATTTTTCAGGAACTAATTTTTTAATCGAATGCCTGTGCTTTCCTCATTTTTTCACCTTTTTCCATTTTTTAATTATTTCAGAAGCGACCCTCACAAGTGTACGGAAACTCTTTAAACCGACTGTGTATATTACACTATTTTATGTACATACTTCGATAAAGCACTCGTTCGTGTCGATGTTGTAAAATTTCACCATTTCCTTCTTTTTTGTTTCTCATACATATATTTGCTTAAACATTAACAACGAATCTGCTCGTTTAAATTCTCAAACATTCACCATCTTTATTTCTCATTTCACTCGTATATTTCGTCAAACCATTCAGAAGATAGTTTTGCCAAAAAGGAACGGATCCAGATGTCTATCTTGTCAAATAAGAAGAGCGTATTTTATGAATAATAACACTGAGATAGTAGTAGATACCATCCTCTGGATCTGCTCCTATTTTCCAAAATAACACAAAAGAGAAAGAACCCTCCAACACAAAGATCCGCGTCTCAAGACACGTGCGAAATAAATCGTTTTATCATCCATACGAATCACGTTAATCACCGTGAAAAAAGTAATTAGCCAATGGTCGACCGGATGATGGTTATCGGGTATCGATAGCGAGCGATGATTTCCGAACGATTCACGTTCGATTTGGCAACGAGTTTGCCTGCGAGAAAAGAAAAAAGAAAAAAGAAAAACGATAGCGTAATTCGGGACAAGAGTTTGTTGTACGTACATACATACATACAGCATCGAAATTGAAACGGGTCAGTAGACCGAAGAAGAATCTAGAGTGAGACACGGTATAAATGAAAGAAGGGAAATAAAGGTGAATGAGAAAGATAGAAAAGAAAGAGAAAAATAAAAAGGAAAAGAAAAAAAATAGGGTGCCAGCTGCGAATTTTGATTGCAGCGAAGCAACCGAGCGCGAAGCTACAATCGGCCAAGTCAACCGAGGATGAAAACAACGAAGGTAAGACGAACGATCCGAGCTATACATATAAATATACGCAAACATTTAGAGATTATTACGGTTTATTTCGCTCGTTTTTTAACACCATTGCCATTGCCCTTTCGAAGGATATTCTACCATTGGCCTTGCAACCATCCCTTTGCGTTAGATATAGACTTATTAAAAATAATTAACCCTTCTCGTTTTATAATTTTAATTTCCCTTCTGCTAATCAGTGATTTGAAATTGATGTGTGTTTTGCGGTCGAAGGGTTAATACAACATGCTTCTTGCTTGTTCGTTGGACTTGGTTTACACTGGTTCTTCCACTTACCTACTATTAGTCAAAGTGTTAAATGAAAATTCAATGTTTTTAAATTTAGAATTCGTATGGTTATTTCTATTATAGCACTGATCGTCAATGAGTTAAATTGAATTAGGTGAAATGTAAAAATAGCAAAGGACCGAAGCACGAGAAAGAGCGATTCGTTTTGACGTTTAAAGAGGAACGTTGTTTCGTATACACATTTCATTCGTGTGATCGCTCGAAGGCAAAAGCTTCGAGGTAAAGAAAAATATTAAAATGGCATGGCAGTGTGAACCAAGTCTAAACGTTTTCTCTCGTGCGTTCTCCAAGTTTTTACGGAAAATCTCCTGTGAACTTTTTCATTCGTATCTCGTTGTTTGAATGCATCCATTGTGCAGGCTGTGTTTAGGTTGCATCCATTATCCTTGAGCGTCTTTTTTCTTTCTGGTTTGTTTAGATGACACCTTGTAAATAGAACTTTTGTGCTGCTAGACCGCGTCGCGGAACTGATCGAGATCCAAAGATATTCTGAACACCGCGTAACAATCGCGGAACGAGGAAAAAATGAGAAAATGAGAAAATGAGAAAATGAGAAAATGAAAAATTCAAGGCTTTGCGATATTAGAGTTTCAAGTAACCTTCTAAGATTAGTCCTTGACGCGATACCAAAATTGTAAGTGTAACTTGTTAACGTCACGAATGACGGTGGTGCTCAATAGACCTTATTTAATGAAGAAAGATGTCTCGACTTTTGTTTAAAACGTTGCATAGTGGTTGTAGACGGTTATCGTGACTCGGTGGAAAATTTATACCGACAGGCTTTATCTTTCATCCGAGCAGATATAGCCTAGATATAGCACGATGCGCCTCTGCATTTACTTGCACGAAAGTTTGCTTGCTCGCGTCGCTATACATGCAACATTGAACTCTACAACTTGCCACAGAATTGTTCGACTATCATTATCGTGATTTCTTCTATACTCCATCCAACGAGACGAGACGAGACGAGGTACCGAAACCTCGACCGAAGCGTTTGAAGAACTGGAAACAACTGAGCTTCGACCCTGCGTCGAGCGCGTGAATTTGTCTCGCGAATTTGCCTGACTCGTCTCGTTTCGTTGAACTTTTTTGCTTCGCTAAAGCACTTTACGCCTAGCCGAGGGTTAATTATAATAAATTCTTCTTCCTTTAAACTTATTAAGAATGAAATTTGCATTCAATTTCAGTTTAAAATAAATTAATAAAAAGTGATCGACATAACTTTGAAAAAAAAAAGAAAAAAAAAAATGAAAATTGGGAAAATTGCCCATTTCCAAAGCAAAAGAAAAGAGATAATTACTTTTTCTATGAAAGGAGTTTTCCCTTAGTTCTGCGCATTCATCGCGCGAAACCTTATCCAATAGAGCAGTAGAATGGCATTTTAAATGGAGCATCCGCATTACGATCCTTTTTCTTTTCATCATATGAAATTTCTGTGTTTTTATTAGATTTTGCTGGCCTATGCACGCGATATTATGTAGGTACTTACTTGTTTTGCCTCGTAGACAAAATACCACTTTACCCCCTTGGACTTTAGGCCGATTGTAGCGATTAATCGTTGCAATTAGATCGCAACAATTGATTTCTAAACCCATCGTTTCCCTGCTACGTGTCTCTTTTATTTTCGTAAAAGATAAATGAGCGAGTCTTGATCATGAAATTGCGACGATTAATTGTACCTGCGATCAGGCGAAATAATTATTAATTATTTGATGTTTCCACGTTGGGCTCAGGGGTAATCGCGTCATCGAATTTAATAATCGCTGGTGAAGATACCGCTAATATGTATTAGATGAATTTGCGGCAAATTACCACCAGGGTGTGATCTTGTAAATTTGCCCGACGGATTAATTAACGCAGAATTTCTTAAATTTTTTAATTCATCCTTCGTGTTTACCTTGATTATCATTTATTTTTCAAATGATTCGTATCGCTTTTCCTTGCGAAACAAGCAACATAGAAGGATGTCAATTGTCGTCGGGGAGAATATAAAATTTTGATCGCTCGAGTATTCCGTTAGTTTACGACTTACGAGAAAGAAAGAGTGGAGAGCGTTTCGAGAAAGACTAGAAGGCGACCCACGACCCAGTTTTTTTCGCGACGACTACCGGACTAGACTTTTTGTTCTGAAAATTACTCTGGTCTGACCTGTTTTCCACTGCCAAGATGACTAATCAATGCTCGTTACTTACGTATTGTACGTAGGATGGCTTCGAGTCATTTTTCATCCGGAAAACTTCAATCTACGGGGTGTGTTCTAGCCCTAAAAAAGACAAAAAAAAATGTTGATGAATTATTATTATTGTCTCGATGCGATCATGTTTGCTAAATTATTCTACCGATATGTTATCGCTCTTTGAACATAGCGCACCCTCGATAATCGTAATTTGCAATATTGATTCGTGATAACGATTAACACGTCGATGTTAATTCAGGACCGGCTATATTTTCGATCGTTTAAACTTCAATTACCACCGTCGAAACTTTAATCGAGTTCGGGAACGAATTTGCCAAGTTATTGCTTAAGAGGTAGCTGCTTGAATCAATTAGAAATCAAAGGCGAAACCTTTTTTTCTTTATTCGCTGAGTGTTGTTAGATCGTGCAGTAGGAAAATCTTTTTTTTTAAAGAATAATTTTCCAGTCGCTCGAACGTAACTAATTTATTCACAGTTCTCGTTCGAAATCATCGAAACGCGAAGAGCTGCTCTTCACCTTCTTTTAGTTGCATCGCAAACTTTTACTTTCGACGCGATACTACATACGTACTCTTATGTATACCTATTTGTATAGAGAAGAAGATGGACGCGAGTTATTCCATTGATAGAAATGGAAACGTTGCCCACGGAGATAATTGATTCATAACCAACGAGTCGAGTGACGCGACGCTTGGAAATAGAGGATCAAAGAGAGAGAGAGAGCAGTTGAAGAGACGGGCTTATCAGTTTCGCGCCGGCTATTGATATGCACCGGAAATCCTCTTGACAGTTTTCTGGGTTGAAACTGTGACATGGATGACCGAGAAAAGCTAGCCGACAATTATATTACACGATCGCGTCGCTCGTCGATCGATTTCTAATTGAAAGAAAACGATGAGGAAGTTTAATGGAAAATTTTCATCCTCCGTCATTTATACTTTAAACGTTCACAGGATTAATGCATCTTTCAAACTCTTGAAAAGTTTCAGAAATTTTAATTGCATCAATGAGTTTAATAAATGGTGCAAGTCCTGAAACTTGCTTGCTTTGCTTCTTCAATAATACCTACTATAAAAATACCGATGTTGCACGTTGCACGTTTTATCAATGATACCACGGAATTGAAAGAGGATTTTCAGAATGAGAGTAGCATGCTAATAATATATACCTACTTTACATACGTGATCGCACGTGAGACTTTTCACTCGTTTGTCAATTTTCAAGGAATAAAATGGATGGATGGATGGATCGGTTCGTAATAGCCGTCGATGCACAATCTAATAATTCGTGAAGGTAAAACGAAGCATTTCCTTACGGTTGGTTGAACAGAGAGCCTTGATTTCCATTCAGCTACCCAATTGGAGCACAAAGCCGGGATATTCGATCGAGATGAATCGTGAGACAGTTCCTTGTTATGCTTTATCATTTCTGAAAAGGGGATTCAATTTTTTTTTCTTTTCGAGGGTTTAGAAGAGAATGAAAAATGGATCGTTTTGAAGAAGAATTGAATTCTGACCCTAGGCACGTTCTCAGTTGTACGTTAAAATAAAATTTCACTGATGAGTAATTGTCGTCAGTTTCGAATGTAATTAAAAACTACTAAAAAGAGTAGGTTATAATTGCATTAAAATTTTCACGGTGCTTACATAACCGAGTTAATATTCCACGCATCGTCATACACATACATCCCATTGACATGAGAGCGATAGGAACGCGCGTGTAACAGGCATCGATCTTCCACATATATGTACACATAGGTATAATACATACATTGGCTCTGTAGCATCGTCCAGCGGGAATATAGTGGTTCTAAAAGTAGAATCATCCGGATGACAGTGGGCAACGGAAATAACGGAACGGAAACGTTGTCGAGGATTCAACGAAAAGGGAAGGTCTTCTTCTGATAGACTAAACCAAGCGCGATAACCGGCAACTTTTCATAGACAACAACTTGACCTCGCCGTTCAACTTTACCCTGCTTAACGATACATATATGCTCTCGAATCCGATTTCCGTTGACCTTAATTCAACGCGAAGCATAAGCGTCGAGAACGAAAGTATGGTTGTCGTTGCGGTTCGAGACTCTGACATTATTTTTTTTTCATGATTTTATAAGGGTGTGGGAAAAAGAAAGAGTTGCAGAAGCTGTTGCATAAGATAGATAGATTGTTGATGAAATGAAACGCACCGTATTCACTAATTTTAATTAATATATATATAAATTAATAAAGCACCAATTCTAAATGCAACAAACTTTTTATCTTCACCTCTAACCAGAATCCGATTTCCGTTGACCTTAATTCAACGCGAAGCATAAGCGTCGAGAACGAAAGTATGGTTGTCGTTGCGGTTCGAGACTCTGACATTATTTTTTTTTCATGATTTTATAAGGGTGTGGGAAAAAGAAAGAGTTGCAGAAGCTGTTGCATAAGATAGATAGATTGTTGATGAAATGAAACGCACCGTATTCACTAATTTTAATTAATATATATATAAATTAATAAAGCACCAATTCTAAATGCAACAAACTTTTTATCTTCACCTCTAACCAAAATCTAATTAATTTCACACACGTTCACTAAGCATTTATCATTACCAATTTACTAACGATAAGAATAAGATGGTGCATCGAACCCCTATCAAGGTTGCATAGCATTTTAAATTGTCGGGTGCACCACCTTGTCTTACCTATCCCATAACCTTTGAACCTTTCTTTTAACGAAACACCCTATAGAGCAACGTTTGCAAAACTGCAAGCCTCTCGAGACGCTTTCCGCTTTGTCGCTTAAATAGTCTTTGAGAAGAGCGAAGAGACCTCTTTCGGGTACCGTTCAACCGCTCCGCGGAAATACGGAGCTCTAATTACGGTTAGTAAGAAACGGCTGGTTCCGCGTGGACATTGTCTAAAAAGCTTTCTTATGCTTCTTTTCTGTTGCGCGTAAACGACGTGATAGAGCAGCTTCCGCTTGATTCTTTTTCTTTTTTATATCAAACAAAAATTCTTCGCTCGTTTGTAACTTCGTTTTGGTCATCGTGCACAAACACGTACACATACACGAACACATTCTCGACCGGTGTTAACGATGAGAAATCAATATTTGCTTCCAGCACGGATTGAAACGTTTCACTGAACGATTTATCCGATGAAATTAATGAAACCGGTCGAGGATGTTGCGTGAAATTCGTTTAAGGTATGACGAACCGTTCTTAGCAGATACGATATTGTTTTCAGGGCCCACGTTGGAACCACCGTTGCCCAGACGAAAGAAATGCCCGGAACTCGCGTACAAGACGCACGAGTTCATCACGGCGGCCGACGGTGGTGGCGTCGATGCCGTCGATTCGAACGTTGTAGCTGACAAAGTTCGGGTAGATATGCGTAGATTATTTAATACCCCAAACAATTCTAGTGAAGTATATAATTCTGATTGTCCTTTGACAGGAAGTTACAGCGCAATCGGGTCTACCACCTAGCCAGCTGAGCAAAGCGATATCGCGAATCAGCACGGAGTATCGGTTGCAGTTTGCTTGGCCTAGACGACCACAATTGATGAACGGCGAGACAGTGGCACCGGGAGTTCCAGCTGCCGGAATTCCAGCAGGTACGACAGGACCACCTAGAAAGTCTCTCAGCATGGGAGCTCTTAAGCAGGGTATCGCCCCTACAGGACCTGCCCCGGTGCACAAGAAACGACCCGGTGACGTCGATCACAAACGCGATGGTAAATTCGCCTATCATTCATTTCTATAGTCTATAGAATTTTATATTTCAAATAATAATTTTCAGGGATGCAGGCATCGGAGCTGGAACCCCTGGTCGGAGGAACTGGAACGGACACTATCGACGGTGCGGTGCCCGAGGGCGACGAGCGCGAAGAAGACGTGTCGTCCGACTTGAAAATAACTTTCAGGTCAGAGATTCGAGTCGACGCGACGTACAGAGTGTTTCAGATATATGTTATACGGTAAAAGGACTAGAAATTTTCCGTGTAAAAACGACCTTACCCTTGTTTTTGCACGAATAATTGATAGTTTCAACGGTGTATAATCATTTTAAGACACACTCTGTATAATTATCTCTGTATAAAATAATGTGGAAGAACTAAAGCATCTACGACGAGATCCTAATTGCTGTCAAGTGGCGTATAGAATTGAAGAGAAACGTACACTCGTACCCTACAGCTACGATTGATTCTTTGCAGGGGTAAAAAGTCAGGTAGAACCGTAAGGATATCGGATGATAAAGTGCTGGGCAAACAACAGGAGAAACCGTTTCCTACCTCTGAAGTGATCGAGCTTAGGCGACTCGCTGACGAGTACAAGGTAATTCGACCTAATCGGGTACCTACAAACATACCACATCCTTTCCTCCCCGTTTTGCATCATTCTCTCGCCTCATGGATCTTTACAAAGTACACGCGTCTTTCTAGCAAAGATTGGCAACGAATGAAATTACGAGCGATAAAGGTGTTGTTCGATAACACACGTGCATGCATTTTCCTCCAAACATTTAGGTATTATTCAGGTATTAATTATTCAGGTGCGTGATTTGTGTCTTCCAAAGCATGTTTCTCCCTGTGTTTGTTTAGATCGCGTTAGTTTCTTAGCGTTTAGAAGTGATAGCAAGAGAATGAGAAAAAATGAATTTTCATTTATATTAGCATCGCGACTGGGGTTGCGGTCTGGCAGCCGAGGACGAAGCTTCGCTGTGGAAACGGGTCTCCAGTAACCATGCTCTCAACGCGCTATCTCTTGCCAGGCCAGTACACTAAATCCACTCAAAAAAGTCAATGTCTTTCTCTGTCATTTGCTCATCTGACCATTTGACCATTTGACCATTTGACCATTGTAAAAGTACACACGGGTAGATGTATGCAATCGTATGCAAAGATGGCTTATTGTGTGCCACAAGTAGTATAGGTCAGCGTATACATAGAGTCAGATAGAGTCAGTTGTTATTCTACTCGCAGCGGAAACATTTTAGGAAAGTTGTCGTCTTTGCAAACACGAACACATGGTCGACCGGTTGTTGTTACTTGAAACGAAAAGAAATCTCTTTCAAGCGTAAGAGTCAAGCGTAGTTTCTACAACAAGGGACGAATTGTCTTCGAACCTTCACACGAGTTTTGTCGTAGTTGCCTTTTATTTCTTCCACGCGATTCTGTGTGCGTCTGTGCTTGTCGCAGAAAACTGACGGTTCGCGAAACACGTGTGTGACACGAATGATTGCGTATTTAGGTCAGTGACGAAGGAAGAGAAAGAGAAGGAGAACACGAGGAAGGTTGCCCCGATTACCACCACGATGACCATGCCTCCAGCTGGTCAGCCATCTTGCGAACAAACTAGACCTATTCATGGAATACTGCAGGACGATTCAAAAACCGTAAGTTTCTTCGTAAGTTTCATCGATTTCAATCGAATCGATTTTCTTTCAATTACTCGACGATCGTTTACAGGATATCGAAAGAGTATCGAGTCTTGCTCGCGCAAGAAAAGATTTCTTGATTCGCCACCATCTGGATCGTACTACTGGCGTGGGTAAGCGTAATTTCAACCATCAAGTATAATTGTTTTATTAAAATTTACGAGAATGATTGATTTGCGATAGGCGACGGTGCACTGCTTCCCTCTCCGACGAGAGAGAAGCTGGAGCCTGTCATACCGCGACGTCGAGAGGACGCGAAGGAGCATCGTGAGGAAATTCAGCCTAAAACAAAATCTAGTCCGAAGAATAGTCCAAGAACTGGTCGTTCTCAGAGTCTTGGACCAACAGTTACGGAACGTCGATCACCGAAACGTCAACCACCACGTGCACCATCCGTCACTAAAGAAGCTAAAGTACATATTTTCTCCTTCAATTTTGCCAGTTGAAATATTATCGAGTAAGCCGGCTTGTTTTTTTTTTTTTTCTCTCTCTCTAGGAGAAAGAGAAAGAAAGAGAGCCAAAGGATAAGGAGAAAGAGCATAGAGAGAAGAGCGGAGAGCCTGAAAGGCATCCACGACCGAGTAAGTAACACGAACGAGCATCGAATACATCTTTGCCATTTAGTATACTGTTTGCATCGATAAACAGTCGATCGATTTAGCAACCAAAAGATCCTACCTCAAATCGATTGGCGCTCGTAATCTGTCCACAAGTTCCATGTGCATTTTCGTGCATAAATTGACTTTGGATAGAATTCTTTATACGATGTGGTATATATACACAATATATTATATTTTTGCGATTTTTTACTGCTGTTTGCTCTTGTCGGTCCCAACAAGCCAAACCCCTTCTTCGTCATACCCAACTACTATATTTACCCTATTCGAACCGTGTTCCAAACGGCATTCACCGCTTCTAAAGAGTACCCTAATTTCAAGTTTCACCAGCAGATTAATTTCAAATCATAAGTCTATAAGAAGACAATTTGCCGCGCTTTAGTAAGCGCAGACCATGGCCAGATTCTTTAAGCGGTGTATGTCGAACACGTTAATTGCAAAGTCGTCGTTAATGTTTAGGCAGATGCATGACAATCCTGTTTAATCGTCTCTATCTCTCTGTCTCTGCCTTTTGAGCCCAAGTCTAGTGTAACCAGTAGTCCCATATTATATCTATTGATTGTCCGTGCAGAAAGTTTTTTGCGACGTGTTCCCGCATCCTGAACCACCCCCCTGTAATACCGCGAGTAGTATAATAACGCGAAGTTACGATCCCGATGCAACATTACACAGCAAATCTTACGGAGAATGTTACGTTACATTTCAATTCCTGACGAGAGGTGTCGTCATCGTTTCACCATAAGGATAATCTTCTATCAATTTCAATAATTTGTGTTTCATATATCTGCACTTAGCACCATGATTTTCATCCCGCATCACTCGTTCGCTCGTTCAGTAAACATCACCAGCCTACGTCGGTATCCGTCGTCATCGTCATCGTCATCGTCATCGTCATCGTCATCGTCATCGTCGTGATCATCCATCATTTCGAGTCCATCCATCCATCCATCTATCTAATCAAAGATGACAAGACAACAAGCATTCTTATATCATCGCTAGCCACATCCGTTTCTCTCGTATCACGTTCAGATCTTCATCTTCATCTTCATCTTCATCATTGGAATGATGCTGAAGAAATTCGAACGCATCCATGATCGCTGGACGCATCGAGGTAGAAATCCTTGAAACATATATCCTCTGCATCTTCTCCCTTCTCTTTGTTTCACTTTGTCTCACTTATTATTAAAAGAAAAAAAAAAAAAAAAAATTGAGCGAATCGCGATCGTGATCGAATTGATCAGGAGTGGTAGCGGGTGTTTCAGTCACGGGCCCTGGCCACGTGCGTTGGAGCATACGGGAACCGTCGGCGGTTTCCTCGACCGGTTCGTCGAGCAGCGTGCCGCCATTACCGCCACCACCCTCGGGCCCAGGGCCTACTCCGTTCTACAGGAGGTCCCCACAGGTCCACCGGAAATGTACGTTCTCTGTACCACGTACCTGTGCTTCCCGCTAGCCCATTATACTCTCACGTATCTCGGATCTTTGTCCATCCCTTTCGTCCTGCACCGAATACCAAATACCGAACACACACACACACACACATCTGTCTTACGTTACGTGCAATGTTTCCTTCGGTTTAGGAAAGTATGGATATCTCTCTGCACTTCCCTCTTTCGAAGAAGAGCATCGTTGCACGCAACTGTACATTGGCGAACGATGAGCGTTTAGCGAATGACAATGTTTTCTTACAAATGCATTTCTTATCGCTTACTGTTTGCCAATGTATTTACAGTCTTCATCTTCTCTGTGTATTTTTTAACACTTTGCGGTTCGCAGTTTCTTTCTATATCGATTAAATGGGATAGAAATTCCTTTCTATAGCACCCTATACATTTTTATATTTTTCTTCCGGTAGCACCCACGTTCACGATCAATCGTAAATGTATTTATTTCTTCTAGTTAAATGACGTTCCGTCATCTGCGGACCACAAAGTGTTCACCCTTCAACAGTTTAGGATATCGAACATAGAAGAGTATTGCAACGATTGATTGACGATATCAAATTATCTTCGTTTAGCTTTCCCTCTTACATTTCCTCCGTTTGAAACCTTGATTCACCCTTTCTCGTAAACTGTTAAAGGGTTGAAAGAGTCGCGTGTCGAATTCTTGGTCTATTCTTGGAAACTACAGTTGTTGTTGTTGTTTATACAAAACGTGTTAGGTTTAACTTAACGAGATTGCGATTACCACTGGTAATAAGGACGTCCTTGTATTTGCTCCTCTGTCGATGCAACTCGATCCAAATTCCTTTTCTTTTTTTTTTTTTCTTTGTTTCGTTTTTATTTCTTTCTCTTTTTTTTTATTTATGTTAAATTAGATTATTTATAGTACACGATTCGAAAGTAACAACGATCGGCTTGCTCGTTTAGCTTTGGCAATCTTTTCAAAATTCGTCTATGCTCGAATATTGTTCGTAACTTGGTGAATGATTCGAAACAATTTTTTCGGTGTACTTGACACGAAGAGGAATCCGGTCAGGATTGTGAATATTTGAGTGTGGACGTAATTTTGAACGGGCTTGATAATTCCAGGAGACCCTTCAGCCCTCGATAACCTCTCCAATAAGAATGAACCTCAATGAAGCGACGCGGCCTTGCTTAAAATGTGTTATAATTGGGAACTGAAAGCCGTCTACTTGCCGAGGCAGAAAATTCAAATGAAACTTACAGTATCCTGTTTAAAAGACAGTTTGTTTCGAACGATAGTATTTATAAAAAATGTTTCTTCAGTCTGTTTCCTTTAACTGTTGTCGATGATTACTTCCACGAAAGATAAGGAGGAATGTAGACATTTTAAGCAAGGAGAGGTCCAGCAATGTGTTGCGCGTAAGTTGGATAAAGAGAGGGTGGCCTTATTCATCACTGTGTACTTTGTGTACGGTATGTTCTAGCCTTCCTCGCAACCACCGCCCCTCCCCATCGCCCTCTTCATCATGCCAAACCTTCAACCACCTCCACAAGTACCATCACAACCACCACAAGTACAACCGTAAAACCCTCGGTAAAGCATTCGGTTCATACGAGTGTCCATCACCCACCTGCGTCGAGCGCTGCCGCTGCGGCCAGGCCGGACCGTGTTAAAGATATAAGCCGGTGCCAACAAGGTCCGCACGAAGCTCAGGCAAAAACAAACCGTGACCAGCCAGCTGCGGCTGCGGCCGCAGCCGCCGCCGCCGATCCATCCAAATCATCCTCCGATAGTCGATACGCGTCAAATCAAGCCGCTAACGCCGTCCAACCTAGTAAGTAGCATGCTCTCTGCCACACCACTTGTTCGCCCTCTTTTCTTCGCTCCAGATAACTTTTCTCCGCTGCTTTTCGTCTGTTCCTTCGTTGCTTCGTTCCTTGGTGTATTTATCTTTTCTCTACCTACTGCACTGTTGTTCGTGGGAGAGCCACTACCATAGACGGAGGAACGTCATGTACGACGGATGAACCAATAACGTCTCTCACTCGTTGAACTTTTCTCTTCGATCTCCATCACACTCCCATGGACAGCACTGTTCTACCTACTTAAGTACCTACTTCTGTTCGTGCTCTTTCTCTCTCTCTCTCTCTCTCTCTTTCCCCCTCTCTCTATGTATGTACTTTTCTGTCTCTCTGTCGTTGTGTATCTTTCAGAATGACATCGAGGATGATCCCTGCCAAGATGTTCCGCGGAACTTGTATATTTGTTCGCGCTGATACGTGTTTCTCCAAATTCCAAATCCTCACGCTTTCAAAGCCCGTTCGCTTCACGAATTTTAGAAAGAATTTCTCATTTTTGAAGAGCGATTAAAGGGTGAGAAACATAAGTGTGCGCTTCCAGCAAACCCAATTTGACGCGGAAACGAATATCCTTCACACGATACGAAAACGAACACGAACACGAACACGATCTCGCTTAGTTAATGTGCGCGATCTCTTCTTCGTCAACTTGCCTCTCTAGGGTCGCCAACTCTCATGGACAGTACGAAGGAAAGCAGAGCAAGAAAAGGGGGAGCAATTATCCGTCAAGTTACGCCGCGCCGCGAGTAAATGTTTCTCTGCGGTAGAGAAGAGAACAATAGCCTTGTATGTTAGAGCCCTTTGTCGACCTGTTGCGCGCAGCCGACACAGCTACCTTCACACACAATATACAATGTACAATGTACGATGTACAATGTATACCGTCACCACCAGATCTACTAACGTTTCCGCCTTCACTTTGTGTGCGCGTCTGTGTATATATGTATATCTGTACGTATTGTTTCCTGCATTCTGAGTACGCTAGTGTACTTTTCTGGGATGCTATGTGTAGACCTCTATCGTCTCTATGTAACCGTAATTCTGCTCGGTTTTCTAACACCTGCGCTCGATGACTCGACCGATGCTTTTGCGTCTTACCATCGATCACTTGGAATCGAGACTTCTCCTTTTTTATTCGAAGATTAAACGTATAATGTAATAGCTAGCTAGCTAGCTAGCTCGTGATCCTGGACTCGAAGCATCGAGAGCAATCGCAGCCCGAACGGAATCGGGCGACAAGGTTGAGCGGTGTACACCTCGTCGCTAAAGCGTCAACGAAACGTTATAGTGACGGCAGAGCCGCAAGTAAACGGGGACGTGACCGGAGGAGAGTCGAGCGTCGCGTCAACTCCGCCGTCACAGAGCCAGCCACCGATGTCTGCCACCGCCGTAAGCCCGTGGATCGACGACGAGCCGGTGGTGAAAAGCCCACCGGAACCGACCAGAGTCAAATCACCGGAACAGATGATCATGCGGTCGCCGGAACCGGTCAACTGGACGGTACCTCTGGATACCGGCAAAACGTTTACTGTCACGCAAAACGTCAGGGAAGGTAATTCGTCTGAGCTACTCTCAATGTTCTCATTATCAATCATTGTAAAGAGAAACTTTGATGGTTTAATGTGTTTTCTGGAAGAACCCCTAACGCGTCCGCATAGCGAAGCTAAGACATGGGCACCCTCCTCGGCACCTTCGGCGCCCCAGTCAGCACCACCTGAACTGGCGGCTCAGCACAAGTCGCAACATTCCCAACATTCCGGCTATAAATCACCGGAAAGCGAAAGCGTTTCCCTTGGTAGCTTCAGTGGTTTAAATGGACACAAGGATATGGACTCGGAAAGGGACAGCCCGTTGCCCACGAACGTACAGAGTGCCAGCACACCTGTGCAGGCTGAAAAGGTGAGACGAAAGATCAACATTTTTCAACCTTCTACTTTACTCTTAACAGCGAAGGTAAATAAAACGAGTAAGTAACCCTAAATAGGGGGTAAGAAAAGAAATGAAATTACAGGAAGCAGGAAGTGTCGAGGAGGAATCGAAAGACCAACAGAGATCGGAACCATCGATAAAACCAGTAGCAGGAACGAATTTAAGATGCCTAGAGGATCCAGGGTTCGAGTACGACAGGAAGAAGGATGTTGGTGCGCAGCCTACGACTACGGCAACCATGACTACACCGTCATCGTCGACTCCTCCTCAACCAGGTTACCGTATCCTAGAGGCCGAATCGCCTCAACCAGCTGGCACAGCTGGTGGTTATCACGTGCTAGAGGCACCGACAGTGGTTCCAGGTTCGGCCCAACGTTCCGCGGCTAGCGAAGTATTAGAAAAGGCACGAAATCGCTTCGATAAGTTTTGGGGAAAGGGTAGCGGTTCAGAGAATTAGATCGTTGCCGTACAGAAGAAGCAGTGACGTCCTCGAAACCGAAGGAGCAAGCAGTAACATAGAAGAAGAAGAGAGACGAAAGGAAGAAAAGTTTTTTTAACAAGGTTCCTGTGAATGCTCCTTCCGTGGCTCATCTGCTCGTCCCTGATCAACGTTCGTTCATTGGGACCGGCTTCCTTTACGTCTTACCTATCACGTGTTGAACGATCTTCGTTGATACCACTGAACTGAACTGAACTGAACTGAATAGAGAGATCTAGAAACCCTGTACGATTGATGTGTTGGCCAGTAAGAAGAACTAGCATTTGCGTGAATGTCCTCTATCAAGTACCAGATTATTTTGCCGTTATCGATGTGTTACTTTCGATCAACAGAGGCGAGACGAGGAGCTTTTTAGTTCAGCTTAACGAAAATCATCGACGAGTGCGAAGAATCGGGAAACACCTGATCCGTAAGACGTACGAGAATAACGAAGACGGTGCGTGCAGGCAACGCGCCTCAGTCTCGTTGAAAATCTCGAGGGATAGATGTTCGAAGGATGTAATTTACCATTGATGAAACTCAACACACAAATACACACAGATCATCATACGCTCCTACGATAAAAATGTGATCTTGACTAAAGAAAGATGTTAGAAAGAAATCATCATACAGACACGAAACACAGAAACAAAATGACACAAACAGAGGACACTAAATGCCACCGCGATACATAGAAAGAACACGCACCTAGCCGAACACCACGCGAGTCAGTATGTTTCTAGGATTATTCAACTGATCTCATGGGGATCCGTCGTAGTTAAGCCCAAAATTCTTTTTCCATTTGATAAAACAAGAAAAGAACAAAAAAAAGATAACAATGAAAATGCAAATTAAAAAAAGAAAAAAAAAAGAAAAAAAAATACAGATATAGGATAATCGTGAGTAAACGGAATCGCGAGGAAACAACGGTACCGGCTTTTTCGCTATAAATATGGAGGGAAGGATCAACATAAGCCTTCGACCGCTTCGTGCGTTTTATATAAGTCCTATATACGGGAAAAAAAAAACAATTATGTACGTATACACATATTGAACGTATACATTAATGGGTAATCGCACTCGCGGTTTGCATACGTAAATCACGGTACCGACACGATTTCACGGATCTTTCTTAATCGACAAAAAGACACATCTCGTCCCTGACGACAGGTCTGGAAAATTGTCCAGGGTACCGTGAGGAAGATTAGTTTCTTTTTAAATACAGAGTGTTTTCTCTGTGCGCGTTTGCCGGCCCGGAACATACGGACTCGTTCCGTTTTCCAAACTAAAACTCGACCGTTCGAAAACCACGAAAAAAATTGCTATTGCACTGAAATCTTCGAAAGACACTCGAGTTCTCTAAAGAAGAGAGAGTTCCACCCTGAAGAACACGTGATGGGTCTCTTCCCGCATTCAGCTTTACACCCGAATAAACCCCCTTGTACGCGTCGGATTCTCGTGCTTTGTTCCTCGTATCTTCTCGGTAATGTTTCGCGAACGGTCGAGGCGCGTCTAGATGAGGAACATTCCGCGAGCACGGCAAACGAAAACCACCAGCAAGCGGAATGAATTACTGTAGTGAGGCGTAGTGTTTTTTTTCCAGAGAAATGATAGCTCGAGGTCCTATGATCGAGCGAGAATAAGTGAGATGGCAGTATAGAAAAAAGAAATTCGCGTGACGAGGATGGCACTGCAATAGATACGATCTTTCTCCTCGAGGGTTGGGTCTGTGAGACAGGGATAATTTTTATTGATTCGCGTAAAAAAACAGCACGCTTTCGCTTGGCTCGACGTCACGCGATTTAACGATGAAATTGGTGCTAGTCAGAGATGCATCGAAGACACGAAGCTATGAGTTATAGGAATGAGAGATGAAGGGAACGGTGGGATGATGCACCTACCCGTTGCACCGCTGCATTCCGTCTGATTTGTTATACAAGAAATTCACTCGTACGTTCCTCTTTTGAGCGGATTAACAGCGAACAGGAGGGAAGTTCTGGAAATTATGATCAATGATCTATGAGAAGAGACAACAGGAGAGGTTACGAACTTGATAGAAGAAAGGTTTCCAGGAGTACGGGATACAAATTTTCCTGATATAATGCAATAAACAGAATGAAAAAACATTTTCCTGATCGACGAGCCAGAACCTTCTCCTGAAAAGACTGTCATGGGTGATGTTGTAACAGGAGATAAGTAAACGGAGAGAAAAGAGAAAACGAGGACGAGAAAAGACACTTTTCTTGATGTGAACTGAAGAGAACGAGGACAAGAAAAGGTATTTCTTTTTCTGACAATGAGTCAAGTTGTAAGAAGAAAGACGGTCCTTGTTCTCGGTTCGAGGACGATGGAAGAAAGAAACGAAAAGGGAAAGAGAAAGAGAAAGAGGAAGAGAAACAGAGGAAACCAAGCGACGGAGCTTCTTTTCTCTCTTTCACCGCGCATTTGATACACCACACTCCATCCAGATCCACGTCCAAGAGTCAACCAACCGTAGTGAAGCAGTATAAACGATAATGATTAATGATAAACGATACTCTAATAATAAAAGAAAAAAAACCGCTAAATGGAAAAAAGAACAAAAAAAAAAAAAAAAAAAAAAATATGAAAAATGAATTTGATAAGAGAACGACTGACGAGGGTTACGATGAAATCAGGATATCGACGAGAGATTATGGGTAACTTTTTGTGTTTTTTTTTTACAAACATTGATGAATTGTCTGAAAAATGATAACTCATCGTTGACCATGTTTTCTGTTTACACATATGTCAGATCTTTTGCTCGAAAACTTTTCGCCTACCGTTTCTTCTTTTCCATGAAAGACAGACCAGACAATCGCAATTAATCGAAAAATATTGTTAATTGTTCGTCGATTGTGCTATCGGTACAGACAATTTCAGATTGTTCGATCAGACAGGACCGCCGGGGCTGCATCCCGAATTTTCTTTTTCTATCCGTCAAAATTACCACCCCGTATCTTCCTTTCCTAGATTGTGTTTAGAAAAAGGACTGTACCTTTGCTTACACCGATCTGTTTGATTCGTGTTTGATTGTGACAAATATTATAATTGGGCAGGACGTGTGTGAAAAAATGTAAAAGGTGTGAAATCAATTAATTTTCTCATAACTGCAGAATCAATGATTCTATACCCTTCCATTGTGTGACACCCATTGTGTTGAAAATTGTGAATCTTTCGTTGTAATTATAATAGTATAAATAATTTGTGTCAATGATTTTGTGATAATTTTTCGTAATTATGAGAACGTGGAGTGCACGAGAAGAAAGGTGAACAAGTTATGAGTTATGGAGCTTGAACAGTTTGGTGTAAGCAATGAAGATAACAGAGAAAACAGAGAAGAGAAATTTATACGTTGAAGAAGCACCTCGCAGAAGCTTACACTGCCCATCCGAATTTAGAAGCTGATTTGTCCTGTGATTTCCAGAACGTTACACGTGCATTTAGAGGAGGCCTGCACAACTAACGCCATCATCACTCAAATCACTATTTTACTATATCTTATTTTTAAGATCCTAATCAAGATCCTTGATATTCCATTACTATCGTGTGCTGTAAGAAAGAAATTTCTCAATTGATTTCATTTTTATTAATTTTACAATTGTTCAACCATTTAATCAAACTAACTAAGAGTCCGTTACCACGTCGTACCCGTCCAAATAAAATAATTACCTAAACAAGCAACTACCTACAGTAGTTGTGCAGGCCTAATATGTATAGGACTACGACAATTCAATTTCGACTCGAAGCAAAAACGAGATGAATAAATATCGGTAATGTCACTTGTCTCCGCGGATTCAAAGACTGTTCCTGTTTCCCATGGGATGAAGAAAAAAAAGAAACACCGATACAAATGCGACACATAGTTATCCTATTTATTTTTATCGTGTGCCGATTGATTAGGGAATTCGTTGAACTATTCGTGAAATTTCGCACGATTAGAGTGCCCTACCTTAGGAGGCGAGGCTCAAATGCGAACATTTCCTTTTTTCTAGTTAAATGTAAAAAGAAAAAAAATAAAATGTCGAAGAGAAAGAGCTTGGAAGCTTTTAGAGAAAGAAACATAAGCAATGCTATAGCGTTTGGAACGACAGTCGACATCCGCTAGAAGGATGAAGTTATTGGTATTTCGTAGTACGAAAAAGAAGGGCCAATCGTATCTCCTAATGGATGTTGCCCTAAATGCTATGGACCATTTGCCATTTCGCATCTCGTTTCCAAGCTACTTTTCCTAATACACGTAGAAAGAATGTTCAAGTATACAGCTGTTGTGATGAAGTTTAGCAAAAGCATCGATCAACGGGCCTTAAGGAACGTGAGGATCGGGGGAACGTGCTGGCCACGTTCCGAATGAGTTTTCTACTCGAACAACCGAAATGCTGAAGAAAGTGAAAGACAGAAGAAATAGAAGACCTTTATTTCTACGATTCAGGGTTGAAACTCTATGAACAGAGACTGCGAAGGCTGACTACTATTTCCGATATGCAAAGGAGGGGCGAGTTGAACTTGGTACGATGATCGAAATTGGAAAGAGGGAAATTGTTATTAACTTTTCGTATTGGAAGTGGAAGACAATCGACGGAAAATCTATTATTGATACTTTCTCATTATCTCCTTATTGAATTAATTTTTATATTGTTGGACGAATTTTACTTTTTTAATTGATTTTAACGTTATAATAAATTCATTGCAATTGGTATTCAGATAACAAGAAAATACAGTAAACTCTGCCTACACGCTGCGAATACCATTTATAGACAGACTTTACTATATTTTTTATTTTCTTTTGGAAGAAAAAGAAAAAGAAAAAGGAACGTAACACGCGAGGAACTACTGTTCGGGATTTCGCCTGTATTCTCGCCTCAGTCTTTATGCCTACTTATACATAGATAGGTCGTACTATATTAAACTGCGACGGTTATATACAAAGTATATATATATATATATATATTAAAAAAAAATATATCTATATACACTATATAATATATTATTACGAATGATACGGGCGAAAAGAAGCTAACGTTTGAACAACGATGGTAGAAACGAAGAGGAAGAGAAACTGTTTTGTCAGAATAAGAGAATCACGTGGGATTAGGAAATATCGGTGATGCTGTTAAATGATTCGATACAACGAATGATATAAAGATGAATTCGGTCGGATTTCTCATATTTTGCAAAACAGAATGACGGTCGAACGAGTAGATAAAAAATGTTGAACAGATAGTTGATGGGTAACATGAAAGCGACACGTTTGTCCATTTATATTTTGTCATATTATAAGAGTCTGTCGCACGTTTCTGCGTTCTTCTAACGATGTGTTATCAGCTGGTATATTTATATCGGACCTGAACCGTTTGCCATAACGTAGGCAATTTGTTGTTAGTCGCTGGAAGAGATGGACCATGCCAACACGTGTCTAAAATCGAACGAAATTTCAAGGGGTGGCATTCTTTTTAGCTTGCTCGATTTACTGCCAATTCGTGACACTGAATATCGCGTTGAATTCGTTAGGAAATTTCTCATCTACATATGGCGTTGTTTTCAATTATTCGACGGTATTAGATTTCGATCTTTTAGATTTCAATTTTAACCAAAATATTTCCGCGAAATTCAAGGTGTCAAGTGTCACCCGAAGCCTAGACGTACAATCTCCGTTTCCCGCCCACGCCGCCACATTATTGCAAACGATTCGATCGCTTGTCCCTCTTCACCAATCTCTATAAATCGATATTTTCATTCAAAATTGACTTACCAAAAGACAAGCACACAAGGAGGCAAGCGGCTGGAAATTTCAGGAAAAACCATCGAACTTCTTTCGTGATCATCATCACCACCACCACCATTGACTTCTTTTTTTTTTTTTTCTTCTTCTTCTTTTCACAATCCTTTTCTGCGCGTTCAGTGTGCACATTCCGAGAGCGAAGACGAATAGGAATTATTGTTGCGATAAAGCGAGAGATGATGAATAATATTTGGGATTAATAATGGAACTATTACCTGGCGAGCGTAAACGTAAGCATTACGTAACACTACGGTACTTTTGCGCATCCCCTTCTCGTCCAAAGTTGCGTTTTTACTCTCCGATTGCATCGTAGAGGAGGATCATTTATTACAATAATTGCAGATTATTATGGCTATATATATATATATATTATATATATAAATATATATATATATTATATATTAGAAATTGAAATACTCGTAATAAAGAACACGCCGACGCTTCCTGTGACACCCTTGATTGTTTTCTTCATTGTTCCATAATCGATTTCCTTCCATTTCCTGATTACACGATAAGTCGCTAGAAACTGTAAATTTTCATTATGAGAGTCTCTTGAGGCATAAAAAACAATTTTGTCTTTCTTTACCAATATTAACGAATTACAAGTTATTTTGATGCTACAGCTTCTAGTGGCTCATCCTATGTACAATTCTTTGAAGGAACGGGTACACCTAAGCTCATACAATCCTGTAGGCATTAAGAATAATTTATTATCTGTACACGCGATCGAAAATTAGATATGATACATAATATATACATTGACGTACAGTGGTCAATTAGCAGCTTGTAAGTATTCTAGTTCGATAATTCATAGTAAAGAGGAATTTCCGATTCTTATATAAAAGATCATGCGTTAATAAATAGGTCCATCGTCTAAATTATCGTCTTCATCGTCATAACCTTCTCCGTTATCGAAATAATTATTCACGTAATCGGTTCCTTCATCCATCTCTTCATCCAATTCCTCTTCCTCGTCTTCCGCGTGTTCCTCATCCTTCTCTTCGGATTCTTCCTCTTCTTTCTCTTCTTCTTCCGCGTCGCTTTGCTGCATACTTTCCTTCTTCTCCAACTCTTGCAACTTTGTTTCTATGTCGATATTCTTTTGTTTTTTATCAGACTTATCTACTTTTTGTCCTTTTCGTTTTCGCGGCTGAGGTTTCAATTCTGCCGGCATTCTAGTCCAATCGTACCTGGTTTCGTAACTACTTTTGTCTGTGATTAAGTCTTGATATCGGTCCGAATACCTTTCGATATCTTTTTTAATCACAACAGGTAGAACATTGTTCGGTGACTCTCTTGTGTATTCTGCAAACTCTCTTTTAAGCTCCAATAAATAACTCATTTCGGTCGTAACGATTAGAGGTAGCGGTTTGTATTCCAAGGGAGGATACTTTGGAGGAGGTTGTAAAACCGGTGGTGGCAATGCTTCACCTTTAGAGAAACCCAGTTGTTCTGTACTAATTGACATAGTAGGTTTACCTCTTCCTCTGCCACGACCTGCCATGGTGATTGTCCTTTTTTCCCCTCTGATATCTAATACAACAGTTTAATTAATGCCCAAGAATCTTATGAATATCGCGCAAAGTATTTCAACTCACCTTAAGCTTTTTGTGCCACGAGTTCTTTCTCCTCACTTTTAACAAGCTCTTCCTGTTTGCTTGCAAACGTTTCTTTATCATAAATTACCTTAATAACCAACGAACAAGAAGGACATGTAGCCTCCTCCTCTCCAGCAGCTAACTCTGCTTTAGATATCTGAAACTGATCCCCGCAAGGACATGGATAATAATACACTTCCTCGTCTTCGTCGTACTCGAAGTCCTCGATTTCTACCTCATCGTGATACACAGACATAATTTCAAATATAAAATGATCGTTGACTTTTATATCGTTGAGGTTAAGAGAACGTTAGGAACACATGGTTAGCCGGGAATCATAATAATAGCGTCGACCATAACTTCTATAGATGACGACTGCGCCGTTTGGGCGATATAAGAGGGGAGTTGTGGCGGATTTATAATTTTACTTTGTTAAATTATATTTCTGTTTTATATCAATTAAATTCAAATTGTAAGTACTTATTTATGTTTTCTAAAATGCAATGTTCTGCAAAACGTGTTTGCGAAAGTGCTCCTTGAGTTGGTATGCATGTATCACCAGAATCCATAACTGCGACGCGCAGGTTGAAAGATGGTGGGGGAACGCAGCGAGCTCTCCGCTAATCGCTTTCTACTTCGTTTGGGAGTACCGCCAATCAGGGCGAAGATGCGCACTGGAGAAGCGCGAAGAACGAAAACTGGTCTTTTCGCAGTTATGGACTCTGGTGAACTGCGGTATATTGTACCGATGCAGGTGAAAAATGATGTTGGTGGTACTGATTGAAATACTGCCATGGTCTTTTCTGTTTTCAACTGATAAAGCAGTGGAAAGCATTATTATTGCAAATTTATTTGTATGATAATCAAGAATTAAGCATTAAACAATCATGGTAAATAATTGATTGCATTAATATTGTATTGCTTTCCGATGATATGAACCTTGTTATTTAGGTTATGTTTATTAAAGTAAAATACAATATTCTTGTTTAATTTATGCATTTAAAGTTATTATTTATTGATTTATAATGAACAGGGAAGAACTAAGAAAACACGGAAGGTTGTTATGCAAAGGTTTGCGCAAATGAAAAAGATGATAAGTCCAAGAGATGCAAGAATGTAAGTGGCTCTTGTTGGTTTTCAGAAGTAAGTATCATTATTTTGCATTCAAGTTTTGTATGAAATATTAGTTTGTTATTTTCAGAAAACCAGAATTACGTGCACCACCAAAAAATAAAAAAGAAGATCCAACTGAATTGAAGATAAAAGAAGCGTAAGTATACGAATCTTTTGATAGCTTGTTACAAAGTATAGAATGTATTGTATTATTACAGGCCTCAGCAATCTTCTGCATTGTTCTTCCAATACAACACACAATTAGGCCCTCCTTATCATATTTTGGTGGATACAAACTTTATCAACTTTTCAATTAAAAACAAATTGGATATTATAGAAAATATGATGGAATGTTTATACGCAAAGTGCATACCATATATAACAGATTGCGTGTTAGGTGAATTGGAAAAGTTGGGACAAAAGTATAAAATAGCACTAAAGATTATAAAAGACCCTAGATTTGAAAGATTAAACTGCATGCATAAAGGCACATACGCTGATGACTGTATCGTTAATAGGGTGACACAGGTAAGCATAATTGGTATTAAGAAATTGTGTGCGATTTTAATACAAGCAACGTTTTTAATGTTTTTAGCATAAATGCTACATCGTTGCAACGAACGACAAGGACTTGAAAAGACGGATACGAAAAATACCTGGTGTGCCTATAATGTACGTTGCTCAGCATAGGTACACGATAGAGAGAATGCCGGATGCGTACGGAGCTCCTAGGAAATAATTGTAATTTTGTATCGTGAAACATAGTCTAATAAAATATGTTACCTTTTACTAAAAGCTTTTTCGATGGTAATTCAGAAGCATACGTATGTACCTTCTCCTACTTATTTTTTGTCTGCGCGCGTATAACGTTCGAAGATAAACAGGGAGAATGTGTTACAGTTATTGTTCGGTGAAACAATGAAGTTGTAACATGTAACGCCCACATAGCGCGCTGCAACCCGATAGAATTTTACTGTTTTGCGAATGATGCTGCCCCGTATACGGTAACAGCTCGAAATAATGTTAGACTAGTGGGCGCAAAAGGCCATTTCGAGTGAAGAACGATCGCGAACGAATTTATTATGGGTGCGCCTCGCGAAATAAGTTGTTAAGAAGTCTGCCAGGATGTTTTTCGCGCTTGGTCAAAGATACTGTACTGGATAAAGATCGGGAAGGCGATTGTTACGCTTACCTAGGCGGAAAACGATCAGATTTCTGTTTAAATCATGTTTACCCGAACGAATTATGATGCCGTATCTCGTACAATTACCTTGATAAATTGAAAGCTGTAACGCGTGTAAATTTGCTAGAAAAATATGATGATAAAACATTTGATGCTAGGATGCTAGGAATTCTGAACAGTAGGTTGTTTGTCTGACTTTTCACGGTTGTTACTACTTGTTCTCCGCATCCAATCCGCTCTCATTCGTATCTCGCGTGTAATTAATCACGGGTGTATACAAGAGTAGCTTACTGCCTAGGCAATGCGTTACGATCACGATAAGTCGTGGCAATAAAATAAATCGTAAAATCGGATATATATTCCGGATCGTAGCATTTGGATAAATGTCAGGATCTTTTGTCGTCTCTCGAATCGTAACCTTTCGAATATCATGGACCGACAAATGGCACATGCATGCACGCTGCCGTGCTGCTGAACGTCGGATATTAATCACCCGGGCCGCCCTCCCTAGCGACAAATACTTTGAATAAACCCTCTCGCCAATCAGGAAGCGGTAACGATTATTTTATCAAATTATTAACCCTTGTTTTCATAACAAATAGGATTTCCTCGATGACGAGTTCTTAATATTACCTCGTATTAGTGGAAAAATCGTTTCACAGAGGCTTAAGTCACGATTGACCGGTCACCGTCGCGGCTCGGATGAAGTAAGGTTTGGTCGGGATAGTTAGCAAAGCTCGAACCTTCTATAATTTCCCATAGCATCGCATCCCGAGCGCGTACCCGCTTCCCTCATCGACGCGTTCTCCGCTAGATAACGACTTCTTAAACGTTCGAAGCCGACCATGTATACCTGTCCTTATCTTACCCACGCGACATTGTTTCAGATGTTACGCGTTTCGTAGAAGAAGTTGTGAGCGTGTACGTGTAAATCGGTTTACCCTATCGATACGACAATCAGCGGATATTATTGGCTATACAGCGGCCGCTGATATACCCAGTAAACTAGATTAAAGGAAAATTCTAAAGAGAATCTAATCGCGCGCGCGCCTGCATCGAGTGCTTTCGACGAAGAAGAAGAAGGAGTAAAAGCGTCGGGCGGAAGGGAGAAAGAGAGAAGCGTCCGATCGTGGTAACGGATTAGTTATAAAAGTGGGTATAGGGCCGCGGATATATATCTACAGCATCGTGGTTCTGGGCCTCTCGCTCCTTTTTTCTTTGCTACCCCATCGCCTCTCTTCTCGCTTTCTCCCGATACCTCCCCTCTTCTCCCGCGTATTATTCATCCAAATCGTTCGATCCTTGTTCGACTGCTTTCAGAAATGTGTCTCGTCTCAGTTTTTCAACCCATTCCCTCTCGTTCCATCGTCCATCGTTCGCCCGTAAGCGGTCCTCGTCGCCGAACGCTTCTCGGCGAACGGCGGCCATCTTGCATACCTGAGCCTCCGCATTGCTCGTTCCTCGAGGGCAAAAGGGAGAATATCTGAGCGCGAGACGAGGCTGGGATGCGCGAGAGGATACAGTCCAAGGTGGGAGGAACGAGGGCGCTACGTAAAGCCCCTGTGAGCGCGACAAGGACGATGATGGCGTAGGGCCCACGAAGTAGGAATGGAGAGGGGTAATCGTGCGGAAGAGAAAGACTGGCTTGTGTACGAACAAGGAGGGAAACGGCTAGCCTGAGAAAAGGAAGGCCCAAGAATGCTTCTCTAGACGAAGAGGACGAACGTTATCTGGTTGAACTGGTTGAAGAAAGGTAACGCGATCGAAGAAGAGAGAGAACCGAAAGAGAGTCTAGCTCGTCGAATTAACGGAGAGAGAGAAACGCAAGATATGGGGACCGCTCGAAGGGACAAAGATAGATGGAACACGAGTTCCAGGAGGAGGATGGAAGACTTGGGCCAGAGAAAAGGAGGGTCGCTGGAATACTTTGCTAGACAAAGTAGGTGAACGCTGGTTGAATAAGAGCGGGGTAAGGGGACGATGGAAAGAGGAATACACCGTGCTAAAACAGACAGAGAAAGAAAGAGTTAAGATGAAACGGGATGAGAAGATATCGGATAAAAGGGTGGCAAAGTAAGAAGAAGCGAGAACGAAGGTAGAGGCAACGCTGTGTCGAAGGAAGAAAGAGGAAGGTAAGGTTTCTTCAGAGAAAGAGAAAAAGTGATATCGATGGAAGGTGCGAGTGGGGCAAGCCGGTGCCGGTGAGAGAGGAGAGAGGAATGAGGTAAGAAAGAGAGAGAGTAAGGGACACATACCGTGGGCCCGATGGATCGGAGAGGGACGGCGTCAGCTAGCCCGAAGAATGCTTCTCGCAGCACTGGCAAGGTTCTGGGACCGTGTTGGTTCAGTCGAGTCAGGTCAGTCCTCGGGAAGGTGATATTCTTCGTCGTACGTTTTCGGGGCCTTACGTCGTCGCGTTCACGGCCCACGTTATTCTTTCTTTTCGCTCCTCTCCTCGATTATTTCCCTTTATTTCGCTCCTTCGTGTCTTTGTCGCGTTTCGCGTCTGTTGAAATTTTTATCATTTCATCCGCCGCGCCGCGCCGCGTCACGCCGTTCCGTGTGAAAACGAACGTTGTCTCGTGTATGTGGCAGCCACGCGAGTGATGAACCGCGCGATGATGTACAAGCGATCGGAATCGGTCGCGTAACGTTTAAACGCTTGCACACGTGTCGTTGACCGAAGAAAAGAACACGCTTGTCCGTCGATCGGTTCTAGTTTGGTTCAGTGTGTATCATCTCCACGGAATACTACCCTCGTGTCGTTTGTGGTGTGTCCGACTGGGTTTGGATTATTGACTGGAGAGGAGTAACAAAGTGTCGTTGCATGTTACGTGTCGCGGGAACATTGATCCGGAGTTTGCAAAGTGTCGTTGAGAGAAAGGACGCGACGCGACGCGGCCGCGGTGTCGCGCGAAAATCGCTTTGGAATTCAAGAATCGTCGTTCGAAGGATTCTGGCGAACGAAGCTGGCTGGAAAAGCCCGAGGGATCGAAGGCGAAGCATCTGCAGACGCGTTTCGCGAGGCGCGGCTCCGCGGGTCAGTGCCCCCTCTGTCGGCCAAAGTCTCTCCTCTCCTCTCCTCTCTTCACTTGACTTTCTGCAACCACGAGCAAAAAGGAGGGAATGAAAAAGAAAACGCCCACACCTTCGAGGCATCCTTAATCCGATTTCGAGTCGGCTCCGCTCGAATATTTGTCGATTAAAAACGGAAAGCGGAAAACGAAGGAGAAGGAGAAGAAGAAGGAGAAGAAGAAGAAGAAAAAGAAGAAGAAAGAGAAGCAACCAGTAGTAGGTATATACAATAGAGGAGAGAAGGAAAAATGGAATCCGTTAGCTATTCGCGCAGCTCTTCGATCCGTTGATTTATCCTTGGATTGTACAATGTACTACCACCAGGCTCGATCAGCAACGTAAACGCGTGCTGATATTGAAAGCAAGATGATATTGGCAGCGACGATGAGGAAGAAGAACGAGAGGTAGTGATCGAACGGGGCCGCGAAACTTTTATGCCGTCGAAGCGAGAATTGAATTTGGCTAAGGAAGGGGGCGCGTCGAAGGGACAGAAGAGATGATCATAAGGAGATCGATGGTCCTGATCCTGGTCCTGGGACTCTTGTCGATGGACCAAAATGCCAGCCAGGCGGCGAATCCTGCCGAGTATTATTCACGAAACAACCTACCTGAAAGAGTGACGCGGCTAGTGCCACGAAGGTCGCCGATGTTACCACAGGATAGCGCTACGATGGGACTGGCGATGCAGAGCAGAGCCGTTGACACCAGGGTTCAACTGGAGGTGAGAGAGGGCGAACCGAAGGGGAGCTTGGTAGGTTTGATCCCGGTGAAACCTGGCTTCACCTATAGGTTCAACGAGCCACCCCAGGAATTCGTGCTCGATGCTGAAACAGGAAAAATTAGAACGGCGAAAATTCTGGACAGGGAAGCGTTGAGCACCGATCGGTTCGATTTAGTCGTGTTATCCAGTCAACCGACCTATCCGATCGAGGTGAGGATACTCGTGTTGGACGTGAACGACAACGATCCAGAGTTTCCAGAGTCCAGCATAGCGGTTAGCTTCTCGGAGTCAGCGGTTGTGGGTACGAAATTGTTGCTAGACGCAGCCACCGACAGGGACACCCCGGAGAACGGTGTAGCGGACGATTATTTGATCGTCGACGGGAACACCGACGGCAAGTTTCGTCTACAAGTGACCGGTAATCCGACCGGTGAGACGTCGTATCTGCACCTGGAAACGACCGGGAAATTAGATCGGGAACAGGTAGAGTTTTACTCGTTGAACGTTTGCGCCAGGGACAGAGGACGGCCACCGAGAGTAGGCTTCCTGTTGGTGAACGTTACCGTGCTCGACGTGAACGACAATCCGCCGATATTCCAGCAAAGCGACTACGTGGTCGCGTTGAACGAGAGTGCCCCGGTAGGGACCAAGGTGCTTACCGTCCACGCCACCGACAAAGATTCCGAGGACAATTCGAGACTTACGTACTATTTGCCCGATACCGAGAGACAGTTTACGATCGATCCGGAGACCGGTACGATTACGAGCGTCGAGCCGTTGGATTGTCCTCAGCAAAGTTGCACGATCGCCGCGCAT